ATCACGAAAGGGCTTGTTCCAGAGTGAGCCTAACAAAGCTTCAAGAACAACAGTATTGCGAACAATGGTGCTGCGCAAAGGAGCAGGTTTATCTTTCGTTTTTGTCCAGTTGGTAGATGCAGCAAGCAATAGACCTTCGCTTGTTGTTGGCCGCGATTCTAAAGGTGGTCTGCCTCCGTTGGATTTAGGAGCTGTATCCTTATTTGTGCTCGTAGTAGCATTGCTGTCATTAACAGCCTTGCTCTGTAAGACATCGTCACCAAGCAAATCTGCAATTGTAGTAGCAGACATTAAAAGTGGATGTCTTGGAAGGCTACTGTTAAGATCGTTCAAATTATTAGACGACGAGTGTTTGTGGGCGTTGATTTGTCTGGATCCGGTAATACTATTGGTACCATTAAAAGTTTGGGAGCGGGTGAGTCGAGAAATATCATTATCAGTGGAAGATCTTGGAACTGTTCTTCCGGTTTGCAAAGAGCTATACGTGGCATGTTTTCTTGGAGATTTGCTTGTTCCTCCAAAAAGATGGCTAGGAGTGGTTGCTGCTTTGGCGTTTTGTTCATTAATAGCAACAGTCCAGTTAGGGCCAGCTTCTTCTCCTCTACGCAATCGAACTCTACGAATAGCATCATAAAGGGGAGAAACATATCGCTTGACGTTTGCCAATTCCTTTCCAATTTTTTCTTCTTCTGCTTTACGCTCAGCAATAGCCTTGGCCTCGGCGGTAGATTGTATTGGTTTAGAAAACGTTTGGTCTTGATTATCACGAATTCTATAAAGTTTTTGTTGAGCTCTGTTAGTTCCGTTTGGCATTGTTGCTGAGTAGGCACCAGGGGAGATAGCGTTGAGGTTTAAGTGAGATGTGTTGTGAGGGGTTGTAGCACCGCTTACAGAAGAGGATGTTGCAGCTGAATTTGATTGTGACGGGTCAGCAAAACTAGCAGAAGAGGGTCGCAGGGCTTGGCTGGGATTATATGAAGAAGTGGTACTGCCAGAGCCATCAAGAAAATGAGAAGTAAAATTATGCGGAGTTTCATTTGATCTGGAAAGACCAGAACTAGAAGACGAACTGGATTGTGAATTTGATGCATATTGAATAGCACTAGGAATGTTGTTGAGTGCATTAATTGCAGAGTTGGACCTTGTGAGAGTTGAATGCGGTTTGATGGAAGAGGAAACATTTTGAATAGATTCGCGAGCTTGCAGAGGCATAGCGGACGATATTAAAGATGCAGGGTGGTAGCTATTGCGTAGGTTGTCATCTGCTGCAATGGATTCTGCAGGGGCGTTTGTACCAGGAACAACAGCCAGTACCGTTTCATTGGAAACTTGCGGAGGTACGGGTTGGTCAAAAAGAACTAAGGAAGGAGCCAGGGGAGGAGGGTTGGACATTGTTGCTGAAGTGGGGGCGCCACCAGCATTAGGGGTAGAGCCGGACGAAGCCAAAGAAGATGGAAGTAAATTTGAGACAGAAATTGGTGCTGGAGACGGGATTATAGGTGGGGCTGTAGCCAAAGTTGGGGCAGAGGGGGTAGCTGAAGGTGAGGAGGAGGAAGAAGGAACGGGTGTCAACTGTGTTTCATGAGCAGATAAAGTTTTAGATATTTCTGGAACTACTGCAGAGGATATCAGTGTAGTTGTGGAAGCTTGATGGTGAGATGCAGGTTCCGCAGGAACTTTGTCATGAGAAATGTTTGCTACTGAGTTTATCAGTGTAGATGCAGAAGTTTGACGGTCAGGTTTATGCTGGGACAAAACTTGATTATGAGATATGTTAGCTGCTGCAATAGCTGCTGCCGCAGCAACTGTAGGCCCCTGAAGACCCTGATCTGTATCTTCTTCAGTGTCTTCATCATCATCGTCGTCATCACTCACTAAATGCTGAGTAATTGGCTCCGAGGAGTTTTGTTGTAAATTGTGGTTTATGCTGGTATGGTTTTTAGTAATGTCATGGCCTGGGGATATTGGTGAAAGGCCTTGTTGAGGCTGGGCTGGGATCTTTTGCTGCAATTGTTCTGGAGCAGAAGATGGATTAACCTGCTGTGGTTGTGGTGTAACTGGTTGTGGTAGTTGTTGTTGCTGCTGCTGCTGCTGTTGCTGCTGTTGTTGGAGATGATAATGGTAATTTTCCTCTTCTTCAGATTCTGTATCGTCTTCATCGTCGTCGCCGCCAACAGAAAGCACGGCCTTTCTAGGTTCTTTTGCAACTGTACTAACTTGTTCCTCCTTGGTTTTCCCATTTTTAGTCAATGAGACTTCGGAAGGTGCAGAAGGTCTACTTGGATTGTTAGAAGGTTGTGCATTGAAGCCATTGCTAGAAGGGGCGCCTGAAAAGGAACCCAGCCGGCTGAGGTTTCTGTGAGACGCGGTATTTCTGTGTCTGCTGGAATGAGCAATGAACTGCTTACTAGATACCCTCTTACGGCTAGTCAAAGCTTGGCTGTTTAAAGCAACAGCGGATCTTGCTCTTCTTTGGAATGGAAGCTGTTGCTGCTGAGGGAGCTGCTGCGAGTCATCGTCAGTCATTGGTATTAAAAAAGAGTAAATATAATAATCTTCAATCTATAGCTTGTTATTTAAAATGTATCTATCTATAATTTAAATGCTGTCAATTAGGGTTCTTTCTTTGTTTCCCTGGGGTATTTGTGGCAAGCAAGCTTTAATAAGAGAGATTTTTTGGTGGCTGGGCTTTGAATTTTTTTATTAAAGTCCCTATTTTTTTTTTTTTTTTTTTTGTATTTTAAAGAAGAAAACAAAAAAAGGAGGAGGGGAAGGGTGAGAGAGATTCGTGCCTGGCTAGCAAAGATTGGCTTGTAGGGTTAGGTTTGGCCACATGTCCTGAGCCAGAAGTAGACTAATTAGTTCACCTTTAATGTGTATATCATGGTCTGTTATATCTTAGGTGATTTTATAACCCTAATATACTCAACCTTATATGCAACAATATCCTTATGTATATATATTTTCTGTTACGATGGTCGCGGTCCCCATCAGCATTTATACGTGTAATTTTCAGCTTCAAACCACCCTTCTTAACCAGCCACCACAACCATCAATCATGGATTTACTACAGACCGCCCACTTCTATGTCGATTGCATTGTCGGCTCCAAAAAGCCCACTGACCACCCAGCTCCGGCTCCCGGAACTCTTGCAGCATCATCTAAAATCAAAGTCCTTTTGCTGGATAAGGATACGGTCAGTTTTGCATTAGAATCCTCTTCAAGGTCCATACATTGCTAACTATTGCTATCTTCAGGTCGGTATAATTTCCATGTTTACAACCCAGTCTATGCTTTTAAAGCATGAAGTTTACCTGATTGAGTGAGTGAATTATTATCTCCATTATTATTATTGTATAAGTTTAACTTTAAACTTTTCTAACCCCATGTTACAGTCGACTGGAAAATGAATCACGCGAAAAAATGCGTCATTTGCATTGTATTGCATTCGTTCGGCCTACTCCAGATACCATAGACTTTCTCATTGAAGAAGTCCGAAACCCAAAGTACGCAAGTTACCAGCTGTTTTTTACAAACGTCATTAAAAAGTCTGCCTTGGAACGTCTTGCTGAATCAGACGACCATGAGATTGTAACCAGTGTGCAGGAAGTTTTTGTTGACTTTTACATCATCAATACAGATCTATTTAGTATCAATTTGACGCCTCCCTTGCCCTGGGGAGGACCCGATACCAGTCAGTCACCAGATTCTTGGCTTCCGTCGAATCTTAATCGCACAGTTGACGGATTATTTGCATCACTACTGGCTCTCAAAAAGGCTGGATCACTGCTCATTCGCTATGACCGCAACTCGGCTCTTTCAAAAAAGCTTGCAGCCGAGCTTATGTACAAAATTAAACAGGAGTCTCAGCTTTTTATTCAAATGGAAAAGCAAGCCAAAGCTTCTCACAATGGCAAGCGCATTGTTCCAGATACTCCACCTGTGCTGCTAATTATTGATCGTAAAAATGATCCCATAACACCTCTGCTCACACCATGGACATATCAGGCAATGACTCATGAGCTTATCGGAATTGTAAACAATCGTGTGGACATGTCCCATGTTCCTGACCTCCAATTAGAGCAAAAGGAGGTTGTTCTTTCTCCAGACCAAGATCCATTTTTCAAGAAAACAATGTACCTGAATTTCGGTGACTTGGGTGCCTCCATCAAGGACTACGTGGGTCAGTACCAGGCCAAGACTAAGATGAATAAAAACATTGATAGTATTGACGATATGAAACGCTTTGTGCAGGATTATCCTGAGTTTAGACGTTTATCTGGCAATGTGTCGAAGCATGTGTCGCTTGTATCGGAGCTGTCACGGCTCATTGGCGTCAAGGACTTGCTTGAAGTGTCTCAGCTCGAACAGTCGCTGGCATGTAATGACTCACACTCGAGTGACCTTAAAACACTGCAAGGGTTTATTGGATCAGAAACACTTGACTTGGATGTCAAGTTGCGTCTTGTGATTTTGTATGGTCTTCGATACCAAAGTAACAGCAATTCACAATTGCCCTTTTTGGTGGACCTGTTAGCAACAACCACCAGCGGCGGGGCCCGCCAGCGCGACATTAAAGCCATTGTGCAAACAGTGCTGGAAAAGTATGCAGGTCAGGCACAGCGCCAGGAACCATTATACGCCAAGGAAACTGGGTTTTTTGCACGCGCACAAACAAGTATTGCAAAGGGACTTAAGGGAGTTGACAATGTGTACACGCAACACACACCACTGCTCGAACGCACTCTCTCGTCTCTTATTAAGGGCCGTCTGCGCCGTGCTACTCACCCGTACATGGACCCTGGCGACGGTTCATTGCCGTCATGGGCAGCCGGGAACGGTGCTGGCGGAAACACACCTGGCGTTGGCGGCGGGCCCGGCAGCGAGGCGGATGTGCCGCAGGATGAGCGGCCGCAGGATATTATAGTGTTTATGGTAGGCGGTGCGACATATGAGGAGGCCCGGTTAGTAGCCGAAATTAACGCGTCAACATCTGGAGTCCGTGTCGTTTTGGGTACAACAGATGTACTCTCGTCAAGTGAGTTTTTGGATGTAATGGAAACCATGAGTAAAGCATGGCTCGGGTCCGGGTCCCATGGGAACTCTTCACTACGAGACGCGTCTCCCGCCACACGTCTAGCATCGCGTATTCGATAAAAAAAGAAATCCCAAACTAAGTTTGTTTTTTTTTTTTCTTTTTTTCTTTCTTTGTCTTTTTTATATATAAATAAATAAATTTATAAATATTATTTTTCTTTCATTATTTGCATTAAGGAATATATATAATGTTGGCATTATTGGTTCATTGAATAGTTGAACCGATCTTGCCACTCTAACAATTTTTTGACCAGAGACTCCATCAGATCTACAGTAGGCTGGTAACATGCAAACAATGCCTCACTTAGCTTTGGGTCCGTCAAGTGCTTTTCCAAATCCTCCATGACCATGGCCATGCCAGTTTTTGTTTGTTCTGCTGCTTGTCGTGCTGCTGCTTGTTGTGCTGCAACAGCTGCTTGTTCTTCTTCTTGCTTCTTTTGCACCTGCGCAAGTTGCTTTTGTTTCTGTGTTGCACGCTTTGTTCGAGACCGGGACCCAGATGCTGAGGTAGCAGCCGGAGGAATAGCTGTAGAATTAGCAGAAACACCTTCAGGAACAACCCCAAGAGTGCTCACAGAACCCAAGGCAAGTTCCGGAGTCGCCCGTGAAGATCCCGAATCTTCTACAAGACTAGATGTAACTGCCACAATACCATCGGCAACAGTAATAACTTCTGCCACAACTTCTTTGCCAGTATTCAAGCTTTGGTCTTGATGATTTCCTGAAGGTGTTGTTCTTGCACTTTGTTCACTCTTGGTCTCAGCGCCACTGCTACCACTGCTACCACTGCTACCACTGCTAGTACCTGCAGCATCCATATTGTAAATCCTGCGAAATCGTGTGTCGCGGTACTCCATGAGCCACTGCCGGTTATTTTGTTCTTTATCCAAGTCGTTACGCGAGCGTAAAATAAACTCAAGCAACGCAGAAACTCTTTTTTGCATTTCTGGAATAGAGGTCCGCGGTTGAGGAATACGAGCCTTAGCCGGTCGATCAACAATCTCCCGACCACTGGCACCGCTTCCGCCAGCGTTACCATGACTGTTCTGCACATTGCTAGCCCCTACTGCAGGACTTCCGCTGCGACCGGACCCGCCAGCTGCAGCCCGAGGCCGCGTGCGCTTGCGCTTGTTGGCTGAAGAAGCAGATGAGGCTGCACCTGTTCCGGAATCGTTGGCCGCACTAGCTTTTTTAGACTTGGAACTGCGGGAAGACGATGTCGTAGCAGTGGTACTGGTCGAGGCTGTGGTATTTGTAGCAGTCGAAGTGGTAGCTGTTGTGGATCCACCAGCAGGTGTGGTATCTTGTAGATCTTCCTCAGACCCAAATCCTGCAGATTCGTGTGTACGTTTGCGTGACATTCCCGCTGCTCCACCGTCAGAGTCACCTTTATTAGCTGACCGTGCTGGAGCCCTTCGTGTCGAGCCTCTTGTCGAAGACGCCGCACCTTCTTCATCACCAGTGGCAGCTGTGTCATCCGTAGAGTTTGTCAATGCTACTGTATTGCCGGCATTGTTACCACCAATTTTAGAGCCCTTGGATCCTTGTGACCGCGATGAACGAGTGCTCGAAGTGATTGGCCCATCAGTCTCCGTAACACCGTCCGGACCCTCAGAACTTGTCATGACCACGTCTCCTTCAGTGTCAACTGTAGATAATGATGATTCATTTGCTGTCCTTACTCTTGCAACTGTGGCTGTGACTGTTGTGCTTGACAATGACGCTCCTCCTTCTGTTGATGCCGAGCCCGCGGCTTCCGAGTTTGAGGTGGCCCCTAATGCTCCACTACCACCACCACTACCACCACCACCACCGCCGCCGCCGCCTCCTCCTCCTCCTCCTCCTCCTCCTCCCTCGCCATCACCAGTTTTGGGTTGTGCATCATGAACAGACTCCTCGAGAGCCCGCCGCAGGTTTTCTTCATACGCTTGTGAGTTAAGCGTGGGTCGTGTTCTAGTAGATCGTGATGACCCGGCTGCAGTGCCCGAGGGTGACTGCGGGGAGCTGCGCGCCGAATGTTTTCGGGAAAGGCTTCCCGAAGCTCCAGCTGACCCCTGTTGACCAACCGGTGGACTTCCAACACGTGTACCGGAAGTTGCACCATTTTGTTGTTGCTGGAACTGTTGCTGGTGTTGTGGTTGACCCGAAGATGTAGTAGTAGCACCATCACCACCACCACCACCAGAAGTTGTGGCACCCCCCACCTCGGTTTCCTTCTTGGGTACTTTTTTGCGCTTCTTGTCTGAGGAGCCGCCACCGCCGCTCTTTCCGTCTCCGTCGGCCGTTTCTCGGCTGCTGCTTCGACTCGTGGCATTCCGTGGCCGAACTTCTCCGTCACCATTTCCTTGGTCATCGACACCGTCAATGTTATTTTTGCTACCACCATCACCATTATCTGCGTGGTGAGATCCCCGCTCCGAGTCGTGTTTGTGATGGTCCTTGGAACCACTACCGCCAGATTTCCCAGCATTTTCCTTTTTGCTTTTCCCACTTTCTTCCTCTGCCTCTTGCTCTTCTTCGTCGTCATCTTCTTGAGGAGAGTACCGTGAGGTCTTGCCATTGGGCCGGACTACTATAACGTGGTAGTCAGGACGACATCGCTCGCAGTAGTATACTTCAGGAGCCGACGCGTTGGTTAGAATACCCACGCAAAACCCGTGTTGCCAAACCTGGCATTCGTCACATTGGATGAATAGCGACTCATCCACACGCTCATGCTCGCGCTGTTGCACATTGCTAAGTTGAAGCTCTTGGTGGCCACAGATACATCGCGTAATTTCGGAGGAGGCCTGTGCACCATCGTCGTCTTCTTCATCTTCTTCTTCTTCAATCTCCTCCTCTTCCTCTTCTTCTTCTTCTTCGTCTTCCGGTACTCGGCGATTTCCATTGCGGTCGTGTTGCTGCTTGTCACCGCGGCGCTTAGAATCATCATTGTTTCCCCGCGCATGCCGGCTCCGTGAGGCTGACCCGCTACTTCCATTGCTGCTGCTGCTGTTACTTTGACTGCGAGAAATCTCGTATGAGTACTTATCGCCGTCATCGACACCATTGTTGTTATGATTGTTATTAGAATTTGTACCAGAAGATGAGCCGTCGTCGTTATCAGAAACGCCTCCTCCCCCGCGCTTGCGAGTCCGCCTGCGCTCGGATACAAAATCTGATTCCATTAGATTAGTTAAAATTGAATGAATGAAAGATAAGATAAATTAAAGACTTCAGTAGAATTTAATAAGGGGTGAAGTCTTAAAAAAACTGTGTATAAGGGGTTTGGTGGGAATTCTTGGGATAAGGTGGGAAAAAAAAAAAAAAAAAAAAAAGTTGGATTAGAGGGGGGGAAAATTTTTAATTTTTTTTTTTTTATTTAGGACCGCACCAAAAATTGCCAACAATCAAGTTTATTTTCTATTTTTTTCTTTTTCTTTATCTTTTTTAATTTTCATTTTCTCTTTATTCATTTTCTTAAAAAAAAATACAAATTTTACAAATATATATATAAACTCATTTTTATTTTATAAACATTTTATTCTTTCAACTTTTAAGCGAAATACTGGTGATAAGGTCTTTCTTTTTGGTAGGACTAATCGTCTTAACATCAGTCTTGCGGCCATTTTTGAGCTCGCGGCGAACACCATTAGTATCCAAAGGCTGCAAAAGCTCAAAACGACAAAGCAAGTCTTTGCCAACAGTCATGACAGCTGCCCAGTTGCCAAAGTCACCACAGTAGTTGGGTGCCGAAAACACAGTCACAAGCTTGCGACGACAGAAAAACTCATAGCCGTCCTCGACAACCATGTGACCACGAGCAATCAAGTCAAAGCCAAATTTGGCACAAAAGGCTTCCACAATGGGTTTGCCAAAGCAGTAAGACACGCCTCGGTCATTGGGTCGCCATTCGTCAACCGTAGAATCCGGGTCTGACCAAAGGAGATCGCTGAGAAGACCCATTTCTGGAATATCGGTGGGGCGCTGAATATTGCGAATGTCATCAAGAGAGTTAAGGAAAGGGGAAAGACCACCATGGACACAGAAAATTTTGCGGCCAATAGTGGCGGCAATAGGAAGCGTATTAAACGTGTCAACAAAGGTCTTCCAGACCTTGACAGAAGCACGACGTTTGCATTCATCGTAAAAGCCATAAACACGTGTGACACTGGCACACTCGTGGTTACCTCTGAGCAAAAAGACATTTTCAGGATATCTAATCTTAAGACACAAAAGAAGAAGCATGGTCTCAATCGACTGCTTGCCACGGTCCACATAGTCTCCTAAAAAGAGGTAATTGGATTCCGGAGGCATACCACAAAGCTGAAAGACACGACGCAAGTCACCATACTGGCCATGAATGTCACCAACAACCTGGACAGGAGTGCCCAACTCAAGGAGGGTAGGTTGAGACAAAAAAATGGAGCGGGCAGCACGGCAAATACCAATAATCTCATTGTTACTAATACAAAGTTTCTTTGAGGATGAGAGACCAGTATTAAGCAAACGACCAATAAGCTCGTTAACATCCACCGCATGTTGTTTGGGTTTAGACTTGGTAGATGATAATGGAGAAGTGGAAGTAGAAGGAGAAGAAAGTTTCTCAGACCTGTGATGGCGTTGTTGAGACTTAGGCTTTGGTGTGGCAGATAGTTGCTGACTAGCTGTGGGCATACCTGATATATTAGTACCAATAGCTGTGGTCAAAGTATGAGCAGCTGCAACAACGTTAGCCTTTGTAATGGTATTTGACGGGAAATGAGATCCTGGACTTGGTAGACGAGTGGTTTGACCATTAACTTGGTCTTCGTCAACAACAAAAGTTGTCGAAGGGTATTCTTCAAAAGTAGGGGTCTTGACGGGGGAATTTTGTTGGCTAGATTGGCTAGATTGACTCGATTGAGAAAAGGAGCTAAGGGAGCTAGAAAAACTAGTACCAACAGAAGATAGGCTAGAGGAAAGTGCCACTGTTGTTGAAAGACCGCCCATAGGAGTCATTGTATAAAAGTCATCTTGATGGTTTGGATAAGACGAATGTTGGTGAATAGGCGTCAAAGCAGCTGCTGCCTTATAAAGACGGTTGGTAGCTGATGGGCTCTGGGACAATGAGGATGGGCTTGAAGAATTGGAAGAGAGAGCCCCATCTGTAGCAATTACCAAAGAAGGTTTAGACCATTTTTGAGTATTTGTTGTTGAAGACCGAGGAATTTCGGTTGGGGTTGAGATTGAGGTAGAGGTTGAGGTTGATGTAGTGAAGGGATCGGTAGGAGTAGCAGTGGAAGAAAATGATGAAACCACCGTCTCATAAAAGGACTGAGGCGGGTTAGGGTTGGTTGCATTTGTAGAGGTCGGTTGGTACGGGTTGTAGTGATTATTATTATGGGTATGGGTTGGGGTTAAGGTAGGGGTTTTTGTTGGGGTTGGGGTTTGGGATGAAGAGCAGGAGGGTGTAATGGTGGCGGTAGAAGCTGTTGCAATAGCATCAGAAGGACCTCCAACAACGCCCACATCGGATGAGACAACAACAGACGATTTAGAAGAGGCAGATGACGAGGAAGACGAGATGGATGACGAGGAAGACGAGATGGATGAGGAGGTGGATGGACGGCGGTCTGCAGAACGAGGAGTGGTAAATGATGAAGGTCTACGTCTGACAGGGACTGGAACGCTGTTTGTGGTGATGGAGTTGTTGATATAGCCACTGCGGGGGGTTGTAGTTTTAGTTGAAGATGAAGATGAAGGAGATGCCAGGACAGGAGTTCCTGAAGAAGATGGGGAAAGTGGTGACGAATAAGCATAGTTGTTATCTTTTTCTGAAGATGATCTATCGTGCTCATACTGATAGCTGTTGTTGTTGTTGTTGTTGTTGTTGTTGTTGTTGTTGTTATTATTATTATTAACCTTTAAACCTTGTTTCTCATAGCCAAGATGATGATGATGATGATGATGATGATTGTACGCACTGGACCTTAAATTTCTGGAGCTGCTACTACTACCGCTACATATGGGGTCATCCAGACCCCCGTCTTCAGAGGTCTGGAGCGAGCTTCCTGCCGAAGATGAAGGACCAGCGCCTACATCTGGCGTCATTGAGATACTGGTATGAGCATTTTTGGAAGGAGTGTTACCCATGGGATAAGAGAGGAGCTGAAAACACCAAAACTGTTAGGCAGAAAGCGGAAAGAGGAGGAAAACAAAAGTATTAATATGGAGTTAAAAAAAAAAATATTATTATATATATATATATATCTTAAGTAATAAGAATGAAGAATATATATAAATAATTAATTAATTAATTTTGTAAATGAAAAAAAAAAAAAAATTGAAAAAAAAAAAAATCAATCAAAAGATATCAAAAGATTTATGTCTTCTAATAAAGAGACGTAAAAAAATCAAATAGTTTTGAGTGAGTGTAAGAAGAAAAGATTTTTTTTTTTTATTATTATTGTTGTTAAAAAGGTCATCAATTTTAAAAATGTTTTAAACTCTTGTACTGATGTACAGAGTTTTATGACCTATAAAATTTTAACACTAACACTAAAAAAAAAAAAAAAAATTATAAAAAAAAAATTGTAAACGCAACCCTTAAATGCAACACCGAATCGGCTTTACAACTGGATAGATGGAGAATGGGGGGGGGAAGGAGAAAGTATGCAATATTATGTAAGGATCCACGTGACTGATAAAGAAGATTTTTTCTAAGGGAACCGTTATCCCCGGTTGTTACGGCAGCAGCCTCGTGGCAATGTTTTTATTTTTGATTGGTTGTTTCAACGAAATTGCGCAAGTAACAAATAGAAAAAGGAAGTTACATGCTGGATTATTACATTTTATGTTACTTTTATGTTACATTTTATGATACAAATATGTTGCAAATATGTTACATCTATTTGTTACATCCATCTATTACATTTATTTGTTACATTTATGTATGACACTTTAAATGACAGAAAATTTTTTCCCATTACAAAATTTTCCATCTAGCCAGCCAAGCTTTGAGCAACAACAACAATAATAATTATAACAATAACAATAACAAATAATAACCATAAATAATAATAATAACAATAATATTAATGTTAATATTAATATTAATAATAAAAATAATAATAAATCTGGCCAAGCAAGCTGAAGTTTTTTTTTTTTTTTTTTTTTTTTTGTAAAGAATTAAATAAGACTGAGATAGAGAAAGAACAGGTTGGATACAGACTAATTAGTCTTATAAGCTACAGTGGCAGTAATAGAAGCAACAACAATAACAATAAAATCATCAAAATAAATATTTCACAACCACCCAAAATTATTACTATTTTATATACTTTAACAACCAACACCCCTTCTAATTAAAAAAAAAAATAAAAAAAAAAAGACTCTGAACTTGAAAGAAAGTCTCAGTATAAATCTTTCTTCTTTTTTTTTTTTTTTTTTTTTAATATTTCTTATAAAAGCATTTCCAGCATATTTTTTTTTTATTTTTTATTTTTCATCGTCTTGAAGGCGGCTTCATCTTTCCCTATTACTTGTAGATAGATGTACATATCTCCATCACTTGCTGTTTTAAAATTTTACTCCATCATTATCACTCAAATATTTTGAAAAATAAAAATAAAAACTTTTTTTTTTTTCAGCCTTCCATATTGTTTTCAATCTTTTTTATATTTTCCTCCATTTTTTTTTTTTTTTTTTTTAAAAATCTTTATTTATCGTCGTTGTTGTTGTTGTTGTTGTTGTCGTCGTCGTCATTAATTTTTATTTTTTAAAAAATTAAAAATATAAAAAAAAAAAAATTTTCCTCTCTCTCTTGTGTGTCCTCTTAATTTATAAATATAAATATTTCTTAGTAAAGTTCCTCACGTTAAATTTTTTTTTTTTTTTTTTTACTCTTTCTTTGTCACTACTACTACGACTACTACTATTACTACTAATACTACTAATACATTTTATTATTTATTACTGCTACTGCTTTAAACTACTACTACTGCTTTTACATATCGTGTAAATTTTAACACGCGCCAATATTTTTCATCCTTTTTGTTAATAAAGTCCTTATTATATATATATATATATATATATATATATATATATATATATTACAAAAACAGAATCAAGGAAGGGAATTTTTTTTTTTTTCAAACAAACACACGTCAATATTCAACACGCATAACTCATATATACTCTTGTATATAACCATATATATATAACCAAATGGATTCAAACGACCCGCGATTTGTTTCTCGCGTATATGCAGATGCAAATGAAAAGTTCCCTCAATCTTATTGGGATTATGGTATGTATAATTTATACTTTATCACTAGTTTTATATATATATAAGTCTATAAATGAATATGATTTATTTAATCGTCTTCCGATTTCTATCTTATTCTTCCCTACTTTGCGACCTTATATAATTCTATTTAACCCACATCTATCTTTAATTTCTTAAATAAACCTCTAACTCGCCTTTTTTTTTTAAACAGAACATGCCTCTATCAACTGGGGATACCAAGAAAAATATGAAATCATCCGGCGCGTCGGTCGCGGGAAGTACTCAGAAGTCTTTGAGTCTATAGATATCGAATCTAAAGAACTGGTCATCATCAAAGTTTTAAAGCCAGTTAAGCATAAAAAAATTAAGCGTGAAATTAAAATCCTTTCAAACTTAGAAGGTGGCCCAAATATCATTTCTTTCCTCAATGTCGTCCATGATACTGAGTCCAAAACAACCTCTCTCGTCTTTGAACGTGTTCAAAACATTGACTTCCGTACCCTCTATCCAACATTCACCCCATATGATATCAAGTTTTACATGTATCAGCTCCTCCTCGCCCTCGACTATGCCCATTCAATGGGAATTATGCACCGCGATGTCAAGCCACATAACGTTATGATTGACCATGAAGCAAAACGCCTTCGTCTGATAGATTGGGGCCTTGCTGAATTCTATCACAAGGGTGTCGACTATAATGTCCGTGTGGCCTCCCGTTATTTCAAAGGCCCTGAACTGCTGGTGGAGTACCAACGATATGACTACTCTCTCGATATTTGGTCCTTTGGCGCAATGTTTGCCTCTCTCATCTTTAAGCGTGAGCCATTCTTTCATGGAAACTCAAATACAGACCAGTTGGTCAAAATCGCCCGTGTTTTGGGAACAAACGACCTCTACGAGTACCTCCGCAAGTACCACATTAAACTCGGTTCTGAGTTTGACGACCTCGGATCCTATGCTCGAAGGCCTTGGTCCAAGTTCATCACTGAAGCCAACAGTGCTTTTGCAACTGATGTTACAATTGATTTTCTCGATAAGCTTCTTGTCTATGATCACCAGAAACGTCTCACAGCTAAAGAAGCAATGGCCCATCCTTATTTTGATGAATTAACTCCTCTAGAACGACAAAATGGAAAGTAAAATGATTTAAACAAAAAAAAGCAATATCTTAATAATAAAAATACAACAAGCTTAATATAAAATAAAATAAAAAAAAAGACAAAATAATTATAAATTTAAAAAAATTTAAAAAAGTAATTATGAGTTCTAGTTGCTAATTTTCTTCCTTTTAATCCAAAATTACCCATTTCATGTCTAAAAACTTGGCTTGTAGTTTAAGATCATCTATATGCCACAAAATGCTCTTGATAGTCTGATTTCTAACAGCTCGTAAACCTTCTTTCCGCAACTCCATCCCCCCAATGGTTTCCTCCATTTGCACTCCAGTTTTCACACATTCTGTATCTTCTTTTAAATTTTGCTCTTGTCGATTCGTATACTCTTTAATAAACAACTCAGACGATCTCTCAGAGCTTACCAGCCGCATCATTACTCCGCTCACAATCTTCTCCAAAAATCGATACAATATCGCCTTTTCAACTTGCCATTGCCGCTTGCTAATACCATCCGTAGGCTTGTCAATACTATTGGTTGAAATGCTTTTCGTGGACATGAATTTGCATAAACTCTCAATAGTATCTATATTTTTTAAGTTAGACTAAAAAAAAAAAAAAAAACAGTGTAATCATCATAATCATAAAAACTTACAATACCGAACCATAATATTTTCTGATCCAATATATACCAATGTAAAACTAGCATCTTTCACCAAAATTTTCTTCTTCGTCTTATACTCTTTCTTATTGGTATTTTTCTCTGAAAGTTGCTGATGGTATATTGCACAAAAGTATGAATAATAAAGATCTAAAACCAGATCAACAATTGATTGGGCTGTCTTGAACCATCCATTATCTTTTCTCTTCAAAATATGCTTATAACACTGCTTGATCTGTTGGGTAATCTCCACAATATGGCTAGTTTCCAGCTCCTCAATCCGCACCCATTGTTTTAACGTGCTCATAAAACTGTAAATATTTTCATTCACATTTTTATCAATATCAGTTTGAAGTTTTTGTAAAACTGCTTTTATCAACATATCACTATGCAAGCTCTCCAAACTTTTCCCAGGTAACTCTTTATTCCAACACAACAATAGGGTTTCCTCATTTTTACCTCTTTCAGCAGAACTATTTTCACTCATTCGATTGTCTATCTTGACAGCTTGCTGTAAAGCTTCTATTTCTAAAGTCACAGTATCCAGCTCCTTACACTTGTCTTGATACCGTTTCTGCCAAAACCATACAGGATCATCTAGCTTCTCTATAACCTGCGCCAAGTACTCCTGGACTGAATCTGAACCATTGTTTCTCTCTATTCCACAGTCCCCCCATTCAGGAGGAGGCTGGTTTCGTGAAACAACAACTGCCTAAAGTATTTATTTCACATAAGCGTTAGAATTACACAACAAAATTAAGTAAACACTCTTTCTGTCAGAAATTATTGAATTTGTAAGAATACAAGAGCAAGATAAAACTTGAGTGTTTCGTCATCAACTGTTTCAAGATCCATTTTAGTATATATTAAATCGATTTATAAATTTATTTAACGTGTTTCAAAGATAACTGAGAGAAAAAAAATTAATTTTCTAATATGAAAAAAAAAGGAAGAAAAAACAAAAACTCATAAAGTTGGGAGATTATAATTTTAACATTGTGCACGTGAACGATGCGTACGCGTAATCGACGCGTTTACCTTTTTTTTCAGTTACTTTTTTCTTTTTTTTTTGTTTACATTTTTTTTCTAAACAACCACCAACCCTTTCCAGCTTATTCCTTCATCGTCATTTCATTAATTAAAACCACATTATTTTATACTCGCCTCAATATGTCCGACTCGGCGCTAAAACCGGGGTCTTTAGGACCCAATTTGTTCGACAAAGATCGGTCTCAAAATATTAACTCCGACATTGATAAACCATCATCATTTTCTTCTTCCTCTTCTTTTGCTGATGAACACTCTAAAACAAATGATGAAGCAGCAAGTGAGCAAAGATCAGAACCCTTAAACTCCAGTCTTTTTACTCAAACTGAAACTCAGCAAATACCTGATCCATCCGTTTCGATATCTAGTCGACCTTTGGGAACCAGTTTATTTGATAAAACTTCCAAAGAATCTTTTGAAAAATCACCCCTTGGTGCCAGTTTATTCGATAAACATAAATCAATTAAATCTCCTAGTCCGAATGGGTCTGTAAATGCAATCGAATCTCAGCCAAAGTTCTCCTCTCTTGGTTCTAGTTTATTTGACAAACATAAACAAGGATCTCTTGTTGAAAAAGTACCCGCAAAGGAATCGCCGTTAGGTTCCTGTCTCTTTGACAAGCATCGACAAACGCCATCTTTAGATAAAGAATCTGCCAAAGAATCACCTTTAGGATCTAGTATTTTTGATAAGCATAAACAAACAACAATTTTGGAAAAGGAACCATCAAATAAACCTTCTTTAGGATCCAGTCTTTTTGACAAACAAACAGCCTCTTCGCAAAATGAATCTTCTAGAGAATCCTCTTTAGGTTCAAGTATTTTCGACAAGCATAGTCGTTTAGACGACTCTGAACCTTCTCTGTATTCTTCTGAAATATCTGATGTTGATGGACTAGAAAATTCAATATCAGTCAAAGTTTCAGATGGCCGCACTATTCTCTTGCGCAAGAAGAAAAAAGCTAAATATCCAACACAATCTATCCCAGAGCATGAACGCATTTCCATATCTATGAAAGAACGCAATCCAGGATACAAATCAAATAAACACGACTCTCGTAACCATTTTGGTATTCCTGTTTATGCCTTTAAGGCTGCTTTTGAACGGGAAGAAGCTGAGAATGCCAAAAAAGCTGCTGCTGCTGCTGCTGTTTCAGCAGAACCGAAATCTACATTTGCGAAAAAAAACACAACCAAACCAGATATTTTATTGACAGAAAAATATCGCCCTAGATCATGGTTTGATTTGGTGGGCCCGGAAAAAACACATCGCAGAATGCTTAAATGGCTACGCCAATGGTCACCGTTAGTCTTTGATACCCCAGTCACCCAAGACGTCAATACCCAATTTGGTTATAATATTCGTGATCTTCTTTCTCGGCCGCAGAAAAAAATTCTTCTTATCCATGGTCCTCCTGGAATTGGTAAAACTACTGTGGCCCATGTTATTGCGGCACAAGCAGGCTACGACGTTATGGAAATCAATGCATCTGATGAACGATCAGGTATTATTGTCAAAGAACGCATCAAATCTGCCATTCATTCTCACCGTATTTCATCGTCAGGTAATCCTGTATGCATTATAGCGGACGAAATTGAAGGAGCTGCTGAAGGAGGTTTTATCAAAGCTCTCGTTGATTTAATCAATGCCGATTCTAGAGCCATTCAAACTATCGAACGTTTAACATCGCATGGTGGAAGTGCAGCGGGGTATAAAGGTGGTCAGAAAATGCAACCAAATGCTATTTTGCGAATATTGGTAAACCAAAAGAAACGGGCAGAAGCCGCTGAATTAGAAAATGAAAAGGGAGGAATTGGGAAACGGCGCAAAAATAAAAAAAATAATATTGCATCAACAATCAATAATTTAGTTCAGCGACCAATCATTGCCGTTTGTAACGATGTTTATGCCTCGTCTCTCCGATCTTTAAGACCATATGCAGAAATTGTTTCATACAGCAGAGTGTCTCCCTATGTCATAGCAGATACCCTTCAAAAGATTTGCCGTAATGAAGGTTTTGATATTGATGATGATCAACTTACTCGCATTGCTGTTGACTCGGAATGTGATTTGCGCAGTTGCTTAAATACAATACAGTTTGGCTGTGAGTGCAATAATGATAACAAACTCACAAGTACACCAAAATCTGGATCCCAAGTAACAAAATCATCCAATTTCCAAAAAGATATGGCCAAGAACTGGTCTTCAGTCACTATGCGAGTGTTTCAACAGCTACGAGGAAGTGGTGCAAAAACCATTAGTTCAAACTCCATAGCTAGTCTTTCAAGTTCAAAGCTTTTTACAAAACAAGATGAATCTGCAGCTGTTTTTTCTGATATTCAGGCTTGTGGTGAGTACGATCGTGTGACAATGGGGACCTTTCTTGCATACCCTCACATGCAGTACAATGACGACATGTTTAAGAAACCCGTGGATTTCGGTGACTGGCTGTATTTTCATGACCGTATCAACCGCTGTGTTTACGGAGCAGATCAGCACGGTGCTATTGCAGAATATTATGGATACACAGCTCTTGCAGCCCACGAAATGTTTTCCAATATTAACAATAACCGTGGATTCCCCAAGTATAGTGCTTCATGGACAAAGACCGAAGATGGCAAATCTATTCCTACAAAAAACATCCTTTCAGAGCATGAATTCTACGAACAGTTTAAGATGAACCAAGATCTTACAGCCTCTATGTTCAAGCAGGCTTACTCAAATGTCCCTGAGATTTTGCAATCATTTAATAAGAAAGAATTTGTCACATCGTTGGTTCCTTACCTTGCATACTTTGTTAACCCAGAACTGCCACAAACCTCCTCTCGAAATAGAAGACAGGGAACACCAGGTCCTGAATCCCAAGGAGACTCAGTTGTCATCGTACCAGAAGAACTGCGTATGCAAAAGATTAACCATACCCTACACATTCTTTTAGACTATGGCTTAAAGTATGTATTGCATGACACAAACAATGGTCGTTCTGGTGATACTAGTCGACTCGGTACTAGTGGCACTGTTTATGTTCTTGAGCCTGCATTTGAAAAAATTGCCTTTTTTGAACCCAAGACTCAGCTCCAAGCTAGTGTGGGCAAGTATGCCACTCGGAATCTTATCAATTCCGAGATTGTAAAGTACAAGGCCACTCTTGTATTTAAACCTGTTGAAGAAGATTCTGAAGGACTTAAACGAGCTAATGAAACTGAGGAGGATGAAGAAGCAAGTAATAAAAAGAAGAAAACTGGTTCCGAGGAGGAATCTGATAACAATGAAAAGAAAAAGAAAAAGAATCCTTCGACAGGATTGTTACGATTTTCATTTGCCAGAATCCAGTCTGAAGAAAAGAAACTTCCAAGCAAAGACAAGAACGAGGAGCCTGAGGTCAAGCGTGTGCTTGCATCTAGTGGAGACGAGAAAACTCGGATCTGGGTCCAGTACCATGAAGGCTTGTCTAACGCTGTACGTCGGAACTTGACTTGGGAAGGAATTTGGAATTAATGAGACATTATTATGTTTATACTATTTCTCTATTTAGTTAAAAATTAATAAAATATCATATTATACTTGTATATTTTGTGCTTAAAGGGGGTTTCTAGGGGATTAGTCATAAAATAATAAGTTCTGGATATAAAAGATAAACAATGAAATTCATTTATAGACAATAAGATAAAATTATTTTAAACGAGACTGTTAAAAACCTCCATTTGTTTGTTTGTTTTGTTTTTATTCAAGGGTCATAGAATTATATAACATCAGCATCTGCGCTATCCTTCTTGTCTATACTATATATCTTTTCATTTTAATAATAAACTTTTAATTTTGGCTTCAACATTGCATCTCCAACAGCCCGAAAATAAGTCCTGATGCCAGCTTACGAGGAACAGGGGGTTAAAAATAACCAAACCTTCCCAACTTATCTCCACTTGTCTTCATCAACGCTGTAATTGTATTTCTTAATCCCTCCAAGCAGAGATAAAGCTTACAATCTCTTGTAAGCTTAGAAGTGCCTTCTTTTTAAATTGTTTGTTTGTTTGTTTGTTTTTATTCAAGGGTTATAGAACTATATAACATCAGCATCTGCGCTATCCTTTTATTGTCTGACTATGTGACTTGCCGGTTTTCATTTGTACCTTTTTAGTACTGGTGGTTTCTGTTCTGTGCGTCTCCGGTAGCCCGGAAGATGGGCCCTGATGCCAGCTTACGAGGAACAGGGAGAACCAGTCTGTCGGTCCCAAAACCTTCCCAACCCATTTCCACTTATCTTCACGGACGCCCATGTATTTCTTAATCTCTTCCGTCAGAGATACGGCCCGCAATCACCTGCAGGCTATTTAGACTGTACGGAAGAGTCGGCATTCCTGTAACCAGGGTAGCCTATGGTTTTCAGTCTAGGTGTATACTCCCGTACACATCCTCAGGAAAAGGGGGTATTCTGGGAAACGAACCCAGTATCTTCCGCTTTCGAGCGAACGTGTTATCCTTTACACCATCCAGCCCTTTCCCCTAAAAAAAAAAAAAAAAAAAAAAAAAAAAAAAATTGTTTGTTTGTTTGTTTGTTTTTATTCAAGGGTTATAGAACTATATAACATCAGCATCTGCGCTATCCTTTTTATTGTCTGACTATGTGACTTGCCGGTTTTCATTTGTACCTTTTTAGTACTGGTGGTTTCTGTTCTGTGCGTCTCCGGTAGCCCGGAAGATGGGCCCTGATGCCAGCTTACGAGGAACAGGGAGAACCAGTCTGTCGGTCCCAAAACCTTCCCAACCCATTTCCACTTATCTTCACGGACGCCCATGTATTTCTTAATCTCTTCCGTCAGAGATACGGCCCGCAATCACCTGCAGGCTATTTAGACTGTACGGAAGAGTCGGCATTCCTGTAACCAGGGTAGCCTATGGTTTTCAGTCTAGGTGTATACTCCCGTACACATCCTCAGGAAAAGGGGGTATTCTGGGAATCGAACCCAGTATCTTCCGCTATCGAGCGAACGTGTTACCCTTTACACCATCCAGCCCTTTTTCCCTTAAAAAAAAAAAAAAAAAAAAAAAAAAAAAAAAAAAAAAAATAAATTAATTTCACAAATTTTATAGATTACTAAAAATTCAATAGTCACGTGATGAAATGGGCGTCTGGTGTAGTTGGCTATCACGTTCGCTTAGCATGCGAAAGGTCCCCGGTTCAACTCCGGTGTCGTCCAGTACTTTTTTTTCAATTTATTTATTTAAAAGAATTTTAATTTTTTTTTTTTTTTTTTTTTACAAGCCTATAGGCTTACGTAGCTACGTAATTGTTTGGATTTAAAATTTTTTTTTGGGACGTTTAAAAGTTAATTCAAAAACGAAAAAATATAAAAGGTTCCGTTAAATAAACTGTTTTTTTTTTTTCCCTTTTTTTTTTTAACAAAGAAATGTTTATTTATAATTTAAAAAAAAAATAAAATATAATAAGGGACCCTTCCAACATTTTTTTTTTTATGTTCTCTGCAAACCCTTTGCTGAAACTAGACGCGTTTAGTTTTATCATGATACTTGAGTGGTGACATTCAGATATGCAGAGATTTAAAGTTTAAAAGTCCCTAATTTCCACTTTTCCCCAGGTTCTATTTTTCTTTTTTTTTTTTTTTGTTCATCCCTAGAATTTCTCAATCTTTAAATTTAAATTTTAATCTCAATATCAGTAAACTTTTTAAAAAAATAAATATATATTTATATAATGACGAAAAATGATGAGACTATCAAATCTTCAAGTGAATTTGGTCAGCATTGCGAGACCCTCCAGTCAGAGGTCCGATTCGTTCTTGAAAAGTACACCAATTTTATCAAGTCTTACTTTGTCAAAGATACATTGTCTGAAGTAGATAAAAACCTTGAGCACATGCTTACTGGCTTGAGTACAAGTTGGGATGAGATGGAAATGCTTGTATCTAGTTTATCTAAATACTGGCATGAGAAGAAACCAAGAAAACTAGAACCAGTCAGTAATACAATCAAAATTTGGAACCTGAATAATCTTCCGGTAGATATACACAGAGAATTGAGTGAGTACTTGACACCACAAGAAAACCAAATAGTTGGTCAAACTTGCCAGTCATTGCAACAAGTTTATCGGACATTGGCATGGAATAATTGTATCTTGGTAAGCGAGGTGCGCGATATTTATGTAGTGCCTAGTAAGTTTACTGGGTGGACAGCCATAACTTTACACATGCTTAACTACCCTGAAAAATACAGCTGGTTTTCAAATAACTGGATAAAATCCTTAGCAATCGTACCTGGTTATAGTCTCCAGGATGCAGATCTAAAGTTTTCAGTGGGGGCGTTATCTCGGAATAAATATCCCAAGCTGTGGAAGATATACTTGGAGTATTGGATTAAAGGGAAAAAATTGTGGGTTTTTTTCTCGTCTCCATTTTTTATTTCTTTAAAAAAACTTAGCGAGAAAAAGGATTTGGTAGTAGACATGAAATTTTCTGACATTTATTATCCATTTCAAGGGCTTTCTTGCAATTTAAACAGCATCACACATTTAAACTTGCATTCCTTTTATGGTGATACAAGTAAGCTCAAAACACCTCAGCTGATAAATTTGCAAAATATTATTCTTTCCAATATGGGGGTAAAATCACACAGGTTTATTCTAAAAGCGCTATTGCAGTGTCCCAGACTAAAAACAGTTGTCACAGAACTCGACATAAGGGTATCAATGGGTAGGATTTTTGTGAGCTGTGTTGTGAATGAGCTGAACCAGTTGCCTGCAACTGTAGAATGTGTTGTTTTGAAGGTGGTGAACAGCAAGTATGATGATTTTAATGATTCTGATTTTGATGAAATTGAGAATGAAAACGAAGATGATGATGAAGTTGAAGAAGAAAATGAAGTTGAAGTTGAAGTTGAAGTTGAAGATGAAGTTGAAGAAGTGGAAAATGAAGAAGATGAAGAAGATGAAAATGATGAAAATGATGAAAATGAAGTAATTGAAGTGGTAGAAGAAGGAGATGAACATGAGCATGAGCAGCATGTACCACAATTACACCAACAAATGTGGAAAGAAGCGACAAAAGCACAGCCAATCACGCTAACAAGCGTTACAGAATTTCGGGCGGCATCACATAATAATGAAGTATCTGCATTTATTGGATTTGAATTAAAATTTTCACAACTTAAAACACTTTTGATATCGGGGTACATTGGGCCCAGGAGTTTGGGATTGGGCAGAGAAATGACGACAATAACGGCAACGACAGCCACGTTGACGACAACAAAAACAATAGATTTGACTGCTGTTGCTAATACATTGACTGTTTTAGGTTTAAACTTTTTCCAGCGCGGAGATACAGGGTTGGTGAAAACGATATGCAAATTGAAAAGTTTAAAGAAATTGGAAATTTATACAGTAAAGAGCTTTAAAGATTATTGCATGGTAAAAGATTATTTAACACAAGCAGCAACCCAAAGGGTCACTGATGAGAAATCACTAGCTGAGATTCTAGCAAGGCAAAATGTATACCCAAAAGACCCAATAAGGAGTGGATCAGAAGGAAACGATGTAGGAGGATGCAACATTACAACAGCGGAGTTAATGGTGAAGTTGGTTAGTAATCCAGAGAGTATTTTGGATAGTGAAAAGAGAGGCCAAAAATATGAGGAGACTTTTTTAGAGTTTTGCTTTTTTGAAGCGCTTTTCAAAGCAATTGAGGGGATGGAGAGTCTTGAGTATTTAGAGCTTAGCTTGGATTACTTTTACTCGTCTCCAGGGCTGCAGAAATTGATTATGACATCCAAAAATTTGAAGCAAGTGCTTTTGCAGTGTGTGATGCCGTGCGAGTGGTTGCATCTAGATGGGGAAGAAGCAATCTACAATGGAAACTATGGAGTGCTGCCTCGAGTACCCTATTTTGTTGTTGGGAAGCACCAATTGTATGAGCGGTATGTTACGTTCTTGTATGATCTTGGGCGTAGGCGAGTATTTAATAGAGAGCAAGTATTTTGTCACCATTATTCGTTTGAGAATAAGGCCAATCTAGTTCAAGAATACATTTAAATGTATTAAAATAAAAATTTAGAATAAAGAAAAAAATAAAAAATAAAAAATAAATTTAAGTTTTTTTTTTTTCATATCGGAATAAATTTTTTAAAAAAAAAAAATTATCATAATAATAATAATAGTGAAAAAAATAAATAAAAAATAATTATGACAATAGGGACAGTCTTGTCACGTAAAGAACCTAAATTAGAACTTCCAAATTTAGAAGAATTGGAAAATGGGACCATGGCCATGGTCATGGCCATGAGATGATGATGGTGAAGTTTTAGGGTTACTAAAAAAAAAAGAAAAAGTAGGTCTTTATTTTTTAATAAATTCTATCATAAAAAAAAAATCATTTCTGATAAAATATTACCAGAAATGTTTTTTTTGGAGATGCGTGACAATTGTGCATGTGTGTAGTAATTTTTTTTTTAAAAAAAAAAAAAACAAATACGAATAAATGAATACGAAGCTAAATTGGACCAATTAAAAAAAATGGGTAATATTTTAGGAAAAAAAATAAAAAAAACAAAAACAAAAGAGTTTTAAGAGTGAAAGAAAAAATAAATACAAAGGTTAAACTCGAATTTATTATCAAATATAACGAATTTTAGTTTTAATTAAATTAACTAATTCAAACTTTCACTTGATTAAGTGAAATTTTAAAAAAAAAAAAGAAAACCTTTGGGGTCATCCCGGGTTTGATCCGGGGTCACCTGCAAATACAAACTATGCTTTGTACGAGCTTCGATTATAACCCGAAGCAGGTATACTACCACTATACTAATGACCCGTAAGCCGCAGTAACAACAATCAAATTTAGAATGTACAGGGGGGAGACAAAAGTGTGGATTAAAATCACCACTTTTGCGACAAAGTCAATGGAATTTTGAAAAAACAAGCAATGAAAGAATGGCAAGAAATGTATTGGAATAGTAATAAGGATCTGTGGTATCATAATATCACTGTGGAGTCGAAATGTACTGATAATCTTTCCAAAATGGTCACGGGAGTGATCATGAAGAAAGATAGTCGAAGGATCTTGAGTAATATTACTCAATTTCGCACAGGCCATGGCAACTTTGGCGCATGGTTTAAAAAGTTTGGAATTGAAAAGGATAGTTACAACTGCAAATGTGGAGAGCTGGAAACAGTTCATCACATTTTAGTTGAGTGTCCTTTGCTTGAAGAGGAAAGAAAAGGACTGAAACGGATATCTCCAGAGATGGACATGTCGACTCTCTTAAACAGTTTAACTGGCTTACAAGAGATTGTAAGCTTTATCTCTGCTTGGAGGGATTAAGAAATACAATTACAGCGTTGATGAAGACAAGTGGAGATAAGTTGGGAAGGTTTGGTTATTTTTAACCCCCTGTTCCTCGTAAGCTGGCATCAGGACTTATTTTCGGGGTGTCGGAGATGTAATGTTGAAGCCAAAATTAAAAGTTTATTATTAAAATGAAAAGATATATAGTATAGACAAGAAGGATAGCGCAGATGCTGATGTTATATAATTCTATGACCCTTAAATAAAAACAAAACAAACGAACAATTTTTTAAAATTTTACCCTTTTTTAAAAACAAACAAAAAACCAATTTTTTTAAAATTTTAAGTTAAATTAATTGAAATTTTCTAAAATCAATTAAAATAATAAATTATTTTTTTTATTATTTTCCAAAACATTTAAAATCCAAATATAAAAAAAAAAAAATTGTGTAACTTACTTTACACAATGGAGAACTTTGTAAACCCTTGAAAGAAGTTAAATTGCTAAGAATCACTTTAAGTAATTATCATGATTTTATAAAAATCAAAATTTTAAATCAGATTAACAAGGTAAGAAAAGCCGTTGGTACTACTTGGCATTTAAGTAACAATCAAAAATGTACGCGGGAGGTTCTGCAGTGATATTGCTTGTATAAGACCAATTGTAGAATATGGCTTAAAATGGTGGCATCGCAAGATCTTGAAAAAGGAAATACAAAAGTTAAAAGTGATGCAAAATATAGCTTTGAGAAGAACAATTGGTAGTATTACAAGAAAAAGGCGGTAATTATGCCTAATAGTGTTAGAATAGTGTTAGAATAATTATTTTTGTTCTGTAAGTACTGTAAGTTGTTTGTTTATATCAAAACATAAGGAAAAAAATTTAATCCAATCAATTGATTTTTGGTAACTTTTAATAAGAAATTACCAATTGCAAAGTCAATTACTTTCTTTTTATATATATTGGCAAAAGGAACTATAGATTTGATGATAAGAATCAGGAGAAAAAAAAAACCTAACCCCCATTAAACCTTTTACAAGCAAGCAACACCAAAATCACACAATTAGAATTCTGAAGAAGCAGGTAAGGGAAGCTTGACATAAAAAAAAATAACTTATTGATTTAGTTACAGAAGGATCAGAGTTATAATATATAACATTGAAGTTTAAATGTAGATAATCTTTCTAAAATGATTATGGAGGAGTATTTATAAAAAATGATAGTCAAGGGATCTTAAACATTATTGGTCAGTTTTTTCAGGGACCATGGCAACATTGGTGCATGGCTTCAAAAGTTTGGAATTTTAAAAGGATAGCTAATAGTGCAGGTGTTGTGAGCTAGAAACAGTTAGACACACATTGTGGTAGAGTGTATTGAATTGAAAGAAAGAAAGAAAGAAAGAAAGAAAGAAAGAAAGAAAGAAAGAAAGAAAGAAAGAAAGAAAGAAAGAAAGAAAGAAAGAAAGAAAAAAAAAAAAAGTATTGAAACAGATATTTCATGGAATTAGCATGTCTACTCTCTTAAATGGTTTAATTGGCTTTCGGGAAATTGTAAGCTTTATTTCTGTTTTCGAAGAGATTAAGAAAGATATACAATTATAGTGTTGATGAAGAAAATTATAAATGAGTTGGATATTATTGTCATTTACCCCCTATTCTTGGTAAGCTGGAATCAGAACTTAATTTCAAACTATAAAGAGAGCAAACGGTGAAGTTAAATTAAAAGTTTATTGTGAAAACAGAAAGATATATAACCTTTGAATGAAAATAAATATAGAAATAATTGCAAAATTTGAGGTTTGATTAATCTCTCATTCCTTAAGTTTAAGGGAGTGTTTGTGGGGGGAAACGAACAAGAGATAAAAAGTTAAAAAAAAAAATTTTTATATATATTATAATATATTAATTATAAAATAATTATTTTATTTCAAAGAGCAAACTTAGAGAACTTCTCAAAACAATGCTCTCTATTTAAACTTTTTTTTTTATAATTTTCTAAAATATTTCAAAATAAGAAAAAAAAAATTTAGTGTCTCATTTTATTTCAATTCTTTTTTTTCATTGTTCGAGAAAAAAAAAAAAAAAAACAGGCGGACCGATGATACTATACAAATTTTAAAATAACAATGGCAAAAACATTAAGGCGTTATATAAAAAGAAAAATTTCGAGTAGGGAGAGGGAGAGAGGGGGAAAATTGATGGTCCCGATTGTTGAAATTTCATTTGTGGACCAGTTTTAGAAGGTTAAATGCATGATTTATATTTATATGTCGTAGGAAAAGACTAGCCAGTTATCTCAGTCGGAATAAAAATAAAAATAAAATAAAATAAAGATCTTGTTAACGTACTGGCATTGTGCCAAAATCTTGAAATAGAAATCAGATCCGTAAGTTACGCATATACAAATTTGCAACAGTTGATATAAAAAATAAACAATACGGTTGTGGAAATGAAAATGATGACCAAATTTTTTTTTTTTTTTGATGGAGGTTATGTTTTTTTTTAAAAAAAATATCAAAATCTAAAAAAAAAATTAGTATAAAAAAAAAAAAAGGAAATTAAATTAAATATATATATATATATATATAACTAGTTAAAAATATTGATTCCGTTACTAAGTTTGAATTAATTTTCTTTTTTTTTTTTTTTTCCATTATACGTTTAAAATCTTCATACTCGAACATGAGGAGGGTCTTAAATGAATAAGACTGAGGCAAGGAGGGTTTTCAAAAAAAATATATAATAGCAATAATAACAGTTGATGATTTTGTTGTGTTATATATAAAATAACAACGTATTTTAACAAAAAAAAAAACTCTTCAATATACTCTAAAAGAAATATGGATATAGAAAATGGCACCACTTGCCTAGCCTTTAAATGCTACTTGTGTAAAGATCTTTCCCAATAAAAGGGTAAAATTTATGAGAAAAGAAAGATGGTTCAAATGTAGAACAACTATCTTGATATACGTTTTTGAAATCTTTAGTCAAAATATAAGACTATGAAAAAAAAAAAAAAAAAAAAGAGAGATTTTACTTTTATTCTTAACTGTTAAAACCGTTCTTCCTACTCTTTCCCATTTTTTTCTTTATAATACCCATTTCAAACCCTCTCAAAGGATTAGAATTGTTTTTTTTTTTTTTTTTTGGCTTATTTACGTTAATATTATTTCTCTTCAGTTCGACCTGTAAGATCTTTAGTTATTACTTAAAAGAAACAGTGCCATATTAATTTTTTTTGACAAGAAACAATTTACCCCCGACGGGAATTCTCTTGTTTTTTATTTTATTTTATTTTTTTTTGTCAACTTCGAGTATAGTTTGGATTAGGACTAGTCTCCTATATAAATGAAAGAAAAAACACACACACAATAAAAACAATATATATATATATTGTTTTTTATGCCATTATTCTGCAACCGTGAATTAAGTGAATTATTTCAGAAAAGGATAAGGAACGTGATGAAGATGGTATTGAAAATAAAATAAAATAAAATAAAATAAAATAAAATAAAATAAAATAAAATAAAATAAAATAAAATAAAATAAAATAAAATAAAATAAAATAAAATAAAATAAAATAAAATAAAATAAAATAAAATAAAATAAAATAAAATAAAATAAAATAAAATAAAATAAAATAAAATAAAATAAAATAAAATAAAATAAAATAAAATAAAATAAAATAAAATAAAATAAAAAGAGGGCGGTATACAAAACATTTTAAAAACTTGTGACAGGGCGGTTGTAGAAATAATCTATCCTTAGAATACAATAATACGGTAGTAAATAATATATTTATTTTATTCATTTTTATTTTTTTTTTTTTGAATTATTATTTATATAAATAATAATTATATATAAAAAAATTATTAATGATTTTGCCAGATCATAGTCGGCCGGAGTCGGAGAAGTGGAATTCCGAGAATGCAAATGTTAAAATCAGTATTAAGATGAATATATATGAATATATATGAATATATGAATATATGAATAAAATATGCCAAGTTACAAGAGCACCAATAGGACGCGTCATGAGAATCTTTGAATGAAAAAAAAAAAAAAAAAGAAACATGAATGGTGATGAATATGGAGATGAAGGTTTACCATTGTTAATGTTTTTTTTTCTTTTTTTTTTTATTTCTTTACTATGGCTACGACTTAGTTTTGATCGAGTAAGCAAAAAAAAAAAAAAATAAAAATAAAAATAAAAATATAATCCAAGTGAAGCGCAAATGTCCCAAAATGGATATTTTAGTCCACCAGCATCTGCTGCGTAACGAGGCACGTCATAATGCTCGGGTATGAATTTATTAATTAAAATGTACAAAAAATGTATATGAAGTCTTTATTACTATCAATTTCACATGTAGAGCATTATGTATGAATAAAAAAAATCTTTTTATATAAAACCTTTCTCAAATCTCCTTATTTTTTTTTTTTTTAAAAAAATTCTTTTTTGTTTCAAATCTTTTTGAAAAAGAAAAAATTCTCACATCAAAATCCACTTAAAAACTTACTTTGCACCATAATCCAATTCCTTTTAACATACAATCTAGTTCCCCCTGATTCTTTTATTTTTTTTTATTTGTTTTGTTTTATATCATATTTTAAAAAACAAAATTTTAACCAACAAAAAAAATATATTTTCATTTTCATTTAGAGATAGACTTATAATCTCTTCATCTACTTCTTTTCCTATTTTCTTTCAAAATTTCTCTCTTATCTACACCATTTACAAACAACTCTATACCCATGATGGAATGGGATGACAATACTTGGGCTCCTGGGCTCTCAAACACTACTAATGATGGTCAATTACCAAGCATAAATTTACCTGGAGGAGGGTTTGATGATATTGAATTACAATACCAAGCATATGACCACGGTATCATCTGCGAAGATTTCCCTAATGGACTTCCCTACGATGCAAGTGTGGAAGACTGGAAGACGTTAGTCACTGAGGGACTATTTACTAAGCTTCTTTCTGACACAACAAAGCGCGGAATTTCGCAGGTACGACACCGCGTGCGCGCCAAAACAATGCTCAAGATAAAAAAAGAAAAAAAAATGGAAGACGGAAGACGAACCGGGAAGGGTATTGGAAGAGGAAGTAGCAGCAGAAAGGAATTAGGCCGAACAAAAGGCGGTTCAACAAGTCATAATAGTAGCAACAAAGGCGGTGGAGGTAGTAGCAGTAGCAGTAGCAGTAGTAGTGCTAGCAGTAGTGCAAACAGCAGTCAGAATAATAGTAGCAGCAATCTAAAAGATCAAAATGTTCAATCTTATCAGCACCAATCTCAAACAAAAGGAGAACCATCCACAGAATCAGGGTTAAGGTCGTCATCACTCAAACAGGTGAAATAATTACAGTAAAGAAAAGAAAAGGAGTTTTTGTATCTTATTTTTTTTTTTCTTTGGAGAACTTTTTGAGGATAGTCATGTTGCAGAATTAAGTTTGGAGAATGGAAAAATGACGAGCGATTAACTTTAAAAATAAAGAGAACTTTTTTTTTATTCTTTTTTGAATAGAAAACGCTAACCATTCTTTTGAATTATTTACTTTTTGAAAAAAAAAAAAAGAAAAAAAAGAAAAGAAATATATTATAAATTCCAAATTTTCTCTTTTTTTTTTTTTTGAAAAAAATTTGGTTTTTTTCTTTCTTTCTTTCTTTCTTTCTTCTCTGTTATTTTCTATTTTCCCAAGCGGCTGGCCCGAATGGTTTGATCGCAAGGTTTTGGTGCAGAGATATATATATATATTATATATATATATATTTGTTTTGAACATCCTTTGAAAAGTAATAAATAAAATATGATGAAAAAAAAAATTTGAAATTAAATTCTTAAAAATATAAAAAAAAAATTTTTATATATGATTAAGGGATATTTATTTATTAATTTCTTGAGTGTTTTAATACCTTTTATAAATAATGGGGTAGTATCAAGGTTTCTTTGAGTAAGATGAATTTTATATATAAAAGTAGTAAAACAAAATCTTCTATCTGATAAATCCTACTAGCCATGAACTTTAGATTTTTGTCAAGTGTAGATCTAACTCAATAATTTTTTTTCTTAAATACATAATTTGTCTAGTTAGAATTTCATATCCCATCAATATGTCCCATTTGTCCCACTTGTCCCAATTCCCAATATTCATTATGGAAATTCATCTAATCACTACCATTGAATTTTTTATTTATTTATTTTTTTTTTGATTCTTCTAATGAGGATATGTCACCCCCAAATTAGACTAAATATCAATGCTTTCAATATTAATGATATTTCCTACTTTAACAAGCATAAACGTATAATCATGGAACTATGCTGATGCTACCACTAAACCCTAATACTATGGGCAGGGTCCAGTTTTTTCTTTTTTTTTTTGGCATGCATTGAATAAAGGTAGAAAAGAAGAAAGGATGTATTTTGTTTTTTTTTTTTATTTTTCTACCCATTTAGAATTTTCTATTTATATGAAAATCGTTAAAGATAAGAATATAAAAAATAAAAACCTTTTTATTTCTTAAAGCATTAGATCTGCTTAAAAAGGTAATAATTGATTATATTTAAATTTCGCTTGGGATATATATGTATATATATATAAAAAAACGTTTTAATTCTGCCATCTTCCATTCCCATGATTTTTAACCCACCTTTTGTTTTCAATGTGTCTCCAAGTGTCTCTTTCATTTAAGATTTTTTCTTTTTTTCTTTTTTTCTATTTTCTTTTTTTTGGATTGTTTTATTGCATTGTTATTTTACTGTATTTATGAATAATCTGGGAAACTATAAAAACGGGTAATTAAAAAAAAAAACAAAAAAAGCTGCCATTTTATTTTAACCTGTTTTTTTTTTTAAAAAAATTTTTTTTAATTGATTAATTGATTATAATTTATTATTTTAGAAAATATTTATTAATTAGAATATTCAAGTTGTTTTCCTATTTTTTTTTTGATTTGTTTTTGATTTTTTTGAATGTATTCAAATTGAAATAAAATTCATCATTGCCATCACCAAATTTTTTTTTTAAAGTTATTATTAATTGAAAATAAAGTATTCAATGCTTAATTCTATCATGATAAAATTAGAGATGGAGATAAATGACCTAATTTTGATACGCATTAAGTTTATTTCTCGATTTTTTTTTCATAATATACCTTGATTAATAAATGTCACCAATATATATATATATATATATTTCGGAAATATTTTTCCTAAAACAAAAAAAGTCCCGAGGCATCTAAAAATCCATGTGTAAATTTATATATTTAAAAATAAATGTAATTTTTTTTTTTCAATGTATTTAACTTCTTTTTTAAAACACAAAAATCTCCTTATAATTATATAATGGTTTAAACATCAAATCAATGGATTTAAAAAAAAAATTTAATAATATTATTATTATTATTATTATTTTTTCTTATTCGCTTAAACTTCGAGTTTCCTTTTTTTTTTTTAGCTGTTTCTGCCTCTTTAATGAACCCTCGCCTGTTACGTCTTTCCATCTACGTGCCTGTCTTTTTGTTCATTTGTCTGTCTGTCTGCGCATGCGGCCGACCCTACAAGAAACACAGCTAGCTTAATAGCGCTATTAATAATATTAACATAAGTATGTGCGTAAACTGAGAAAAGAAACAAGACATTTAAGCGAATTTTTTTTTTTTTTTGAGATAATTTTTTAACATAACTGTAGTTAAAATTTAACATTTATTTTGGGAAAGAAACTAATTAGTTTCTATTATAATAGAAACCTTCATTTTTTTTATATTGGTGTTGTGGCGTTGTGGCATTGTGGCGCATAAAACATTTTTCCGTCTCTTTCTGTTTCTTTCTTTCCCTCAAAAATTCATCTTCATCTTCATACTCTTTTTTATATTCATTTTATATTTATTTTTTTTTCTTACAAATTAGTTGAAATCTAGTCAATTTATGGTTATTCAAATCCAGTGAATGAATATATATTAAAATAATAAATAGAGTTAAAATCGATATACTGAGCTGAGCTGAGCTGAGCTGAGCTGAGCTGAGCTGAAATTTTAAGCAAAAAGAGAACAAATCTACCAATGTCACAGTAGACATGAATTAGAACAGATGTCTGGTGGAGCAGCGACCTATATGCCAATAGTAATAAGATCAAAGAGCAAGCCAAGAAACATGTTCCAGGCGTATTACCGGACTAGATAGATGTATAGATGGGTGTTTATTTAATACTCGAGAGAGAAAGATAGAAAGAATTGGTTACACACCTAGCAAATGAAGAAGAATAAATAAATAAATAAATAAATAAATAAATAAATAAATAAATAAATAAATTAAATAAATAAATTAAATAAATAAATTAAATAAATAAATAAATAAATAAATTAAATAAATAAATAAATAAATTAATTAATTAATTAATTAATTAAATAAATTAAATTAAATTAAATTAAATTAAATTAAATAAATAAATCAATATTCAGTTTTAATATAAAAAAAAGTATAACTACAAATAACCAGTTAAGACACTAATCTACCCGAGAAAAAAAAAACTGCTGAAATGAATATTCCAATATATTTGAATGAGCGGCGGCCTTTTTTTTTTATTTTTATTTTTTTTATTTTTTTGGTTGTACATTGGAACACCAGATCATACAGCTATAACATTAAATTATAGCGGATGTAAATTTTTTTTTTTTTTTTTTGGCACGCCATTTCTTAATTATTTTACATCTCTTTTTTTTTTTTATTATTTTTTTAAAAAATATATATTTTCTTTTTATTGTAAACCATTTGATAATCAAATCTTTTTTTTCATTTCATCTTTATATATATATATATATATATATCAATTTCTCTAAGTTTTTTTTTTTTTTTTTTTTTTCATTAATTGAATTAATTAATTGAAAAAAAAATACGAAATCCACTTTCTTTCTTTCTTTCTTTGTTTTTTTTTTTCCCCTCCCCAAAAAATACTTTCTATACCAGTTTAGTCATAAGAATGAATTGAAACCAAACTGTGATGATGTTTAAAATTAATAGAAAAAAAAACCCACCCCAACATTCTCTTTTTTTTTTTTTTTTTTTTCCCAATGCATTGTATTACTAAATGTAGTATGTAGCATGTCCGTTTATCTGGATAGAATTGTTCATTGTTGTATGAATATTTTTCAAAAATTTTTTCAGACATTTTTTCAGATATTTTTTCAAAAAAATTTTCAAACATTAGTTATTACATTTATATTTCTATATTTCATTTCTTTAAATCCAAAAATCCAAGTTTATAATCTTTAAATAATATATATATATTTATTATAAAAAAAATTACATCTAAAACTTACAAAAAAATTACATACATAAAAAAATTAATAACCCCATATTATAAATAATAATCCTCCACATGAAAAAAAAAAAAAAATTTCTTTTCTTTTTTCCTATCTTATCGTATTTTTTCTTTCTTTCTTTTTTTCTTTTTACGAAAAACAAATGTCCCATCCATTTTGCTCAAGAACCTTGTACCAATTGACATATTTGGTTCCTCCCATATCAAGTTTCCATACCTCTTTAGCCAAATCCAACGCCCGCACAATGTTACGTGCCAATTGTCTCTGGTAAAAGCCCTCAATAAGAGCAACCATGCGCGCACGCTGCTTGTCTGTAATCGCCATAATACACGCCATAAATAACGGGAATAATAACGAGCCCTCAACCTTGGTGTTGAGTACAACTTCCAGCGACGTTGTTAACTCATTGGCAAGCACTTGCATCTGTAAAGACGCCGCATTGCACCGCCCAATTGATTGGTATAAGTGAAGCTTTGTCCCTAGCTGAAACGTCTCAAATAATGTCAATTGTTGCTCCAAATCGCATGGTGACGACTTAGATAACGACAACACGTCATTGGGGTCCGGCTTGCAGTCATCAATTTTGGCCTCCAGCAAGTCTAACCGATGGTATAGATATCGGATTTTTTCCGAGATCTTGCGCTGTGAAGACAACATGGTTTTGAGGGGGTATCGAGTTCCTGAAGAAGAAGAAGAAGAAGAGGCAGAAGCAGAAGCAGAAGAAGAAGAAGAAGAAGCTTGTCCAGAACCGTGAGGCTTGTCGGAGGCCTCACCTCCGTCATTTTCATTTTCATAGCAATCATCCAGATATGGGTTGGTGATAAGAGAATAAACTTCCTGAGCCTCCACAGCTAAATCGGAAACCTCAGCCAACAACGAAAAGAGAGGCTTGCAGCAGCCAATAAGGGAATGCACGCCAGTGTCCATTCGCATAACCAGTTCCACATCCTTGGGTTCAAAATGTGACTTAGACTCGTACTTGGACGCCGCAAGTAGGTCGTGGTACACAAAGTTGGTTGCAAGCCACCGCTTGGTGGGATCATGGGTAAAGGCCTCAATTCCGCCGCGCATTTGGATCACATCTGCAGCTGCAGACAGGTGCTTGTTCCAATGTACCATGTCACCCTTACAAATCTCAGCCGTTGTGATGATGAGAATGCACGCAAGGGTAGTAAGGTTATGCTTGGAGATGTCGTTTCGGACCATTTTGATGGCCTTGTTCAGGTACTTGAGTCCAATATCTTCGTAGCGCCCCATATTGTGGTGGAACGATGCATACGCAACCAGTGCATATAGTACTGAGGGGTCCTGTTGGGCCATTGGCACAAACACATTGATAAAAGAGTTCATTTTGGACGATACGCAAATCATGTTTGCCAGATGGTTATTATAGTATGAGAACATTTCAATTCCAAAATGGTCCAAATACATGGAGTACCATGGTGTAGGAGTCGAAAACAAAATAGGACCTGGTGATGATGGTAACGAGGGGAAATTGGTAAGGATCGTGCTTGGGCTGGCAATGGCCGAAGACCCGACCGAAGCTCCAGCCGTTGCAAGACCCGCCAGCGGGTTATTATTATTGTTGTTGTTATTGTTATTGTTTTCATGGCTCAAAGCATTAAAAAGATCTGAGGTGCGCATTCCTCCAAAATCGTATTCTTCAAAATCGGCCATAGTGGTCCCCACATTATTTACCTCTTCTGATTCGTTGTTATCGTTGTCGTTATTGTTTCTGTTATCATGATCTGGTGATTGGTTATTATTATTATTGTCATTATGGTCATCACCAGCTTCACCAGCTTCACCACCTTCTTCTTCATCAGCATTACCTTCTTCTTCTTCTTCTTCTTCATCATCATCATTGCACAGCTCCTCAATCCGAGGAGATCGTCCGGCAAATGACGGCGACGCAAGCATGCTGTGCAGCGTGCGAATTCCAAACGGGGCCGGAGACGGGCTTCGAGCAACACCCATTGCGGCCATGGCAAGACCTGCTGAAGAAGAGTCCATTACCGGATATAGAAGGTTAATCGGGGGGTTACCAGAAATGGTAGTTGCTGAAGAATTGAGAATTCCATTGTTGTTAAAGGTACCTCCCCCAAAGCTTGCGTTGGTACTGCTGGGAGGTCCCATTGCCGGGCCCGTGTCGCTTGAGATATGTGATGCGGCTGCAGGGGTATTTGAGTTGAGCAGCTCGGCTAGGCTACCACTAAAGGATGAGCCGCACGCCGGAGACGGTTCTCCCTGCCCTTGCCCTAGCCCTAGCCCTGGGAATCTAGTATTAGTAGAGGAAGAAGCTGTTGTTGCTGTTGTTGCTGTTGACAATAATCTTGACGGTCTGTCGCCAAGACACATTGTTGAGGAAGAAGAAGAAGCGGTGGGATTCGGAACATTTGGAATTCCACTTGATCCGATATCATTATCTCCCCGAAATGTTCTAGTCAAGCTTCTTCTTCTTCTAAAGGGGTTTCTATTAAAAGTACTGCCATCAAATCCAGTATTACTACTGCCATTCCCAGCAGCAGCAACAGCAGCAGCAGCAGCAGTTGTAATTGCTGTTGCTGTCGCATTAGCATTGTTTTCGCTAAGGCTTCCATGATTACCGTTGATAAGGCTGGCCTGGTCACTGCACCCTTGGCTGCACGTCTGATTGGCCGTTGATAGCAAAAGCCCCCGGTCACCCACCTCCCCCGATAAGCCGTTGGCGGTTGCCCGGATACCACTGCCGCTACCATTGCCGCTTTGGGCTACTGGCCTTGTGGTGCTGTTGTTAGCACTGCTAACGCAAGACGTGGAACTTCTGGGCTGTGGGCCGTCGGGTCCACGCGACATGTTCGATAAGCTCTGACCATCGTCAAGGCTGTTGCTGTTATTGTTGTTGATGTTGTTGTTAATGCCAACGTTTGTGCTTGTTGCAGATCCTAAATGATGTTCTTGGGCCACTTGTTTCTCCCGAGCAGCCATGGTGCGTAACGATGATAAAATGTCATTTTCAATTTCCGGGAACGTAGTCAAGCTGGCAACAATGTCCACAGGCCGGCGAGCAACTTTTTTCCTGCGCTTTTTAGCTTGACCAGCTGTGATATCTTCTGTGGGTGGGTTGGCTGTGTTGTTGTTGATTGTTGTTATTTTCGTATCAGAAGGTTTTGCAGTCGCCTTATCGTTATTAGTATTATTGTTATTGTTGCTGTTGCTATTATTGCTGTTATTGCAGCTACTATGCTCCGTCGGTAGCTCCTCAAACTCCTCTCGGTCGTCATCACCAGGAGCTCCTGACGTGCAAGCACCTATTTCTTCATCGCCAATATCATCATCATCAGCTCTGTCTAGGGCATCTTTGGCCTTACGCTTTTTGTTTTTACGCTCTTGACCAGGAATGGGATAAACACATTCAAGCTTGAGACGAACACAGGCCTTGCATACAGGTCTTGCTTCATCGCACCGTTTCTTGCGCCGCCGACAAGTAAAGCATCCGTTGCGGGAGCGTTGTCGTGGTTGCAGAGATGCGTCTGAAGATGCTTGGTCATTTAGTTGTTGTTGTTGTTGTTGTTGTTGTTGTTGTTGTTGGTTATCTATGGATGGGGAAGATGTTGATGAAGAAGATGGAGGAGTAGCACCTGTGAGATGGACAGTTGTAGTTGTGTTATGATTCTTGTTATTGGATGAAGACACAGTGGTGGTAGTTGTAGTAGTGGTGGTGGTAGTAGTTGTAGAAGATCCCGAAGAAACCGTTGCGGAATGCCCTGGCGAGAGCATTTTAAGCGGGGCTGAATCAGGATAGGCGGGGGTCATGCTTATTTTATGAGACAACGGTGGAGAGAGGGGTTGTGGAGAGAAGCCGTTGCTGTTTGATTGAGGGGGTGGTTGTTGTTGTTGTTGTTGTTGGTGGTGGTGGTTGTTGTTTTGCTGTTGGTTTGGTGCGGGGTGCGCCAATTGCAATTGGGTGCAAAAACTTTGTGGTGGTGGTGGTGGTGTTGTTGCTGTTGTTGTATTGGCTGTAGTATTTGCTGTAGTAATAGAAGAACAAGCAGAGGGTGTTGTAGAGGAGGATGACGAAGAAGAAGGTCCTGGAGTGTTGGAAACAAAGAGTGGAGATAAAGCAAATTCTGAAAAGTTTAGAGGAGATGAACTGTCAATAAAATTTGAACAAGATGAAGAAACTGAAGAAGTTAAAGAAGAAGCTGGTGAAAGAGCAGTAATGGAGGAAGAAGAAGAAGAAGAAGAAGATGATGATGATGATGAAGAGAAAGATTGATTATGATTAGGATGATGATGATGATGGTTATTATGAAAATTGATAACAGCAGGATCTGAAGAAAAATATGAATATAGTTGGCCAGAAGTAAGCGGAGAAGTTGCTGCTAAATTAAACGTTGAATCTTGTTTTAAAATGGCAGTTGAACTAGATGAAGATAAAGGTTGTTGAAATGAAAAACTTGAAAGAGGAGCTGCAAAAGAAGAAGAAGCTGAAGATGAATCGTGAAAAAAAAATTGGGACGGAGACTCGGGCGACGGATTAGGAGATGATGATGCGCGTTGAGGCGTCATTTAAGAGTCCTTTATAGAAGGGTAGAAAAAAAATTATATAAATATATTTGAAATTTGGTGAATGGTGAATGGTGAATGGTAAATGATTTATATATATATATATATATTGATATATATAAATGGTGATCTTTTTAAAAAAAAAAAAATTAAAATAAAATAAAATAAAAGTTTTCCAAAGTGTATACAAGAAGAAATAAAAGAAGTAAAAAAAAAAAAAAAAAAAAAAAAAAAAAAAAAGAATTTTTGTAAGCGTTGAAAATATTTTATTAATTTTTTTTTTAAAGGACCAAATAAAATAAAAAAAAAAAAAAAATCTCGAGAAATCACTGACTATTTAACGGTTAACGTGATTACTTTAACCCCAAAAAAATAATATTTTTATATATATTAAAAGTCTATATACAAATAAAAAAATAAAAAAAAAATCCCTTTTCCAAATTTAGCTGGGCCCGGTTCTTGTCGGGTTTTTTTTTTTTTTTTTTTTTTTATACATATATATATATATATATATCATGCCAGATAAGTACTTGATATAATTACGTAAACTCTTAAAAAAAAACATAAAATAGCCTTTTTAAGCTTTTTCACACGCTCTGAATTTCCGTGCCCAAACTTACTTAATCCATGCCCCGATATACACACCCGGTACCTACTACAACGTACTTCTCTTCGGATACTTTCCACAATCAAAAAAAAAAAAAAAGAAAAATACTCAACTTAACAATCTTACCAACAAGTAACTTAAATATTTCATCTTATTATATTATATACAATTAATTGTAATTTTTATTTTAATTTTTTTTTATTTAATTCAACTTACTATATATATATAATAACTTCGTTTTTTTTTTTTCACCCTCCCATTCTTTCTTACTCTTTTATTATTACTGCTGAGCCTGTTGATTATCCTTAAGAGATGACCGACCAGCCTTCAAAAGCTCATCACACAGTAACAGATTGGTGGCAATTGAAGTGGCAGATGACACACTATTGCGTAAAACACGGAAATTATCATAAATACCCTCAACCGTAGGATCAATAGGTTCACCTGTGCTCAAATCAACACCCACAATGTTACCCTCAGCCTGCTCTTCCTGCAGCGCTCCCAGTGTCTCCAGCGTATCAAAACCAGCATTGGCAGCAAGGGTCTTGGGGATAATCAGCAATGCATTGGCAAAGGCCTCTACACCAAATCGGGCCTTACCTTTGGCCTCCTTAGTCTTGAGGAATGCACCCGTCAGATGAGCATGTGCTGCCACCTGGAATGCACCCGCACCAGGGACAACACTTTTATCCATAATGGTATTTGCCACACTGCGTAAACCATCGCGCACAGCATCCTTAACTTGCGTAATTGAGTGCTGATTGGGTCCCTTGATGAGAATTGTCACACTCTTGGGGTCCTTAACCTCCTCAATAAATGTGTACTTGTCTTCACCTAAAGTGTACTCATACACAAGCCCAGCCCATCCAAGCACATCAGGAGACAAATCGTCAACACTGTTTTGCGCAGTGCCACCGCACACAAGCTGCAGACGCTCCATGTTGCGACGCTTAGCACGACGAAGTGCGAAAATACCATTCTTGGCTAAAACGTCCAAAGACATGGGATCAATGCCCTTTTGGTTAACAATGACAAAGCCCTTGGACGGGTCATTGCCACAAACCTCACGCTTAAGCTCCACAATCTTGCGCAGCTTATCATCGACAAACCGGCGCTCGCTCTCCACCAGCTTCTCGCGCTGCTCGGCAGTGCTGTAGTAAAAGCCAGAGTTGACCTCGCTCTTTTCATACTCGAGCGACACATTCAATGTCAAAATGTATGCATTCTCAACCCGCTTAGGCATATCGGGGTGACGGGCACCATGGTCAAGCACAAGACCCTTGATAAGTTGGGTTTCTGTACTGGAACGGTGCTGCATGGCCACAATTTCCACCATGTGCAAATCAACACGCTCGCTATCTGTATTCTGAATCGACAAAACAGCATCTGTAACAATGGGAGTCAAGATCTGGGCAAGTTTCGGGTTCACCTTGGTTGTGAGAGAGCTGCGGGCAACTGCAAGAAGCAGCTCACGATCAATGGTGACGTCCTGCTTGAAGTCGTTAAGGAATTTCAGTGTCTCGGAACGCGCAATGTCAAAACCATCAGTAACAACGCGCGGGTGAAGACCCTCAGAAATAAAGCGTTCGGCCTGTTTCAAAAACTCGCCAACATAAAGGCACACTGAGGTCGTACCATCTCCAGTAATGTCATCCTGGGCAGAAGCTGTTCGTGCAATCATGACAGCCGTAGGGTTTTGGATTTGCTGAAGAAAAAAAAAAAAAAAACCAAGTTAGAAATATATATTTAAAAAAGAGAAGATTTTATTGATAATACTCACCATTTCTGTTAACAGGACCTTACCGTCCTTTGTGAGCTTGATGTTGCCGGCACCATCGACAAGCCTAAAGATGGATTGTTAGACTGATTTCCGTGGATCAAAGAGAAAGGCTAGTAGTAGATAGTAGAATCATACATTTTAATGGTACCTTTGGGACCAAGGTTACTAGAAAGAACACTCTGGAGACCCTGAGCAGCCGAAATGTTGACAGCCAGAGCCTGGTTTCTGCGCAAAGACTCTGCCTTTGGGTTGAGGAGTTGGACAGCAGCCGACATTTGTTGTTTGTTGAAAAGGAGGTGAGGATGGATTGAATGTTTTGAAAGAGTTAGAAGAAGAGTGGCAACAAAAGTTGGTGGTGATGAAAAAAAAAAAAAAAATTGTATGGTGATGGGTTAGCGTTAAAATAAAAAAAATAAAATAAATTGGTGATGGTTTTATGAGAGTTATTTAAGTATTGGATGTATTGAGTTTAAGTTACCCGGAGATAATCACGTGAATCTCCAATATCGTTTACAACTGATTTAAATAAATCCTTTTGGTAAAATAGAAATAGTTAAAAAAGATTCTACATGAATTAAATTTTTTTTTTTTTTTTAATTCCATTAAATTAGTGATTCATGAATAATTCAATTTAATTTGTTTATTATTTTTTAAAAAAATATATATATACTCCATTAATTCCGTTAAATCGTCATATCCGTTTGGTGATCCCCTTTTTCTTTCTATTCTTCACTGCATGAATCCACTCTGAAAATCAATGTTCGGAACTCCGATACCACAGATCTTCTTATAAAAACATTTTTCATTTTGGGGAATCAAACGCGTTATGCCAGTTTTAAATACTTTTCTATGAGTATCTTTTTTTGTTTTATTATTTCAATTATTTATTTAACGGAATAATCGATATTCCCCTTAAAGAAAGAAAGAAAAAAAAAAAAATCCTGTTTTCTTAAATCCATTACGCCATCTTTAAGCTCCATGAACATATTCAGTCCATTATCCCCTTCTTTCTCCGACTATAAATAGGGGCTCTTTATTCAATTTTTTTTTTTTTATTTTCCAAAGCTTTCATTCTTCTCATAATCCTTTTTTTTTTATTTCCCCACTTTTGATATATATTTGACATGGCTTCTAATCCTCCTTCAAACTGTTGTGCCCAAGGTTTCAAACACACAGGCACGTCTACCGGGAAATTTGTCCAGCTTGATGGAATTAATTACTACGTGACTGGTGATGAATCTTTTGCTTCTTCCAAGTTGCATATCTTGTTGACCGATATTTTAGGTAATACCTTCATCAATAACCAACTTTTAGCTGATCAGTTTGCACAAACTGGCTATTTTGTAGTTGTTCCTGATCTTTTCAACAATGACGCAGTGCCATTAAACCCGCCAACTGAAAATAGATCTAATTTCTTAAATGACTGGCGCCCCAAACATACCCCAGAAATCACTCAACCCATTGTTGATACAATTGTCAAGTCAATCCTTTCAAAATGGGCCCCGAAATGGATTGTTGCTACTGGATACTGCTATGGAGCAAAGTATGCAGTCAGATTGTTGGGGACTGGGTCAATTAATTCTGCAGCCATTTTCCACCCATCTTTTATAACAATTGATGAAATCAAAGCTATTAATGTTGAAAAAACAACATTGTACATTGGTGCGGCAGAAGTGGACCCTGTATTTCAAGCCACCCTCAGACATGAAACTGAAGACGTCTTGCAAAAGATTGGCGCAAAGTACCGACTTACCTTAAATCATGGGGTGTCCCACGGCTTTGCAGTCCGCGGCGATATTAGTGACCCTTGGATCAAGTATGCCAAAGAGCGGGTTTTCGCTGATGCAGTCGACTGGTTTAAAATTTCTCATCAAATTTATTTATCATCAAAGTCATAATACATTTTTATTATCTCATATAAATTATACATCACATAAACAAAAGAAAGGTCATTACTTGTTTAGAAAGACTCGCCACGGGCAATCTTGGACTCACCGTACTTCTTGACACGGATGGACATGACGGCAATGAAACCAGTGGTATCGGTGGGGTCAAAGTCGGTAAGCTCATCCATGGAAGCCTCAGTAGCATCGTAGAGCTTCTCAGTCTCAGAGGAGCGACCGAGGATAGTGAGAGAGCCCTTGTAAGCACGGACACGGACCTGACCATTGACGGTCTTCTGGGAGGGGCCAATGAGGGCACGGGTGTACTCACCTTCAGGAGAGAAGTAAAGACCGTTGTAAAGGATCTTAGCGAAGGTAGGGGTGACAAAAGTGTCACGGATAGCACGGACCTCACGGTCCAAGACAAGACCCTCGAGATCAATGTGGGCGGTACGGAGGATGGTGAGACCAGGGGTTTCGTAGCAGCCACGGGACTTGATGCCGATAAATCTGTTTTCGACAATGTCGATACGGCCAACACCATTGCGGCGGGCAATCTTGTTAGCGGTCAAAAAGAGCTCAACAGGGTCAGTGACGGTCTTGGTACTCTCGTAGGTAATCTTAACGGGGAGACCTTCCTTGAACTCGACAGTGAAGTCTTCAGGGGTGTCTGGGGCGTCGGTGGGGTCGACAGTGAGCTTCCACATGTCCTTTGGTGGGGTGGTATCGGGGTCCTCGAGGATACCGGCCTCGAAGGAAATGTGAGCAAGGTTCTCATCAGTGGACCAGGGCTTGGCCTTGGTTTGAGCGACTGGGATACCCTTTGTCTCAGAGTACTCAATGAGGTCAGAGCGGCCCTTGAAGCGCTCAATGAACTCAGGAAGACGCCAAGGAGCAATGACCTTGATATCGGGCTTGAGGGCGTAGAAGGCGAGCTCGAAGCGGACCTGGTCGTTACCCTTACCGGTGCAGCCGTGGGAAACAGCAAAGCAGCCCTCTTCACGGGCAACATCAATCTGAGCACGGGCAATGACGGGACGAGCAAGAGAAGTACCAAGCAGGTAAACGTTCTCGTAAATGGCATTGGATTGGACAGCGGGGAAACAGAGTTCCTCGACGAATTCGCGGCGGACATCCTTGACGACGAACTTGGTGGCACCAATCTTGAGAGCCTTGACACGGGCAGCCTCAAAGTCCTCCTCTAAATAATTGTTAGGAAAAAGATTTTATAAATGAAGTTTTTTTTTTTTATTTTCTTATTTCGACATACCTTGACCAACATCGGCCATGAAGGCAATGACTTCGTAGCCCTCTTCCAAGAGCCAGGCGAGAATGACGGAGGTATCGAGACCACCAGAGTAGGCGAGACAGACTTTTCCCTTAGACATTGTTTATTATTATTATGAGGAGAAGGATGGGATGATGATTAGAGATTGTAGAAAGGTTTTGTGATGATGGGGTATATATATAAAAAGAGAGAGAGAAAAAAAAAAATTTTAAAAAAAAAAGCGGGAATTCACGGCCATTTTATATTTTCCCACTTGTGGGTTGAAGGGGAAAAAAAAAAAAAAAGTTGCCAACCAGTTTGAGTATCTCAGGTGCGTTTTTTGTGTGGGCGAGGAGATTTGAATTTTGACGAGTTTTGTCGGCAAAAATTTTCATTGACTCACCAACAAAAAAAAATAATAATAAAAAAAAAAAAAATAGTTAAAAATCTAATCGTTGTGATATGTGACAGATTAGGAAGTGTAACAATTGGAATTTTTTTTACCCTAACCTTTAACTACATAATAATAACCAGCCTCAATTACCTAAAAAGGAATTTTTTATTTTTTATTTTTTAAATCTACAAGTAACAGCCGCTGCGGCTTTATTTCATTGTTATTTTGTGTGTCTTCAAAAAAAGACGTTTTTTTTTATTTTATTTTATTATTATTATATAAAACCTCCAGAAATAAATAATAATAAAAAAAAAAGTCCCTAACAGCAACTCACGACGAACTTTTCAACTACCAAAATCACCAAATTTCATGGCCAAATACAGCTGAGTTTTCAGCCCCCCCAAAAAAATCAAAATAAATCGTGTGGGGGTCGAACTTTTTTTTTTTCTTGTTTTTATTGGGGGGAACTTTTAATCTTCCGGATTTGCATTATCGTTGTTATCGACAACCTTATCATCACGCGCTTCTTTTTAGGCATCATTCGGCCTCGATTACCCATAGCAAAAACTTTGATTTCATCTTTTTTTGAATTTCAAAGCATTATTGAAATACCCCATTGAGTGAAAAGAAAAAAGTCAATTCATTTTTTTTGTTTTTAAACCTCGTTTTTGTTCTTGTTGTTCTCGCTCTCTTTCTCTTTCTTTATTCCAACATCTTGACGGCTATTCAATATTCGATATTCAATATTCAATTAATCATATACGGTACAGCTATTATATATACCCCAATTATCAAATTTCAAATATACAAATCAATTCTTAAAATTCTTTAAACATTAACAACAATGTTCTCCTTACCAAGTCCATTCTCTTGCTCTCCCCAAAACTCATTGATCCCAGGATAATTTTCCAAAAACAGAGCCATGTTGAGTTGCTCCTCACCATTGGCATCCACCATAAAACTGCCACCAAAAGAATTGAGTAGTACTTTAGTAGCAACAGCCATAAAGTCGCGAGACAAGCTCTGTGCAAGTGATGATACCCCAGCATCTGTTGCAGATACGGCAGAAATCTTGGAATAAGCGCTGCGAACGTGGGGAGCAACCTCATTATTGGCAGTTGTCATGATCTGATCCACGTTATAGTTGTTTGTATTGTGACGAGCAGAGTTAATCATCTGATAAAAGTCGGGCTTACGAGTCACAGAACTGACAACTGACCCAATACTGGTCAGGTAAGCAGATGCAAGAGCAGGATTAAAGACAGAATGGTCACCGGTTTGCATTGCACTCTCATAATAGGCAGACAAGTGAGAATCAGTGGTAACAAAACCAACAATTTTGTTGACCTCATCTCGAGCAACAACCTCAGGAACATTGGAGTTGCGGTTCTGGATCATAGCACTGGCCAGTTTGTCGGCAATGGATTGTACCATGTTTTGACCATGGACTGAAGCAATGGCAGCAGAAGTAATGACAAGAGTATTAAAAGAGACCATTTTTAAATTAAATTGATTGAGTTAAAATTAAGAGACTATTGATTAGATGAAAAATATTATAGATAATGACAATGACAATGATGATGATAATTAAATTTTTGAAAAGAATTCCCCTCTATTTATATTCTATACGTTTAATTAGCTAATTAAAAAAAAAAAAAAAACAGACTATTTTAGTCCGTTATTATACCATTTTTAGTAAAAATAAAAAGTTGGGCCAATTTTTTTTTTCTCTCAAAATTGCAAATTTCCAACAGAACGATGAATCTCATTAAACGTTTTTTTTTTAATGCAATAACAAAAAAAAAAGTTTCAATCTTAATTCCTTTATACGACATTACCAAGGTGTTTTTTAATTAAAAATAAAAAATAAAAAATAAAAAAAACAAACAAGGTTTGTAGCCGAAATTGATGCGAGTGAGCTGACAGTAAAGACTTATAAATGTTTTAACAGAGAATAAGGGCTACCATAGCCCCATAATTCCAATTCAAGATGCATTAAATAATTTTTGAATTAACTCACCTTACCCCTCATTAAAATGGGGATTGAGGAATAGCTGTGTAATTGACAAGAAATATGTACACCCTTATTGCCAGAAAAACACCAGTAATACATGCTGCTGTTGCTGCAACCATGGCACCAGGGCTGTGCCTTTTCTTATTACTTTTAATGACTGTTGTTCCATTGATGCTCATCAAACTTCCATCATCAATGCTACTCCACTGTCTCCGAAACTCAGAGTCCGTCGTCGTCGTCGTCGTCGTCGTTTTTATAATATTCTCAGGATTTTCCTTGAGCACTGCCGAAGTATCCGCTACTTGTTTCCGTAACTGCCGTCGCATCTCGTCATGACTCCCAGCCAATAATCCTTTCTCTTTTTTCTTTCCAATCTCTGTATTGAAATTATCTTTTCCGGTTTCGCCTTGACTCTTGTTATTCATATTATCAAGTCTAATAATCTCAGGCTCCGTTTGAACTTGTTCTGTAAGCACCTCAAGCCTTTTCTCATTCTCACCCTTAGAATCATTCAGCCCAACTCCAACTTTGCCCAATTCTGCTGCAGTTTGCCGGATAAAGTCTTTAAGCTGATCCAATTGTAATGGTGCCAATGCATTAATGAATTGTAAATGAGTCTTCATTTCTTCATCTTCCACGCCATCCCCCTTATTAGGAGACAATGTCAACGGGGTCCCAGATTGGTTAATAATATGGCCCCGTACTAAATTTAACCGTTCCTCAATCCCCTCCATTAGTCTCAACATTTGCGTGTACTCGCCTTGAACCCATTTAGCATCTCGATACTCTCTCGTGACCGCATCTTCTTCTTCTTCTTCTTCTTCTTCTTCTTCTTCTTCATGTGTTTCCACACTAACGTCCACGTCATCTGTTGCAACATCTTCTTTACCAGTATTCTTTACAGGTTGTATGGTTAGAGCATCAAGATTAACTTTTGACAACCCTCCATCACTAGCTGTACTTCTTGAACGACTTAACCCAACCACATTTCCGTTACTGTTAAAATGCGAACCAGCAGCAAGTTTTTTTCCCAAATGACCACCGGTGCTGCCCTCAGAGTATCGTCTAGGCCGCAACCCACGCTCCAAAGGCGATGGCGATTCCAGCGCCTGCTTAGGTACCTCAGAGCGCGTTCTTAATGCTTGTTTAGGAGCTTCCGAATGTGATTCTAAAGGCCTGGAAATGTTGTGCCCCGAGAGAGCTTGTTTAATCCCCCCGTTCTGCACCGCAAGTGCTTCTCTCTGAATTTCCCTTTGCATTGCTAATCCTTCTACAGGTGATAAAGATCGAGGCCTTTGTAATGGTTCTTTCCCTGTACCCACACCCACAATTACACTTGCTCCTGCATTTGCACCTGCACTTGCACCTGCACTTACTCCAAACCTAGTGTTCCCTCGCGACACTGGCCTAACCAGTCCCACGCTCTCCGCCAAAGAAGGTGCTGTTGTCTTTGCTGATGTTGCAGCTCTTAGAGATAAATTCCGCCGCGGACTCGCAGGTACTGGAATCTTGCTGGGTCTGCTACCAAGCTCCTTACTATTGCCGTTCAACACACCGGAGTCTTCGGTTGCTAAGTCGCGTCGCAGAAATGAGGAAGAGTTTGTTGTTGTCGTCAAACCAAGGCGTCGACCAATCCTCCCAAGAGTCGTCGTTTGAGGAGGGGGAGCAGTCGTGGTATAGCAGTTATTTCGTTCTTGGTCTTGATCATGATGGTTGTCTATGGCTGTATTATCATCATTATTTCGCACAAGTCCGCGCCGCAGACCTATTGCTGTAGCATCAGACCATGCACTATTGCCGTTATTATTTCCTGCAGACCAAGGGCGGGACTTTAGGCTTGGCTCAAATGAGGGTAGTTTTGTTTGTGATTGTGTTTGAAACCGTGATTGTGAGGGAACTAGATGGTCATCTGCATGCTGAGGGGTTTCGTGTCGACCTGCGTCTCGTAATCCTTCCCGCCGCAGAAACCGCGGCTGATACAACGGCCGTCGCGTTTGCTGTTGTTCCAAACCTGTTTGAGTCCTTTCTTTTTCTTTCACTTCTTCCGCTAGCACTCCTGTGTTTTTTACTGTACTAATCAACCGTGCCGTAATATTGTCAGCGCTCTTGCTACTACCGAGACCGTACCTGTTGCCAATCCCAGAGTATCCCGTGCGACCCGTGTTGATTTCCAGTGGCTGCACTTTAGTGGTGTTTATATTGGCTGTATTATTATCGTAGTTGGTATTGAAATTTGCATTCAACGTATTGGTGGTGGTATTGGTGGTGGTAGTGATGGGTAAATTATTGGTAAATTTATTTGTGTGGTGGTCATGTTGTGGATTGAAAGACTTTGGCTGACCGTTTTGGTGGTGATGCAATGATAAAGATTTCCCATTCTCCAATCCTGCGCCAGTTGAAGAAGGTGCCATTCTTCGGTTTGTTGCACGAGCAATTGATGGCGGCTCATCTTCATCTTCTGTTCCTGAAAATGATAACAGAGACAAGCTATCGTCTTCAGCTCCTAATGCCCGGTTCCATGGCGCGTTTGCTTCATCGTCATTATTTAATAACATCTTGTTAAAGTTCTGGCCATCATCATCTGTCAGTTCCCGCCTCAGGTTTCGTGGCCGAAGTGAAGAATAACCAGGTGCTGCAGCAGCTCCTGACAAAGATGAGGAGGGCCCAGCCCCGGTTAACAACATGTCAGTAAGCCCGCGCTCGATCTGGTGGTCCCGCTCTTCATGCTCTGACAACCCCTTGCTACCAGGAGCCGACACACCACCGGCACTATTGCGACCACTGCCACCGGCACTGCTGTAAATAGTCAGTGGCCGTACTTGGTGGTCATTAGAAGACATCAAGTACGGCGCAATAGTTCCCACGTTGAGTTCCGAAGCAAGTGTTGGTCGCGACAAACCACCTTGGGACCCTGAACCGTCCTCGTCGTCATGCGTGGGGATACGTTGACTAAACCTTCGGCGGACCCTATGAAACGGTAGCACGTTTAACGCGTTGTCCTCGTCAATGCTATCGATGCTGAGTGCTCGGGACTTCATATAGGCTATGGTCAATTAGTTGGAAAAAAGAAAAAAAAAAGGGGTGTTGAAAGAATTTGTATGTTTTTGTTTACAAAAAACGCGAATATTTTTTTTTTTTTTTCAACATCAACCAACCATTGGATTAAAATATAAACAAGCTAATAATACAACTTTTTAAACCATTCTATTAATCATTATCATATATATAGGAACAAAAAAAAAAAAAATTAAATGAAAGAAACTGACTTTACAGAAAGAACCCATAATAATATATCAAAAAAAAGCACAAATTTTCTTTTTTTGTTTACTCCTTGACAGCGTAAACGCGTCTAAACTTATCATCAATAGACGTCAGGTAGTAAGTGCCAGGACGAATATGATCAATAGAACCGGTGGGGACGTAATCCTTCTGAAGATGGGCCTTTTCACGGAGACCAAGGGCAGCCTCGTAGTCCTCAGGCTTGACTATGCTTCTATTGTCGAGCTTGTTCTTAAGATCAAGGTTCTTGATAATAGTTGAAATATCACCCTTGATAACGACTGAGTAAAAGGACGATGCGAGACCGGAACCATAAGAGAACAAACTGATGCGCTTGTTGGCCAAGTTCTCTTCAGGAACATAAGACAGGAGGGAAGCCAAACTGGAGTAAACACTGGCGGTGTACATGTTACCGGTGTTGGTAGGACCAATCAAACCAGGAGCAAGACGCTTGGCAGCCTTTTCCTTTGCAGAAGTAACGAGAAACTTCTCAAGAGCCTTATCAGTGAGGGACTGCTCGTAGGTAAGAGCCTTGAGGTCATCGGAAATCTCAGGGAGGGCCGAAGCAGGGTCCTCAAGATAGTCATTATAAAAGAGACGGGCAAAGGACTTGGAGACAAGCTTGCAGGTGGGGACGTGGAAGACCGAGTAGTCGAAGCGGTCCATACCAACGGGGACGTGGCCATTGAGCTGAGAAAGACCTCTGCTGGCAGCCTTTTTGTTGTAAGTCTGGTAGGCCTTGTCAAGAGCTCTAGTGTAGCAAGTGAGAGAGAAATGGCCATCAACAACGGGGTATTCGGAGGTGAAATCGGGCTTGTAAAAATCGTAAGCATGCTCAAAGTAAGAGCCATGGACGGGATCAATAACGATAGGAGCGTCAGGGCCAATGAGAAGAGCGACGGCGCCAGCACCACCAGTGGGACGAGCGGCACCCTTGGAGTAAATGGCGATATCACCGGCAACGACGATAGCGTCACGGCCATCCCAGGAGGAAGATTCGACCCAGTTAACGGCATTGAAAAGAGCGTTAGTACCACCGTAGCAGGCATTGACAGAGTCGACACCTTCGATATCAGTGTTGTCACCGAAAAGTTGCATAAGGACGGACTTGACAGACTTTGACTTGTCGAGGAGGGTTTCGGTACCGACATCGAGACGACCAATAGAGTTAGGGTCAATGTTGTTATTTTTCAAAAGGTTGGAGACAGCTGTCAGAGCAAAGGAGTAAATATCTTCTCTGTCGTTAACAAAGGCCATGTTTGTTTGGCCAAGACCAATGGTGAATTTGCCAGAAGGAACATTTGAGTAGGTTTCGAGATCAGATTGGTTAACAGCCTTTAAGAGAGGTTAGTAGAGGAAGAAGAATAAGAATAAAAAGAATAAAAAGAAAAATATTTTAATAAAAAAGAACGTACCTGGCTGGGGATATAGATTTCAAAGGCCTTGATGCCAACGTTTTGAGGACGGGAAGACATTGTTTGATAAGATTAGAATGGATATTAAGAGATGTATTTAGAAGTTTTTTTTTTCTTCAAATATCTATATATATTTTTTATACTTGATTTAATATAAATGGATATATATTTAAGAAATAAAAAAAAAAAAGTGATGGGTAAAAGATTGGATTTTTTTAAAGGGGAGAGGTGGATCAAAGCCAATATTTATACTTTTCCTATAAATGGCGTAATGGGTAAGGCGATGAATTTTTCAACAAGGCCTATGTATATACGCAGCAATTACTTGTAGGCAGCAGCACTACCACCAAAAACTACTACGAGGTCCCTTCCCCTAGCCATGCATTACACAAATTACTACTGCTATTAGTATTAGTATTAGTATTAGTATTAGTATTAGTATTAGTATTAGTATTAGTATTAGTATTACTATTACTATTACACCTAAGCTTACCTCCCCCCCCCTTGTTGAACACACAACATATCACATCTTTGTAAGTCAGACGTGAGATTCGCTAAATATTTGCATTTGAAGTAACGGATTGTAAGAAATATATATATAAAGAGAGGCATTCTAGGGACTTTTGAGGAGGTTATTATTTTTAAATTCATTTATACAGAAGGATGTTGTTGGGATTCATCAAGGGACTTTTTTATGTTTTCTTGATTAATTAATTAATTAATTGATTGATTAATTGAAAAGAAGCCTCAACGGAGAAATATGCATCAACTTGAATTAGAGAACATCGATATCATTAGAAATGCCATTAAAATCACAAATTAAAATTATATCACTTTTTTTTTTTTTTTTTTTAAAAGAAATCAAGTTTTTTTTTATAAAAATGTATTTACAATGAAAAAAAAACCCAACAATTCAAACCAATGCATTTTCACATCTAAAAGCCAGCTGGCTCTTATCGACTTCTCGATATGTTACATTTCAGTTTCCGTTTATTTACAAACCCTCCATCTACTTTTGGCTCTTTGGGTGGTGCCCCTGGGCTCTTTTTTTCTTATTTTATTTTATTTTATTTTATTTTATTTTATTTTTTTTTTTGTTACAAAAATATACTCAGCCGTATGACATACATTAGTCTGTTGGGGTCACAAAACTATATAAAATGAAAAAAAGCCTGTCTTTGTCACCACTTAGTAATAATGGCGCCGCCATTTGTGGCTCCTAAAAATGGTGTGGAGCTCTAAGAACAAGGGGGGACCCTGTAAGCCTTTCAAAAAATAAATTAAAAAAATAAAATAAATAAATAAAATAAAAGACCCGAGACCCGAGTGATTCGGTCTTCTAAGCATTACCACAACAGTAACACCGGAAACAAAATCCTCATTTCAATATAGCCACTCCATTAAGACTACACAAGACCAAAAAAAAAAAAAAATCCTCATCTTTTTCTATATTATAACAGTGCAGTCTCAATATTTAATATTTAAATATATACCCTCCCAAAAAAAAAAAAACACCCAAAATACCCAGATAAGACTATGTCATCATCATCATCATCATCATCATCATAAATTCTCAAGGTCGATAAACTCCAACAAGTGTCTTGGCCAAAATATTTTCGTAACTGACCCACGCGTGGGTCTTCATAAACAAAGCAGTCCCGTCACGCCCTGCAACTCCCTTAAGAATCTTCTCGCCGCCCGGGTGGAACGGGACATACGGTGTCACGTTGTAAACACGGCCTCCAAGTACGGTCCACATATCATCAAGAGTATTGTGTTTGCTAAGTTCTTCCTTTGACACTATGAGAAGTGTTGGTGCATCTGTGCCCTAATTATAATATATAAAGCAGATATTGAAAAAAAAAAAAAGATAAGATAGATTAGAATAGGTTAGGGTTATTTGATTGAAAAAAAAAAGATTTTATACACTATAGGGACTACAAAAAAAAAAAATGCATTGAATTATTGTGGAGGGGAGGATTCGTTTTTAAATATGATTCAAACAAAATAAACACTTTTTTTTTTATTTTTAACTTACCCGAAGATTGGCTCCACTATTGGTCAACCGTGCCCAGTCCATAGGAGAATGTCCAGGTGCAAGTGCAATCTTGTTGCGTGCTCTAGCTGCCTCAGCCGCAGATTTAGGAACCAGTGTCGATGTTGGTGGAGGAGTCAATCCTTTTGAAGGAGTTAGTGTGCGTCCTGATTTGGATCCTAATGAAGAAGACGAAGAAGAAGAAGAAGAGGAAGAAGAAGAAGACGGGGGAGGCATTAATGATGGAGAGTTGCTAGTAGATGAAGATGATGCTCGTTGAAATGAATTAGGTGCCGGAAACATTGTAGGATCATTATCATTATCATTATCATTGCTATTATGACTACTACTACTACTACTACTAATACTACTAATACTACTAATACCACCACTGGACTTGTTTGTGCTATCGTCATCAATCGAACGTAATGGTGAAGAGCCGGAAGATGACGATGGCCTCACCACAGAAGAAGAAGTAGAAGAGGCTACTGGGGCTGCTGAAACCTTGAACGGAGGAAGTCGTGGTGGTTGCTGCTGTTGCTGTTGTTTTTGTGGCGAGTCCATTTTTTTTTTTTTTTTTGTAAATATTTTTATGAAATGAGGAAAAAAAGAGAGAGGGGGTGATGAAAGATCGACAAAATTGTTCAACAAAAAATAGTCTAAAATGTGGACGTCTAATAAGCGAGAGACGGATTTTTAAGCGAACAAGCTAAATAGAATAGTTATAAGCCTTGATATTAGGAGAAATGAAGATAAATATACAAATGAAGAAGTTGGTGATGAGCAAATAAAAATAAAAATAAAAATAAAAAATGAAAATTTAAAAAAAAGTTGTGGAGGATCTGGGTTAGGGTAATTATCGGTACTCGGATTTCGGTGTATTGAACCCGAAACTTTTCCTTCTCAAAACGGTTTCTTTTAATTTGGGTTAGGGTTTTACTTTTTTTTTTTTTTTTTTTTTTTAAAAATTGATTGAAATAATATCTCCTCTCCATTCATAATACTTCAATATTTGTATTAATTTCCAACTCTTCCCACCTAATATTACTGTCGCTATATACATCTACCTCCGATTAACAATGTCTTTAGAATAGCTATAGTTTGCTGATCAAGTAATAGAACAATTATTCTATATAAACAAAACGTTTCTTTATCCAAAATGAGATAAACTCTGTTGTTTAAGGTCTCTTTTCTTTCATGGACTTTTGATTGAATCTCAAAAAAAAAAAAAAAAAACACCTTTATCACATACTTCAATAGCTTTGAAAAGGAACCTATGGGCGATATTGCAAAAATTATAACTACTCGTAGAGAGTTACATCTTTACTTACAACATGACTTTTAATAACTTCATGTTCTATGTTTTTTTTATCAGCTTTAATAACACTTTACTGCTTGAACAGACTTTGAATGCTTTAAACATCCCTTTCTAGACTCTGTCTTTTTTTTTTTTTTTTTTTCACTTTTGCAGTTGAAAAAGCTTACCATAGATTAAACTAACGAAAATCTATTTGACTCCATTTCTATGGATATTTGTTCACTCATCTTTTTTTTTTCAATTGTTACAGACTCCCCCCACCCCACCTTTTGAGAAATGTTAACCTCCAAAAGAACAATAAATTACTTTTAAAATTTAAACTTTTTTTTAAATAAAAAAAGCAAAAAAAATTTTTTTTTTTTTTTCAAAATAGTCAAATAATGTTAAATAGGCCGCGGAAAGCCGTTGGTGAGAGGGCTTAATATTTTAACCGTCAGCCGCACTTTCTACTTCATCTTCTTGGATTTTCTTTTGACTGGCTACCCGCTTTCGCTTTCTAGTCATCAATAAAGCAGCAGACCAAAATTATTGCAAAAGGAAGAACGTCTTTAGAAAAAAAAAAAAATTAAAAATTAAAAAATTAAAAAATTAAAAACGAAAAAAAAATTAAACTATGCGCACGGCTATATCTACTTTAAAACCCTAACCTGTGGACTTAAAGGCTGCCATTTTATTTTTTCTTTCATTTTGCAGGACGCCCTTTTTTTTTTTGTTTATTTGTTCAATAAGTAATTTTTTTTTTTTAAATCTGTAATAAGCGCTCGTTATTTCTTGGATGTTTTAGTAGAATATATATATGGTAAATATACAGGAAAAGAAGAAGAATAAGAAATATATTTTGTCAATGTTTTTATTGGTTTGTTTAAGATTTAAAAGAACTTTTTAAATTTCATTTTTAAAAGTATATTTAGTTCCAATTTTTAATTTTTAATTTTTAATTTTTAATTTTTAATTTTTAATTTTTAATTTTTAATTTTTAATTTTTAATTTTTAATTTTTAATTTTTAATTTTTAATTTTTAATTTTTAAATATTTAATTTTTAAATAATTTTAAATATTTAAATTTTTTTTCTATTTATTATCATCATCATCTTTAAAAGTCTTGTTCTTTTTTGTTTGTTTGTTTGTTAGAATATCCCAAACTTTTAATTATTTTCAAGGCGCTTTCGGGTGCTCTTTCACCAGTTTCAAGCCACGTCCTTTTTTTTTTTTTTTTTTTTTTTGAAATATAAAGGCGGTCTTTTTAGATGTCTTCTTCTTTTTTTTTTTTTATTTCGAATATGAATATTTAGATTAAACAGCTGTTTTATATATATATATATATTAGAATAAACCAAGCTTTTATTTAAACTTGGCACTCGAGGAAATTTTTTTTTTTTTCTTTTTTTTTTTTTTTCAGTAAAAATTTCTTTAATTTTTAAACATCTGTCTACATTTTTACATTTCTAGAAAATATCAAATGATTGATGATTTACAATTGTAAAATCAAATTAAATAGGCGAATGTTTTTATTTATTTTTAATTTTTAATTATTTTTAATTATTTTTAATTATTTTTAATTATTTTTAATTATTTTTAATTATTTTTAATTTTTTCAACTTTTTCAACTTTTCGCTTTTCTCCTTTTTTTTTTTTTTTTTTTCCCCTAATTTTATCCCACTTTAAAACCTCTCCAAAATCCCACTATACAATAACCTTTCCTTTTAATTAATACACTTATTACTTTTTATTAAACCCGTTGGCTCGTTAACACCACCACCACCACCACCATTACCATTACCATTACCAGTCTCCATTTCATTTTATTTAATTCTAACAAACCTTTCATATCATTCGTCTTTCATACAATACCATGTCCACAGTCCCGACAACAGCCAAGGTCCTGCTGCTCGGTGACGCCAGCGTCGGCAAAACTTCTTTACGGTCTCAGTTCATCCACCATCGCTTCTCTTCTGCATACCGCTCAACTGTCGGCGGTGATTTCCTTACAGCCAAAGTCCATACCTCTCCAGACCCAACCAACCTGAGTTCTCCAACAGAAACCATTTCTTTACAAATCTGGGACACTGCGGGCCAGGAACGGTTCGACTCCCTGGTACGCTCATTTTACCGCGGAACCGATGTCGCCATCCTCGTCTACGACGTCACTAACGCCGCTTCCTTTTCTCACCTCTCCAAATGGCTCCGCGACTTTGTCACAGCATCAAGAGTAAGAACTCCAATCGTGATTGTTGTTGGCAATAAAATAGATAAAGCAGAGTATAGAACAGTTTCTGAAAGACAAGCTTGTGAATTCGCAGACTCAGCAGCTGCTGCAAATAATCTCCAGCCACCACCATGGCCCATTCCACATTATCAAACCTCATCCACAAGTCCTATTGATTTTAAAATCATACCCAATAATAATGCCAATGACTTAGCTCATAGCCATGATCATGTTAATGAATACGACATTGATCATGAACACAATAACCCTACAAATCTTATCTCAGATCAGTCCTTCTCTACTGCTCTTTCAATCTCCAGCGGCAGTGTCATTTCCTCCAGAACATTTACATCTGGATCCCAGCAGCAGCAGCAGCATCAGCATCAGCAGCAACAACAACCCCAATCTTCTCTTCCGTCTTCTCCTTTACTCCAGCCAGGTACTTCGACAACGCAGCAACAACAACAACTACAACAGGAACCTGCAATCAGGTGCTTCGAAGTTAGCGCAAAGGAAAATATCGACGTCGATAGACTCTTCACCTACGTGGCAGACCGTATAGTGGCCGCACGGCGAGACGTGCTTTTTAATTTTGATTCAGTAGAAACGTCGGATGGTCCCATGGTTGACATTACAGACACTTCTCGCTCTAAATCCTACTGCTGTTGATTCTTTTGATTCTTTTTTTTTTTTTTTTTTTTTTCTCTTCATTATTAATTTTTTTTTATTTAAATCTTCCAGAGTAATGTCCCAATCTGGTAGACAATCTTAATCTTCTTGATCATCATAATCATCATCATCCCCCACTTTCTCTATCTTTTACAACCTTTTTCTACATCAATCATCCCCCCACACACTATATAGACTTGTTTTGTTCCTAATGACCCACAGAAAATTTTTTTTATTCCTCTTCGCTACTCTTGTCTTCTTCATCCTTATACCACATCCGTATCTCTACCGTAAACACCACTGGCAACGGCTCCGAATCAATTCGCACTTCCTCTTCTCTCAAATAATTGCTCGTGCTCACAAGTCCCCCAAAAGCCGTCGCCCATTCGTGCACATCATACTCTAATCCACTCGTCGTGAGTCGCGTTGGTCCGCTCAACGGAATGATGCCAACTGCAGGACCCAATACGCGTGTTGGCGTTGAAATTCTTGCAGAAACTCCACCTGGAACAAGCAAAGTCACATTAGCATTAGTGGATGTCACAGAAACTAAGGTGAGCTGATGTGACACTGTGGCCCGGTTTTTTTCATAACGCATATCGATTTCCCCAGTTTGCTGGGCTGCCTCTATAGCTGCTGGGTGATTGCCACCCTCTTGGGAAATGTACAAGTGGTGCAGCGAATGAAACGATTGATCAACACGTCCACCAAGCGCTCCAAAAGCAATCACTTTGAAGGGAACTGAATGTGATGAGCTATCGCTGAACCAACGTTCTTCTGCAAGCTTGATGCACTTCATCAGGTCGGTAGAGTACTGGTCAGAGTCGCCAATCACGTCTACTCCGCGTGCCGCATAATACTTGAGCACGCGTGGCCGAGCACTATCCAGATCGCCCGCAATAAAGTCTGGTAACTAGAAACAAAAAAAAAAAAAAAATAAGAATAATAGATAGACACATTTATGTGCACACATTTTAATTTAACATTAGAATATTTTTTTTCCCCCTACCCTTTAATATCACCCATTTTCTTTTGCTTATTGTCATCTCTTAGTTGTTATACGTACAAATTTTTCTCGTCGTTTCTTATCGTGCTTGAAATATGAGTATAATCTGTTGGAACCTCCATCAGCACATACACGGTACTTGCAAAATGCCCATAGCTTTTCAAAAATATTCAAGTCCTGTGGCCGGGATTCGCGGCCATTGTCACCCGGCGTAACTTCACAAGCTCGTGAGTCAGAAATTGGCATGTTGAGGATCACAAGAACTGTCCGGTCACCTCCTTCTTTTTCAAGAAGAAATTGGGCTGGGTCATAAAAATTTTCAGTTTCTTTGCTCATCGAAAATTAGTTGAAGAATTAGGATATAGGTCTAAAAAGAACTGAATTTGTAAGTCTAGTTATTAAATTTAGAAAATGAAGAGATACAAAAAGAAATTGAAAGAAAGAAAAGAAAAGAATCCTTGGAAAAAAAAAAAGCTTTTATCAATGTAATATACTAAATGGTACTCAAGAAAGATTGTTCGGAGGAAAAAAAAGAACTTTTTTTTAAGCGCGGATTTTTTTTTTGACAGCCGTATGTGTTAGACACAAACCACACGATCATCAGGTAAACACAAATAAACAAAAAATGTATTGCAGTTACAGATTTTTAACATAAGTGTAATAACGATGACTCTCAGGATGATTCAATTAGATTCAATTTGATTCAATTGGACCGGTAAATCATCACCCTTTAGTTGAGTCAAATTGGTCAAATACCATAAATTTTTTTTTTGAATTAAATGTGATGGAAAACGGGCTTTAAAGTGCTAAAATTTAACAAATCCTGGTTATAATACAAACTAAATACTGTAGTCATTTGGTTGATTTGTTAATTCACCAAACCTCCATAAAACCCTTTTCTCTTAATCTGTTGCTCTTATGATTTTTATGAACATTGTTTGATCTTGCAATAACCACCTCTTGTTTTATTATCTATTTATATAAACCAATCCAAGCAATACTGTTTTCTTTTTCACTTTAAGTTTGTACAACTTCTATGCTTCTCTTCTTTGTGTGTAATTTGAGACTTTAGCACCATCATCTGAGATAGATTTCGTGAATATGTTTCCTCTTAAATAGCATACGAGTGCAATCAAAAGATATTTTTTTATTTATATATTGCGATACTATGAAAAAGCAGTTTTTTTTTTGTACATATGCCATTCTCTAAATGAACCAGTTACACCTATTTTTTTTCCTATTAATCAGCTTCTTCTAGTGCCAAAGTTTCTTAGTTAAAATATAATATTTTGGCTTTCATGTTGATTTTCCCTTTTATGATATCTTATCATTTTGAATTGAACAAACTCAAAGATTAACTTTTCGTTTTTTTTGTGAAATCAAATTAAGAATAATAGTATTGAAAAAGAAGGTCTCAGGTAGATTATAGACTTTATTAGAATCCTCAAATACTAACGATACACAAAACTACTTCTTCTACCATACCATCTACCTCATAGGATACAATCTGAGGCATTCACCACATAATATCTAGTGACAGTGTGCACACTGCATATGGAATAAGCAATGTGTATAATTTTTGTGGCTATTATCATCAATTGGTAGTTTGAACTTTTTTGCATTCCTACTTTTGCCAGTTTTTGTGGTGGTTTCTTTGATCTATTCCCACCCATGTTAGTTGAACTAGGGGGTCGATATGGTGGCCTAACTTAACTACTAAGTAGTTTGATGATACTGTTATATTAATTAGCAATAGTTATAATATGCTTGCTATCTGTTTCTACTACAATTACAGCCAAAAAAAATTCAAGTCTTTGATGGTGTTTGGAAACCCCACTCCCTTGGGGCTGTACAAGTTGTCATTTGAAGTAATTTTGCCCGGTAATGACGACTAAAATTGAACCATACTCGGATCCAGTTGCTCGGAAGTCCCGCACTTCAATTTCATTTATTTTATTAAACAATTATTAATTTGCTTTTTAGATGAATATTTTCACTAAATCATAAAATTTATCCATTTACAGCTTGCTACTTTTTCATTTTACCCTAATAGTTAGTGCAAATCCAAATTCCTAATAACCTCATGAGGAAATGGTGATCACCATTTAGGCTAATGAACTTTATTTATCAGAAAATCTTTGATGCTTATAAAAAAATTGTCAATATTTAGCCAGAATTTTAGTCTTCATCAATATTTCTTTCTTTGGTAATCTACATTAACTGCATATTATTTAAAAATCAATTTTTTTCTTATCTCATAATTATGGAATCGCTTAACTAAAATTTTTGAGCATTTAAAGATGCCTTTTCAATTCTATTTTCATATCAACTTAAATATCTTATTTGAATATGAATCCATTTCTATCATTCTAAACTTCCTGATATAATCAGTGTTCTGTTTTAATAACAGTACTTGGTTTCTAATTATGGTTTGTGGATCTAGAGTATTAGAAAAAAAAAACTACAAGTACTTTTTAAATAACTATAAACGCCATCTTTTGTTTCAATCTACACAACTTTAAGCTGAAATCAATGTGCTTTATAGAGGGGGTACAATCTTTTCACTTGATGTAATCGAGACCATCAACTTAACTGTCTTGCTTTCTTTATTATAAAGCTTTTTATAAAATGACTGTAATCACAATTAAATGCTTTACTTAATCCAAACATCTTTTTTAATATTGGCAAATTGCAAATATACACTTGATTATAGCTCGCTTGAATGTTTAATCACTAAACGAATCTAAAATATATATATATATATATATTCTTAATCTCTTTTTTCATTTATATACTTTTCTATCATCATCATTAGAATTCTTTAAAATCTCCAGCCTTTAGACAGCATCCATTTTTCAATCTGGTTCCAAATGAGCTCTGCAGCTTCGCGATCTCTAAATCGTTCATTTTTGGGGATAGTTGCAACCGTAATATTGGTCCAAGACCCAAGCACCGGTGGCACCCTTTCACCCACATATGTCAGATATACACCAGCGACTTTTTGAAACAAGTCATTGGGGTTAGACCACTTGTATGTTTTAAATTGCCACGATTGCCCCGTTACAAACACTGCAACAACACGGTCCCAATACTCGGGCCGGAATCGCTCCACATTGTCCACAACAAGAAACTTGACCTTGACACCATGGCCGCCTGCTGACCCGCTGCCTGCTGATCCACCTTTCCCACTGCTACTGTTACCATTACCCCCAGAAATTCCAGCCAGGCGTGTGCTGTATCGTGTAATATACTGCAGGTTAGATGCGCCAATCGACGATGTAGAAGGAACAAATTCACCCCGCTCCAAAAACGCCTTGACGTTGCCCATGTTTAGCAGTGCAGAGGTCGATGGCGACAATAAAATAATTGGGTCTTTATTTCCACGAGAACCGTTAGACGATCCAGATCCTGAATTGGTGTGGCTACTGCTGCTTCCAGGACCCTTAATGAGCCCACTGCCTCCCCGAGGAGCCAGTGCGGGATCACCAGATCGCGAGTACTGACCTTGAGGGTATCCATTGCGACCTGAGGCTCCGTGACGAGAAGCCGATTGACCATGATGGCTTGAGCGTTGTGAATTGCGAACCACATTAATAATTTGGTCGCGACATTCCTTGGCGATGAGCGAGAAGTCAATTTGTTTTGTTCCGTGCAGCACAGAGTTGCGATTAACAAGCGAACGCTCCACGTCATAAATCTGTTGCACCCCGTAATCTTCTGGTGGGCTTATTCTGGGGATCTCGCTTTCGATAAGTGTCACAATATCAAGTGGGTTATTTACCGGAGTACTACCTGAGGCTGATGTTGTGGAAGAAGAAGATCCCGAGACACGCGTCTCTGACCGCGCATCACCATTTTCCTTACTTTGTTTTGCAGAAGCACTGGAAGTGCTTCCGTTTGTCTCTTTGGCCGATTCTGAAGTTTCTGAAGCTCCTGATGAAGTTGTAGCAGCACCGCTGCCATTTGTGCTATCCTTGACATTTGCACTTGTTGCGCGCGGGTCTTTAAGCCACGTCAAGAGGTCTGTACGGTCTGTTGTTTTGAGGTTCATAATTCCACGCTCGTTTGAGAGAGTAATATAATCTGTGACCTTAAGTTCGCGCGCTAACCACGCATGGTATACAGTACGCAGGTCGATGGGGATTGTTTGGTTATTGGCGGCATATCGCGTCACTGTCGTAAGGGGTATTGTTTGTTGTGGTTGCTGAATGTTATTATTAGCAGGGAAATGGAGGTACTTTGCTGTAGCTAATTCAGAATCAGGAAGAATAGAACTTGGCAAGTATTCTTCTGAAGAGAGCAGCTCAATCTTAGCATTTGATTGAATGGCGTTGCGTAGAGCCACTAAAGGGTCAATTGTCATTGTTTGTTGTATAGTGAGATTAATATTTAGGTTGAACGATGAAATTCTGAAAAGTTTGGGATTTGCTATTTTTTTTTTTTTTATTTTTTTTCTGGCGGGAGTGCAGAGAAAAAAAGAGATACGCTGTAAGTTACCCGGATATTTACTAATACTTGAAACTTGAAACTTGAAACTTAATACTTTAAATATATAATACTTACAATTTACAACTTAAAATATTTAAAATTTATATTTTATAGTGTTTTAGTGTTTAAACTTCTAGAAAAGACAAAAAAGGGGAAATAAAAATAAAAAATAAAAAAAAAGAAAATAAATAAAAAAAAATAAAAAAAAATAAACAAAATAGGGAAAACACCCAAAATGCAACAAAACCTAATCATCAAACATCATCATTATCAAACATCATTGTCATCGTTATTGTCATTGTTCACCGTTTAAATATATGACCACCGCCATCTCAGATAAAACATAAATAATCATCATTCATTATTCATTATTCAGCAGCACCCGCTGTTAGAAACCTCTAAATTATCTCGTCCCAGATTCACGCGACGCTGGGAGCTATCATCGTTGTTATTCTCCTTCTCATATGACTCGTACATTCGCTGTCGCCACCGGTCAACAAGACGTCGTGTAATGACTTGAAACACCTCCTCCACTCCCCTATTATCTTTGGCGCTTATTTCGTGACAGCATGACATTGCAAAGTCTAGTTCTGCCTCATCAACGCTGCTGGCATCGCTATCGAGGTCCTCTTCATAATCGCCAGATCCACCGGACCCACTCCCGTTACCCCCACTACCCCCACTACCACCACTACCACTAGTTCCACCACTAATCACACCATTCTCATCACCTCCTCCTCCCCCACTTTGGTCTTCATAGGTTGTGTTATCTTCTAAATGCTCTGGTAAGTCGTAATAATATGGTTTCACATGGCTTGGTGGTGACTCATATGGTTTTAATGAAGGGGTTGAAGGTGATTGTAATTGTAATTGTTGTTGTTGTTGTTGTTGTTGTTGTTGTTGTTGTTGTTGTTGTTGTTGTTGTTGTTGCTGCTGTTGATGTTGTTGATGCTGGGTACTAAATGTATTTCTTCGATTGTTTGACTTGGGCGATAAGACTTGACTGGGTGCCGAAGTACTCATTGATCTTTCTGATTTTAGCCGCTGCCTCCTATCTGTAACACTATGTCGTCTATTTTGGTCAGGCTCACCCAGCAAATCATCGGATCCTGCGACAAGTTGCTGTTGCGAGTGGTCATTTTCTGTGTAATGGCGAGGTGAATGCGAAGATCGGTACTGGGGTTGTTGTTGTTGCTGTTGTCGCCTATGTGGAGACTGGGAAACCCGGTCCCTGCCACTTTGATTACCTCGAGTGGGTTTACGTTTGCGACGAACTAGATGCTTAACAGCATAATTGACGCAATCCTCAAATTTAACCTGCCGTAGAGAAGGGTCTGCATCCACCAAGTCTAGTTTGGTCCCAACTATATGGATCATAATATCGTCATCTACTAGTGGATTATTTTGTAGCTCGTGAATCCATGACTCCATGGCCTCAAACGAGTCGCGCGATGTGATGTCGTAGCAGATAATACCACAGTTGGCCGAACGATAATACATTGGGGCCATGGACCGAAACCGTTCTTGTCCGGCCGTGTCCCAAATTTGCAGCCGGACTATTGTATCATCGTCAACAACAACCTTTTTAGCGAGAAATGATGCCCCGATGGTAGAAGCGTTTCCTTGTTGGAATGTATTGCGGACATATCTCACTACAAATGAAGTTTTACCGACACCTAAAGAAGAAGAAAAAGAAGAAGAAGAAGAAGAAGAAGAAGAAGAAGAAGAAGAAGAAGAAGAAGAAAAACAACTTTAAGTTAGAGACATTAAATGCAAAGACAAATTGTATTTAACGGGAAACGAAAATCTTTCATGCATGGTTATGGATTGGCAAATAAGATGTAAGTTTGGATAAAAAATTTTAAATTTTTTTTAAAAAAAAAAATACAAACCTTGTGAGCCGAGGATGACTATTTTGGAGTCCAGGCTATTCATCTGGAACTCACACTATATATGAAAAAGAAAGAAGAGAGAGAGAAAAAAAAAATAATAAAAAGACTTATTGAAGATTTGATTTTGTAAAAGTTGATGATTTCAGTTTAGATTTAAGGAAAAAAAAAAGGGGGTTTTATATCTCTGCAGAAAGCCTTGTTTCCTTTTTAGGCGATGGTGAGGACAAGAAGGAAATAAAGATATGGTATGGAAAAAGCAATTTCCGATAAGAAAAGATCGCGATCCAAGTATAAAGGTAGAACTTGTTCTATTTCAAAAGAACAGGCCTTGATTATTGAGCAGTTGAAATGCCTGGGTATTTTCTAAAAAAAAAAAAACTGTAATCTATTGTTCTAAAATCGTTTGTTGTTCCAAATGATCTTGTTAGGAATTGTGATGATGATGATGATGATGATGAATGTGGTGGTGGTGGTGGTGGTAATGATGAGTCTTAAAAAAAAAAAAAAAAAAAAAAAAAGGAGAAAAAAAAAAAAAAAAGGAGTTTTGGTGGTGGTGGGAAAGCGAAGAAGAAGAAAAAAAAAAGCCAAAGGGGGCGGCTGGCTGTGGCAGACAACAGTTGACTTTATAAGCAGCAGCAGCAGCAGCAGCAGCAGCAGCCTGCGCAGACACCACCAAGGCAAAAGGCAATAGTAGCAGTTATTATTATTATTATTATTATTATTATTATTATTATTATTATTATTATTATTATTATTATAATAATTATTAGTAGTAGTACTACTACTACTATTAAGCCGCAACAGATTGCCAAATAAGCATTACAACATAGTATTTAATTTTTTAATACTTAATATTTAAAACTTAATATTTAAAACTTAATATTTAACAGTTAAGACTTAACCAATTGTGTTACATATCTACATGTAACAAATCCACTCCTCTAAGATTTTTCAGGGCTCTATCACCAGCTTACCACAAACAAACCCCTCCAAATCCCTCGCTATCCACCTCAATATATATATATATATATATATATATACTACCAACGCTTCTCTGACCCCCTCCTCCTCCTAAGTTAAATGTCTCTCATTAAATCGGCTTTTTGGAGGCCAGCGGTCTTTTCAACAACTAAACCTGCTGCTTGGCTGTATGCACGGTTAATGTCCACAGCTTCTAAAAAGAACGCAACCTCCATAGCAAACGAGGGAAAAACCATTGCCAATAAACAGCAACTTTATGTCATTGATCATCTGTCACCAGGGTCAATCTTTTTTCTCCCACATGGTGCCCGAATTTTTAATAGACTTGTCGAATTCATGCGTGCCCAACAACGCTGTTATGGCTTTGAGGAGGTAGTCACTCCACTCATTTACAAAGATGATCTTTGGAAAACTTCTGGTCATTGGAAACACTACAAGGATGATATGTTCCAGGTTTCAGCCCAACATCACAAGGATACCACTGCACAAACTACCTCCGAGGGAGAAACTCCTGAGACTACCACTCCTTCTGAGCCACATACTCATACAGGACCTATTTCTGATGAAGATGCTCTTCAAATCTATGGCCTTAAGCCAATGAACTGCCCAGGCCATTGCGTCATGTACTCTAAACACCCCCATTCTTTCCGTGATTTGCCTATTCGCTACTCTGATTTTTCTCCTCTTCACCGTAATGAATCATCCGGAGCACTTTCCGGTCTTACTCGTGTTCGTAAATTCCACCAAGATGATGGTCATATCTTTTGTCTTCCCTCCCAAATCCAAGCTGAAATCGAGGGTTGTCTCAAAATGATCCAAGCCTCATATTCTGTTTTTAAACTCAATGAATTTCGTTTTGTTCTTTCCACTAGACCAGAGTCTTATGCCGGCTCTCTTGAAGTCTGGGATAAGGCCGAGGAAAACCTAAAACAAGCTCTCAACAACTCAGGCCGCGAATGGGAACTTAACCCAGGTGATGGCGCCTTTTATGGCCCTAAAATTGACATTCTTGTCAAGGACAACAATGGAAAAGAACACCAAACTGCAACTATCCAACTTGATTTCCAGCTCCCTCAAAACTTTCATCTCAAATACGTCACCGGCTCTTCTACAACCGACTCTGCCACCGGCGCAATTACTCCTGTCGAGGAAACCCCGGTCCTTATTCACCGTGCTATTTTTGGCTCACTTGAACGTTTCATGGCCATTCTTATCGACCATTTCAATGGCCATTGGCCCTTCTGGCTCAATCCCCGCCAGGCAGTTATCATCCCCATTGCTTCTCGTCACCACGAGTACGCTTCAGCCATCTTTTCCCAGCTCTCGGGCAAATATAACTTTAAATATACATACCCAAGCGTTTCAACTTCTGGTTCCACAGATGCCATTGTTCTTCCAGAGCTTCTTCACTCCCGCTACTTTAATGTCGATCTCTTTGATGCTGACGAAACTGTGGGAGCCCGCACTAGACGTGCCATCTCAGAAGGATACAGCTACATTATTGTGGTTGGTGATAAGGAAATGGAGGACCGTAAGCTTAGCATCCGCACTAGAGAATCTAGAAATACCCAGTACCTTGACATTGACCAAACAATTTCTATGTTCAGTCAACTAGAAGACGCCTACCAATGAAATCATACACACTCAAATATATAGGTGGTTTCAATATCAATTTATTTTGTATATAATAATGAATATAAATTAGCTTTACTTTTTTTTTGTTAAAATAATTCCATTAAAATTTTTTAAAATATTTTTAGGGGTTAAACTGCAATGCTGAATAAAATCCTAAATATAACTAAAAAAAAAGAAATACAATACAGTATTTTTGAAGATTTATCAAAACTGAAAAAAATGAAAGGAGAAAGGTGAAGTTTCGAAAAAAAAAAAGTTACTTTTTGTTATATTAAATCATCTTTTTAGGTAATTTAGTTACTTACAGAAACATATCTCAGTACTTTGTCACAAGCACAATCACTTCATAAAATTTATCCAGATTACATGTAAAGATGGAGTGTAAATGAAATCTCATGATTTCATGGAACATAAAAAAAATCAAAAAAAATCAAAAAAAATCAAAATAAATTAAAATAAATCAAAATAAATAACAATATGAAATAATAGGTATCAGCTTTAACTGCCTTTCTTTTTTGTCATCTTGCTTTCCCGTTTCAACACATCTAAGGCCACATCCAAACTGCTCTTGTCAAGTTCTGGAGTTTCCCAGTCTCCATTGGGCACAAAATCAACAAACGGCGGAGGCTCCAACAGACCGGGCCATAAATCTCCTGGCAAAAAGTTTGATACTGTATTGAAGAAATCTTGTCTCATATTTAGTTCTTCCGTTAGCATTTTTTCAACCTTGGTAGTCATTTCATCAATTAAAGCTTCCATGTGATTTTTGAAACGACGCCTCCGTTCAATCTCAACAACTAGTCTTTGATATGACATCCAAAATAGAGAATAATACTCCACAAGAGATTTCATTTCACGTAGTGGTATTCCGATTCCTGCAGTATACTCTACCTGTCGTTGTAGTTCTTCATCTAAATATTTAACTGGTTGAACCTTTTCTTGGTATTCTTGTAGCTCATCCAAATATTGTAGTAATTCTTCTTTACCAAACTTTTCTAGCTTTTCAAAAGTCTTTTTCGTTTTTTCGTATATTCCAGTTGATAATTCTATCTGGAAATGCTGTACTTCTCCTGTTAAACTTTCGATATCTTTGAACCGATCCTGCAGCTCATCAATCACACCAACAAGTTCCTGCGAATCGTTTTCCAAAACAAGAACCAAGTCATTTAAATCATCGTAGCCGTCATCACCATTTACCTTTTTCCCTTCCCGTTTTTTCCTTCGTGCCTCCACATCCATATACATCTCCATTGCTTGTATACACTGGTCATAGTGTCGTGCTAGTGACTCTAACAGCATTGCCATTGCATGAGCATGAGTTGCCACTTCTGTTGTTTGATTATGAGCTTCTTCTAACCTTTTTTCAATTCCTGATTTCCACTCTCCAGAGCCAATGCTCGTCCTCGCAATCCGTTCAATATTTTCAACTAGTTGTGGAACTGCCATGCATGAAAAAGCAGCAATCTTTTGGGAGATTTTCCGCACAATGCTATCAGTATCAGCATGAGCTTGCTGAATCACGTCTATGGCAGCTGTTGTAGTATTTTTGAGCTGGGAAACAGCTTCTTCGTCAACAAAGCTTCGTAGGTTCCGTGCCACAACTGAACTTATTTCTGGAATATTAGCCTTGCTTGCGCCATTTTCTTCGGCTATTTTAAAACTCCTCTTCAAGTTGTCATATTCTATTGCTGTGTCCAACTTACATGATTCTAATAGTTGCAATGCTTTTGTAAGTTTCCTGTCTTCTTCATCCAAGAGCTCTAACGATGTCTATTGACAAATGTTAGTAGCTATACAAAAATCTCTTCCAAATATTTGTCTTAATCATACCTCAAATACCGTTCGACTTTTGGTAATACTGATAGTAACTTTTTCTTGAATCTGTTTTAGAGTATCTATCTGACCAGTTAAGGCTGTGTACAAGTACTGAGATTGTGCCCATAGTACTGATGCATTTTCTAGTTGTAAACGTACATCGGACAGAAGCGAATTAGCATCAGTGCAAATAGGCCCTGCAATGGAAAGTGATTCTTTGGCTTCTTGAATCCAGCGATCAAGCTTTATGTAAAGTACACTGTCGCTGGTGGTACTAGTGTTGGTGCTAATAGTTCCGCCGCCGCCACCCCCGATCGCCGGCTTGGTATCTGTGTTATCTTTAAGTATTGTACTCGAGGAAACTGGTGTCCTCGAATGATCACGAATAGGGGGGTTTATAGCCGAGCTCATAGTCGTGAAAAAACATAAACCATTGCCAACGATTTAAAAGATTCTAAAATATTTTACTTTTATTGATTTTTTTTTTTTTGGTTATTGGCTTTGTCTCAAAATAAAAACAGGGCCCATAAAAAACGATGTGATTAGCAACTCCAATATCTCAGTGCTGTAATATATTCAATGACTTATTTTACGCCGTATGTGCAAGGCTTAACATCAGAGGGAATTTATGAATCAGGCACAAACATTTACTGAATTAGAATACAACCCAAATCCAAATCGGTGTATGGTTCAAAAAAGTCATCGGTTTGATGCCTGATGTATACTATTATTATTCCATTTTTTTTATTACCTAGCGATGATAGTCAATGACTTCTTTTTTTTTTTACCCCTGAGTCGTCTGAATATTCAACGGCACGCGGCTGCATGTGTAGGAAGAGAATTTTTAAAGATTCTAACTTCAAACTAAAAAAGTCCGGCCAATAATTTGAATATCTTTGTTAATCTTTGCCAAAAAAAAAAAAAAAAAAATCTAAAAACAAAGAAAATGATTTTTTATTAATTTTTCAATGATTATTGATAGGTGTGGGTTTGACATGCAAGTCATAAAAATCTTGGGGAATGGAAAGGGTCCATTTTTTTCATCATAGTTCAAAAAAAACATGCAGATCCCCTAATGAACAATTACCTCGAATGAGATATATATCCTCATTTATATCACAGTTTTAAATTTTTTTTCAAAAAAAAATATAATTAATATACCTTTTTTTTTTTTATTTCTGCAAGTATGAATATCTGTTTTACCATCAAAGCTTTTAGGCTTTTCTTTCAATTCATACAACAAAGCATCCATGGGTTTTAAAAAAAGTTCAAATCAAATTATGTTTAAAATTTTTTTTTACAAAAAGCGATATATTTTTTACATTTAAATTCAATCATTATATATTTTACAAAAGTATATATATAAAAGGTTAGGATTTCTTGGAAATACAAAAGACATTCTTAGACCTTGTTCACCCTTTTTCTCCACTCCGAAATTCATTTTTTCCACATTACCATATCAACAAAACCTCTTAAATTTCATCTTAAATTTTGATTTTTGATTTTTTTCATTCTGTTATTTATTTCATCAAAAATTATTTCTTCGATATCCACAATGATTAGAGGGCAATAAAAGCTTGCTTTCACCATAGCTAACTTTTTCTCGGAGATTTCCCGATATTTGAAACGCAGTTCTATTTAAAACCAGATTATTGAAATTTTTTATTTTTTATTTTTTTGGATCCGTAAAACATTCAAATACCTAGATTTTGTTAAAGTTTTAGGTATATTTTTAAAGTATGCTTATAAGCATAAATAAAGATATAATTATATCTTTATTTCATTCTATGGGTTTATTTTTTATTTGTTACTTCAATTTGTATCATCTCTGATTATGAAAAATTCATCACCAATAAAAACCTAATAAGTATAAGGGATTCTCTTTATTTTCTTTTTTTTTTTTTTTTTTTTTTTTTTTTTTTTCTTTTCTTTTATTTTTTGTAGACTTATTTTCTTGTAGAAATTCTAAAAATACAATTTTTTTTTATTAAAATCAAAATGGTCGGTGAAACACCGATCTTTTGAAGATTCGATACCAAGTGGATTATTTCTTCTCACCAGTGTTTCTTTTTATCTCAACTTTTTTTAATTTTACAAACCGATGAAAGACAAATAAATTGATAAAATGAAAAAAAAATTACCATGACAGCATATCTGGATCTTATTAAATATCACGTTTTAATGTACTTTAATTACAGCAATATCAAATTTCATCAGATTTTTAACTACAACTCGACTTTAAAAACTTACATATATGTATATATAACTATATATATATAGTTTGTTAATAAAAAAAAAATTGGTCTTTGGAAGAAAGCAAAATTTCACTTTGTGAATATGTAATTATGACTTTTGTTCAAATGCAAAACAATATACAAAAAAAAGAAAAGAAAATTTGAAAATAAAATGCAAAGATGAAATGAAACTGTGTCATCAATTATAGACTTCAGCATGTGTCATTTTCAGCCAGTTGGCAAAGTTGACATTATTCATAAACTCCTTGTAAATCTCCTGCTTTTTAAAGTCGTCCAGTTCCTCACCATTACCAGCAGTACCATGATGATGACTTAACGTGCTATCACTATTGTCAACTGATGTTCCAAATGTTGTAACTGGCAGTGCACTACTGATGTCAAATCCTTTATCCTCGTCTCGATCAGTGTGTGATGACGTGGACGAGTCAAAAATGGATGAAACGCGACGCAGACTAATACGCTTGGAACCGCTGCTAGCACGGCGTGAATCATCCATGAGAGTTGCTCCAGATCCAGGAACAACCGAAGAAATAACACTACCACGTGGACTATTGGTGATCATGCTGGGTATACTATTTCCATCGCCACTGGAACTATGCTTGTGCTTAGAATCGCCGCTACTACTCTTACGAGAAGTACTGCGGCCAGAAAGGGATCGGAGTAAAGACACAGCATGGCTTCCAGGACCAGATGAAAAATGGGAACTTGTGCTTGGTGCTGGAGGTGGTGGCTGAACAAAAACAGAAGGGGTAGTTTTGCTATTGCTCGGTGAGCCTTTAGAGCTACTCCCACTACTGTTTCGAGAGTGGGACGACAAACGACGGGAAGAAAAAAAAGAATGGTGGGCTTTTTCTTTTTCAGCAGATCCAGAAGACATTGACTGGGCGTGGGGAGAAGTAGTACTCGACCCAGGACCAGAAGTAGGAGTATAAAACGATTGTAAGTCAGCAAAGTAGTCCTCATCATCATCTAAATTGTTAAGAGTGAGAGTAAGCGTAGGAGGAAGAGAGTATCTTTTTGGCTTTTGTGGAGTGCCCGGTGAGCCATCGGAGGTATGAGAGCCAGTACCATTGGGTTTCTTTCCAGCCTTGGCTTTTTGAGAGGGTTTGCCGGACCTTTTAGAAGATTGGGCAACATTAGATGCGCTGCCATTGATAGTGGGTAATGTCAGATTGTACATGCTCTGAGTGAGATTAGTAGTGCTAGCACTCTGACCAACAGAAGAACTTTTCACAAGTTTACCAAACTTCTTGCGCTCTTTTGGAGGTGTGATACCCTGAGAAGAATGAAGCACAGGTGGTGCTGCAAGAGTAGGCGCATTGGGTTGGGTGGTTCCATTTACATGCCTTGAAGAGGAAGAAGGCTTGGAGGGAGTAGAATTTAACAAAGGCGCAGAAACAGTGCTAGATGCATTAGAGTTGGCAACTGTGGAGCCATTACTAGTACTTTTATTAGCTTTGTCAGTGGAAGCGCTAAAACTGGTGATAGTAGCGGTGCTGCTACTACTGGTAACGCGTGGCTTATTAGAGCGGCCTATGTATTCGCTGTCACTTTCAAGGTCGCTATTGGTTCCTGTATTGAGCGGGCTGCGACCTGAAGAAACACGACGTGAGCTATTGGATAATTCCATGCTCATTCTGCGGCTTCCTTGATGAGGAATAACTAGATTGTTACCCGAGGAAGAAGTCAGGTTAAACGCAGAAGAAGAGGCAGCGACGTTAGACATGATGGGGCTTAAGCCACCGTTAATAGTATTACGATCCCCAATCTCAATCTTGGGTTCTAGGAAGCAAGAGAGCGGTGCGAGGAAACGGGAAGTAAGAGTAGCAAAATGAAAGCGAATAGCAAAATCAATGGTCTTAGGGGTGCCCAAAATTTTGGCAATCTCATCAGGACTGATTGTTCCAGTCTTGGATTCGCGAACAGCCATGACGTATTCAATTGTCTTGGGAATTGCCAGTTGAAGCGCTGATGCTGACATTTGGGTAATTTGAGCAACAAACTTTGACTCAGGAATAAGTAGTCGACCATTCTTGGTAATATGGGTAATAGACCGGCGCATAGCAGCACGAGCAGTAATATTAAGTTCTTCTTGCTGTTTATTCTTTAATTGAGAAGCAGATTCTTGGAATTGTTGCTGGAAGTTGTGCTGCTGAATTTTCAGCGTAGCATTATTAGAAGATGCGTGGCTTGTATGAAAACCACTAGCTGTGCGGGGTCGCTCTTCAAGAATAGTAACAATTGGAGTATTTTTACCTTGCGATGATCCAGCAGTGGTAGAGTTAGTGACTGGGACCGTTTTGTAACTCGAATTTGTACTAGAGTTATGGGATTTGGTCGAAGTATTTGGTGACGGCGTAGATCGTGAAGAGGGAGAAACAACTGATTGCCGCTTTGATAACCCAAATTTGGAAAAAAACTTATTGATGAGGCCATTCCCATTTGGGTTAGAGCTTGCTGAAGGTGTTGAGGTGGGATGCGCTTTTTTAGGTGAGGTGGTTGGAGAAGAAGTATGCTTATTTGCAACAGTCTGATAATTTTGGCGATGTGCGGTAGATGCTGTATCAGCTGTAATAGTAGGAGGTATAGTAGGACTTGAAATAATTACAAAATTGGCAAAAGAAGTCCAAATATTGTTTTGTCTCCGTAAAATTCCAACACCACTGTGAAAAGTTCGGTAGTAGAAATAAGGAGAAGTAATGTGTTGCTTACTGAGAGCAAGGTTATAATTATTATTAGAAGCTGAACCAGAACCAATAGAAATTGCAGTGGCCAGTTTTGCAGCATGTTTTTGCGAGGCGATAAGCTTAGCGTTTGGAGACAAAACAAAAAGCAAAATATTTTTGTTGCGGGAAATGGACAATTTACTGGTAGTACTGTGACAAATTCCAGAGGTATTCATGTTGCCTACAGAATCCATAGATATGCCGAAAATACTTTCCAGCAAAAAGGGGCTGGTGATGCCGGTGATACCAGACTCAAAATCCAGGGGTGCGCATTGAGGCGTCACATATTCTCTGACCCTGCCTCCGTATGGGATAGGTCGAATCAAGTCCAAGATAAGCGAAATAAAAGTTGAAACTAAGTGTGGAGAATTACCATAAACCACAATAGGCTTACCTAGAAGGACATACTCGTAGATGAGATAAATATCAGCAATGTCAGAAATGTAATTAATTATGTAATCCCAAGTTCCAGAGGGCTCGGAGGCAGTGATGACTGGGGCGTCAGCTGGAACTGCCGTTTTGGTGTCGAGCATAGACTCTGTAGAAGTGAGATTAGATGTTGATGCATATGCAGTAGGCTTTGGTTGTTTTTTGGTGGATATGTTATTTGTAGAAAAGTTTGTCGAGAGAGAATAAAGTTTATGAGTATTCCTTCCCATGGAATGGAAATGAGCAGAAGAAGAATCGAGATCAACAGTTCCAAGGAGAGGAACAGACTCGTGATGCGGGATCGACACTGTAAAAATGGTTCCCAAAAAGCCCAACTCAAGAGTTGAGTTAGGCTTAGGGTCAGGCCATGTAGTCATATCGGAAATGGCAGAGTTTATAATGTGGAGTTTATATTCGTCGTCTCTTGAAAAGTCATTGTTGGGACGACCTGCAACATCATAAATGACCTGCAAACATGCGTTGAAAAGCTGTGGGTAGTTAAGTCTGGAAAGGATAACAATTGAATCCTGGAAAACAACACCCTCGTTGGTGACTGTAGTGGAGGCTAAGACAAAGCCATAAATATCGGGCCGTTTGGTTGAAGTTTGATTATTTGTGTCCAAAGATCTGTCAGCGGCTAAGGAAGAGGATGAGGCCAAAGTAATGGGGAAAAAAGGTTGCGACGACGGAACCCAAGGAGATTTTGCAGAAGCAAAGCGAGATGAGGGGATCACCGTTGTTGGCGACGGTTCAAACCTAAAAGAGTGAAACTGAGACGTGCATGAGCTAATGGAAGGTCCTTCTAAATTAGCGGCAGCTTGTTTTGAAAAAAAATTGGTAACAGTGCAATCAAGGTTTGGAGTTGGTTCAGGCAGTGCACAAGAACTAATGATTTGAGTATCATCTTTACTAAAAGAAAAAAACGAAGATTCCTCAGGAAGCAACGATTTAATAACTGGGAGAGAATCTGCAGAGTTGTTATGAGTTACTAGGGCAATTGCGACGGCCCATTTACCTAAACCTGCTGCTGCAGTTTTGAGAGAGCTACCATGGGTGCTGTTAGGATTGTTGGAAGGTGAGTTGAGAGACAAAGGAGTTTTTGGTGTTGCGGGAGAGCTTAAAGCCGTACTACTATTGGAGCTACGTAGTAGTCTAAGAGAAGGTGACCTATGTTGTGACTTTGGAGGAAGAGTTGGTGGGGTTGATGAAGAATGGATTGAAAGTGGTGCCACTGGAGGGATAGTTGTATGGGTTTGCATTGGAGGAGTAGGAGGAGCAGGGGATGATGATTCCGAAGAAGAATGGCCAATTTCCAAAGGGGTGACTGGCGAGAGGATGGAGTGGTGCCGAGTGATAAGTGCAGGAGGGGCCGAATGCAGAGTAGGTGCCAATGGAGCGGTCTGGGGGATAGGCTCCAGTGGGGGAGGCCGTTTAGTTTGATGATAGGTGATGGACAATGGCGAGGTAACTGGACGTGCTGAAGAAGATGTTGCTGTTGGTACTGCTGCTGCCGCTGCTGCTGCTGATGTTGGTACTGTTGGTGCTTCTGTTGGTGGTGGTTGCAGGGACGACAACGACGGCGAAGATAATGCAGTCAGCGGAGGGTGATGTGGTTGTTGCTCAGCCAAAGAAAGGCTAGACGCCGATTGTAAAGCCGCAGCTGATGCAGCGTCCGAAGCCACGGATGCAGAATGATTATTATCGTCCAGAATAGTACTGTCGATAGAAGGAGGAGCCTCAGTATCGTCTTCAATTTGAGCTTGAGCTTGTTCTTGAAGAGCTGCAAGTTGTTGCTGAAGCTTGAGCATTTTAGAATCTGAAGATGCAGATCCTGGAGTTGTAGTTCCTGAGCTTGAAAGAATTGGAGATGGTGGAACTGTGGCTGCAGATGTTGTAGAGTAACGCTTGTCACGGTCCAACAGGCGGATCTGGGTAGTTGAATTGACACGTCCTGGTGACCTAGGAGGAATAGGTGGAGCTTCTAAGGATTTTGCTGGAGAATAGAGCATTGGAGGTTTCCTGGACAAGCCGAGCTGTTGTTGTTGAGCCTGTGGATGCTGTGGAATCATTGGAGTTGTTGGAGTTATTGGAGTATGTGGAATCGAGGAAGTTAATGAGGAGACAAAGGAGTCAGTGCCCGAGGCCGAAATTGATGAATGGTCGCTAGACGACGCACTTGATGAAGACAAAGACCCTGTCATGTCAATCGGAGGGTCAGTACTTGACTGATTTGACAGCATGGTCATTTGTAAATAAATATAAATTTTTTATAAAAAAATTATATATATAAGGAAGTTGAAAAAAAAATTTTTTGTTTAAATTGTTGAAAAGTGGTGAAGAAAAAGAGAAAGAAATAAAGAAATAAAGAAATAAAGAAATAAAGAAATAAAAGCCACCGGAATATTTTTTTTTTAAAGCTTAGCGAGTATATATATACTGCAGTGTCAATTTGTTAATTAATTAATTTATTTATTTCATTTATATACTTGCATGGTGCCGACAACAAGGCAGCTCTAAAAAAAAAAAAAAAAAATTATATAAGGATTAGTCATCGATTACACATTAACTGAAAAAAAAAATTTTTTTTTCAAAACCTCCAAAAAAATTTCAAAGCTCAAATCACCAAAAGGTAAAAACCTGCCACACACACACACACAGAAAAGTTTTCAGGATTTTTCAATCTCACTGAAGTTATACATATATTTTCAAAAATGGCCAAGGACAAATCATCAAAAAAGGAATCTAAGGTGTCTAAGGAGACTAAGGAGACTAAGGAAGTCACCAGTACCGAAATCGACAACTACGAAAAGCGCATGCCCGCGCTGCTCCCCTTTGCATCACCGCTAGCACCAAAGAAACTCAACAAAAAGATTCTTAAGACCGTTAAGAAGGCATCCAAGGCTAAGCACGTTCGTCGTGGTGTTAAGGAGGTTGTTAAGGCTTTACGCAAGGGTGAAAAGGGCATCGTTGTTGTTGCCGGTGATATCTCCCCTCCCGATGTCATTTCGCATCTGCCTGTTCTTTGCGAAGACTTTAAAGTCCCATACGTCTTCATCCCCTCTAAGGAGGACCTGGGCTCTGCCGGTGCTACTAAGCGACCAACATCTTGTGTCATGGTTGTTCCTGGTGGTTCCAAGAAGAAGGCTGACGACGCGTCAAAGACTGAAGAATACAGAGAAGGCTTTGATCAAATTGTCAAGGAGGTCGAGACTATTGCTTAAACAAAACAAAACAAAACAAAAAACATCCTTTTATGATCCCACTACACACACACACCCACACACACCCTAAAAAAAGAATCTTCTTTAACTGCATAGATAGAAATGACTGTGTTTACGAATTATTAATGAATTGTGAAATTAAATAAAAAAAATAGTAAAAAAATAGTAAAATCTTTTAAAATGAAACAAAAGGCATATAAGACATTCTAAATCTACAGCTGAGCCTTAACCCAACCTTCAAGGCCACCTTTAACAATAATCTCTTGAAGATTCTTGCCAAGTTCACCAACTTTTTGTGTCAGAACAACTGGTCCATTCTGGCCATCGGTAACAGTCACAGTAGAGCTCTTAACGTCCCACTTGATGAACCAACCAGTTCTCTGGGTAACATCCTTGTTCTCGCCATACTTCTCTCTAAGCATGTTAATAAGAGCAGGAATTTCCAATGTCAGCAGAGCATTATTGATACTGTTTCTGCTAAAAATGTTACCAAAGGAACCAGCAACAACCAGTTGGATTCCACGGGCCAAAATGCATGTAGCGGCCTGTTCACGACTCGAGCCTGTGCCAAAGTTGAAACCACTGATGATAACATCACCAGCATGGGTCTTGGAACCAAAATCAGGATCGTAGTTCTCCATGCACACCTGGGCCATCTTCTCTTTAGGAACATCATCTTCATATGTATACTTGCCCGGGTAAATGGCATCAGTATTAATGTTGTCTGCATCACACAAAACGAGCTCTCCTTCGATAACTTCGGGGAAACCCTCAAGAATGCTTCCAGAAGAAGTTTCAGGAGCAGAAACCTCGGCAGGAGCAGCAGAGGCATCGGCAGCAGGATACTCGATAGAGTGCTTGATGCCACCAGCATTAGCAGGTGCTTTACCATCAATCTCCTCGGGGAAACCAATTTTACCGAGAACAGCAGAAGCAGCGACAACCTCAGGAGAGGCAAGGTAAGCAAGAGCATCACGGGAACCCATTCTACCCTTGAAGTTACGGTTAGTGGCGGAAATACCAACCTCACCATCCTTCAAAAGACCAGCACCAAGGCCAATGCAGGGTCCGCAGCCAGCGGGAAGAGGAATGGCACCAGCTTCTAACAGAGTCTTCCATGCACCATTCTTCTCAGCATCCTTTTGCACAACGCTGGAGGCAGCACCAACGTAGAATTCAACGCCATCAGCGACCTTGCGACCCTTAATAACCTTGGCTGCAGCCTCGATATCAGAAAGTCTCGAATTAGTGCACGAAACAAGGTAAGCCTTTTGAATTGGGATGTTCTTAGCAGAAAGCTCAGCAAGAGATGTGGAAACCTTGACAGAGTTAGGACCAGAAACAATGGGAGAAACTGTGCTCAGGTCGAGAGTAAGCTTCTTAGCGTACTTGGCATCAACATCAGCGTGAATTTGAGCCTTTTGGAAAGCCTCAACAGTCTCAGCGTTAACGCGGGGGTGGGGCTGGGGGAGAACCAACAACCGGTTCTTGTACCAGTTAATAAGAACATTGTCAACAGGGAAAAGACCACTAAGGGCACCCCATTCAGTTGTCATGTTTGCGATAGTAAGACGCTCATCGACAGAAAGGTGCTCAAGACCATCACCGACAAACTCAATGGCATGATTCAGAACCTCGTCATTGTTAAAGATGCCGCACAAAGCAACAATAACGTCTTTACCGGAAGCACCAGCAGGCAGCTTACCTTGGAGTTCGACCTTGGCCACAGGTGGGACCTGCCACCAAGTCTGGCCAGTAGCCCAGACCGACGCAGCGTCCGTGCGGACAATTGGGGTACCAAGGCAACCAACACCACCATAAGTGTTAGAGTGTGAATCAGAAGCAACTGTCAGGTTATAGGGGAAAGCATAGCCTTCCTCAACCATGATTTGATGGCCGATACCTCTGCCGGCAGGGTAAAAGTCGAGGCCTTGCTTCTTAGCAAAGTTCTCAATATTTCGGTACTTTTCAAGATTCTTTTCGCTCTTGTTTTGAACGTCGTGATCCAGGGTCAAAACAACCTGGTTAGTGTCCTTAACACGGGTGGCACCCAATCCCATAAACTTGGTGGCAACGGGCCACGAGTTATCATGGGTCATGCAGTGAGAGGGCTGGACCGAAACGTAGTCGCCAGACTGGACCTTCTTGCCTGGAGCCAGACCAACTGCATACTTCTGTACAATTTTCTCGGTAAGATTCTGAGGAATACCGGCGGCCGTGGCAAGCGTTCGGCGGGTAATCATGGATCGAGCAAAGCTCTGTAATCTGATTGAGGATATCATTATTTCTGTTCTAATCAAACTTTTGTAAAATGAAAAGATAGAATAATTGTTTTTTTTTTTTAATATATTTTTAATATTTTTTTTTTCTAGAATGCGGAGAAGAGCTTTCAAAAGGACTTTTGACTCATTTGAAAAAAAATTTTCAGTACAGCTTAGAAACTTGGGAGCAACGATTGGTCTAGAACATTCCCTATATATTACAACAGTTTCTTTCGGCCCCGATATCGCTCACGTGATTAAACTTTTCTTTGAGGTGTTGCAAATAATTTTTTTTTTTTTTCTGAGAGCTACCAAAAAAACCTTTTTTAATTAATTTACAATAAATACATTTTAAACGACTATAAACCATTCAATATGAGCCACCAAAACAACCCCGGGTCTATTAATGACCCGGCTTTGGACTCTGCTACACTCCCATACAGTAAGTAGATTACTGTTGTTTTCTCTAAAGTGGTTTGTTACTAAAAACAATTAACATTCAGTCCACAGTCTTTTTACATCTATGGCCTCGTCTTCCGTAAATATCGTGGTTGGCTCTCCATTATCAAACTATGAAACAGGTATGTTGTCACATCCATAAGAATCTAAATCAAACTAATAAAATAAGAAATTCCATTGGCTTTGTTTGAGCACGGATATACTTCTAAAAATCAATCGATTCTTGTTAGTAACCCACGCGAAGATTGTGTGAAAACTACTGCCGCACGGGCTGTACGCAGTTATTTAAGTAGCTCAAATGGTCAATCGTCCTACACGTCGCCAGGCTTAGGCCACTTGGTAGGCTTTTCTCTTCCATTTCTTTCGGCTACCAGCACTGCAACTCGTATTGAATATGTGTCTTCTGATATCATGATGCAAGAAACCACAATCGACCCATTACTTTCAAACAGAAGAGTCCTGGTAGTTGACGGTATTCATTTAAGAGAAACATGGACAGATGTAGCTCTAGGATTACTGCAAAGCATTATTCATTATCGGCAAAAAAACATAGTTAAACGAGAACATAATTTATCCGATTTTAATCTTATTCTTTGCATATCACCCACCTGTCCACAATTGATTGACATTCTGTGGGAATTTTTCACAATTAATGGATCGCAAAAACCTTCAATTACTATTCTAAACGATTTAACTTTAAGTGTCCTGCCATCTGAAGTCTACCACCTTAATACGCCTATATCAAATTATTTGGACAAGTGCTTAGACGTCTTATTGACTGTTTTTTCCCAAGACTATTTTTCATTAAACAAAAAGGCTGATTTTCAAGAAACTGGCCGTGATATTATTGTATTTGTTCCCACTCGACGTGATGTTAAAAATTTAGTAAGGCTAGCATCTAACGAACTTCCACATCGACTACGAGAAAACTTATCCCTCCACCATTCTAATGTTATAGTTTTGCCTTGTCATGAAAAGCTTAGTGTCTCCGAAAAGCAGGATCTTTACAACACTGAATACTTTTCTGATAACGAGAATAATACCATTACTTGGCGCGTTATTGTTGCAACAAACTCAGCTGAAAATGACTATGCCTTATTGGCTTCTCGCAGAATCACCTGCGTTATAGACACCGGGTTAGACTCTGTCGACATTTCTAGCTCAGGTGCAGCGATTCGCACAAGACCAATATCTAAATCAAAGGCCGAAATACGAAGAAGTATGGCAGGCTCTGGAATTAAAGGCATTGGAAAGTGTTTTAGACTATATCGCAAAGAATACTTTACCCAAATTATGCCTTTAAATGATGACCCACAACTCATGACTCTCATGTCTGTAACAGGAGCTTCAAGTTCGGCAACAGATATAAATGGACTTTTAGAAACAGTTATATTAAGGCTATTCTCTCTTCAAATCAAAAGCTTAACCACCGAAGTAAATTTTATTCCACCAATAACGCTATCTTCCAATCTCTTACAAAGCTATTCCTCTACAAGCAATATCTCACACAAAGATTCGGTTTCTAAAGGTATCGACAAATCTCTTTTAAATCTATTTTATGCTGGATGCATAGATTCTAAATCTAGACTCACAAACATCGGACAATTAGTGGCGCAATTTGGATCTGTGCCTATTTCCTTTGCGAGAGCAATCATTGCATCTTCTGGAATCGATGATCTCGATGATTTGTGTGGAGGATGTTTGTATGAAATGGTAACAATCACAGCAATCTACCTAGCTGGAGGTCTCACTAAAACATTTGTTGAACCTTCCTCTTCTTCTTTTGCATCAGATTCTGTTTCTCAATCAAGTGCCGCTGCAGCTGCACGTTTAGAGTTTCAAGCTATAGAGGGGGACGCTATTACCTTATTAAATGTATTTGAAGCGTACTTACAACGGGCGCATCCCCCAAATCTGGGTAAAAATAGCAATCTGCCTAATGTTCCTCGTTGGGCAGCCGATAAATTTCTCAACTACCAAACTCTTTTACGAGCAGAAGGAATCCGCACTCAGCTGGTCTCCGATGCCGAGCGAATTGGTCTCACTAAATCTAATATTTTGGCAAAAAATAAGAACCAATTGCCCCTTGTGGAAAAAATATGTCGGTCTCTGTGTAAAGGGTTTTTCATGAACGCCGCAAAAAGAACATATGTCAGCACAGATGTCGATCTGGAAAACATCACTAACCAGAGCAGACGCCGTAATGATTCGGGTATTCGATACGAGCTTATTAACGCATCATCTACGATCCTAGGAAATCAAGCCAAAAACGGGGGTGGAGAAGATACTATATCTGTCAGAGCACATGGTTTAAGTGTTGGAAGTATGTCTGAGTTTGCACAGCGTGCAGATACACGGCAACTTTTTGGACATCTAGATTCACCAGAATCAGAATTTGGCTGCCCTTGGGTTGTATACACTGGCATGTCTGAATATGGTCAGGGAGAATGGTACCTTGAAAGCATCATACCCGTACGCCGAGAATGGCTTGTTAATTCTAGGTATTATAAAGAAGTTCGGCCTACTTGAAAAAATACCTGGTTATGTGTGAGAATTGCAGTTTGAAATTCCATTTGTTATTGTGATTTTTTGATTAAAAATAGAAGAGTAGTGATATATCTCTTGGTACTTGTGAGTCGTGGGGTCAGCAAGTTTGAAATGGTCACAAGCATGAATGTCATGTCATTTCATCATATATATGATCAATATATTGAAAAATTTATATATATATATAAATAAATTATAATATATATATATATATATATATTATATCCTGTTAAAAAAATACCAATTACCACAAAAGATAGGAAATATATTGAAATTCTGGATTTTTTTAAAAAATTTACTTTTGTCTTCTCATAAAACCCATAAATTTTGTTCCCAAATTTTGTGAATAGATTTACAAGCCTCAGACGAAATATTGGAAAATAACTCATCTATCTTCACGGTCAGGATTTAGTGTTAAAAATGATTCATTATTCAATTTATATCTTAATTAATAGAATTTTGCTGACCATATTTTATATGCATCCGGTTACTTTAACTTAACCCAAACCTTGTAATTTGTCCGAGCTTTAAATCACGATTAAACGGGGAATAAATATTACCATGCTGAGTAATAAGTTTATTGACTACTTTTTATAAAGTTATTTTATTTGCCTTTTTTCATTTCAAGGAGTCAAGAAAGCAATTTTTCTCTAGCTAATGGCATCCAAAAGACATAGAAACTTATTTTTTTTTTTTTTGAATAAAAAAGAGAGTGAAACATATGATCATTCATTGTCTTCAAAGCCAAGGCAGATTGCATCACATTGAAATTTGTTTTTGTCGCACTTTTTTTTAACTGAATTAAATTTATTCAACTTTATCGCAGTTCAAGGCTGAATAGTTTGAAAAATCTTAATAAAATTTAATTTTGAGGTTAACTCTAAATTACCCTCAGAAATGACTATTCCCATTAACTTGTTAATTCAAAATGATTTTATTTTTTTTCAATTATGTATTCAAGATAAATATAATAAATAATAGAAGCCATTAATCATAAATGGCCTATGTTGTTAAATGTCAAATTTAATACCAATAGTAAAGTCCTTAAGATCTCTTGTTGCTAACAGCTGAGCCGGAACCACTGCCAGTGCCTGCACCAGAGCCAGTGCCAGTGCCAGAACTCTTATCTGTAGAAGAGCCGGTACCAGTGCCAGTACCAGTGCCTGAACCTGAACCTGAAGCAGCAGTTGCACCGTTGGCACCAGCAGCAGTGGCAGCAGCAGCACCAGAACCAGAGCCAGAGCCAGCGCCAGCGCCAGCACCTGAACCAGTACCATCACCATTGCTGCCAGTTCCGGTACCAGTACCAGTACCAGTACCAGAGCCACCGCCAGAAGCTGAAACAGTAACACCACCAGAAGTAGCAGAACCCGAGCCAGAACCAGAACCGGTACCGGTACCTGTACCTGTACCAGTGCCAGAGGAGTTAGAATCAGTACCACCATAACCGGAGCCAGAACCAGAACCGGAACCAGAACCAGAACCTGAGGCAGAAACAGATGCACTACCAGTCTTAGAAGTGTCAGGAGCAGCGCTGGAGCTGGTTCCAGCATTGCCAGTACCGGTGCCAGTACCGGTGCCAGAAGCAGTACCAGAGCCTTGAGATCCAGCACCAGTGCTGGTGCCAGTACCAGTAGCAGCACCAGATCCAGAGCCAGATCCAGAGGCATTAGCACTGGAACCATTTGAATCAGAAGAAGTCTTACCGTTACCAGTACCCTCACCATTTGCAGTAGAGTTACCAGCACCAGTACCAGAGCTTCCAGAGCCATTACCAGTACCAGTACCAGAGCCATTAGTGTTGGTAGTGCCACCGCCAGAAGCAGATGCGCCAGGAGTAGAAATAGCAGCGTTTACATTACTGTTACCGTTACCAGTTCCAGTACCCGTGCCAACACCTGCAGTTCCGGAGGCACTGCCACCGTTGCCTTGCCCAGAAGCGTCAGCATTACTCTGAGAGTTCCCTTCAGCAGAGGCAGATCCGTTGCCAGCACTGGTAGAGCCACCACCGGTACCTTTGCCGGAACCCTGGCCTTGACCAGTTCCGTTGTTGGTGCTAGAGGTAGGAGAAGCAGTGGCAGAACTGGAAGAAGTAGGGGTGGAAGAGGAAGTAGTAGTGGGGGCAGCACTGGATGAAGAAGTAGTGGTTGGAGCAGCGCTGGAAGTCGTGGTACGAGAAGCACTCGAAGTCGTGGTACAAGAAGTACTAGAAGTCGTGGTTGGAGCAGCACTGGAAGAAGAAGTAGTGGTACGAGAAGCACTTGAAGTCGTGGTAGGAGCAGCACTTGAAGTCGTGGTAGGAGCAGCGCTGGAAGAAGAAGTAGTGGTTGGAGCAGCGCTGGAAGAAGAAGTAGTGGTTGGAGCAGCGCTGGAAGAAGAAGTAGTGGTTGGAACAGCGCTAGATGAAGAAGTAGTGGTTGGAGCAGCGCTGGAAGAAGAAGTGGTTGGAACAGCACTGGAAGTAGAAGTAGTGGTTGGAGCAGCGCTGGAAGTAGAAGTAGTGGTTGGAGCAGCGCTGGAAGTAGAAGTAGTGGTTGGAGCAGAGCTGGAAGTAGTGGTACGAGAAGCACTTGAAGTCGTGGTTGGAGCGGCGCTAGATGAAGAAGTAGTGGTAGGAGCAGCGCTGGAAGTAGTGGTTGGAGCAGCGCTAGATGAAGAAGTAGTCGTTGGAGCAGCGCTAGATGAAGAAGTAGTCGTTGGAGCAGCACTGGAAGAAGAAGTAGTGGTTGGAGCAGCACTGGAAGTAGAAGTAGTGGTTGGAGCAGCACTGGAAGAAGAAGTAGTGGTACGAGAAGCACTTGAAGTAGTGGTTGGAGCGGCGCTAGATGAAGAAGTAGTGGTAGGAGCAGCGCTAGATGAAGAAGTAGTGGTAGGAGCAGCGCTAGATGAAGAAGTAGTGGTAGGAGCAGCGCTAGATGAAGAGGTGGTGGTAGGAGCAGCGCTGGAAGAAGAAGTGGTTGGAACAGCACTGGAAGTAGAAGTAGTGGTTGGAGCAGCGCTGGAAGTCGTGGTACGAGAAGCACTCGAAGTCGTGGTACAAGAAGTACTAGAAGTCGTGGTTGGAGCAGCACTGGAAGAAGAAGTAGTGGTACGAGAAGCACTTGAAGTCGTGGTTGGAGCAGCGCTAGAAGTGGTAGTAGATCCAGATCCAGATCCGCTAGCATTACCGCCAGTGCCAGAACCACCAGAGCCTCCAGTACCAGAGCCTCCAGAGCCACCAGTTCCAGAGCCGCCAGTAGATCCGGAACCAGATGCATTACCGCCGGTACCAGAGCCACCAGATCCACCAGTACCGGAGCCGCCAGCACCACCAGTACCAGAACCGCCAGTGTTTCCAGAAGAAGAATTGTTGGAGCTGGAGCCACTGTTGGTTTTGCCTGAGTTAGACCATTTTCCCTTAGACTTACTAGTGCTGGTTGGAGCTGCAGAACTAGAAGAAGTTGTAGAAGCTGCTGTAGCACTGCTTGAGCTAGAAATGGTTGAAGTTACTGTAGGACCAGCTGTGGTAACAGTAACGACAGCCTCACCACCTGAAGCATTACCGCCAGTACCGGAACCACCAGATCCACCAGTACCAGAGCCTCCAGAACCACCAGTTCCAGAGCCACCAGTAGATCCGGAACCAGAAGCACTACCACCAGTGCCAGATCCACCAGATCCACCAGTACCGGAACCGCCAGCACCACCAGTACCAGATCCACCAGTAGATCCAGAACCAGAAGCATTACCTCCAGTACCAGATCCACCAGAACCGCCGGTACCAGATCCACCAGCACCACCACTACCAGATCCACCTGTAGCACCAGAACTTGTACTCTTCAATCCTCTCTCAACAATGTAGGATCTCACTTTTGAGGCTTCAGGACCAGCCTTGGCCTCAGCAAAAGCAACCGCCGCAGCTTCGGGCTCAGCAATTGGAGCTGCGACTGCAGTAGCAATGAATGCAGCATAAAGAGATTTAGAAATTTTCATTTTTGTTGGAAAACTGTTTAGTCAAAATGAATGTGATAATTCAGTATGAGTTGAAGGAATGAATAAATAAATAAATAAAAATAGAGTGTGAGAAATGAATGAATAAAATGCGAATGATAATCTAACAATAAAGATTTGGTTTTATTGCTTGTGATAAAGAATAAAAAAAAAAACAGAATTACCAGAAATTAGTCTTGGTTTATATAGAAATTGAGAAACTAAATTAACTTCTCGTTTTTGAGCATAAAAATTTCAATACAATGTGAATATATGATTATATTTTGTGAGGGCCCCTGTATTCGATCTTGTTTTTTTTCTTGTTTTTTTCATAAGTAAAAGCGGTGAAACGGCTTTTTTTGGAACGGATTATTTTGAGAAAGTTTGAAAAGATCCCAAAGCAAATCATAGCAAATCTTAATTACAAAGTTTAAATTTAAGGTTATCACTAAATATCATTTATGAAAAGGTACCAATCTCATCGAATTTTGGTATGTCTCAGGTAAAATCCAAAGCATAAGAGGCCCTGGAATTATAAGGTACAATAGTTATTTTTCCCTGTCATTGGGCATAATAAGTTTAGTCTAAGATTTTTAAAAACATTGAGAGACCCTTGTCCGCAAAAAAGTTAATACAGAACAACATGAGGAAATGTTCAGTAATAACTTGGCATTAGTGAATTTACCATTGTTCTTTCATAAGAAGTCACTTATTTTTTACTAAACACTAATGAAATTTTGTTAATTAAGTAACTTCAAAATTAATCTTAGAGAAGTATAATTTTGAAAAAAAATAGTTGCAAAGTTATTTATTTCAAAACGTAATTTTTAAATTGTTGTTATCTGAAAAAATCAGAGCAAAAAATATCTTGTCCATCTATTGTTTGTATATTGTACCATATTAAAAAAGGGTTACTTGTTTTTAAAAACCTGGGACTTAAGTAGGTCTATAATTGAGTTTTCTATGTGTTTAGTTGTTTGGTAAAAGCATGAAACATGGATAGTATTTGTTTCCAATAAAAAAATCCCTTAACATTCATTAAAAAATTTCTTGAAACTAAAATGAATTTAAAAAATTGATGTCATTGATTATAATCAATGAAGTCATAATTATGACTTTAGAGATATTTGTGTTGTCTTGTAAAAAGTATAGCTTATGCGATAAAAATATGAATATTCATAAAAAAATATTTTAATCACACAAGATCTGATTCACTGTCTCATAGAATAATTGTAAATTTCAATACCGTACTGTAAAAATTATGTTACAAATATTTTGTAAAATGAGGTGGTAAGAATAATAAAAGACTTTTGAATATCAATATAATTTTTTTGTATATTGAACTAAATATTTATTCAATCTTCCCAAGTATTATTCTAAAAAGTATCTTTTTTAATCATATCAAAAAATATGCCACAATTTAAAAAATAAATATAATTATTATATTCTATATATATTTTACTTTAATTTTTCAAAAAACTGTTTAAGTATTTAAGCTAGTTTTTCAACAGTCAAATTTGTGGTTTCTTTATGAAAAATGTCAGATATGGCTTTTCAATTCCAAATTTTTAAAAAATATTAAGATTGGGGTTTATAACTTGACTTTTTTATTTATAACCAGTTACTAGAACTAGAAATATTTTTAGTCTTAATGAAAAAAAGCTATAATGTTACATTTTAAGGTCATGTCAACGAAAAATTGCAAAATATTAGCTTAAAAAATCATGGTTACGACGACGACATTGGTTCAATAGAAATCAATCATCTGAATTTTCCCCTTTGACCATCTTTTAGTATGCTGAATCTATCAAAAATATGTTACTGGTTTTGCTGTAACAAGTAAAAATAAAAGTTTCTAAAGCGCAATAATGAAAGTGCTTTTGGTTCAATTTTACCAAATCATTCTTGATTAAGCTTTAAATATTCTTTCTATAATAAATTCATTACAAATGAACTTTTTCGTTTAAAAAAAGCACCACAGTTAATGGAAAATTATAATTAACTATTATTCAATGTTGATTAAAATTTCATTAAGTTTTCAAGTCTGAAATATGAAATATGAAATATGAAATTTGTAGAGTGATTCAATCTTAGGAGTAATAGTGTTTTTTATAATATTAAATAAATGGTCTTTCACTCTAAAAATTTTAAAAGCAAGTGAGCGATCCGAGATTGTAAATACTGAAAACTTTTTTTTTTAAGTTTCAGTTAAATATATAATATATTCCGTGTATAGATATTGTATCAAGTATAACTATTAATTGGTAGATATTTTAAATCTTATTTTACAAATAAAATAAATGTATATTTTATATCCTAATATTAATATGAATAGATACTTTCGGGTGATACAGTATTGAGTGAGAAAATGATGTGAATATAAAAGTAAATATCATATCATCTTTGTTCATTTCTTAACTTATGACTCTTTTTCCTTTTTTCAAAGTTTAAGACCCCCAAGTTTAACGCTTTATTTTTCAAAACCCACTATAGAACATTATTTATTTGAAATTAAAAGGTTATCTTTTATTTTTTATATAAATGAAAGAAAGGATTTATTGTGACAAATTTGGTTTACATTTTAACATTGTTGTTCTAGTCCTTTTTTAATTTGAAATAACACATCTTAATTATAAAAAAATAAGTTTGAAATAAAAATTTAAAATTTCTGCTCTTTCTAAAACAAGCTTTAAACTTTTTTAAGTCTAAATTTAAATAAAAACAATCGACGACCGTTTGTAAAAAGAAATTCCGCTAATTATAACTGAATCTAACAAAAGTTTTAAATGTTGTGGTCGTGCAGTTCTGTCTGTATTTTTGAACTCAAGATGAGCTAGATATATCTTCAAGTTGCGTGATTACATTACAGGAATATCAACAATTTGTTTAAAGGCAATTAATTTTATCATGACATTGAAAGTCTGATAAAACTTTTTTGGTTTCTTAATGTTTATTTGAAATCCAGCTTAACTGGGCCAAATTGAAGTTATCAAGAAAATGTAATAATTTTAAAAAATAAAATCAAAATATAAAAAATATATATATTTCACGTTAAGTTTTTTACAATATTGTAATATTAGTAAATATATTTAATCCCATTTTTAATCCAATGCCTTTTAAAGTATTAACATTAAAAGCAACATTAGTGCTTACTAAAACAATATTCTGTTAAAAAAAAGCCATTTTTTTAAAGTGGAATACATTTTCAACTTTAAATGATCGAATCCGTCATTATCACATTCCTTTTTTTAAAAAAATGTCATTTTATAATTAATCGTTTGAATATATGGCTGTAGAAAGATGATTTCGCTATTCATATACCAAAAAAATAGTTCCTTTTTTTTTATGAAAGTGTCTTTTTTTTTTTGAGATTTCTGGATTTTAATTTAATCTGCAAAAAAAATCGAAGCTTAATATTTATTGATTAAATTCATAATGATTTTTTATCATTTATCATTTTTTGTTTTTATATTTTGATTTCTATTTTTAAAATCAATCTTTAGAGTATATTAGGATTAATTATTAAATACAGGAATTGTATCATTCAAGTGTTTAAATAGCATGTGCCTATATTGTTTGGGATAATAGAAATTAGAAGATCTAGTTATAAATAGGTTCTGGTTTTAAAAAAATTATCTATTACAGTTAACCTTTGTAGGGATTGAGCTTGGGAAAAATAGAACGTTTCCTTTTTTTTTGAACAGCAATAGCAATCTTTGGCTCAAAAATTAAATTATTTTTAAGAGCTTTATTTACGACTGTTTTTTATGATAAAATGATTAGAATTCGATTAAAAAAATTATGATTAGAGATCTTTTTAAACCCTCATTAATTAAGCCAATTTATAGTTTGTTTGAACCAACTTGGAATCAACAGTTTACCGATTCTTATCATTAAAGATTTTAGGCCTTAAAATCTATTTAAAAATAGAATATATATTAGAGATTTTAAAAAAAATTTATTATGTTGGAGCCTCGTCAATTTCATCGTTCAAGCTGATCATTTTAATTGTCACATGATTGATTGAAATCTCCTGTAATAATCCTAGTTTAAAACGAGTAAATGCCTAGCTATAAGGTTTGATAGTTAATTAATTGATCAAAAGATTTTCTTGTTCCGTTTTTGTAACATGGTGGAATTTTGCATTACTTTTTGGTCATTTATCCATGTTGATCGTGATTGAATTTTGGCATTGCATTTACCCTACATGTGCCTTGTTTTTTTTATATACCAATGAAGAAAAAGTATCTATAGATACTTTATAAAAAAAAATACAATATATATTGTATTTTTTCATTTGTTAAACTATAATATGTGCATCTTCTGTGCATACCTTACAAAAAACACCTTTGCTTTTTTTATATTTAATATAGTATAGAATGGCTGTCATTGTTTTTAAAAAAAAACTGATCATTTAATTTCTAAAATTTTTTGATTTAAACAAAACACAAATTTCTTTCTGAGCCTAGGTCTTAATAATTTGCTAGCATAGTTTCCGCTTTTTTTCTGTTATTTGATAATAAAGTTGAAGGTCTCTTAAGTTAAAAGTTATTCAAAAACTCTTTAAAGAATTGTAAAATATATGTGGATACGACTATAATTTAATCGTAGCTTTTTAAGTTTATTGCTTTTCACGATAATATTTATGTTTCGATATAAAAGCTTAATTATTTAAAGGACATGGTCCGGCCAGCCAAAGAAGTTGTTTCTGTTTGAACATATTCTTCCTCATTCTGATCTTTTAAAGGATCAACAATTGTTCTTTCAAAGCTCTTCATAGGTTTAAGACCCCATCTAGAAAGCATTTCTTTATCCTCATCCCAGCCATTGCACATTGTGGTGAGCATCTTTTTTCCAGTGAAAATTGCATTAACACCAGCCATAAAGCACATTGCTTGGTCAGTCTCTTTCATGGTATATCGTCCCGCAGCAAGTCTAATGATTGAGGAAGGCATAATCAGTCTGGCAGTTGCAGCAGTACGAAGAACAGCATCAAAAGGAAGCTTGATCTTTGCTTGTTCTTCTCCAAGCGGTGTACCCTTAATTGGTACGAGTCGGTTGATTGGCACACTTTCAGGATGCTGGGGCATATTAGAAAGAGTGTGTAAAAACCCAACATGATCCTCCTCGGATTCACCCAGACCCAGAATACCACCTGAACAAACACTAACACCTCCTTGTCTGACATTTTCTATCGTTTCCAGGCGTTCTTCGTAAGAGCGAGTACTAATTACGCTTGGATAAAATTCACGAGAAGTGTCCACGTTATGGTTATAGGCAGTCAAACCTGCTTCTTTAAGTTGTTTGACTTGTGCGTCATCGACCATACCTAAAGTGACACAACTTTCCAGACCCATATCGTTAACAGCTTTAACCATTTCAGAAATTCGCTTTAAATTTGATTTTCTGCCCTTCATATCACGCCAGGCGGCACCCATGCAAAATCGTGTACTGCCATTAGCCTTTGCTTCACGTGCTGCCTGAATGACCTCATCAACTTTGACAATTTTTTCGGCCTTAAGGCCTGTATCGTATCGGCTACTCTGTGCGCAATATTTGCAATCTTCTGAACATCCACCAGTTTTGATGTTCATCAGAGTGCAAAGCTGGACTTCTGATGGGTCGTGGAACTTTCTGTGAACCGAAGAGGCATTGTAAATAAGCTGGAGTAATGGAGTGTTGTAAATTTCTCTAATTTCTTCCCGGGTCCAATTGTGACGAGGGGCGTTTGCTGCAACGGCCTTTTCAATTACTGACTCGCCGTTAGAAGTAGCAGGTTTCGGAGGGCTAGACATAGTCGCTAAAGTTCGGCGGGAAAAAGCCGGAATACTTTTGTTAAGCTGGCTTGAAACATTTTTCAATTGAAACATGGTGTTGGTGTCTTTATAAAACAAATCAAATAATGGAGTATGTAAGAAAACTGTTATGGTGTATATTAATAAAAGTTTATAGTGAAGAAGAGAATTAAAAAAAAGAATATATAATTTTTTTTCTTTAATTCCAGTGGGAATATTCAAGTTTATATAGGAATTCTTGGGAGGGAAACAATGTCCCCCGCTTAGAAGAAGCCAAATTTGTTTGCTGAGATTGCTCAACCAATCAAATACTGTGTGAATAATTTTGTTAAAGATAAGGCCATGACTCCTGGTTGAGAGTCGCGCGAGTCACATGATGACTCACAAAAAATTCCCAATACAGAAATATTCAAAGCCTCAGATTCATTTTTAGGGTTGATCACCACCGTTACCCCGCGGGCAAGACCTCCGCCAACGCGTCATTGGCTTTGAATGTTCGGTGGAAAAGTCGGGAATTGCCCGAACTTTTTGCTTTCATTTCCCCAACAAGTTTTAAAAAGGCTTTATTGGAATGGTGGCGTGAAAAATTACAAAGATTTAATTTGATATAACAGAATTAAATGTAATAGTATAAATTTCTAAGTTTCTAAATTTCTGAAAAACTATTTTATTTAGTAGTATTAAATCCTTTTAAAAAAAAAATAAGGGCCATAAATTGAGGATATTTTGGTGAAAGCTTGTCTTTTGAGACACTTGCTTTAAAAAGTTCGTGTAATATTGGAATATGACCCCCACAAAGTTTACAATGTACAGAGAATTAAATTGAATTTTATAATTAGATATTTTATAATTAGATGATTCCTGTTACTTTTTTTTTGAGGAGTCACTAAAATTTTAAATATAAAATTAAAATAAATACCCCTTTTTATTTTTTTTTTCCAATTCAAATAGGGATGACTCATGAGTCATGATTCAATTTAACCAGTACCAATAATTATTACGTAGTTATTATGTCATTTGTTTGATTTTGTATTAACTTTATTTCATGTAATTTAAATGTTACATTACAATATTGTATAAAATATTGTAATAACATCGTGAATCATCAAGATAATCAAGAGGCTAAATTATAGTATTTTTAAAGTTAGGATTAAGCACTGCTATTAAGCTTACGCCTCTAACCTACACACACCCCTCAGTCAAGGTGTGTTTGCTGCACCCTGCCTCGTCATGTCTTCGTCAAAATGAAGCACTGAAAATACTTTAAAAGCAATATTCTATCATTTGATTTCACTTTCCCCTACTTTAGTTCTGATTTCTTTAGTCCCTGAATTAAATTTTTTTATATTCTTCTTATTTATCAAATATTTTTCTCTTTTTTTTTCAACTTTTAAATGAGTTTAGTGGTTACAAGTCAAGTTTCATTTCAAGTAGTTCTGTTTTGTTTTGACGTTGCATGTTTGATATTAGGATGGGCTGTTTTGATGTTTTTTTCCACAATCAACAACAGTGCCGCCCAAATTGCTAATGCGTTTTCATCAATCGTTGGACTATGGGACACTTTTATTGGAGAAACTAGACGCAAAGTCATTCGTGAATCAGAAGGAAAAGATCGGATTGAAGTAGGACGTGCTTTGATGTCTTCTCCAGATCCTTATTTATCACCGGAATCATCAAGACAGGGTTTATTTAATAAAAATGGCAGTTCATACCCTCCCACAACAACACCAATACTTTCTAATGAGCCATCGGTGAAACATGTCAGAAAAAGACTTCCATTTATTTTTGCGTTTTTTTTGCTTGTAATTCGATATGTTCCTGTTCCTCTACATATTGTTTTTGGTTATGCTGGTAAACCAGAGCCAGAAAATCTTTATATTCCTTTGGCAAACGCATCAAATTACTTGGATACCATTCCAAACTTTTACGATGAAAATACAACACCACTTTACAATGTTGGATCTAATTATCAAGCATCTGATGCATACGATGAATCTAAGTCATCATACCTTTTCCCTTTATTCAACTCTTCTATGCCTTGGAGTTTACAGGGCTCGACTTTTTTCAGACAAAACGGAGTTACTTGTCTTATTACCGACAGATTTGAAGAGATGATTATGCAAACTGGGTTTTTGGCTCACTATAATGCATATCCTTCTTTGCCAGTGTTGCCTATACTGAAATGTAAAGAAGATAGTTCTGGTTATTCCATGTTTGTGACTAATAGCAATTATACCGGGAACAGCACGTTATTCCAGCCATATACCACTGCAATTAAAACCGTGCTAGGAGTAGGTCAAAATGTGAGTGGTATCTCAATCGATCCAACTAACAAAAAAATAAATGTCACGACTGTTATTATTGATGACTACTCTTTTGAAAATGTGCCTGTTGTTGATAACTCGACTTTGTGGGACATGATGAATAAATCATTTCCAGTCAATGAAAGTCTTTCTGCAGAAAATGACTGGGCTGTCTATAATAAAGAAGATATAGTTTCGACAAAAAAATCTTTGGATTCAGCACTTTCACTAATGCAAAGTGACTTTGTGGATGAAATAAGTTATGTTATGTCATACAGCTATTACAATTCTTCGGCTTCATCCGACAGTGTTCGATCATTTTGCAGGACAATGTTTTCATATAATGGTGTTGGAGGCTACATTTCAGTTTCAAAGCTTTATTATAGTACTAGGCAGTTGTCATATGATATTACTAAGAATTCTGATGAGGCACAGCCTTATTTTAAGGTGCAGCAAAGTAATGACAATCCTCAGTTTTTAAATGTGCAAGTGTTAGCACTAATAACAGATATTAAGATTGGGCCAACTGTTGGAGGTGCTTTGCTTAGGAAAACCGGATATCAGGCAGATGGGCTTCAAAACGTGTTGTTTGAAGCTAATGGGAAACTGATTTATGACATCAAAGTTATTTTTGGCAGTATTTTAGGAGTAATTGGTGTTTCTTTTATTTTACTATTCATCATTTATGTTATTTGGCACGACAAGCCTAAGGGCATTCCTTTTTATTATGCCTTGCTTCACGAATACCATCAAAAAACGTCAAATATTGGGTGCGACAGAAGCATATTTGATATGGTTACACCAGCATATGAGGGTGAAGGCTATGTTGAATCTAAGTGCTTTAATCATATAGGGGTTTTGGATGAAAAATCTGTTGCACAGCCCCCTCGTGCCTCTGTTCCATACAGTGATAAGTGACTTTTGGGAAATTTGAAGAATTCACATTTTTTTATTTATTTGAAGTATTTTTATGTTTAATAGCCTTTTAATATACTTATGTTTTTTATCTTTCTTTGATATTATTTACTTATTGGTCATTGAAAACTAAGGGAACTGAAATTTTTTATAAATTAAAAAAAAACAGTATATACCATATATGATTTTGAGAGTGCTTTATTAATATTCAGCATTTCATATAGAACGCAACAGTCTGTTAAAGAAATTCTGTACTTTTAAATTTGTTTTAAAGGTTCATAATCAATAAACAAAAGTTAGATGAATATATTTCCAGACTCATTATTAAATCAAATCATAAATCTGTGCAAATTTATAAGTAGTAATTAATACACTTTTTAATTCTTGGAAATAATATTAATATTATTACCAATATTGGTAATTATGGATAACACAAGGAATGCAGAATAAGAAAAAACAAATTATGCATATAAAGACTTTTCAAGTTTACCAGTTTACTATAGTTTGTTAGTTAACCAAGTATACAATGACATCATGCTTTGATTTTGAATGATGTATCCACTCATTTTGTATTATGATTTTAATTTATCTATACTGGAAACATGAGTATGTCGATGTGTCTAAGTGAATTTTGGTTTCCAAAATCAAAAAGACTATAAATCTATAAAAATTTCACAACCGGCTTCTCGGGTACACACTTGGAGGCTGTAATAATTGAACACACTAAAAAAAATAATTTTTTCCAATTAACATTTAGATAAAAAAAATAAATGTTTTGAAAAAAAAAAAAGAAAAAAAAAAGGGTTGAAGTCCCAATTGGTATGATTTTTTTTTCTTTTTTTTTTGATACCTGTATGTTTTCCATTTGGTATATAGCCAATACCCTAAACATTAAACTATTTTACAATTATATTTAAAAAAAAAAAAAAAAAGATATTTTAGTTTAAAGTCAAATTTTTAAACTTAACTTGATGAAATAACTAAGTAGTCTTTCTTTAAGTTAATTGAACTTTTTTATTAATCTTTTTTTATAGTAACCAATTAATAGATGGAGCATCAAAAGCCATTAAATCCTATTGTTTGTTGTTTCGTGTTTGTAATAACATTGATTATAATTAATGTTAAGCTCGGCTCCGAAATGAAAATATTAACTATAAATATATATTAACTATATATATATGGATAAATATTTAAGCTAAAATTATTATTAGTTTTTTTTTCTTTTTTTTTCGATCTTGGATCTACAATAGCATTAATTTTATGTACCGGAAAGCATTCCTCGGATAATAATTGAGTTTTTTTTCAGGCAGGTCAACTTTGTGAGGGTTTTGTTGGTTAAAATGCCTTTTTCTCCCTCCAGAAACTCCTATTTTTATCATTACTATATAGGCACATTTTACAACGAAAAGAACTTTTTTTTATAAAAAGAAAAAATCAATTAATTTTTTGGCCATTTAAACAATATTATTGTTCTTTGAACATTATTTTCCTAAGAACCTGCTAAAGTTGAATAGATTTAAGTTGAGTTGAGTTAAGTTAAGTTGAGTTGAGTTGAGTTGAGTTGAGTTGAACTTATGTTGATACTGATGTTGGTGAACGGCATTAATAGAGGTCGTATTTGTTTTGCACGTGACAATAATAAAGTAGAAAGGGGATCATTTAACCCTCATTTTTGACTACCCTAAGTATTTCTTTTTATTTGTCCATATTGATCCATGTTGAGCCATTATCCTGTATCTTGGATTTTGATGTCCTTTTTTTTTTTCTTTCTTAAAATGAACTATTATTACTATATTGGTTACTCTTTTGATATCTTTTGGAATTGAAAAAAAAAAAAAAAATCCTCGGATTTTTGTTTTTGCACATGTGAATGATGAGCATTATTCATCAAAAATTCTTAGCTACGAAGAAATATTACTTTTTACACAGATTAACCTGCTGATATAGCTGCAACTTGCTTGTTTTGTATGCGCAGAAGTTCACTTCTGCATATGCTGTATATATCTCGTTATGTCAAACTACGCGATACGGTAATGCAGGTTTATTAATAAGCGAAGACAATTTATAAAAAAGTGATAGTACCATCCTATTTAATTCAGCTAATAATAATATTTTTTTTATAAATATTTAAACTTTTTCTTTTAATGAATAAATATATATATAAATATATATATTTTTTGGATTTTCGTATATGCGTAATAACCCTGTAGATCTTCAATAAGGCTTTTTACCTTTTTAACTATTTATGAACCACATTTTCCCTCTTTTTTCCTTTTTTAGTGCCATTTTCTATTCCTAAATTAGCAATACCCAGGATAATTCAATTAGTCCCACTCATAGACTAAACCATAAATTATCTCTCTTTCTTCTTCTTCTGTTCTCATTCAAGTTGAAGTTAATATCTTTTACTTAGATCTTTTTTTTTTCTTTTTACTTAAGAGACTATAAAAACCAGATAGCGCAAGGTATGGTATAATATTCAATCTAATGAATGCACAAATATTAACTTAATAATCTAGCAGTCTTTTTTTTTCTTTTTAAAAAAATGTTACCAGAATTCAAAAAAGAAAAGTCAAATCACTCTCAAAATTCATTAAAATCATCCTCCACAATTGCTGGGAAAACAGAAATGTCAATCAGCTTTGTAGATCCACTATCTAAAACTGAGCAACATTTATCTTCATCCAAATCCAAATCCAGCGGCAGGAAATTCAAAATCCCAGGAGCTGACCCAAACATTTATCATTTAGGGGTCTTCACAGCTAATCCTAACGAAGAGGTTCAAAAGTTGAAGCTTCGAACAACATATGAGCATCCTACATTAAATCAGCTACAAAAAGCAGGATATGTTAACCGGTTGATATTCAAACCTCAGCAATCATCATCTTCGGAGAGAAAGAGTTTTCGAAAAAAGTCTTCCTCATCTTCCCCTCCGGCTTTAAGTTCTAATAAAGCTCCACCTTCTTCTGCTTCTTCTTCAGCGTCTTCTGAGAGAAAAGATTTAAAGCATAGAACAACTGGATCAAGAAAAGTCAGTATTCCTTCTAGTTCAGGGAGGTCAGGATCAAATAAGTATTCATCTGAAGATGCTGCAAGTTCAACTCGAGAGCCAGTATTACACCATCAGTATCACCAACACCATCAAAATTTTTGTCATGAAATTCACCCCAAAAAAAGAAATTTGATAAGCCCTATCTGCAAAAAAGTGGCAAGTCAAACAGATGAATCGGTAAAGTGTTTGGGGGGTCCTACACCGCATAGAGTTAATACCGTTTATGTACCATCTTTGGAGTCTGGCTCATCATTTGCTTTAACCACACACAGCATACAACAACAACAGCATCAGCAACAGCATCAGCAACAGCATCAGCAACAGCATCAGCAACAGCATCAGCAACAGCATCAGCAACAGCATCAGCAACAGCATCAGCAACTACACCAACTACACCAACTACACCAACTACACCAACTACACCAACTACACCAACTACACCAACTACACCAACTACACCAACTATCGGCATACGTAGAAACAGGAATTCCATGTAATATTGTTTACAAAAGCCCACAACATCTTGGCGATGAGAAATATGCGGAGGAGGAAAAGGAGGAAGAAGAAAAATATGATACAAAAAAGGGACAACATCACCCTCAACCCCAGATGTCTCCGCTCACTAATCTACAGCCTGTTTCTAGGGTTGATCCCAATGAGAGTGACACTTACGTTGGTTTAGTCGAAACCCCGGTTTTAGTGCAAGATACAAATGGACAAATATATTCCACTGTTTTGTTCTCTAATGGGCAGCAGCAGCCATTGTATATACCCACGAGCAACAGTTGTCCCATTAATACCAGTAATAATAGGTATTTACAGCAGCAGCAGCATCATCAACAACAACAATTACAATATACTCAACCAATAATAAACCCAGGACCACCAAACCCTTACTTAGTTTATGATGGCAATAATACCCCGCAACATCAAGTTATTATTTCGAATCCAACGGAAAGAATTTACCCCGATTTTCCGGTAAATAGTAATCCATATGAGTCGTATCAAATTGAAGGCGGTCCTTACCAGATTTATTCCCAGCAAACATCTCAGCAGCAGCAACAACATTATCAACAAATTTCTGTACCCAATTACGGTTATAGTAATGGGAATATGCCTGGGACATGAAATGTAATGAAGACAAAAGAAAAAATATATATTTTTATGAAGTTTTAATTTAAAGTACAATGGTCTATTTATTTGTTTCATATTAAGTTGGAAAAAAAATGAAAAAAAAAAAAAAATATACAATTTTTTTTCTTAATTTTGGTAAGCTGCCATGTTTTTGAATGTATATATTGCCTTAACAAAGCCCAGAACCCCTCACCGCTTTAGGATCACAGAAGAAAAAAAAAATTGAAGGCAGTTGAATCAGCCACTCGCAAGCAAAAGATGGTGCAAGCACACAGATATATGGCATGTATTAAACGACATTTTATGATAACCAGATTAATGCAAGATTTAAACTTATATAGGAACAATTGGAAGAAAAGGGAGAAAAAAAATTTATAGCCCGGTTATGTACAAATATCTAAATACTTAGTTCATTCTATTTAACAGGTATTTTGGTTTCTAGTATTAATAACTTGATATTATTGTTTTTTGATTTCTTACCCTTGAAATTTTGAAAATATAGTATTTTTTTGTAATGTGACAGTGCAAAGTTTCAAAAAAAAAATTTTTTTTGTTTAAAGCCTTTGTGTCAACTTTAGTTAGAATACAAGTTAATATTAGTCTGGCTAGAAGAACAGTTAATTATAATTATAATTATGATAATTGAGCTATGGGAATAATCAGGCATTTATATCAAAATTAGTTTAGCAAAAGAGGTAATAATGATTATTATTATTATTATTATTATTACCTCTTTGCTAAACTAATTTTAATAACAATATATATTGTTATTGTTATTGTTATTGTTATTACTGTTGTTATTATTATTATTTCAATAAAAGAAAATAAATTTTTCAATTAGTTGTAGGAATATTATGATCTTAATTATCAGGCTTTTGAAATCCAGGCTTCTGGACTTTAAGTCGCTGGACTACTGGGTTATTAATATATATAGGTCTTAGTAGAATGTTGTATTCAAGCAAATAACATGCATGTTAAACTATTGCTACTCATCTGAGTAGCAATAATTCTTCTTTTTTGCTGTTTAGTAATTGATACGACATATTATATATTAGTATCTTTTTATATTAATTTATATTTCATGAATATTGTAAAAAACTTAAATTATCGTTAAGAACCCGAAAAAAAAAAATTTAATAATAATAACTAGGGCAAGATCAAAGGTGTTTTTTTTTTTGAGAAAATGTTTCCCTGCAATGTCATTATAATGACAATCTTAATTAAGATTGGGAAAAAAAAAACCTTAAATTTAAGGTTTAAATCTTGGAAAAAATAAAAAAAATAAACATTAAAAAAGAAAAAAAAAGAAAAGTTTAAGAAATGGTGAATGAAAATAAAAAGATGCCTCACTAATTCCCCTTCCTTTCTTTCCGAGGTATATTAAAAGGTATATTAAAAGGTATTTTTTTTTTTTTTTGGATTTCTAAACATCTCGGTTATATTCTCTACAATATATGATCAAATGGTATTTGTTTAATAATTTAATTATTATTTATTCATTAAGAATAAAAAAAATAAATAAATAAATCATTTTCGCTTTTCGGTTCCAAAGTTCCATTCAATATTATCATATGATAAAAATGTTTAAATATATTTATTTAGTCCCTTTAGATTAAACGGAAATAAATCGGTCTTTGGCATATTTGATTGTAGATAAAAGTAGCTGAAAAAAAAAAAAAAAAGAAAAAGAAAAAGAAAAAGAAAAAAAAAACCTGGGCAACTTATATAGAAATAAATAAATTAGATACGCGGACATTAGATATTTAGATTGTCCATAAAAAAAAATAAAATAAAACGTATTTTTTAACAAAATCTTGGTATTATTCATATCACCTTCAACAAGCTTTGGAATCGTACAATAGCTTTGTATTTTATTTTTATTTTATGCTCAAAAAAAAAAATCATTAGTTTAAAAGTTAATTTGAAAAGAATAAATTTAACATTTTTAGTTTTAGTTTTAGTTTTAGTTTTAGTTTTTTTTATCTTTAAATTTGTCTTTTGGTTATAATTATTTTTCATAAAAAAAAAAGTCATTCTCGCCTATTTCATCATTTTAAGTTATATCTAGGTTTTAACAATCTTATAAGATTGTTAATTATGAATTAATGTATTTTAAAAGAAAATAAATAAATGAATGAATAAAAATAAGCCCTAATAGATTAAGAAAATATTCGGATAATAAAAATTAATAGTTTGCACTAGTTTGTGTATGGAAATCATGTAATTGATTTTTGGCTATCTTGTATAAAAGAGAGCAACCTAACCATATGATGTATATATATATATAAAGATATCATCCAGAAACAAAGAAATTAAGTTTATTTTTTTGGCTTTTTTGGTTTTTTTTTAGTTTTTATTTGGCTTTTTTTCAATTCCAATGTTGTTTAATTATTAGTATACGTTTATATCGCTGTCATTTGATCAACAATTCAAAACTTATATTCATTTATGAAAGGTTTAAAAAAGAAAAAAAGAAAAATAAATTTTAAAATTTAAAATAAATGAAAGTAAATGAAGTAACACGGGCGAGTTTTACACTTTATTTTGACTTTTATTCCCAAGCGATTATTTATCGAAATTCTTCCATAATTTTTTTTTTTTTTTTTTTTTTTTGGATATGAAAATAATACTTTTTTCAATGTGTTGATTTGGAGTCTTTTATTTTTATGAATATTTTTCTTAACAAAAAGAAAATAAAAAATTAATAAATTTTCATGTGACAAAAAAAAAAAAAAAAAAGGCAACAGCGATTGTTAAAAGAATGCATGTCTTTTAGGTCTTCTTAATCTTCTTTTATCCTTTTTGTCATGAAATATTGAGTTTTGTCACGGGGGGCCTCTGGGCCCCGTGACCTGAGTGGTTAGGGTTACATTGGCCAGGTGGCAATATAACCACAAACCTAGAAGCATCACCACAACCATCAGCATTACACAAGAATAGGATACTGAAGAGATAACAAAGTATTCTTAAGATCAAAGGTAAGAGGAATGATCTAGGCTGATGGTCCCGGGATACTAATCATATATAGACTATTACTTATTATTCAATAAATCACTTTTATTATTTATCACTATCATTATTAAATTCATATTATACCGAGAACTCGACAAGTTTCAAAAAAGAAAACGAAGAAGGAGAATTAAAAAAAAAAATTTAAAATTAAAATAAAATTAAAGATTAAAGTATTATATATAATAACAGTCTTTGAACTACATTTATATATTGCCAAAAGTCATATAATGAAAAGAAAAGTTAATTTACAACGTTGCTATATATTTGTTAATAACAATCATCCAATGCGGGAATTAATTCCATATTTTTCAAATATTCTTCATTCTTCATTCTTCATCTTAAAAAAAATTAAAATAAAATAAATCAAGTTGATATTGAACACCTTATCTCAATTTTGGTTATTTTTCGTTTATATTTTTATATTTTTATATTTTTATTTCTTTTTTTCATTTTTATTTTGAGAATGGGGCTATGCAAACCCCTAATAGTATCTCGGTAAATAACCGGGGGCGTAGTATTAATAAACGGACATACTAATCTGCAAGTCCGCATCATCACTACATTATATATAATTATTATATAATAAAATATGTCCCTAATAATTTTATATATAGGATAAGAGTTTAAACTATCCAACCAATTTTTTTTTTTTTTTACTTTATAAATCAAATGTTTTTTTTTCATAGCCTTTAATACCATTGGTTCCGGAACCAACAGTATGACTCTAAGTTTGTTTATTGGTTTATTTGTTTTATTTTTTTTTATTTTATTTTATTTTATTTTATCTTTGGTCTATTCATACTTTGTTACTATTTTATTCATACAAAGGAAACTACCTAAAAGTTAGTTCTAGAGCCTAGTCTTTAAAATAAAATAAAATAAAATAAAATAAAATAAAATAAAATAAAATAAAATAAAATAAAATAAAATAAAATAAAATAAAATAAAATAAAATAAAATAAAATAAAATAAAATAAAATAAAATAAAATAAAATAAAATAAAATAAAATAAAATAAAATAAAAAAAATAAAATAAAATAAAATAAAATAAAATAAAATAAAATAAAATAAAAAATAAAATAAAATAAAATAAAATAAAATAAAATAAAATAAAATAAAATAAAATAAAATAAAATAAAATAAAATAAAATAAAATAAAATAAAATAAAATAAAATAAAATAAAATAAAATAAAATAAAATAAAATAAAATAAAATAAAATAAAATAAAATAAAATAAAATAAAAAGAGAAAAAAAAAACGGTCATTAATAAAAGATAAATATGTTTCAAAACATTGAATACGTATTCAAACCACCTCGTCAAAAAAAAATAAATAAATAAAAGTGAAATATGGCAGGAATGAAATTTTGATTGTTTTTTTTTTTTTTTTTGAATATTTAAACCGTATTGTTTGATTTTAATTTAGTTATTACCAAAAATAAAAAAAGAAATAAAAATATATGTATATTTTCTTTTCTTTTCTTTTATTTTTCTTTTTCTTTCCCCTGAAACAACTCTCTGGAATACTATTTAAAAAATAATAATAATAATAATAATAATAATAATAATAATAATAATAATAATAATAATAATAATAATAATAATAATAATAATAACTACCTTGTTTGATTTTTTTTTTAAAAAAAAACATAAAAAAAAAATTGAAATTGGTTAATAATTTTTATCATCACTTTAGTTCACATGGCTTATTACTTCTTGTTTTTTTAATTATTATTATTAATATTTTTTTTTGTCTTTCCTCACATTCCGGTGTTTACAAATGTTGAGTTGAGGTAGTTTGATAATTTAATTGCTTTAGTTTTTATATTTTTTTTAAAAAAAATTAATAAATAATAAATAATAATAAAAAAAAAATAAAAAATGAAGAGCTTCAAATTGAATCCGTGAAAATCTCCCCATATTTGAATTGAATTACTAGATGACTAGGAAATAAAAATCAAAAAAAAAAAAAAAAAAAAAAAAAAAAAAAACATATTAAAATATCATAATTTTTTTTTATTCTTCATCTATTTACTTTTCTTTTTTTTTTTTTACAAAAATCACCTCCCTCTCTTCTCCATTCCGTCCCTAGTAGGTCTGCTTCAGTTAAATAAAATCATTTCCTGGCCCTCCAAATGGCCCTCTGTTTCCAAAACTAGGTCCTGTAGGATCCCAGCGAGCCCCAGGTGGTCGTCCCAACTGACTAGGGTCATTGTTATCGTCTTCATTTCCTCCTAGTCCAAATAATCCTCCCCTCGTTCTTCCACCTTGACCCCCAATCATTCTCTGAATATCCCCATAAGTTGGATTCATTCCACCACTACCACCAGACGTCGATCCAAGTCCTCCAAAATCAAATGGATTACTTCCAGGTGCCATACCTGGAGGATACAAGTCTCTCGAACCATATCCTGCAATCGGACCACTAGCACCACTTCCTTGGCTGCCAGCAGCCAACGAACCCAGAATCTCGTACTCGTCCTCAAACCCAGGTGGTACTTCTCTGCCTCTATTAGGTAAATCCTCCCGCAAAGTTTGTTGTGGAATACTCGGTGGCTTAGGAACGCCGGGAGTAATTTCTTGTACCTCTGACCGACGTGCAGTTCCCGTAGATCCAACAACACCTTCAATCTTTTTGAGACTTGCATCTTGTCCATTCTCATCTTCCGTGGGTGTAAGGTTGTCTAACCCACTGTTAGTCTGGCCACTCCCCTCACCGTCAAAGGCACCGCCCTTGAGAGACTTGCGAAGGGCACGTGCAGCAAAGGGAGGAGGTGTGCCGTATGGACTAAATGGAGTACCAGGGCCCTGCGCTGCTGGGCTTGGTGAGGATTCTGCTGCTGCGGAGCTTTGGGATGCTACAATTGGTTGAGGACTTATGATGGATGGTGCGGTTGAACTTTTCTCCGAAACAGACTCTTTGGTATCATGATTTTGATTCACGGAAGATGATTGTATTTGATTAGTCCCTTCAAGCAGGAGCGGCTGGAGCTTTGCCAAAATAAGTGCATCGAGCTGAGCCCAAAGACGAGAAATGGCTTCAAGGGAGACGTAAACATCGCAAATGTCCTCTGACTCGCGTGGCTGTTCGGCAAAAAACCCCGTGTGAACGGCGGCACCAAGCGAAAACTGGGTTGCAACAGAAAAATGTTTGTCTGTTTCTTTGGCAGCCTCGGCATTTCCACTGGAATCTATAATACAGCCATTAGTGGTGTTGCTTAAGGTTAAGTCTAAAGAAGAAGAAGAAATAAGTTGTGGTGGGTGACAGTCCCGTTTTGTATTCTTATTATGGCTGCTTGCGGCTGCATGTTGGCTTGTCAGTTGTGTTGGTTTAGCCATTTGGCGATAATGGTGATGATGATGATGATGATGGTAATGATGGTGGTTAGTATTATAGGTATTTTTATACACTTGGTTATTGTTGAAGGTATTTCCAGTGAAATACTGGTTACTGGGATAATAGATTTGTGGATTACCACCAGAAATCTTGGAATCTTGACTGTCATTCTCGTGGCACCCAATAGTCCCACCATATCCACCACCAGCTCCTCCACCAAAACTTCCATCTGGGTGCTTATCAAACCCGGCTCCAAAGCCTCCACCAAAGCTAACCCCATTTTTGTCTCCAGGAAAAGGTTGAGGAGTTGTTGAAGGTGGATTGCCAGGGTATGGGTAGTAAGGGTTATCAGGGTCTTTTGGTGGGTCGATTGGATCCACAGGATTGCTTGGATTGTTGCCATTATTGCGATCGAATCCTGCACCACCACCGCCACCAAATTCTAGTTTGTAACCATGTTTCTTTTTTTCAAAAGAGCCTCCAAACCCGCCGCCACCGCCAAAACCAAAGCTTCCGTTGCAGCAGTCTTTTAAATATTGTGTATTTTTCAAGTCAACCCAATCAGGGTCAGAGTCTAAATAGACCCATTCACTATCATAATCATCACCTAGACTTTTTCTTCTATTTCTTCTTCCTCTTCTTCTTCTTCTTCTTCTTCCTTGTGTTTTAGTATTTTTGAAAGAAACAAACTTACTCTCAATATCATTACTATTGCTTTTACTGGTATCATCGTTTTCCGGGGTATGGGCGACAACATTGCCGGATACAGACACCTGGACATCTCGCTGGCCTAGCTTCGTAATCGTAAGGTCAAGGGTTGCTTTCCTATGCTGGGAGGGGCTTTGGGTAGAATACTTGAGTCCGTAGTAGTGTGGGGCAGTTTTAGTCCAACGGGTTTGGTTAAGTGGGACCGAGAGCAACCCACGGTCATCATTGGGGCAGTCTTCATCGTTGACGGCGGTTAAGGCCAGGCCTTTTGTAGTAGCCCAAACATGGACAGCAAGTGCAAATGCGTCGTAGGGAGTGTTTAAGCTACTGACTGCTTCTTCTTCCAAGGTTGGGGACCCTGTGAGAGCTGAAATAAAAGTAACAAATCTAGGGAACATGAGATGGTAAGAATGTGTGTACATTATTAACTAGGGTAGTTATTATTTAAAAGGAAATAATTGATATAGACATACTTTGGGCTCATTAATTGATGATGTTGGGTTATGTATGTTTGAATTGATAAAAAGGAAAGGAAAGGAAAGGAAAGAAAGAAAGAAAGAAAGAAAGAAAGAAAGAAAGAAAGAAAGAAAGAAAGAAAGAAAGAAAGAAAGAAAGAAAGAAAGAAATGGAATATCCGGTGATGGTTTAGGCAGGTAGTTATATATATTAAGACCACACACACACACACACTACTCTTTAAAAGCTGCAAGTTGAAGCGCCGTTAATTGTGGTGTGAGTTGGTTGGGGTTTGCCACAGAACATGTGCCTTTAAAAGATAAGTATAAGTATTTAAGTTATATTTCCTAAGTGTTTTGATTTAAAATATATTATTTAAGTTTTATATCATGTGATTCAATGAAATTTGTTTGCTGGAATAAATAACCGCGACACCTAATCAAAGACTTTTATAAAAAAAAAAAAAAAAAAAAAGGAAATTAAAGCAACAATAATGGAAACTTTCAACATGTAAAGAATAACCGAGAGAGAGAACTTTTTTTTTTTAATTGTTTTTTTTTTTTTTTACTCTGTTCTTATCAATAAATCTCTTGATATTTTTTTTTTTTTTCTTTTCCTTCATTATCTTTGAAAAGTAATGGATCTTATAGCCGCCAAAATAAAAAAAAAAAAAAAAAAAAAAAATTATCAAGAGATTTTGTCAAGTTCTTATCAATGATGAAAATTTTTTCACATTATTTTTTTTTTTTCAATGTCATATATCATGAAATTTTCGTGATATCTTGAATGCATTGATAGGTAATTTTTTTTTTTTTTTTTCATAAGGCTTTTCTATCTTTTGTTTTTTTTTGTTTTTTTGAGATAGTTGTAAAGAGCAAGATATGACAATGATCAAACATGTATATACATATTATATTACGAGTAAAAAAAATAAATTTTTGAAAAATGAAAAAAACAAAAAAAAAATTTTACAACAATCAACGGCTCATCTATATAGTTTATTTTGGCATCTGTTCAACGGTTATTTTTGATGAAAGGCTATTTTTTTTTTTTTTTTTTTTTTTACATTTATTTACATTTCCAAGTCTTCCAAAAATAGACGTTGTTATTAATACTGGAGATAACGGTTGTTTGTTTTTTTTTTTTTTTTTTGATATATATATACATTTATTAAATACTTAACTTTGTCGCGGCTATCGAAGGAAATAAGTGAGTTTTTCTTTTTGATGTTTTGATATTTTGATATTTTGTTGTGCCTGAGTTCAACTACTACCAACCCTACCTTGCAGGTCTCCTTTAACAAAAGGACCCGTGCACAAGAGGAGTTTGTTATTATGTGATTTGTGTGTTGTGTGTTGTGTAGAAAAAAACCGGAGAAAATGAATGTGTGTTTGATATTTAGCTTTCATAAGTCTGTAAATGAATGTTGATGTGATATGGTACCATTCTTTTGCCAGAACCACCAAAACCACCAAAACCATCAAAACCATCAAAACCACCAAAATCAATAAAATCAACAATAATCATAACAATAACAATTGGATCACAGAGCAAAATGACTTTTGAAACTGTGGGTTTGTTTTTTTTTAATTACAAGGGGTTTTTTTTTTTTTTTGTTTTTAATAAAAAAAAAACAAACTCTTTCCAATGGTGAAATACTTTGAATTGCTGCAAAAAAAAAAAAAAAAAAAAAAAAATCAATTTACGAGCAAAATCTTAAAAGTAAAAAAAAAAAAACCCGCCAGGAACACAAGAAACGTTTCAAATCGTGGGGTTATTATATTTATTATTATTGTAGCACATAGCTGTAGACTAAACACCCCGCCTTTGAATATTTATTTTTCAAGAACCCCAAAGAACAACATTAACAAATGATTCTTCATTTTTTTTTTTTCTTTTCTTTCAATAAAATCAAAAGTGGCGATTATTCTAGTTCTCCTCTTCTCTAAACGGCTTCATTGATGCGTAACCCGATGACCCGTAAGTATATGTTTGTATGTGATATTTCCCCCGTCTCTCAGCTATTTTGGGAAATGGTACCGGTATATATTTTTGAGTCTTGAAAGAACTTCTGGAAGGGTCGTTAATTACCCCACTTGTCCCACCAAAAAAAAAAAAAAGAAACAGACACACCAACAAAAAAAAAATTAAAAGAATGAAAAGTCACAAAAATTCAAGTTTTTGAATAATAAAAAAAAAAAACAAAGTTGAAGTATTTAGAAGAGATTGGCTTCTTTGGTATTTCAGGCGCAAAAAAGGAACTCTAAAGAAAAGTCCTCTTCCCCCTATCTTCCAGAGACTATACAAAGCGGCTATCATCAGCGCCACTCTATTATTGAGAAGGAAAAAAAAAAAAAAAAAAAAAAAAAGAGGGATATAAACACTTCAACATTCAAAGATAAACAAACAAAACAAATCTTTTTTTTTTTGAACTTTCATATATATATTCAAATGTATTTATTCATTCACTAATTCATTCATTCATTCATTCATTTTTACATTAAGAGCAAAAAAAAAAAAAAAAAAAAAGGCGCTCTTCTTTTTAAAATTCTCAAGAAGAGGTTTCATGGGCAGGTCAGATGACCTTGAAGACCAAAATGTAACAATATGTAAGAACCCGTTGGCTGTGTGTAAAAAAAAAAAAAAACAAAAAAAGAGTCAGCCGCACTAATGTCAAGAGATTTTAAAGGGCTGATTTTATTTTATTTTATTTTGATTAATTAATTGATTAATTGATTAATTGACAACCCCAAACAAAAATTCACATCACAAGCACAAGTTTGGTGATTTCCATATAAATACAGCCAGAAGGTCCTTAAAAGTTTTTTTTTTTTTTTTTTTTCTTCTTCTCCTTCCTATTAATATATATATATTTTCAACAACCAAATATCTTCTTTTTTTTTTTAACATCATTTTATTTTATATTCTCAAACTATGGCAACTTCAAAACCTCTTTTAAACGTTTTGGCTCAGTCTACCCCATTGGGCCATCTCACTGTCCCTGGTAAACTCCCTAATTCTCATGTCATTAAGGATTCTACCTCAGGCTACAATTCTAAACCCTTTGCAGGCAAGGAAGCTCAATTGGATGCTGGTAAGTCATCATTATTATAATTATTATCACTACAACTACAATTATTTTCTAACAATCTACTTTAGTAATGGATGAAATCGATCGTCAAGGCTTTATCCCAGAACATCTTATTGAAAATGAAACTAACGTATGCAATATCACTCCCCATATTAAAAAAAAAAAAAAAAAAAAAAAAAACTTAACACTTTAATTCATTTAAATTCCTCTAACTCTATTTTCAAGTGGTTCTACAATAGTCTCGGCATTGATGACATGTACTTTGCCACCGAGTCGATAGAAAACATTGTTAGCCATATCAACTCTCTCTATGCTGCTAAGGTCGCTGCTTATGCTCGTGACGACAAAAAACTCGACATTCATCTTGACCGCGAATCTGAAAATCACGCTGTTTACATTGGCACTTCAACACCAGGCGTCTCAAATCTCTCGGGCAATGGCTATGAGGAACGCATCGATAACAAGTATCTCAATTCATCCACTCCAGAAAAGGCTTATCGGGTAGAAACTTTCCGTGCTACCAACCCCACAAATACCTCCACCTTTTCAGCTACTTTTAAAGCAAAAAAATCTGACAGTGAAGAACCTGAAGATTCTTCAATCTCTTCTGAAGCTGAAAACGTCCGCTGTTACTTTGTCTACAAGTGTGACTTTTTCGAAAACAATGTGGCTGAAGATGAAACCGATTTGGCTAAAATTTCAGACAAGGCCTTTTTCGAAAAGGCAACTGAAAATACAAAGTTCATTTACAAAAATATCATCTCCCAAGTCGTTAAGCGTACTGGCCCCGTCATTGAACAGTACCAAGTCGATGGAACTGAGGAACGTCGCGTCATTATTGCTTACCGCCAGAAAACTGCTCCTGGTTACTTTTCTGCCCTTTCACATCTTTATCACTACTATGGCCTGCACTCCACTCGCAAGTACGTCGAGCAGTTTAGCAATGGTGTCACTGTCATTTCAATTTACTTAGTCCCAACTCACTTTGCCCAAACTGCTCACACTCTGGAAGAACTCAAGGCTCTTAAAAAGTACCCACCAATCGAGCATTCTATTCATCAAGTCACCAAGGAAGCCTCTCTGCTTTACTGTATCCCGCAAAACAATTTCCAAAAACTCTTTGCTGGTGGTGAACTTTCTCTTCAAGAGTCTATCTACGCACACTCGGTTTTTATCTTTGTTACACATTTCCTTAACCGTTTGGGTAACGAGTACTCCACTTTGCTTCACATCCTTGACCCCAATAATACAGCTCACCTCGAGGTTTTGGAGAATCTCAAGCGTCGTCTTCGTCAGGAAACTTTTACTCGAGCTTACATTGATGAACTTATGCATTCCCAGATTGACTTGATCCGCCAGCTTTACCTCCAGTTTGCCAATGTTCATTATGTTCAATCCCGTGGTGAAGGAAACAACTTTTTGCCCACTCTCTCCTACCAGCGTATCCAAACTGCAAAGGTTTATCCCTTGGACGAGCTTAAGGATTTGATTCACCGTGAGTGCACTAATGAGCATCAAGTCACTGTCTTTGAAGCCATTCTGGAGTTTAACACTCACGTTCTCAAAACAAACTTTTACACCCCAACAAAGGTGGCTCTCTCATTCCGTCTTAACCCGGAATTCTTGCCTAAGAGCGAGTATCCCCAACCTCTTTATGGTATGTTCTTGGTTGTTGGCCAAGAGTTTCGCGGATTCCATCTTCGTTTCCGTGACGTGGCTCGTGGAGGTATCCGAATTGTCAAGAGTCGCAACGCTGAAGCATACTCTATCAATGCTCGCTCACTTTTTGACGAGAATTATAACTTGGCCAATACCCAGCAGCGCAAGAATAAGGATATCCCTGAAGGTGGCTCCAAGGGTGTTATTTTGCTTGACTATGCCCACCAAGACAAGGGCACCCAGGCATTCCAAAAGTATATTGACTCGCTCTGTGATTTGTTGCTGATTGGCAATACTCCTGGTATCAAGGAACCCATTGTGGACTTACTTGGCAACAAGGAAATTCTCTTTATGGGTCCCGACGAAAACACTGCTGGTCTCGTTGATTGGGCAACTATCCATGCCAAGAGACGCGGTGCTCCATGGTGGAAGTCTTTCTTCACTGGTAAGAGTCCTACTCTTGGTGGCATTCCTCATGACAAGTATGGTATGACTTCTCTTTCTGTCAGAGAGTACGTCAAGGGTATCTACCGCAAACTCAATATCGACGGCTCCAAGGTGTACAAGATGCAGACTGGTGGTCCCGACGGTGACTTGGGCTCTAACGAGATTTTGCTCTCTAATGAGATTTATGTCAGCATTGTTGATGGTTCTGGTGTGCTTCACGATCCTAATGGATTGGACCATGATGAGCTTGTACGCTTGGCCACAAAGCGTGTCATGATTTCCGAATACGATGTTTCCAAACTGAGCAAGCAGGGTTATCGTGTCCTTGTTGACGACAAGGACGTGACACTTCCTGATGGCGAGGTTGTCCAGAATGGTACCACTTTCCGCAACTTGTACCACTTGCACGGACTCAAGAATGGCACAGTCGAGATGTTTGTGCCATGTGGTGGTCGTCCTGAAGCTATTGACATTAACAATGTTGAGAAGCTGATTGGCGATGACAAGAAGGCCCTGATTCCTTACATTGTTGAGGGTGCCAACTTGTTTATTACTCAGAGTGCCAAATTGAGACTGGAAAAGGCTGGATCAATTGTATTTAAGGATGCTTCTACCAATAAGGGTGGTGTTACTTCGTCTTCACTTGAAGTCCTGGCTTCGCTTGCATTTGATGATGCTGGATTCTATAAGAATATGTGTATTAGCAATGGTACTGAGCCTGCTTTCTACACTGAATATGTTTCTGAAGTGCAGGCCATTATCCAGCGTAATGCCCATTTGGAATTTGAAGCTCTATGGGCAGAGCACGAAAAGACTGGCAAGCCACGCTCTGTTCTTAGTGACGAGTTGTCGTATGCCATTAACGATTTGACTGAGGAGCTTAGTGCGTCGAACATGTGGGAGGATGAACTGTTCCGCAATGGTATTTTGTCGGAGGCTCTGCCCAAGGTTTTGCAAAAGGAGATTGGTTTGGACGTGATTTTGGAACGTGTTCCAGGAAACTATCTGCGTGCTATTTTTGGAAGTTACCTTGCTGGTCGTTTCATTTATGAAAAGGGTCCTAACCCTGGTCAATTTGCATTTTTCGAATACATGGTTGAGAAGAGACGCGCGTTGGGCATTTAAATTTAATCAAGACAGAAAAAAAAAAAAAAAAAAACTAAAAACAAAAAGGAAATGAAAAAAAAAAAAAAATTGTGTTTATAGCTTAATGAATGTTTAATGAATTTAATTAATGAAATGTTTTAATAATAATTTAATAATTAAAGTTGTACAAAAACTTGACATAATTGAAGAAATTTATTAATTTCAGACTAAATAATTTAAAGAAGTTGAAGAAATGATGTTTGTGTTGTGTAAGAAAAAAAAAAAAAAAAAAAAAAAATAAAAAATCTCGGTAATGTTAACTACTAACCGCATTATTAAGACCGGTCTGATATTTACTTAGAAAAATAGATCACGTGCCACATGAAAATTTTCAGCTTTAAAAAAAAAAAAAAAAAAAAAAAATTCTCACCGCCACCACCATTCTCACCGCCCAATTACACGCATTTGATCTTTGGCTGAGCGTCCACCAAAAATTTTCCACCTCGAATTTCTCCTTTTTCTTCCTTCCTTTTTTTTTTTTTTTTTATATCTTTTACTACCATTATTATTATCATCATCATCATCACCACCACCACCACTACACACACACTCATACACACATACACACATCACAATGAAGGGATCTGTTAGAATAAGACTTGCACGATTTGGCCGCAAGTTTCAGCCAGTTTACAACATTGTAGTTGCTCGCGCACGTAGCGGTCGCAACAAACTGCCAATCGAAGTGATTGGTACTTACAACCCTATTCCTGCACCGTTAACTGTTGAGCAGCGTGAGAATGGTTTACGTCCTGTTAAGGAAATCCATCTTGATACAGACCGATCTAAGTATTGGCTTGGTGTGGGAGCACAACCTACAGAACCTGTTGCACGGTTGTTTCGCAAATTGGGACTGCTAAGTCCTGTATGGCCTAGTCCTGCACGCGGACCTAAGATTCCAACTAGAGAAACGGCTTCGGAATCGCGGTTTGCTGATGAGTAAAGAGGCGGAGAGAAGAGAAATGATAGGATTTATATTAAAAATTAAAAAGAAAGGAGGAAAAAATGAGGATTAAAGAAATGTTTACTTTAGTTGCTGGAAAGAAGGAGGAGGAGGATGGGATTTTTTTTTTTCTTTTGAAAGATTGACAATCAATTAATCAATCAATCAATTGTGAAGATGAAAAAAAAAAGAAGGACTGTGCTGAAGTTTACTATGTGGTATCATGATCTTACCATATAGTAACTTTGTATCATAATATATATATAATTTTTTTTTGCTGTACATAATAAAAACCGCATTTTTGAAAAAAAAAAAAAAAAAAAAAAAAAGAATCAACAACATCATCAATTATACCAAAAAAAAAAAACAAATTAAGATGAAGAAGAAACCAAATTTTCAATATTTTTTTATTTGTTAAATGATTAAGAATTAAATTAAAATTAATATAAAGTAGTTGAATTGTTTTTTTTTTTTTTTATTATTTTCTATCAACAATTTTTTTTTTTTTTTTTCATAAATTTCATAAATTTCATAAATGTTTTAAAATTCTTAACAATGTTATCATGATCAAGCTAATATTTTATTTTTTTTTAAATACCATTCATCATTAATCCAAAAAAAAAAAAAAAAAAAAAAAAAAAAGGAATGAACATGTGAATTAATAAAAGTAATTTTTTGTAACTTCCTGATGAAATTTTTTATTTTATTTTATTTTATTTTTCCCCATAAGAGTGGGTTATGAATATAATACTTGAATAGTATACTATATATATATATATATATTACTTTTTGAAAAATAATGAATTCTTCACACAAATACATAAAAACTTTCAAGTAAAGATACACGCGATTATATACTCGAAGAAGGATAATTTTTAAAATAAAAATGAATGATCTCATGAAGGGGGGGTGATAGAGAAAGAGAGAGTTTGTGAGTGAGTGAGTGAGTGAGTGAGTGAGTGAGTGGAAGAACCATTCAATCGTAGTCATGGAGTCACGTTTACAGTTATAAGAAATCTACCCCACAAAAAAAAAAAAATTAAAATAAATAAAAAAAAAAAAAATTAAAACAGAACATAACGGTGATGACCTTTTGAATTTTAAATTTTAAATTTTAAATTGTAAATTATAACGGTTATATTTTTATATCAGAATGTTCATAAGAACAATTACACGTGTATTATCAGTTTTTTTTTTCATGTTTAATATATTTATATATAAAGTAGAAAAAAAAGAAGAAGTAGAAGAAGAAGCTTACCTTTTAATTGAATTTTTTCTGTATATATTTGTAAAAAATAATGTTATATATATATATTGCAATGTTTGGACATTTCCAAAGTAAATTATAATTAATTATATGAGTATAAACATTTTTTTTTTTTTTTTTTTGAAATTTGATTTAAAGAAAAGAAGTTAACTTTCTGGACTTTACACTGGCAAAGTTGAAAAAAAAAAAAATAAATAAAATAAAAAAACCAGTGGTAGTCTTAAATATCGATTTATGCTGAAATGTTTAATTCTCTAAAAAAAAATTTAATATATAAAAAAAAAAATTAGTTTAAATTTATCTTTAAAAAAATATATATATTTTTGGATATTGTGATTGGCATAGATCATAAAAAAGAAGTGTCAGTGTTTGTTACTGTTGTTGTTGGACTTTAAAAAAAAAAAAAAAGAAACGAAATATTGATTAGCCGCACAACAGTCGAAAAAAAAAAAAACTATGAAACAAAAAAATATCCCCAATTCTGGGAAGGGGGGGGGGGGATAGACTTAATACCCAAAAAGTTGGTTAATATCAAGTAATAAGAACCAAAAAAAAGAAAAAAAAGAAAAAAAAATTAAATGGTTAAGATATATAATAAATATATTAAAGAAATAATAGGAATGAAAAGTCATTGGTAAATGAAAAAAATAAATAATACTAGCTTTAATGAATATTGAGAGAAACGACAAATACTTTTAATTACAATAAATAGAAGAAAGGAAAAAAGAAAGATAAATCTAATACAATATATATATATATATATATATATATAAATGTGATAATATGAAATTTAATGGTAAAGAATAACAAAAAATAACATGTAAGTTGGTTAAAATCAATCCATATTAGGTTGAAACGGAAAAAAAAAAATAAAAAAAAAAATAAAAACTACCCTTTACTCATATTTTTTTTTTGCATATTTATTTACATTTATTTTATTTATATAAAACTGTGAGATTTATTTCATTGAAATGCACTATCACCTTAATAGAATAATGGATAATATGGGGGGTTTTGTTGATAAATAACAGTACAAAAAAAAATTATAATAAGCGAGAATGGTATCAGAATAATAATAATAATAATAATGATGATGATTATGGGGTTTTAACAAATGAGTGATATTTCAAAGGTATTTATTTTATAACAAGAGTATATAGAACACTAATATAAGTTTATTTATAATAATAATAATAATAATAATAATAATAATAATAAAATGTAAAGACAAGGAATATATATAAAACAAGAGAATTTGAATTTGACATGTTATTGTTATATTGTTATTGTTGCATATTCAGAGTACAAAAGTTGATGTTTTTTTATTTTTTTTCTTTCAATACCCTTCCTAAATCTTATTACTTACTACTAACTTGATTTTTTTCCCACGATATCCTCCAAAAAAAAAAAAAAAAAAAAAAAAAAAAAAAAAAGGGATTTCGTTTAAAGAGAAAAAACTAAGGAAGATTCTTGGCTTTGGAGGGTGGGTGAGGGGAGGGAAAAGTTTTTTTGGTCTATTTGCGGTATTATTATTAAAAAAAATATATATATTTATTTCAATTTTTAAATATGGTGGTAGTACAAACTTTTTTTTATTTAAAAAAAAAAAATACTTGAAAAAATAAAAAGTGGATTTATCAAGATGATGATGATGATGATGATGATTATGATTATGAGTAGCCATTTTTTTTTAAAAAAAAAAGTAAGTAAGTAAGAAAGAAAGAAAGAAAAGAGAACAACAAACAAGGGGGAATTAAATAAAAAAAAAAAAGTTTCAAAAATAAATAAAGGTTGATTTTTGATTTTTTTTTTTGAGTGGGTTTAATTATATATATATATATATATATCTAACTTGAATTTTGTTTCTTTATTTGAAATTTAATATTGGCAGAAAAAAAAAAAAAAAAAAAAAAAAAAAAAGAGAGAAAAACATTTACAAAAAAGACCCTATTACTATTACTACTATTACTATTTACTATTTACTATTTTACTACCTATGAAATATATATTTTTTTTTATCCGAGATATATTTTATTTTATTAAACAAAATACTTAGTTTTCTTTTTTTTTTTTTTTTTTTTTTTTAAAAAACAAAATCTATTTTTCATCATCATCATCATCATCATCATCATCATCTATACAATTAATATCACCATAATTATTTTTTTTTCTTTTTTTTTTACAACATACTTTACTATACCAATATTTAATCTAATTTAAAATAACCATATCTTCTTCTTCTTCTTCTTCTTCTTCTTCTTCTTCTTCTTCTTCTTCTTCTTCTTCTTCTTCTTCTTCTTCTTCTTCTTCTTCTTCTTCTTCTTCTTCTTCTTCCATTCAAATTTTTTTTATGTTTATTAGATCTTATGACAGGCACATCAATTAATGGGGGTTCCTTTGTCATTTGCTCAAAAATAATAATAATAATAACCGTTTGGTATTATTATTATTATTATTATTATTATTAAATTTTTTTTTTTTTTATTCCCTTCTTACAAGTTGGAATCTTTCTTTCTTCATCCTTTGTAATCTTCAAATATTATATTAAAGAAAAAAACAAACAAACAAACAAACAAACAAATAAACAAACAAAGCTCTTTAGAAACTTTCTTTTAGACAATGATCTTCCTACTCCTTCTCACCCCCCTCATCTGGATTTAACCTTTAAATCAACGTTAGTTAATTTTATTTCTTATTTTTTATTTTATTTTTTCAAAAGGAAGTTCTTTTAATGCCATAAAGCTTCTTCTTCTTCTTCAATGGTCCTTGTTCTTCTTCCATTTGATTATTATTATTATTTTTTTTTTTTTTTGGTCCCTTGTTTTAACCCAAAAAATGTATCGAAAAAAAAAAAACAATAAAGAGATTGGTAATCCCATTGTCTTCTATGTTTAATATATATCCAAAAATATATATATATATATTATAATAATAAAAATATATATATTTTTGCAAGTCTTATTTATCATTCATTAAAATTTATTCCTAATTCCTAATTCCTTATTTGACTAGGAATCTTCTTCTTGTTATTTGCTACTAATACTACTATTACTATTACTATAATACACCACCACTCAGCCGTTTGTAAAACTCAGAATTCTCAGGCTCTTTAAGCCCTGGAATCTCAATCGGTGCCGTCAAAGTATTACGATTATTGTTATTCCCTCCAATATTATTCTCATCATCATTTCTAAACATGGTTCGCGTTGTCCTACCATCTCCATTTGTACCTAAACTGCCAGTTCCACTAAAGCTACCTGTATAACTACCACTTGTAGGCTCGTCTACTTCCATAGCAATCACACCAGGAATTTGAATTGGAGCAGTTAATGTGTTACGGTTTCCGTTACCACCTTGAATTTCATCGTAGTCTTCGTCGTCATTATTATAATCGTCACTCATATAATTGCTACTTCTATCTGAATAATATCCAGAGTGAGAAGACGAAGAAGCAGCAGTAGAAGCAGCAGCAGCAGCAGCAGCAAGGTGAGGCGGTTGAAGTGCACCTCCGGTTGTAATGTGGTGGTGGTGGTTGTTGTTCATGTAGTTGTGACTACTACCATTACTATAAAAGGCCAACCCAGGAGCTAACGATTCAGAATTATGGCCGGCCGAGTCATGAATATTGCTGTTATTGTTTGATATTGCAGATGTCATCCATGATGATTGTAATTGGATTGGACCATCTAAACCTGGAGGTGAAGGAGGAGTCTGAAGTGGTCTTGGAGGGAATATTGTATGATTGTTTGTATGATTGTTTGTGTGAATGTTTGTGTGAATGTTTGTAGTGATTTGGTTATTAGAAATATTATTTGATGATAGCAGTGGTCCTATATTCTGCATTCGGTTGTCTGTGGAGAAGTCGAATTCACTAGTTGTTGCCAAAGGGTTTCCACTGCTATTACCATTAATACCATTAATACTACCTCCACCACCACCACCACTTCCACCACCTCCTCCCCTACTCCTATTATTGTTAATTATATTATTGTTATTATTATTGCTCGGTGCTGTATTCAGGGGTGCTGGTGGTACAGTTATTGCTGTTGTGGCTCCACTCCGGGTATATTGATGTGGATACAGCGGCGGAGGAGGGATTCTAGTTTCTTGTTGGTGCTGGCGCATCTGTTGAATCTCCAAGCTATGCAGGTGATGCAGACGTTTCCGTGTTTCTGCAAGACTGTGCGGGAAGGGTTTCCCAGTTTTCTGGGTCATGGCTTGGACGGTATCACGTACTACTCTGTGCACCAAACCGTAGGGGAGAGCAACCGCAGGACCTGCACCAACAGGAGCTTTTAAAGGATTATCGAGTTGTTTATAGTAGACATTCATTAGAACATTGTCTTCATCTTTAGTCCAGGGTGGATTTGTACCTGTACTATTGTTGTTATTATTATTATTGTTATAGTTGTTATAATGGGCTCTGTCTTCATCATCTGACGTGGCAATGGATAAGCCCGACATGTTAGAAAGCTTTGTGAATCCTGCAGCTACAGCTGAAGAAGAAGAAGATGAAGAGTTTTGTCCACCTTGGAATCCGTTATATATACTACTACTAGTGCTTCCATTTCGTGTATGATACTGGGAGGGATTAAATGATGCGTTGTTGTTATTGTTGTTGTTGTTATTATTATTATTATTATTATTATTATTATTATTATTATTATTATTATTATTATTATTATTATTATAATTGTAGTTTGTAGAGTTGAAGCTGTTTAGGAGTTGTTGAGAGCTGTCTAGAATCTGGTTACGTGGAGTGTGGGGGACTGAGTTTAAGCTACTTGCAAAGGAGATGACTGAGTTGAGAGAAGCACTTGAAGCATTATTTCGAGTGAGAGTATGAGCCAATGATCCAGAGGTATCTTGTTGTTGTTGTTGTTGTTGTTGTTGCTGGGTGTTCATAGCGTTGTTATCTGAATGAAATGCTGGCAGTTGTTGTAGTTCAAATGAGAATGAAGTAGAAGAAGTTATTGATGATGATGATGATGATGATGATAATGGGTCATAAGTAGGTTGCTGTTGATGAAAGGCATATTGTTGTTGTTGTTGTTGCTGTTGATTTAAAGTTGGTAGATGTTGAGAATTATGATTTTGTTGAACCTGGCCTTGTTGCTGTTGTTGTTGTTGTTGTTGTTGTTGCTGCTGCTGCTGTTGTCCCGATGGATTTGAATGGAACATTGCAGTTAAAATAAGAGGGAATATTTGATTTGTTTTTTGTTATTTGTTTTTTGTTATTTGTAGATATCAATAAATGTCTATTGAGGAAAGGAAGTTAAAAATCGAAAATATATATATAAAAAAAAAGGGTTTAAACTATGGGAAAAAAAATCTAAGACAAGTTTGTTTTATATCTAAAAAAAAAAAAAAAGAAAGAAAGAAAGAAAGAAAGAAAGGAAAAATTATATTTTTGTTTTAAAAAAAAAAAAAAAAGGGATTTTATATTTTAATATTTTTTTAATAATAAAATAAAAATATAATATATATATGTTGGACCAAAAATAAAATCTGCAAAAGTTCTTTTTAAGAAGAATCTTTTTTTTTTTTAAACAGTGCACTAACAAACAAAAAAAGGGGCGGGTAGAAAGTTGGTGATGATAATTTTTTTTTTTAAATATTTTGATTTTTTTTAAATAATTTTTAAATAATTTAAAAATGTTTGACAAAAAACAATAGAAATGGAAATGGAAATGGAAATAGAAATTGTCTTTACTAAATTATTATTATTATTATTATTATTATTATTTTTAATAATAATAGTTAAAACAAAAAGAATTGAATTAAATTGAATAAAAATTTAATAAAAATTGAATAAAAATTGAATAAAAATTAAATTCAAATTCAAATTCAAATTTAAAATCAAATTTAAAATCAAAAATTTTAATATTTGCGGAATTTCTTGATAAAATAATAATAATAATAAATAAATAATAAAAAATAAAGTCTTAACAAAAAAAAAAAAAAAAAATTTAAAACGCGCGTTTTTTTTTTTTTTTTTTTGTGCGGCAAATTCAGCAAGTCAGCGGGCAAGGCGCCCGTTTTTTTAGTTGGGCCAAAAAAAAAAAAAAAAAATTTTTTTTTAATATTTAAGGAAATCACATGAACAAATATCACATGACTTAACCAGCAGACTATTTTTTTTTTTTTTTTTTTTTTTTTTTTTTTTTTTTAATTTAATCAATTCAATTCAGTTCTGTCATGTTGACAATAATAATAATAATAATAATAATAATAATAATAATAATAATAATAATAATAATAAAAGTTATTTTATAATTATAAATATATAAAATGAAATTTCAAATGAATTTTTTTTTTAGAAGAAATAAAAAAAAAATCTATTTTAAATTTAAATAAATGAAAAAAATAAATGAAATATCATCGATAATTAGGAGGCCTGTCTTGTTTATTGCGTAATAATCGAGTCACTAACCAATCCACAGAATCTGCAACCCCAGCTCTAAATAACAAAATGTTAGATATAATTAATCCCCATTAAATTCAATTCAATTCCATTGTAATCAATCAATCAATCAATCAATCAATCAATCATTTTATATAAACTCACCCTGTTAATGCACTCACAGGTAATACCCGACTATCACGAGCTCCCATCTTTTCTGCAATCTTATTGAAAATCTCCTTAATATCCACAACTCCCATACTATCTTCTCTATCTTGCTTATTAGCAAGCATTAAAATAGGAATCCCCTGAGTTGCTTCACTCCCAACAACTTTCTCTAAAGTATCCCGACATTCTTCTAATCGTTCTCTATCAGTTGAATCTACAACAAATACAACTGCATGTGCATCTGAGTAGTAAGAGTCCCATAAACTTCGAAGGTTTTCAGATCCACCTACATCCCATAATCGTAAAAGTGTTCCATTGATAGTAATATGGCCAACTGTAAAAAGTAAAAGTAAAAAAAATTAAAAATTAAAAAAAATTTTTTTTTTTTTTAGTTAGTTGTAAGAAATTAAACAATATAAATCAATCTAACTTTGAAATCATTAATTGATCCATATATATATATATATATATATATATATATATATATATATATCCACTTACCATTCTGGCCAACTGTGGGCATGATCTTATCTGGATCTAATCCTCGCTTAGATTCACTATATTCACTCTTAAGTTTTTCTAAAAGAGTCTAAAATGTTGGTCATCTTTGTTTTTTTTTTTTTTTTTATTTATTATTATTTCATATTTTCATGAAAATTGTCAAAAAAAATTTTATTTTATTTTTTTTTTTTTTTTCATTTCAATATCTTTTACTTACAGTTTTGCCAGCATTATCAAGTCCTAGTAACAGTACAGAATATTCTTATCAAATATATCAAACAAATGTTAGTCTATCAAATAATCTTCTTTTTATTAATCTTACTCACCTTCTTTTCTTGTTAATGATGTATAAATCCCTTTCACTAAATGATACATTTCTTAATATTTAGTTTTTTTTTTTTAATAATTTTTTTTTATCTCTTTCAAAAAATATATAAATATATTTATTTATTTATATTAATGCTGGCAGTGTGTGTATGTGTGGAGATCTCACTTTGAATTTATTATTGCGTGGCTGTTCTAAACTTCTTTTTCAAAAACAGCGTACTTATCAGCCCTGCGCATATCATAGTCTGTGATCTGTTTGCCCACCACCTTCACCACCACCACCACCATTGAAAATTTTTCAATCCTCTTTCTCCCTCCTCCTTCTTCCCTTCCCTTCTCATACATACACAACAACATCATCCTTTTTTCAACCAAATCAAACCATCTTCATCATGGCAAGCAACTTTGATTTCCACGATAACGCTGGGTTTTTGGATAACTCCCTTGTTGTCGGTAACAATTAGTATGTTTTATAAAATTATATTTCAAAAAAAAAAAAAAAAAAATCATTTATTTTTTCTCTTTTTTTCTAACTCAATCTTAAGCTACGATGAAAAGCAAATTGTTAAGCAACAGGAAGACCTGAAGCAACAGTCAAAATCTGTATGTTTAAAATCTATTAATCTATTGAAAAATAAAGAAAAATGATAAAAAAAAAAAAAAAAAAAACTTCAAATTCTAACTTTCTTAGGCTGGCTATATTCCTGATTCTGTCAAGGACTTCATCCTCTACTTTCAAAAGCAATTCAAAGAGGGAAACACTTACGAACTCCATTCTTGTTACGAAACTGGCTTCAACAAACTCACTGAAAACTTTTACAAAACTAGCCCTTGGCCTGACCCAGAAACCGCTGTTGCCCCCCTCGTCAAGGATCCCAACTTTTTGCTTTTCTACTCTGAAGTCTATTTCCGTCATCTTTACGGTCTCCTCCAGCCCAACACAGAGCAACGCATCCAGTCATATAGCAACTATTGCCAACTCTTCAACTTCTTCCTCAACTCAGAGCACCCAGTCGATGTCGAACTTCCAAGCTACTGGGCTTGGGACATTATTGATGAATTCATCTACCAGTTCAATAGCTTTTGCATCTACAGAAACAAGGTCATTAAACGTGGCAATGTTGCAGAAATCAAGTCCTTCAGGGCTAACTACGACACTTGGGCCCCTTACTCTGTCCTCAATGTCTTGTACTCTCTCTCAAGCAAGTCTAAAATCTCAGAGCAGCTCGAAGCAATCAAAAATGGCCAAGATCCTCTCGCCGTTGCTGGCGAGTACGGCTCAAAGCCCCTCTACAAGACCCTTGGATACTTCTCCATCATTGGTTTGCTCCGCGTTCACACCCTCATGGGTGACTTTTCTCTCGCTCTTGAAACTATGAAGGGCATCCAACTCAACAAAAAGGCCTTCTTTGCCCGCGTCGCAACTGCCCATTACACAACCTACTACTATGTCGGTTTCTGCTACATGATGCTTCGCCGTTATGCTGATGCCATCAAGGCCTTTTCTCACATTCTTCTCTTCATCTCTCGCACAAAGAACATTAACCGTTCGGCCCAGTACGACGCCGTCTCTAAAAAATCAGACCAAATGTACGCCCTCCTTGCCATGTGCGTTTCCTTGAACCCAACCCGTCTCGATGAGGCAATCCACACTACTCTCCGTGAAAAGTACGGTGAACAGCTCTACAAGATGCAGCGCGGCGGCGCCGACGCCCTCCCCATTTTTGAGGAACTTTTCTCCTTTGCTGCTCCCAAGTTTGTTTCTCCTGGCGCTCCTGATTATGAGAATCCAGCAATGAATGTGTCCCCTGCCTTGTACCACTGCAAGGTCTTCCTCCAGGACGTTACTAGTACCATCACTGCTCCTTCCCTCAAAAACTACCTTAACCTTTATGCCACCATGGATGTTGGTAAGCTTGCCACCTTTTTGGAAATCAGCCCCGACGAGGTCCGAAGTGTTTTGGTCAACTTCAAGCTCAAAAACAGACAGCTCAAGTGGTCTGAGGGTGACATCATCAAGGGCGAATCTTCTAATGTTTCTGAGATTGACATTGCTCTGGAAAATGATATCATCCATGCCTCTGAGACTAAGAATAGCAGAAAGTATGCTGATTGGTTTATTCGCAACACTTCCAAGAATTATTCTGCTCAAGAGTCTATTTCCAATCCTGAAAAGCAAGAGGCCGAAAACTCACGACAGAATGCTGGAAGAAAGCGACATGCTGCAAAGGAGTCGAAGAAGGAGTCTAAATAGTTTAGTTTGTATTTAAAAGATGATGAAAGGATCGAGGTAATTGTAAAAAAAAAAATATTGAAAATAATGAAAAAAAAGTTGAAAAGTTGAAAAGTTGAAAAATTGAAAATTGAAAATTGAAAATATATATATATATATTTTCAATATATATATTTTTTTAACCCCGTTTTTGGTCTAGTTCACAACCACCATCTTGCACCTTCCCCTCTAATAAAAAAAAATTAATAACCGCCAATAAAGACCATATTTTGCCACCTTTTGAAATCTTTTTTTTTTTTTTTTTCCTTTCTTTCTTCTTATATACTTTTATATAATCCAATTTTCTTTCTTTTTTTTTTTTTTTTTTTTATCATTCTCCCATCCAAATGGCCTTTCTTTTAGCTCCTAGAAAGCTCATTCACCGTTTCATTCTTTTTAATTCAATCATTCAACCTCCTCGTTACTTTTCTTCATCCTCTTTCAGAATGCCTACCGGCCCTGTCCCCGTTCCTCCTCAAGCAGCCCCCTCTTGGGACGTAACTGCAGATCACATTTTGTCAACCGTCAACAAGTCAATTGAACAATCTAAAGCTCTTCTCGATGACTTTGCAACTCAGGATTCTCCTACTTGGGACTCAACTCTTAAGCGATACTTGCAATTCAATGCCGAGACAGATTCTGCAACAACCCCTCTTCTCTTTTTCCAAAACGTATCCCCCCACAAGGATCTTCGCGATGCATCCACCAAGGCTGATGAATTGCTCTCGGCTTATGAAATTGATGCAGCTATGCGTGTCGATGTTTACAAGACCTTTTCTAAAGTCTTCCCTCAGCTTGAAAAACTTGGACTAGATGCCGAATCATTGCGTGCTGCAAAAAAGATTGAAACCCGTTTTAAGCGTGATGGTTTGGACTTGGATGATGCCACACGTGAGAAAATCACTGCTCTACGCAAGCGTCTTTCAACTCTTTCGATCCAATTTGCCAAAAATATGGCTGATGAAGATGGATCACTCGAATTTACTGCCGAGGAACTCACAGGTGTCCCTGAAAGTGTTTTGGAACAGCTCACTAAGACTGAAGATAACAAGTACAAGATGACATTTAAGTACCCAGACGTTTTCCCCGTACTTAAGTATGCACAGAATGCCGATGTGCGTAAGAAAGTTTTCACTGGCTTTGACAATCGAAACTTGAATAACGATGACCTCCTGGCTGAGGGTGTCAAGATTCGCTCGGAGATTGCGCCTCTTCTCGGGTATGAAAACCACTCGGCGTTTGTGCTGGACGACCGCATGGCGAAAACTCCAGCTAATGTGTTGTCCTTTTTGGGTGATTTACACTCGAAACTCAAGCCCAAGGCCCAGCAGGACGTTGACGTTTTGCTCAAGTACAAGGCGCAGGACTATAAGGAGCGCGATCTTGACTTTGACGGCAAGTTGTACTCGTGGGATTTGCGCTTTTATGCAAACAAGCTTTTGGAAACAGAATACAAGATTGATGCTCAGCAAATTGCAAATTACTTCCCCCTCCAAAGCACAGTCGACGAGGTTTTATCGCTTTATGAACACGTTTTGCGTCTTAAGTTTTACAAGGTGGCTGACTCTGATAAGCAGGTCTGGCACGAGGATGTGCACCAATTCCACGTCTGGGATGCCAGCGAGGATGGCAAGCCTACTGAGTTTTTGGGCTGGTTTTACTTGGATCTTCACCCTCGGCCCAACAAGTATGGCCATGCTGCCAACTTTAACCTGTCTCCAGGATATATTGACGCTAAGTCTGGCGAACGCGTACATCCAGTGACTGCTCTTGTTTGCAACTTTTCCAAACCCACTGAAAAGAAGCCTTCATTGTTGAAGCACGATGAGGTTGTGACTTTGTTCCATGAAATGGGTCACGGTATCCACAACCTGGTTTCCAAGACACGATACTCAAGATTCCACGGAACCAGTGTTGAATGGGACTTTGTGGAGGCTCCCTCTCAAATGCTCGAATACTGGCCTTGGAACAAGGCTCAGCTCAAGCAATTGTCGAAGCACTATGAAAGCGGAGAACCATTGAGCGATTCGCTGATTGATTCATTGATTCGTACCAAGCATGTCAACGATGGTATCAATCTCACACGTCAGGTGTTTTTGGCATCATTTGACTTGGCTATTCATTTGCTCAAGAAGGATGAACCCATTGATCTTGTGGACAAGTGGTACCAACTGCGCACTGAATACTGTCTCGACACTACAGGCGACTTTAAGTCCCACGCCTTTTCTGCATTTGGCCACTTGATGGGCGGCTACGACTCTGGCTACTACGGCTACCTATGGTCGGAAGTGTTTGCTTGTGATATGTACTATACAAAGTTTAAGGCTGATCCTCTTAACTCGCAGGCTGGATACGAGTACAAGACCAAGGTGATTGGACCTGGCGGCTCACGCGATGCTATGGACTCCCTGAAGGACTTTTTGGGCCGTGAGCCCAATAATGTTGCCTTTATGGAGGAGCTCGGCGTTTCCGAGGCTGGCTCTTCTGGCAACAAGTTGTGATGGACTTGCCGATTTAATGATTAATGTATGTATGTGTGTGTTTGTGTGTGTGTGTGTGAGTTTGGAGACGGGTCTTTGGAGCCGTGATGGATGTTTGGGTGGTTGCATTTATGGGCGTGAAAAATTCCGCTCGGTGAAATAGCCGCCAGGTGTTTCTCCACATCACACACATGTCCTATCCAACAGACCAAAATATATATATAGAGTACTTTATATCTCGAGTTTTCTTTTTTTTTTCTCTCTCTTTCTTTCTCCTTTTTTTTTTCTCTTCTTCTTCAATAAATATATTTTCTTATCATCTTTATCATCATGCTCTTATATTCTGCTAAAACTGTGGCTGCCAGAAGACTGTTTAGCACTGCTGCTGTGCGGCTCTCTAAACAACAACTGCCTCTGGAAGGCGTACGAGTTGTTGACATGACTCGTGTTCTTGCTGGACCTTATTGCACTCAGATCTTGGGTGATTTGGGAGCAGAAATCATCAAGCTGGAGCACCCGACCAAAGGTGACGATACCCGAGCATGGGGGCCTCCCTTTGCGCCATATACTGAGCACGCAGATGAAGTTCCTGGACACAAGACCGGGGCTGGGCTAGGTGAAAGCGCATACTTTCTATGTGTGAACCGCAACAAAAAGTCTTTAGCTCTTAATTTCAAGTCTGCAGAAGGTCAAAAGATTGTGCGAGACTTGATTGCATCTGCAGACGTTGTTATCGAAAATTACGTTCCAGGAACGCTCGCGAAATACGGGCTAGCATATGATCAGCTTCCTAAACCAAACAAGGTGATTTATGCATCCATCACAGGATACGGGCAAACAGGACCATACTCGAATCGTCCAGGATACGACGTTATGGTCGAAGCCGAAATGGGACTGATGCACATTACAGGTGATCCTGATGGGAACCCGTCTAAGGTTGGTGTTGCGGTGACTGACTTGACCACAGGTTTATACGCTGCAAACTCTATCATGGCTGCACTGATCCATCGTGCTCGTACAGGAGAAGGTCAGTATTTGGATGTTTGTTTGTCTGATTGCCAGGTCGCTACGCTCGCAAACATTGCGTCGTCCGCTCTTATTTCCGGGAAACCCGACTCGGGTCGCCAGGGTACCGCACACCCAAGTATTTGTCCATATCAAGGGTTCCCGACCAAGAACAATGGTCAAATTATGATTGCTGGAGGCAACGATACACAGTTCCAAGCAGTATGTGCTGCGATTGAGCGTCCAGACCTAGCTGGGAACCCTGATTATGCGACCAACGCTTTACGCGTTAAAAACAGAAAAGTACTTGTGCCAGAGATTTCGAAAACCACAGCATCCAAGACTAAAGAAGAATGGCTCGAGATTTTCGAGGGTAAAAGATTCCCCTACGCTCCTATTAACGATATCCAAACTACCCTCCACCACCCACACGTTCGTGCTAGAAATATGGTGGTCGAGGTCGATCACCCAGCTTGTGGACCACTGCCACTGGTTAACTCGCCAGTTAAGTACTCGCGCACTCAACCCACGATCCGTTCTCCACCACCAATGTTGGGCCAGCACACGGATGAGGTTTTGAGTGAGGTATTGGGCTACGATGCTGCACAAATTTCCGAGTTGCGTAAGGATGGGGTTGTCAATTAGAAGAAGAAGAAGAAGAAAAAAAAAAATAATGTTAAGTTTACAGTAAATAGATTGTTTATATTATAATTTTTTTTTTGTGGATGACGTTGTTCTATTTTCAGTATAAACGAGCTTGCAAAAGTTTATGGTAAATTTTGTAGTAGCCTATAAGGGCCGATGTAAGACCAGTCCCAGTAGCAATGAGAGGATGGGTATTTGCTTCGAAAATATCAATGATGCAAAACACAAGATCACAAGTCAATTTAGTTGAGTTGAGAAGTGAGATTTTACGTTTTTGGGCCACCTTGTATTGTTCAAGAGCTAGGTCAGAAACAACCTGGGTTTGTACTGGAGTCAATGTTTCTGCATCTTGGTAAAGTGCTTGTTCGGCGGCTATGCGGGTGTGCCGCCTAGCTTGAGACCACAGATTAGAATGCTCGCCAAAAAATGCGAGTGCAATGGCAGCAAGCCAGGCATAATTAGCGTGTAAGTCTGCCTTGTGGCCGAGTTTTGGCCGGTCCTTGAGCACGAGGCCAAGCTTAAAGAAAAGATAAATGTCATCAAAAATTGCATTGTAAAGTTCAATAACAGCATCGAGAACATCGTGAGTTAAAATGTTGGCTTTGATATTGCGCGACCTTAGAATACGAACAGGTACAGAGTGTAACAATAGATGCAAAGGCTCCATCCAGTTACCCATGCGCATGATTTTACGAAACATGGATAACTGGGGGACCATTGTGCGGGCCCATTTGATTGCTAGGAGATAAAGGACTGCCGCTTTAGTGAGTCTAAGTTTTCGTGAAGTAGTTTTAGAAGAAGTAGATCCCAAAAGTGTTTTGTGTAAGAGTTTAGTTGCATCTGCCCATAGCACGACCCGGAATGTGTACTGGATAATTTTAATAATTTTATCTTTGCCATCTTTTGTGTTGAAGACGTGTACAAATAGGTCCATAGTATCTGTGGCTCTTGCTGCTTTGGCGACCCGAGATGGGGCTGGACCTGGTAGCAACAAAGGTGATGGCAAAAAGATTCCCGAAGGAACTGGGTATCTCGGAACACTGGATGAAGATGGTGGAGAAGAAGAACGAGAAAGGGAAGATCCGTTGTGAAGATGGTTAGGTGTGGCCAGAACGCCATGCGGAGAATGTGGGGAGAGCCCCGGGGATGGGACTGGAGGGACTGGGTGAAGGTCTTCGGGGGTTTTTTCCACAAGCGCCGCAATCGGGTCTTTTGGTATATTATGGGTGGTATCAGACATGAAGAATATAGATTTAGATAGAATGGTGAAGGTAGCAAAGGTTGTTTAGATTATATGATAAGTAAAAGGATTTTGGTGGGTTTTTATAGAATTTGTAAGGTTTTTTTTAATTTATTTCATTTTTTGTTTAAGGGGAGGTTGTTTTTTTTTACTGGTATATAAAAAATAAAATAAAATAAAAAAGGGTGGGGTTAATAAAAAAAAAAAAAATAAAAAAAGACAACTTTAAAAGGTTCGGCCAGCCGTGCAGACGTGGGCCGAGGCAGTGATTTTGAAGAGACAGAATAATAATTTTGCAACAGCTTGGAAGAAAAAAAGAGGGAAAAAAAAACACCACCCGTTCAAATTGAGTCAGATGTGAAGAAAAAGCAGACAAAAGCTAAATTGAAAGATTCTTTTTTCTTTTGAAAAACTCAGATTTAAAAAAAGAAAAGAATCAATGACCATCTGGAGGTGCGCAAATCATCAAATCCTAAGAAAAAAAAATATTATGTTCAACTTTTTTTAAAAAATTAACATGAAAAAAGTGTGACAACTGTGGGATTTGAACCCACGCCTCTTACGAGATCCGAAAACACTGCTAACAGCGAAGTTTGCACTTGAGTCGGACGCCTTAGACCAACTCGGCCAAATTGTCATATGATTTAATAATTAAACTAATATTTAGTATTTAATAATATCATTTTACCCCACATTTTTTACTAAATTTAAAATTACATCCACAAATCTTTTTTTCCACCAGGTTTCCCGTACCACAAATTAGAAACTGATAATTCCTCCAACTTCATCTTCTTTCTATCTTCCTTTTCCTCTTTACTTTCATTGCTAAAGTACCGTCCAACCCCCTTAGCCTTCTTCTTGGCCTCCTCATCATAATCATCCGCCCATTTGACATCTCGGCCTGCTGATAACAAATCTGTCACAGTGCTCCAACTAAATCGCACCTGCCCCGAGTATCCAAATAACGGATCTACCGAGCTCTTGAGCCATGCAACCGTGCGCGGGTCCGATGGGTAGCCAGACCCCCATGACCCGTTACCACTTTCGTCATGTACCACCAGACACTCATCACGCGTGACCTTGGCACAAATTGATGCAGCAGATACAATAGGATAAAGTGAATCAGCCTTTTTGGCAACTGTGATTTTGATTCCAGGGAACCGCCGCGAAAGTTTATCCTGATAACTAGCAGGCGGACCTACAGTATCAACGTAAATCTCGGCTATATTAACCCCACGCTGTAATGTTTGCTGGATCAACGCAATTGTCACATCGTGCGCTTGGTTATTGAGGTTATACGCACTGGTCTTGGGTCGCAGCATGCCTGAAGAAATATCGCGTGCACTCATCACAGTGACAGCCCAGCTCACATGTGGATCTGCACGCACAACATCAAGTAGATTTGACCGTGTTGCAGCTGTCAGTTGCTTGGAATCATTGTACCCAGCCTTGGCCAGTGTATCTTTGTATGAGAGAGGGCAGAATGCACATGCATAGACCATGGGTCCAATCACTGGTCCCCTTCCAGCTTCATCGACACCCAAAATACATGGTTCTGCAAATTCTTCTGGTGACTCCAAAGGCTCATGGTATGAGAATGAATCAAAAGGATTCTGCGGAATATTTGGTTTGTCCATTTCGAATGGATTTGCTTGTTTGCTTGTTTGTTTCTTCGTTTCTTCGTTTGTTTACTTTTAAAACTTCCCCCCCTCCCCCATTAAGCGCTATTAATGTTGAAATAGTTGAAGTTGTAACAAAAAAATTGTTGTCACACATTATGCATCACCCAAAAATGCCTCCCGCCGTTCACATCGCCACAGCCCTTTTTTTTTTCCTATCCACGTCGCAACAAATAGCTCAATAAACCACCACCACCACCACCACCACCACCCACAACATCTTTTTCTTCCCCCTCTACTCTGTAAAAACTTCTCCTTACACACCCTGTGCTCAACAATCATCGTCACCCCAAATGGCCAATTCAGCTGCCCCGGCCATTGTCATGGGTAAGTACTCTATATAACATTTTCTTCTTCTTTCTTTCTTTTTTTTCTAACTCTCTCTCTCTTTAGACAAGTACGTGTATCGTGGCTACGCGTCCACTCTTTTCTTACTAACCTCTTATTTAGTGGTACTGGTCTTACCAAGCTAGGTTTTGCCGGTAACGACTCACCATCTTTTATCTTTCCAACCGTCATTGCAACCCGCCAAACTTCCAGCAGCACTCGCGGACAGGCCGGCGGGCCCGGAAGTTCTCTCTCGCAAAAGCGTGGAACCGAAGATCTCGACTTTTTCATTGGTAACGAGGCTTTGGAAGCCGCTTCTGGTCCTAGTAAGTGGTCCTCCCCACATGAATATTTATTGTCTCGTGTTTTGAAAAATTTCACTAACATTTCTACCATTCTCTTTCTTCTTCAGACTATGGCCTCAATTACCCTATCCGCCATGGTCAGGTCGAAAATTGGGACCATATGGAACGCTTCTGGGAAAACTCCATCTTCAAATACCTGCGCTGTGAACCTGAAGACCATTACTTTCTTCTAACAGAACCTCCATTGAATCCACCCGAGAATCGTGAAAATACTGCTGAAATCATGTTTGAATCCTTCAACTGCGCCGGTCTCTACATTGCCGTCCAGGCCGTGTTGGCCCTTGCTGCATCTTGGACCTCATCCAAGGTCGTTGACCGCACTCTTACCGGTACTGTTATCGACTCGGGTGACGGTGTCACTCACGTTATCCCCGTTGCTGAGGGTTACGTCATTGGGTCCGCCATCAAAAACATCCCCATTGCTGGCCGTGACATCACCTACTTTATCCAGAGTCTGCTGCGTGACCGTAATGAGCGTGACACCAGTTTGAAGACCGCTGAGAAATTAAAGGAAGAGTACTGCTACGTTTCGCCTGATATTGTCAAGGAGTTTTCGCGCTTTGACAATGAACCCGAGCGTTTCCAAAAGTACATTGTCGACCAGGGGCTTGCCGGCAAAGTGACGGTCGACGTGGGCTATGAGCGCTTCCTCGCCCCGGAGATTTTCTTCAACCCGGAAATTTATTCCTCCGATTACCTCACTCCGCTCCCCAACGTCGTTGATGCTGTTGTTCAAGCTTCCCCCATTGACGTCCGTCGTGGCCTTTACAAGAACATTGTCTTGTCCGGTGGTTCCACCATGTTTAGAGATTTTGGTCGCCGTCTCCAGCGCGATATCCGCACCTTGGTTAACGACCGCATTGCCCGTTCCGAGCGCCTCAGTGGTGCCAAGTCCGGTGGTCTTGATGTCAATGTTATCTCCCACAAGAAGCAGCGCAATGCCGTGTGGTTTGGTGGCTCTCTTCTTGCCGGCACTGCCGAGTTTAGAAACATTTGCTACACCAAGGCCGACTACGATGAGTTGGGTCCTGGTATCGTCAGACAGTTTTCTCTCTTCAACGTGCCATGATCTGTATAGGTTTATATATATATATATACATTTGTTGCTAAGCTTTATTTACATAAAAAAAAATCTCCTCCCTCTTGTATGCTTTTTCCTCCTTCTCTGTTTAAAATTTGGCCTCTGAAAGTAACCGCTTAACAGAGTTGACATGATCACCCTTGATTTTGATTTGACCAGAAGTGGGCTTGATTTTAATGTCGTCGGGGCCCAGACCCAAAGCAGTGCGCAGGTCCTGCTTCAACAGAGGAACAGATCCTTCGATGCGGCGAATAATAGTTGTGCGGTGGCCGTTGGCACGGACGTCAGCGTATACCGGCAGCTGGTTAGCCTTTGTGCGAGAAACACGGTACCATGCAGAGCCGTTGGAGTTCTTGGACAGAGTCAAGTCGGCCTGCGAGATGGAGTCCAGGCTGGGGAAAAGAACCAAAGGTTCCTGGGCGTGGAATGAAGACTGAGAAGAGCTAGAAGTCTCGGGGACAGGAGAGCTGCTGGTAGTTGTATCACGGAGCACCCGGAAGGTGCCAAAAGCCCGGGAAAGCATGGGCTTGCTGCTGCTGCTGCCAATAGTTCGAATCATGGTTGTGTGATGTATGTGTGGTGGATGGGGTTTTTTGTGCGAGAAATGCGTGAAAAATTTTGGTGGTTTGGCGGTTGTGTGCGAATTTTTTTTTTTTTTTTTTTTCCTTCCCATAGAATTCCAGACTGAGATATTCACATGGTCTCAATCCTACGGACTAATATACCCACGATCCCCATTAGTGATTTCGCACAAGACCCATTCTCTAAAGTATATTTATATATATATATATATGCCCATTTTTTTATCAATATAATGACCGCCACCGAACAAATTTTTTACCCTGCTCTGGGGAAATCCCTTGAAGATGTTCAGAAAACCCTTAACGGCTCCATTCTTGTTGTTCCTACAGTCTCCGTAGCTAACGTCCCACAGCTGGCCATTGATCTTCTCATCCACTCTCTCGGTCTGACGCTAGTTGGCAGACTCTCCGACAAGTATCTCTATCCATTTGCTGGTCCCCGCGATGCTCCCTCATTACCTACACCAACAACCCCAATTTCTTCTGGCATCAGCACTGCTATAGAAGTTTACAATTCTCCCAAGCTTAATCTTACTGTTATCCAGCTCCGTGCCCCGCCACTCCCCAACTGTCGCCGCGCCTTTGTCCGCTCCACACTGGCCCCCTTTGTTTCTCAGTTCAAATTTAGCGAAACCATTGTTGCTGGTTCATCTAATGCTGCTCTGTCAGAGGCTGTCCCACCACCACGCTTCAAACTTTTCCACAAGAAATCCGGTCCCTCTGCCGATCTAGCAGGCGTCGACTCGCTTTCTAGCAGACTAGCAGGTCTCTCAATTGGAAAAGATCTTGCAGGTGAAATGGCTTCAGAAGCTCCATTGTCTCCTGTGGAACTCCCAGAATCTGGGTTTACTCTCGACGCTCTTGTGGAAATTGCAGCCCTCCAAGGCCCTAGTATATCTGGTCAGAGTACCTCTACAGGCAAACCTACACTTGCCAAAGTGTGTGCCGCCGTGATTTATGTCTATGAAGGTGATAACTTTTACGATGCCCATGAGTTTGCTGACCGACTTGCAGCAGTATGCGGCCTCGACGTTTCGGCCGTTAAGTCAGCGCTACCACAACCTCCAAAGAAAAGACACGCCACAGGTGAAGAACCCCCCAAATGGGTCGAGCCATTATCCTGGCAAGGTGTCTACGGAAAGGAAATCCCCATTGGGCTGGAAGAAGGTCTTTATTCTTAATTTGTATATTGTAATTTTTATTTATTTATTTATTTATTACCATTAATCCTTCTTTCTCCTTTAATTCAAAGGAACGGAGTACTTTCTAAGAAGTCTACTTTCAATGCCATTAAGCAAGCTCTCAGGAACAGTCAATTGCAAGTTCTCAGCTTCAGCAATGAAAAGTTTGCTGGGATCCAAACCTGGAGTGCCCAACTGAGGCATTGCAGGAGTAGCCTGGTTTTGCAGACCCCCAGCAGTGTTGTCATTGCCCAGAAGTAACGCAAACACTGACTTGAGACCAATCAAGTTGAGCACGTACCACGACACGGCAGAAACCCATCGCACGTCAAGATCAGGCGTAGCTACACCAGATTGAAGCATGGACTTAAATCTAATAGTCAACGGGAAAGGCAGTTTCACTTGAAAGAAAAAAAAAAAAAAAAGTTAGTAATAGATCTTTCAACTTTGAATCAGCTTCACTTACTCAAAACAAAACCTGAAAACAAAGCATTCACCCAAGTCATCATAATGGTTTGTGGGACAAAGTTAAGCGCCTGCGACTTAATCATTCCCATCATACCCTCCATACTCGAAGGGTCAGAGAGACTTGGGGGTGCATTGGGTTGCGCATCTGGGTTCTTCAAATAAGCACCCTTTTTGAGCTGCTCAGACTGGTACGCAATTCGCTGTGCCAGCGATTCATCACTAAGATTCACACCGTTTGTACGCAGACTTTGTGCGTAGACGAGAAACTGTTGTTCGCGCACAGCCTTGAGTTCCTGGCGCTTGGGTTTGCTGGTGATGAGCAAACTGGCATAATGTCGGCACACACCAAACAGAATCATGACAAAGAGAATAGGGAATAGAACCCAAAGCGTGAGCTGTGGGTCCAGAACAAGATCAGGCACAGACATAATGATGAGCTTGTGGGTTATTTGAATGTAGAAGGGGAATATGCTTTTGGTGCTGTTGTTTAAGAGAAAAGGAAAGATTGGTGGTTTTGGCCAATTTGTGATTGTTTGTGTATATGAGTAAGTGATTATGTAAGTATACAGCTCACAGGGTCTGCCCAAAATTGATATTGAAATTTGGAAAAAAAAAAAAAAAAAAAAATCTAGTTTCAAAATTAATTGAAAGACTTTAAAATCTAAGGGACTTTAAAATAATGATTTTAAAAGATTTAATAATAGGAAAATCTTTTTTAAAAATGAATTTTTTTTTATAATTGGCTTAGCCACACCAACATTAATGATTTCTGTCCAGAAATTAAGTTTACTGGAGTCTTTTACATAAATTTTTCACAGAACCAACAAAACACTGAAATTTCTCAAACAACAACCCCCCGAAATCTAAAAAAACATCATTTTTTCTTCTTTTAAAGATGAACAAAAGTTAAAAAATTATCGTCACGAACAGGATTCGAACCTGCGCAGGTAAAACCCAATGCCTAAACTACTAAAATAGCAGGGCATCGCCTTAACCACTCGGCCATCGTAACTTTAATTTTTTTTCCTTTTATTACAATTTGAGAGAGATTTTCATTACAAAAAAAATTAGTATACAAAGTCAAAATAGCTTCCATAATTTTATTTTTTTATATTTACTGCAAGCCACCATTTGCAATAAACTAACCTAACCTAATTTTTACAAAGACCCTTACTTAGTATTATTTCATTTTCGGAGACCGAGCCAGTCATATATGTTCCAAATTATGCTATCTTATATAAAAACCTCAAGATATACCTTTCAATTTAAAATCTAACGCAATATTTAATTAAAATGGAAAAAGAACTCAAACAATTGTCTAATCAATAAGGTCTGAAATGTTATCATGTTATCATGATAGGCATTATTCTAATTTGACAAAAAACTATAAATAATGGACCAAATCGTTTATCTCAATTTTATTTCAAATTTCAAATTCAAATTATATTCATTATTATTTGCTACAATATTTTCTATAATTATTAATACTCTCTCTTCTATTTGTTTACTTCTATAACCTAATTTCATTTGTTTAAACAAAAAATGTCTGCTCTCGATAAACTTGAATTTTCTGTTTTCAACGACAATAAGTTCCCTAAATCTAAAGAAATTAAGGGTCCTTCTCCTTATTGGGATAAAAAAACAGAAGGTCCATCTTACATCAAGCCTGAAGATCGCCAAAAACCTCTTGTTTCTTCTGGCAAGTTAGACAAGGGGTATAGCACAGAAGAGGTTGAATTGACTCCACTATTAGGATCGACTTACAATGTAAATGTGCGTTTGGTTGACCTTTTAAAAGATGACGATCTTATTCGTGACCTTGCAATCAAGATTTCCCAACGTGGCGTGGTTGTTTTTAAAAAACAAGATGATCTTACTGTTGAGCAACAAAAAGAACTTGTTCAAAAGCTTGGAATTCTTTCCGGTAAGCCTAAAGAAAACGGTCTTCATATTCATCCTCTTGCACCTTCTGGTGGTGTTGTTGGAGAAAACGGTCTCGTTGATCCTGAAATTTCCTTCATCTCAAGCAGATTTGGTAACGAATATGCCAAGGAGCAACGTGATTATCCTACCGCTTACAATTGGCATTCCGATATTACATTTGAACCTGTTCCTGCGGATTATTCTTCTTTAAGATTAGTTGAGCTTCCTCCAACTGGTGGTGATACTTTTTGGGCTAATGGTTATGCCCTTTACGAAAAGCTTTCTCCTTCTCTCCGTGCTTACTTTGAAACTCTCACAGGCACATACTCTCAGCCCCGATTTAACGAATTTGGCAAAAAGAAGAACTTTGAACTTTATTCTGATAAGCGGGGAGCTGCCGAAAATGTTGGCGACGAACTAATTTCCACTCATCCTGTTGTTCGCACCAACCCGGTTACTGGCTGGAAATCCCTTTTCGCTATTGGTAATCACTTTACTAAGTTTAATGAAGTCACCCCTCTTGAATCTAATCTCCTTAAAGAGTACTTGTGGAATACTTTGGCCCAATCTCACGACATTCAGGTTAGACACAAGTGGGACAAATATGACATTGCTATTTGGGACAACAGATCGACTTATCATGCAATTAACAAGGATGTCTTGTTTTACGACGACGACCTTGTTAGAAGTGGAATTCGCACTGTTGGCATTGCTGAGCGCCCTTATTTGGACCCCAATAGCACCACTCAGACTGAAGCTCTTAAGGAGAAAAAGTCTGAAGAGAAGTAGAATTTTAGGTAAATTTAATTTAGTCAACGTACTTTAATATAATAATTTTTGTAAGGCGCTATACTTCTTGGCTTTATCTTTATCTTTGCATGAAAATTGATATGACATGTGATTAAAAAAATAATTGAATATATAGAAAGTAATGAGGAAATGCTATTTGATGAAGATTTCCTATTTTGTTAAATCTTGATTTTTATTCACTGAATTCTGAGGGAACCCCACTCAAACATTTGGCGAAATTTCACTTGAAATTTTGAAATGAGCTAATTAAGAATTTAATATTTATTTAAAAATTTGCAAATCTACAAATCCTCATATTTGGTTTTAAGTAACCACCATTTTTCCGAAATTTCGGAAAGGCGTTTGAATTGATTCTTCATTGTATTAACCTATGATGACAGTTATCATTAATCTACATAATACGTAGTACAATGTAATTGATACAAAGAGAAGCTTCTGAGTTGAAGCGGAAATTTGTCTTTTTTTGTTTTGATCCGATCTTTTCAGTTCTTTTCTTCAAGTTTAATGTATATTCTAATTATTATCAATCAATATCTCTCCAATTTTTTAAAGTGATGACGAAATAGAATTTCGGGTTCCGATATCAAACGGCTGAACTGGTTTATCATTTAGTAAAATAAACACTCCCACGTCAATTTTATAAATGAAGATGCAATAAAAGTAATTGGTAATAATCTGTTTTCATATTGTATATAAATATGCCAAAAATTCACTGATAATTTTTTTATGAAACAATCACTTCAACAATCACTTTTAATTACTTTCTAACATATTTCAATTTTTTTTCTCCTCAAAAAATTTAACAATGGCTGACATACACAATCTTGAATTCGCTATTTACGATCAAAATAAGTTTCCAAAGTTTAACAAAAACTCTGGTCCTTCTCCATATTGGGATAAGCCTACCGAAGGCCCTTCTTACATTAAGCCTGAGGATCGCCAAAAACCATTGGTTCCCTCTGGAAAGCTTCAAGAGAAATATGGCCAAGAGGCTGTTGATCTAAGCCCTCTTCTTGGTACCACTTTTAACGATAATGCTCGTCTTGTGGAAGTTCTTAAAGATGACGATCTGATTCGTGATTTGGCAATCAAAATTTCCCAGCGTGGTGTTGTCATTTTCAAGCATCAAGATGATCTTTCAACTGATCAACAAAAGGAACTGCTTCAAAAGCTTGGTTTGCTTTCTGGTAAGCCCAAAGATAATGGTCTTTATATTCATCCTATTGCTCCGGCTGGTGGCATTGTAGGACCTGATGGCCTTGTTGATCCCAATCTTTCCTTTATTTCCAGCAGACTTGGTGGTGAATACAAAAAGGAAGAACGCTTTTACCCTACTGCCTATAGCTGGCACTCTGATGTTACCTTTGAGCCCGTTCCTCCTGACTACACTTCTTTAAGACTTGTTGAGGTTCCTGAAACTGGTGGTGATACCTTCTGGGCAAACGGCTATGCTCTTTACGAAAAACTTTCGCCTTCCCTTAGAAAGTATCTTGAGACTCTTACAGGTACTTTTGCCCAACCCAAGTGGAATGAAGTTGGTGACAGAAAGGGATTTGCTGTTTATTCAGATGTTCGTGGTGCCCCTGAAAACATAGGCGAGCTTCTCATTGCGATTCACAAAGTTGTACGTACCAACCCTGTCACCGGATGGAAATCTCTTTTTGCAGTTGGTGAACACTTTTCAAAGTTTAACGATGTTACTCCCCTTGAGTCTAAGCTTTTAAAGGATTTTATCTGGAATACTTTAGCCCAATCTCATGACATTCAAGTAAGACACAAGTGGGAAAAGTTTGACATTGCTATTTGGGATAACAGATCAGCTTATCACGCAATTAACAAGGATGTTCATTATTTCGATCATTATATTAGAACCGGTATTCGTACATTGAGCAGTGGTGAAAGACCATACTTGGACCCCAATAGTCCTACTCAATCTGAAGCACTTAAAAAAAAAGCTGAGGAAGAAAAAGAAAATCAAGAGAAAAAATAATCAAAATAAATAATAGCTTATTATACAGTAAAATTTTGAGTTATAAATCAATTTAATATATTTTAAATATCTGAATATCATAAGTGACTCTGATGGGTTATAAGTCCAGCATCATTCTTAATTAAAAATAATGCCGGACTTTTTTTTTAGCTTTTTAAAAAAGTTATACATCATTCTTCTGGTATATATCAATTTTAATAGTTAGCAAGTGGAATTTATCAGCCGGATAGTTTTTATTTTTATTTTTTTTAATAATACAAACATTTTCTTATTAGATGGGCATATTAAATAGTACATTTTTTTGGAACTTATAATTTGACATATTACTTGCTATTCCAATATTTTAAACTTTATCTAGGAATTTGTTTACCCAGCTCTCCACATTTGCAGTCGTAACTTCCTATTTCAATTTCAAACATTTTAAACCAAGGGCCAAAATTTCAATGACCTGTAAAAAACAGTGTAATATTACTCAAGATCCTCTTACTATCCTTCGTCATAATCGTTTTCATGACCATTTGGAAAAGATTTTCAGTAAATCTTGACTTCACTGTGATATTTTGATATTACTGATCCTTATTGCTATTCTATTACATTTCTTGCCATTCTTCCACTACTTGTTTTTTCAAAATTCCAATCGTCTGAATCCGTTGCTTCAGTGATAAAAGTTTCAATGCACTTGCACCTTCGTTTTTCTTCTTTCTTAATCATAAAATTTCTGTAATCTTTTTAACATGTAAAAATTGTGATAAGATGTGTAATTGGAAATGATTTAGTCCTAAATATTGTTTGTTTGTTTTTATTCAAGGGTTATATAATTATATAACATCAGTATCTGCGCTATCCTTCTTGTCCATACTATATATCTTTTCATTTTAATAATAAACTTTTAATTTTGCCTTCAACATTGCATCTCCAACAGCCCGAAAATAAGTTCTAATGCCAGCTTACGAGGAACAGGGGGTTAACAATAACCAAACCTTCCCAACTTATCTCCACTTGTCTTCATCAACGCTGTAATTGTATTTCTTAATCCCTCCAAGCAGAGATAAAGCTTACAATCTCTTGTAAGCCAGTTAAACTGTTTAAGAGAGTCGACATATCCATCTCTGGAGATATCCGTTTCAGTCCTTTTCTTTCCTCTTCAAGCAAAGGACACTCAACCAAAATATGATGAACTGTTTCCAGCTCTCCATATTTGCAGTTGTAACTATCCTTTTCAATTCCAAACTTTTTAAACCATGCGCCAAAGTTGCCATGGCCTGTGCGAAACTGAGTAATATTACTCAAGATCCTTCGACTATCTTTCTTTATGATCATTCCCGTGACCATTTTGGAAAGATTATCAGTACATTTCGACTCCACTGTGATATTATGATACCCCAGATCCTTATTTGTCCAAAATATAATATAATATACTTTTCCTCCATATCAAAATATGAATATATGTAAAATTAAAATTAAAGAATAAATACTAATACTATTCCTTGTGGCCCAATGGCAAGGCGTTCGCCTACGATCATTAATGGTTACATAGCGAAAGATTCCAGGTTCGACCCCTGGCAGGGAAGTTACTTTTTGGTGGCTATATTCACTATTTTTTTGGCAATAATCTATTATATCAAGATCAGAAAACGTGATTATACGTTTTTTATTCTTAATTTTGAACGTCATCTTGAAAACAAAAAGAGGAAACAATATTGGGGTTTCGGACTTGAACTGGATTAATATCGGAAACCGATATTATCTTAAATTTCGGAGATAGATCATAAAACTTAAATTTTTTTATTAGCACCATAAACGGTACACTTGAAATATTTTTAAGGGACCGCAGATTGTTGTACGGAAGTTTGATCAGACCATTATCATATATCACTGTAGATGTTAAATTTTATGAAATATAAACAAATTTAAAAAGACCATGACGAAATTGAAAAATTTCTTTGTGAGAAATTGATTCTTTAAATGAATATATATATATATATATATATATATATATATAATTCTTACAAATTTTGTTATTAAAAAAAGATTTTTAGTATTTTATTCATATTCATATTCACTTTTTCACGTTCAGCTTTCATTTTAATTCCTTTAAAAAAATCTTTCTTTTTATTTACTTACTTACAAACAATTTTTTTAATTGATATATAATGGCTGATCTTAAAAATCTTAAATTTTCTGTTTATAACCAAGAAACCTTTCCTAAGTCCGAGGAAATTCAAGGGCCATCACCTTTTTGGAATAAAGATACTGAGGGCCCATCTTTTATTAAACCAGAAGATCGCCAAAAGCCTTTAGTTCCTTCAGGAAAACTTGATGAAAAGTACAAAAAGGAGGCACTTGAATTGACTCCACTTCTGGGTACTACATATAATGAGAGTGTTCGATTATCTGATATCATAAAGGATGACAAACTACTTCAAGATTTGGCTATTAAGATATCTCAGCGAGGTGTTGTCGTTTTTAAAAAGCAAGACGATCTTACTGTTGAGCAGCAAAAGGAGCTTGTTCAAAAGCTTGGTATTCTCTCTGGTAAGCCCAAAGGTAATGGGTTACACATTCATCCTACAGCGCCCGCTGGCGGTGTTGTAGGCGAGGACGGTCTTATTGATCCTGAAGTCTCTTTTATTTCTAGCAGGCTTGGAGGTGAGTACAACAAAGAGCAGCGAGAGTATCCCACTGCTTACAATTGGCATTCGGACATCACATTTGAACCAGTTCCTGCTGATTATTCTTCTTTAAGATTAGTTGAGCTTCCTCCAACAGGTGGCGACACGTTTTGGGCTAACGGATACGCTCTCTACGAAAAATTTTCTCCATCATTCCGTTCCTACTTGGATACTCTTACGGGTACTTACTCTCAACCTAAATTTAAGGAGTTTAGTGACCGAAAGAGTTTCCAAATTTACTCCCAAGAACGAGGTGCCCCGGAAAATGTTGGAGATGAAATCATTTCTACTCATCCTATTGTTCGCACCAATCCTGTTACTGGATGGAAGACTCTTTTTGCAGTTGGTGAACATTTCACAAAGTTCAATGAGCTCACTCCCCTTGAATCAAAGGCACTTAAGGAGTATATTTGGAATATTCTTGTTCAATCACATGATCTTCAAGTAAGACACAAGTGGGACAAATATGATATTGCCATTTGGGATAATAGATCGACTTACCATGCCATCAACAAAGATGTTTTGTATTACGATGATTTGTTAAGAACTGGAATTCGTACCTTAAGCATTGCAGAACGCCCTTATCTGGATTCCAACAGCATTACTCAAACTGAAGGACTTAAGGGAAAAGCTGAAAAGCAGTCAAAATAAGTTCTATGTTAGCTTGATTCAAAAATAATTAGTTTTTTAATTAAATTTATTCATTAAAGTAAACAAAATTTAAAAGCCTGAATCAATTAAGAAGTAAGAAATAAATCTAGGCTATGAACGATTTATATTTAAAAGGCTTTAAGGATATTAATATTTAATAATAGTATTAGTATTAGTATTAGTATTAGTATTAGTATTAGTATTAGTATTAGTATTAGTATTAGTATTAGTATTAGTATTAGTATTAGTATTAGTATTAGTATTAGTATTAGTATTAGTATTAGTATTAGTATTAGTATTAGTATTAGTATTAGTATTAGTATTAGTATTAGTATTAGTATTAGTATTAGTATGAATGCAGTTAACAGCAAAATTTAGATTTGATATTAATTTGTAAATTGAAAATCTATTTTAACTCACAATATTTAATATGTTGTATTATAAGTAATAATTTTTGAGAGTTCCTGAAAAAAAAAACAGATTGGGTCAAGGAATAGCCGTTGAAAGGTGGAGAAAGATAATGCGAACTATAATTTTTTTAACACAATCAATTACTTGTAACATGTACATGTAACAAAGCGTTACAAAATTGGTAAATAAACTGAGCAAAAATGCTTGAAGTTTGATATCTTAATCTTAATCCATATTTTACAAAGTGTTAAGCTTAAAGATGAAAGACAAAAAAAAACTTGTACAGGTAATATATATATCAATTAACTATATAGTTAATTGTTTTTCAATGTTTTTGTCTGGTAAATTTATTATAAACAAGTATGGGCTTAGAAAACGATTGAATGTGTATTTAGCCATGTCTTTTAAATCAAAAATCACGAAATCTCAAAACACTTATAAAATGAATATTACAAAATTAGTAAACTGGTAATTTCTAGGTTTTTTTTAAAACAAATTTACCTAGCCAATTGGAGAAACCAATAATATGAGTCATATTTTTATATAACAGGATATCATGTTTAATTAACTACTAGAATATTGCTAACAGAATCATATTTGAAAACCCCCATTTAAAAGCTATATGTTTTGTATAGTTGATAATTTATCTTTTTCATTAAACACGCAAAATCAAAAATTTCCCTATATTGATTTTTTTTTTAAAAAAAGGCTTTGAATATAATAAGGAACTGTTCACATCATCAATTAATGCCTTGTTGAATTCCCCCAACACCAAAAACTAGTTCGGAAACATTGTATCCCCGCATGGCAAGCCTCAAAAATTAAAACGCCACGAGTGGCAACTAAGCTGTTTTACTTAACAGAATATCTCAAGCCATTAAAGCCTCAGTAAATGGCTTATCGAGGTGTTATCGGAGTCCTATGCATGGCTCATTATCGGACTGCGAAATCTTACGGCATATCTGCAGTAAACCCCAACCAAAGTGGGCATTGAAACTAACTACTCCACCTAAAATATTTCCAACCAAATACTACCAAAAGAAGCAGATGATGCAATTGTAAAATTTTCAAAATTTTCAGAATTCAAACCTCCAGTTTTTTCATTAATATAAAATATGGCCTATATCCATTGTCTTAACTTTTTTTTATCAGTTCTTTACTAATTAAAAATTTAACTTTTTCCCAAAACAAAAAAATAAAAACAAAAATGTCTGCTCTTGATAATATTGAGTTTTCTGTTTATAATGAAGACAAATTTCCTAAGTTTGAAAAAAATCAGGGCCCATCTCCATTTTGGGATAAGCCAACAGAAGGCCCTTCATATGTGAAGCCTGAAAACCGTCAAAAACCCCTTGTTCCATCTGGGAAGTTGGATGAGAAGTACAATGAAGAAGCCCTTGATTTGACTCCTCTTTTGGGTACCACTTACAGTGATAACGTGCGACTTGTTGACCTTCTCAAGGACGATGATCTTATTCGTGATCTTGCTATTAAGATCTCTCAACGCGGTGTTGTTGTTTTCAAGAAGCAAGATGACTTGACTATTGAGCAGCAGAAAGAGCTTGTCCAAAAGCTCGGTCTCCTTTCTGGAAAACCCAAAGAAAATGGATTACACATCCATCCCATTGCTTCCGCTGGTGGTGTTCTTGGTGAAGACGGTCTTATTGATCCTGAGGTTTCTTTTATTTCTAGCAGACTCGGTGGCGAGTACAAGAAGGAACATCGCAGTTATCCTACTGCTTATAACTGGCATTCTGACATTACATTTGAGCCAGCTGGTGCAGACTATTCTTCTCTAAGACTGGTTGAGCTTCCTCCTACTGGTGGCGATACTTTCTGGGCCAACGGCTATGCTCTTTATGAAAAGATTTCTCCATCTCTTCGGGCATACTTTGAAACTCTCACCGGCACCTATGCCCAGCCCGAGTTCAGCAATTGGGGAAACAAAAAGAATTTTCAGCTTTACTCTGATAAGCGTGGTGCACCCGAAAACATTGGTGATGAATTGATTGCAATTCATCCCATTGTTAGAACCAATCCCGTGACTGGTTGGAAGTCTCTTTTTGCTGTTGGTGCCCACTTTACTAAGATCAACGACGTCACACCTCTTGAATCGAAAGCTCTTAAGGAGTATATCTGGAACACACTGGTTCAATCCCATGATATTCAAGTTAGACACAAATGGGATAAGTACGACATTGCCATTTGGGACAACAGATCAGCCTACCATGCCATTAACAAGGACGTTTTGTTCTACGAAAATCTTATTAGAACTGGTCTTCGAACAGTCGGCATTGCTGAGCGCCCTTACTTGGATCCCAACAGTATTACTCAGACTGAAGGTCTTAAAGAAGACTCTAAAGAGAATTAATCTTTTTTAATTTTCATTAAATTTGTTTAGGAAAGTTTTTTTTTAAAATAATATAAAAGATCTTTAAACTAAAATAAAGTAAAAAGTTTTTTCTTTCATATCAAGTAATTTTTTCCCCAAAAAATTCTAACTTTACCAATTGTATATTAAAGTGTTGTATTTCCAAAACTTTACGACTCTGAGATTTTGAATTTTTAGCTAGCTACCCCCAAATCTAAAACGTAATTATTATAAAAAGAAGATTTTAAAATCCAACCTATTCAAAAGACTATTAAAACGTACCTATATCAGTTATAAGAAAAATTAAATACTGTGATTAAGCTATTTTTTTTTATAGAAAATAAAAAAAAATTTTTTTTTGGTGCTTCTAATGGCTGTTCTCGAGATTGGAACATTACAATGGCCGGAGTCCGAAATATGTATTTAAGGTATTTTGACCAACATCAACAAAAAACGACAAGCTTTTTTATTACACTTGGCATTTTGAGATTATGGTTGAGCCTGCATTGGCTGATTATTCTTACCGGTTATGGAACTACCGTTTAAGCAAATAGACCCTTCTCTTGAGTATTGGGAGCTGGTAAAGCATTTTTAAGATACTTTAGTTCAACCCCATGATATCGAGATTAAACATAAATGGGATAAATACAATATTGCAATATAGGATAATTAATCGAAGTATGATACAGCCAATACTGATTTTGGATATTATGATAATCTTGTAAAACACGGTGTATTTACAATTGTTATTGCTGAACTACTTTTTCTAAATTCTCATAGTGTTACTAAACATGAAGGATTAAACTTTTTTTTTTTTTTTGAAAACATGATAAATGTACAAATTCTCAAATTTATTTTTTAATGGATAACTAATTTTCAAATAAATTTAACAATTATAATTATAATGAAATTGTATTTATTTTAAAATAAATATAATACTTAACGCAATTTTTTTTCCAAAGCAATTATATTATTATTTTCTTCATCTTTTTTTATATCTTTATAAAGACTATCTGTGTAATTTTCATAAATATCTTAAGAATGATGTTATTGACTAAAATTTGTTTTCCTTAACTTAAGTTTATACCAACAAGTTCACTAATCAAAATTCAAAAACTCGGGTCATATTTTGAAATGATAATCGACGGCAATACAATAATGTTATATAGTTTTTAGAAAATGTAGTATGCATTTGAAGTGGTAACATTTAACTTTAGTGACATTAATTCCTCATATAATCAGCCAATGGTCCCATTTACAATTGGCATTAACAATTTATTTTGAATACTAAAAAGAATTATTCGAACTAAGTTCTCAAAAATCACTGCAGATTTTTTAAAGATACTTTGCGTAATGCTAACTAAGCCAGATTTTATTTTTTTAAAAAAAATAAACGTATTTCAGCTTTCAAAATTCAAAAATCTGATAGAATATGTGCTCCTTTACGCAAACCAACTATTTATCAGATATTTGGTGACCATGATCTTAAAAAAAAAGAAAATAAGTATAGAAAAAAAATTATGGCCGTTACTATTTTTTAAGGCTCTAGCCACAATACTGATGGGAAGGGCCACCATTAGGCCAATTTCACCAAATGAATTACCCGGTTAATATTTTAAACACACTGTTTTTGGGTAGAGGAACACAGACGCATAGAAAACTCCACTTTTAAAACTTGCTCATACATTCAATGAACAAATGAAGTTGCTTTTGAAGTGGAACTGAATAAAAAGCCACCATTTTTTAAGCTTATCTCCAAAAAAAAATATTTATATATAAATATATTATAACCGTTGTTAAAGTTATGGCTGAGCATGGCAAGTGAGCCTTACCAGTTTGCGGAATTCCGCAAATTTTAGCACAATATGACGTGATACTGCAAGAAATCACATACTTCAAAAGGATTCAAGCCCCAATTAGAAAGGATAGATATATATTTGTTAAATTAAAAAATATCAGCCACAATAGTAACTTATATTTTAATATCAATGCTTCTATTCAAATTGATATATAATAACTTTGTTCTTTCTATTTAATATTTTTCTTTTTTTTTTTTTTAAAAAAAACAAAAACAAAATTCTTTTTTTATATCTATTAATCTCTTGATTTTAAATCGTTTCTCTCACAGCTTTCATATATATATCTCTTAAATAATGTCTACTCTTGACGATATACAATTTGTTACTTTTGATCTTGATAAGTTCCCAAAACTTGATGATCCCAAAACTGGTCCTTCTCCATACTGGGATAAGACAACTGAAGGCCCCTCTTACATTAAGCCTGAGGATAGACAGAAGCCACTTGTTCCTTCTGGAAAACTTGATGAAAAGTATTCTAAAGATTCAATTGAGTTGACTCCTCTTTTAGGTACTACATATGACAACTCTGTTAGACTTACAGATGTCTTGAAAGATGATGACTTGATCCGCGATTTGGCAATCAAAATTTCCCAACGTGGTGTTGTTGTTTTCAAGAAACAAGATGATCTTACTGTTGAGCAGCAAAAAGAGCTTATCCAAAAGCTTGGTTTACTTTCTGGCAAGCCCAAGGGCAATGGTCTGCATATTCATCCGGTGGCTCCTGCTGGCGGTGTTATTGGCAAAGATGGCCTAATTGATCCTGAAGTTTCATTTATTGCCTCCGTTGTTGATTCTGCTGGTGAAGTATATGAAAAAAATACTCCTACTGCTTATACATGGCATTCCGACATTACTTTTGAACCCGCTGGTGCCGATTATTCTTCTCTGAGACTACTTGAACTTCCTCCTAATGGTGGTGACACTTTTTGGGCTAACGGATACGCTCTTTACGAAAAGCTTTCTCCTTCCCTTAGAGATTATTTGTCAACTTTGACTGGAACATACACACAGCCCCGTTTTGAAAAATTTAGTGGAAAAAATAGTATTGATCTTTATAGCCAGGAACGCGGTGCTCCTGAAAACATTGGCGATCATCTCATCGCGGTTCACCCTATTGTCCGCACTAATCCTGTTACAGGTTGGAAATCTCTTTTCGCAGTGGGCGCCCATTTTGCCAAGATTAATGAGGTTAATCCTCTTGAGTCTAAGGCCCTCAAGGAGTATATTTGGAATACTCTTGTTCAATCTCACGATATTCAAGTTAGACACAAGTGGGACAAATATGATATTGCCATTTGGGACAATAGATCGACTTACCATGCCATTAACAAGGATGTGACATTTTACGATAATTTTGTCAGAAAGGGTATCAGAACTGTTGGTATTGCTGAGCGTCCTTACTTGGATCCTAATAGCATTACTCAGACTGAAGCTCTCAAATCAAAGAAAGATGAAAAAAATATTAAGACTGAAGAAAAGACTGAAGAAAAGACTGAAGAAAAGTAATTTATATCAATAGTTTAGTTTTTATTTATTTATATTAATGAAATTCTATTTTTGATTAATTGTTTCTTCTAATTAGAATTATAAATTATCAGTAAACCTTTAAATACTTAATTAAGTATTATAAGTAAATTTACTTAAGTCTTAGATAATATATTTTTTCAAGGAGGGGAGAAATTTATAAATTTTTATGCATTTCATGGGCATTAAAACTTTAATTTTTATCTGAGCCCTAACCCCTGAGACTATTAGTTAAAAAACTGAAAAAGTTGTTCATTAGATTAAAATACTAACATTTGAAATTAAATTCGTTAGTGTCCTAAATAAACAGTCCCTCCCTAATCAAAAACTAGTAATAATGACGCAATTTACAAGTATAATTATGAAATGTTAAGAGTTAATATTTAAAACCCTTAAACTAATTGTTTTGCTGTTCCCTCGTTCTTTTTTTTAAAAAAAATCAAAGACAGACTTTTAAGATGTCTAATGCCATTGATTTTGAGTTTCATGCCTATAATGAGAATAAATTCCCCAAATTTAAGGATATCTCAGGACCATCACCATTTTGGAATAAATACAGAGAAGGACCTTCATTTATATTTCCAGAATCACAAGACCAGCCTTTATTACCATCTGGCAAACTTGATGAACTCTATGGTCGGAATATACAAGATAAAACCCCACTCTTAGGATCTACCTATAGTGAAAGTGTTCGTCTAGTTGACTTGCTTAAGGATGATGACTTTATTCGAGACCTTGCCATTAAGATATCCCAACGAGGAGTGGTTATTTTTAAAAAGCAAGATGATATTACTGTGGAACAACAAAAAGAACTTGTACAGAGGCTAGGTTTACTTAGCGGAAAACCTCCCCGAAATGGTCGTCATATTCATCCAGTTGCTCCTGCAGGAGGGGTATTCAATAGATTCGGGATAATTGACCCAGAAATTTTTACCATTTCAAATCGACTTGATAAACAATACAGTAGAGAAAATAGTTATAAACCTTCGGCACATACATGGCACTCAGATATTACATTCGAACCAGTCCCAGCAGATTATTCCTTATTGAGAATGGTCAATATTCCACCTAGTGGTGGAGACACGTTTTGGGCCAATGGCTATGCACTTTACGAGAAGCTTTCACCCTCCTTTAGACTGTACCTTGAAACACTTACAGGAACATTTTCCAAGCCTAACTTCAAAGAAATTAGCAAAAAGGGAGGTTTTAAAATTTATTCTGATGAGCGAGGAGCCCCAGAAAACATTGGAGACGATCTTATTGCTATTCACCCAGTTGTTCGCACCAACCCTGTTACGGGGTGGAAATCAGTATTTTCTGTCGGGCAACATTTTACTAAATTCAATGAAGTGACACCTCTTGAATCAGAACTTTTAAAAAATTTTATTTGGAATCTTTTAGTTCAATCGTACGATATTCATGCCAGACACAAATGGGATCGTAATGATATTGCCATATGGGATAATCGATCAACTTATCATGCCATAAACTTGGATGTGATATTTTATGACAATTATTTGAGAACTGGAATCCGTACAATTGGTATAGGCGAGCGCCCTTATTTGAACCAGGAAAGCACTACTCAGACTGAAGGACTATCAAAAAAAAAAAAAAAAAAATAAAGAAATTAGCTGAATAAAAATGTATATTTTATAAAAAAAAATAATTAAAAACTTAATGCTATAAGATGCAATAATATGTTTTTTTATCAACCTTTTGTTTGCACCAATTTATTTTGAGCAGTTCGAGGAACAGCTATCTGCTAACAGAGCTGTTGAGTTTAGAAAAGTAAAATTCGGATTAGGGTTATAACCGTAATCAACATTTCAAATTATTTCTAGTTTGCCAGTATTCGTTTTGTTAATTATTAATTATAATTGATAATTATCAATGCAACTCTCAAATGGAGTTTTTTTTTCATTGTTTTTTTTTTTTTTGAAATTATAAAGTAATTTCAAAGATTTTATAATGAATAAGATTTCGAGCTCCGACGGTGATCACGATACAAACAACAGTCTTATCATATCAAAAGAATAGCAAGAAACTGTCTATGTATAATCTAAATCCTGATAAGAGTTTTTTTTAAAGCAAAGAGTTATGTATCGTCTACAATCCTTAAAAACTAAGTGAGATTAACAACAATATTGATATGAAAACATAAAATCATATTTTTATTTCGGACATCCTATATGCACGGCTGTCTACGGAGTCCGTAATCAATATCTTTCAGACTGGCTTTATATTATTTTTGAGAGCCGTTTTTTTGTAGACTTGAACAAACCCCAAAAATTTCTTTTATTAAAAATCCAATAACCGTTTTATAAAAAGAATTTAGTTTGAATTGCTTTCATTAATTCGGATTCCGATTTCATTTCATTGTCATTCCATGAAACATGGGGTTGAGAAATGATGTATTGAGCAATTGTCTAATCATATTAAACAATTTGGTAAATTATTATCTGGATACTTTATCAGTATGCTCAAAATATATAAATTTGATATTTTCCTTAAATTTTAATTATTTTTAATAAGTTCTATAATTATCTCCTGTTAACCCCATTTTTTCATTTCTTAAGATTTGCCAAAATTTTAATTAATTTTTTTTTTGTTTTCTTTCGCCTTGTTTCGATATATAAAATAACTATGTCTGCTCTTGATAACCTTCAATTCACTGTTTTCGACGCCAAAAAATTTCCCAAAATTGAACACCCTGAGTCGGGTCCTTCACCCTGGTGGAACAAGCTTAACGAGGGACCCTCTTATATTAAACCTGAGGATCGCCAAAAGCCTTTAGTTCCATCTGGAAAATTAGATGAAAAGTATTCAAAAAATGCTGTCGACTTGACTCCCCTTTTGGGCACTACCTATAATGTTGAGACCCGAATTACGGATATTTTGAAGGATGATGACTTGATCCGCGATTTGGCAATCAAAATTTCCCAACGTGGTGTTGTTGTTTTCAAGAAACAAGATGATCTTACTGTTGAGCAGCAAAAGGAGCTGGTTCAAAAGCTTGGTTTGTTGTCTGGCAAGCCTAAGAACAATGGATTGCATATTCACCCTACAGCTCCTGCTGGTGGTATTATTGGAGAAAATGGTCTTGTTGATCCTGATGTTTCTTTTATTTCTACCAGAATCAACAAAAACTACAAATCATATGACAGAAGCTATCCAACTGCCTTTTCGTGGCATTCTGACATTACCTTTGAGCCAGCTGGAGCCGACTATTCTTCCTTAAGACTGGTTGAGCTTCCTCCTACTGGTGGTGATACCTTTTGGGCAAATGGTTATGCCCTATATGAAAAAATTTCTCCTTCTCTCCGGGCCTATTTAGATACTCTTACTGGAACGTACTCTCAACCGGAGTTTAAAAACTTTGGAGGACAGAAAAATTTTGATTTGTACAGCCAAGAACGTGGCGCACCTGAGAATGTAGGAGACGAGCTTGTTGCAATCCACCCCATTGTGCGCACCAACCCGGTGACTGGCTGGAAGTCTCTTTTTGCAGTGGGCGCACACTTTACCAAGATAAACGATCTCACTCCACTTGAGTCCAAGACTCTCAAGGAGTTCATTTGGAACATTTTGGTTCAGTCGCATGACATTCAAGTCCGCCACAAGTGGGACAAGTACGATATCGCTATTTGGGATAACCGTTCCACTTATCATGCCATTAACAAAGATATCCATTATTATGATGATGTTATTCGCACTGGCATTCGTACCGTAGGTATTGCCGAGCGCCCTTATTTGGATCCCAATAGCCTTACACAAACTGAGGCACTTCGGGCAGCAACTGAAAAGGTCTCATCAGATAAATAGATGGATTATTTCTTATTAATTCTTTAGTTTCAAATAATTGTTTCACAATTGATTTATTTATATATATTTACAAATTCTTTTTTTTCATTTTTTTTTCATTTTTTTTGATTTTTAAATTGACCGAAAAACGGCCTTGAAGCGTTCTAAAAAGTTTTTCTTATGATAATGCCGTCGGTGTGCGCCACAAATATCTATTCCAAACTGGTGTGCGCCGCATGAAAACTTGTCTCTTTTAGGAAACAACTTGTACGCTGGGGGAACTAAAAAGTTGGAAAGGCTGGCCCATTCAGGCACAGCAGCAAGGTTACGCCACAATATGCAACATGAAATGGCGCAATCGACAACCCCCAATTTCACAATGTGGCGCCCGTCTGCCCACCTCCCATATTTTCTCATCAGAACCTCCAAACAGTACGTTTTTGGTGAAGCCCCGATGTCAAGAATCTTATTAGACCAAAAAAAAATGAAAATAATACGCGGAGGGATAAAAATTTTTTTTCGGTGTGCCGATAGTTGGTGGTTGGTTGGCTGGCTGGGATTTTTTTTACCGATATTTCTTAACTTAAAAAACTTTTACTTTTTTTTTTTTTTACTCTCTTTCATTCTATCTCATCTTTCAATCCTATCTATAGCTAGCTATTCTTTAAATTTCTTTTCATTTAATAATTTGATAAACAAATATAAATATCGCCATTTTTTTTTTGTTAGTTAAATATTTCCAAGTTATATACCTGTAATATCAATAATGGGCGGTATCACGGACCTTAGATTTGTTGTCCACGACCCAGTCAAGTTCCCCGATACTCAAGAGGAAATCTCTGGTCCATCACCATACTGGAACACACCCACGCGCGGCCCTTCATATATCAAGCCTGAAAATCGCCAAAAGCCTCTGAAATCTAAAGGAAAACTTGACTCGCTTTACTCAAAGTATTCAACTGATATGTCACCTCTTCTTGGCACAACATATAGCGTCGAAGCCCGTATTACAGATATTCTCAAAGACGACGATCTACTCCATGACCTGGCGCTATTGGTTTCGCAACGTGGAGTTGTTATATTTAAAAAGCAAGAAGATCTCACAGTAGACCAACAAAAGGATCTTGTTCAAAAATTAGGAATACTCTCCGGCAAACCAAAAAATAACGGCCTTCATATCCACCCAACAACTCGAGCAGGTGGTGTCATCACACAAAACGGTACTATCGACCCTGAAGTTTCTTTTATATCTACACGTATTTCAAAAAAGATCAACATTTTTGATTCTCTTCCTACTGGCTTTTCTTGGCATTCAGATATCACTTTTGAGCCTGTCGGGTCAGATTATTCTTCTTTTCGACTTGTCGAGCTTCCACCTTTGGGTGGTGATACCTTTTTTGCCAATGGATATGCTCTTTACGAAAAACTTTCTCCACCTCTTAGAGAATTTTTTGAAGGCCTTACCGGAACTTATTCTCAGCCTAAATTTAACGATTTTGGAAGAAACGAGTGCTTTAAGTTGTATACTAATGAGCGAGGGGCTCCTGAAAATGTCGGCGAAGAATTGATTGCAGTTCATCCAATCGTCCGCACTAACCCAGTCACTGGTTGGAAGTCTCTTTTTGCAGTTGGTGGACACTTCACTAAATTTAACGAACTTTCACCTCTGGAGTCAAAAACTATGAAAGAATACATTTGGAACACTTTAGTTCAGGCTCATGAAATTCAAGTGAGACATAGATGGGATAAACATGATGTTGCAATCTGGGACAATAGATCGTCTTATCATGCCATTAATAGGGACATATATCATTACAAGAATGTCATAAGAAGTGGTATTCGTACAGTTGGAATTGCTGAGCGCCCATATTTAGACCCAAATAGTATAACTCAAACAGAAGGTCTGAGCCTAATAGAAAAAGAAATTGAAGAGGTGGCTAAGAAGCAAAACGAGGCAAAAGTGGAAGCTGATAGAAAAAAATCTGAAAAAGAAAAAGAAGAGTCAAGTAATTCAGAAACTTCCATAAACTCTACTTCTCAAATAGATGAGAAAAAACTAGATGATGGATGCCAAAGATGCAAACGTCAAAAGGTCACAAATACAGGTTGTTATCTGGAGGTGAGTAGCTTGAAAGAAAAAGAGAGAAGAGGCACTGTTTTAGATGGGGAATAAGTATTTTATAACAAAAAATTGTATTATTATTTTATTTAGATCTTTTTTAATAGGTTATTTTAACCAAAAAAAACCCTTGTAATGGATAGAGTGAATATTTCAATTTTTATAATGCCTCTTTGTGAGTTGCATTTTAATATTAAAAAAAATTGTTTATCGCTTTTGTTAAAAAATCTCATTTACGTATTATTTTTAAGAATAATCCTTTTAATATTTTTTTTTGGTCCAAGAATGACAAAAAAAACTTAAAAGAAATTTTGTGTAACTGGAGCTTACAACCCACAGACTGCTGGACAAAACTAAAGCTAAAACCATATACAATGATAGTAGTCATTGCAAAAAAAAAAAATAGTATATTTCATATATATATTCACTAGAAGAATACAAAACAAAAAAAAAAAAAATAGATAGGCTGTTAAATATAATAAATAGGATCGAGAAATAATTAAAATATATTTTAAATTTATATAAAATTTACAGAATTATTAAATTTTTGACTGTTTTGTTTTATTTTGTTAACTATTCAAAGCCTTTAATTTTGTCACATAAAAATTTAAAAAATACCATTTTTGTTCAAAATAAATTCAATATTATTTCACTTTCAAAAAGGCTATTGTAAGTTTCTATTTATTCAAGAGTTATGGAAGTATATAACTTCAACATCAACGCAATCTTTGTAATTGAATTATTTTGATGTCTTTTTGTCTTTTGGGTGTACCTTTTCAGTGCGGGTTGTTTTGATATGTGTGTTTCCGGTAGCCCGGAAGATGGATACTGATACCAGCTTACTGGGAAGGTGGATAATCATTTTTATCGTTTCCCATTCCACTTCTATTTATCTTCATAGATGCCCTGGCATTTATTAATATTTTCAGTCAGATATAAAAGTTTTGAAATTAATTATACTAAACGGAATAGTAGGCCTTCCTGTTCACCACCCCTACGCTCCCTCTTAAAAAATGGGGGATTACAGGAAATCAGACTCAATCCTAATTATTCGTAAAAGAATAAATATAGTTTTGCTTAAAATTTATCATTAAACGTTTTTAAAACTTTCAAAACTCAAGCTTATTTTTTTAATTTTAATATGATTAGATTTAAATAATCCTAACTACTTAAATTTGCATCTAATAGGCGGGTTGGCCGAGTGGTTCAAGGCGGCAGACTTAAGATCTGCTACTCGAGAGAGTGCGCGAGTTCGAACCTCGCACCCGTCAACATTTCTTTTTATGTTACTGAATTTTATTTTTTTTTTTTTTTATTGTTATTTTTTTTTTTTTTTTTTTTTGCCAGCTCCAACGAAAAATTCCTACCACTAGCCCTTACCTTTCTACATAATAATAAGCTTAATAGGCACCCAAACTATGACTACATTGCCAGCTTCAGGAGAAAAGCCAGCACCTAAGGTGGTTGATACCGCTAACGGCTTTAAGTTCCCTTCAGATTTTTATGGTCTTCCTAAAACAGACCATTCACGTTGGAGATTGAAAGTTGATGCTTTAGGCCGTCAGAACTGGGTATACAACCGCGATGAAAACCATCTTGAGCGCGATCCGCCTTCTAATTACACCAAATATCAATTGGAACTAAACTCTTTTGACCCTCCTACATTTCCTAAAGCAAAGACTCCATATGATGCAGCTAAAAATGCATTTTCTTTTTTATCCCATATTCAGGAGGAAGACAGTGGCACGTTCCCGTGTCAGTACTCCGGTCCAATGTTCATGCTTATTGGCTATGTGGTTGCTAAATATTATGCTGGAGTCCCATTTTCTGAGGAAGAACGAATTGAAATCATTCGATATCTTATCAATCGTGCCCATCCTGTTGACGGTGGCTGGGGTCTTCATACTTATGATAAGAGTACTGTTTTTGGAACCTCCATTAACTACATCATTTTACGCATTTTAGGACTGGACCGTGATCATCCAGCTATTGTTAAGGCACGTACCAAGCTTCATTCTCTCGGTGATGCCCGTGGTAACCCTCACTGGGGCAAAATGTACCTGGCTCTACTTAATTTATATGACTGGGAGGGTGTTAACCCAGCACCTCCGGAGCTCTGGATGCTTCCATACAGCGCACCAATTCACCCTGGCCGTTGGTGGGTTCACACAAGAGCCATTTACCTCCCAATGGGCTATCTTTCTGCAAAGCGCAAACGTATGGAACTTAATACTCTTTTGACTGAGCTTAGAGAAGAAATTTACAAGGTCCCTTACGACACAATTGATTTTTCCAAGCTTCGAAATTACGTCAATGGTGTTGATCTCTATTACCCACACTCTAAGATTCTCAACATTGCTAATGAGTGTCTTGTGTTTTATGAAAAATACCTTCGCCCAGATTGGCTTCTTAAAAAGTCATGCGATTATGCTTTTGAACTTGTTATGAAGGATCTTCAGAATACTGACTACCTGGCAATTGCCCCTGTCAGTAATGCACTCAACTCCATTGTGGTTTTCGAAGAAAAGGGAATAGACTCGCCGGAGTTTAAACGCTTTATTTATCGCTGGCCCGACTTTTTATACATGACACCAGATGGTTTAATGATGATTGGTACCAATGGTGTTCAAGTATGGGATGTAGCTTTTGTTCTTCAATACGCCATTTTGGTGGGTCTGGGAGAACTTCCAGAGTTCAGAGATACCATTATTCGATCATATCGATTTTTAACTCGCTCTCAATTTGTCGAAGAGTGTGTTCCCGGAAGTTTCCGCGACAAGAGAGTTGGTGGATTTCCCTTTTCTACCCAAACCCAAGGGTTCACTGTCAGTGATTGTACTGCTGAAGCTGTTAAAGCTATCATAATGGTCCAAAATCTTCCTGGGTTTGAATTTCTCAGGGACGAGTTTCCAGAGGAAAGATTGAATAAGGCCGTTGATATTCTGCTAGGATTGCAAAACAGAGGCAGCTTTCATTTTGGATCATTTGCTTCTTATGAAAAAATTAAAGCCACTACTAAGATGGAATTGCTGAATCCAGCTGAAGTTTTTGGAAACATTATGGTTGAATTTCCTTATGTCGAGTGCACAGACTCTTCTGTACTTGGTCTCTACTATTTCCGCAAATATTTCAACTACCGTGCTAAAGAAATCGACCAAGCTATTTCTGATGCCTTAGACTACATTGTCAAAAGTCAGGATATTGATGGTAGCTGGTATGGCTCATGGGGTGTGTGCTATACCTACGCTGGAATGTTTGCCATTGAAGCCCTTGAAACAGCTGGATATTTTTATGAAAACCATGAAGCAGTTCGAAAGGGATGTGACTTCATCGTCCAGCGACAAGAACTTGACGGTGGATGGGCTGAAAACATTCGGGTAAGTTAACTTAAAACCAGCCAGTGAGTTGTTACTAACTTCATAAAAGTCCAATGAGATTTTTACCTATGTTAGGCACACGTCAAGCCAGCCTGTTCAGACAGCATGGGCTCTCATTATGCTCATACTAGCCCGCTATCCCGATAAGGAAGTCATTAAGCGAGGTGTTAAGTTTCTTATGTTGAAGCAAAACTCAGATGGCTCCTTCAGCTACAATCATGTAGAAGGTGTTTTCAATCATTCTTGGTAAGGCTTTTATTTGCTGTTTAAAAACGATAGCGTATTTTGTGACTAACAATTTTTAGTGCCATTGAATATCCTACATATAAGTTTTCATTTACAATGAAGGCAATGGGTCTTTACGCTAAATACTACGGCAATGAAGAACTCTTGTAAGTTATAAACTCAATTGAGAATCCAGAATTGGTCTAGTTTAGCTTTCAAACCAAGAATAAAAAATCTAAAAAAAATCCAAAAAAAATCCGTATATTATATATGTCACGTGACTGTCCTTACAGCCTGGCAGTTTTTAAATAAAAAATTCAAGCGACCATTTTCCAACTTCTACATCCGTTTTAATTGTAAACAACACATCAGATACATCCCCCAAGTTCGCGCCCAATATGAGCAGCACTGCAAAATCCTCGTCAAAGTCCGGCAAGGGCGTTGATTCGTTTGCGGATCTCATGTCCTTTGCTGGTGCAACATCGTCTCGCAGCTCAAATGATGCTCTTGCCGGGCTTTCTCTCAAAGAACGTCAAGAAAAACTCAAGCTTGAACAGGAAAAGAAGGTCCAAGAGCGTCGGGCAGCTCAACAGATGTGGGCATCTGGTCTTGACTCTCTTGGTGCTTCATCTTCTACTCCATCGCTCTCAAGTACATTATCTTTTACATCACTTGCTCCGTCTCCAGCAATAACCCCGGCTCCAAGAACTGCATCCTCTACCCCAGTTCCACCAGCTGCTTTGCCGTCACTTAAGGTCAAACAAACGCCTAATTTATCAACTATTTCTTTGCCTTCGTCCATTGCCTCACTACCAGTAGCTTCTGGGAGTTCTAGTTCTGCTTCGCCTTTAGACTTCGACTTTTCTATTTCCCAGCCAGCCCCTGTTCAATCAAATTCATTAGATGAATCCTCTAACGACATTGATGATATTTTTGCTGTCTTCAACAAGCCACCGCCACCTTCAGCACCTGTCCCTGCTCCCGTAAATGAGCCTGTATCTCCACCTTCAATTACTGTAGAGAAACCTGCTCCTAAAAGACATGTTGGTCACGCTTCAGATTTGAACGATCAGTCGCCTAGTACCAACTTTAATAGTCGTAGAGAACGAGAAAACTTCGACATGGATGAAGATGATTACGAAGCTCCTCAGAGATTTTCTCCCAAAAAAGCTAACAAAAATTCTAAAAGCGAAAAACTAGATCATGCAATTGCTGAGCTTGTTGACATGGGTTTTACTGCTGAGCAATCTGCTGAGGCATTGAAGTTTACCGATGATGGTATAAATGTCCGTCAAGCCATTGATTATATTATGACCGAAGCCCACCGCAAGGCCACTGGTAAACCACCAATTGATCCTCATGAATATCGCCAGCACCGTGCAGAATCTTCATCTGGTGGTAACAGCAGAAGCGACACGCCAGATATCTCCAAACTTGCACAAGAGTTTTCATCTCAACTTTTTTCGGCAAGCAAGATTTTGTTTAATCAAAGTAAGAAAACCATTAACAAGGCCATCAACTCATATACGGCTGGTCCTGCTGATGATGGTACACCTGCATGGATGAGAAGTTCGGATCGATACAGACAACATTCGCACTATGACGAAGACTTAGAGGAACCTGTTTTACGTCCTTCAAGAAAAACATGGGATGAAGACGCTCCTGAAGTTGACATCTCTAATATGCATTTGGGTAACGGTAACAGACCAAAGAAGATTTCCCCTCCAACTGTCACCGATGAAGCACTTGCTCTTGAATCAGATGGATCTCGAAGAACAAACAGATCGTCAAAAGCTGCTGCTGCTTCTCCTCCTCCTCAGTCTATTCGAAGATCAGCTAGCCCTCCTCCAATGGCTCCTAGACCCAGACGTGCCAATCCCCCAGTCTCTCGTACGCAACGCTTTAAAGATGAGTTTTCTGATGACGACGCTGGATCGGGTGCTGCTACACCTTCCACTACTGTAACACGTTCGTCTCCTAAACTTGATAACATTTCTGCGCCTTCCTCTGCTCGGGCCTCTCCGGTTCCAAGCCTTTCCAGAGCTCAACAATTTAAGATGAACGGATCTGCTAAGGATGAAGATGATGTGATGGCATATGTGTCACCGGCACGTAGAAACCGTCAGGCTAAGCCATCGCCTTCTTCACGATCTTCGACGCCTTCTAACGACAAACCATTTGTTTCTACTATTCCACCAAAGCCAACTGTTCCTCCACGAGAACCTGTTGCTATTTCTTCTATCGCTCTTGATATGGTTTCGACTGCACGTCAATCCGGTACAGAGGCTTTTAAACGCGGAGACTACCCACAAGCTGAAATTTTCTATACTCAATCACTGGCTTCTATTCCACCCAAACATCTTTTACGCACCATTGTTCTTTCTAACCGCGCAGCGGCCTATATGAAGCTTGGTGACTCTAAGGCTGCGCTTAATGATGCGAAAGAAGGTTTGGATATTATTGGTCCAGGTCTGGGTGCAGATGAAGAGGCAGAGCCCGGAAAACCACTCAAGGAAATATGGTCGAAGCTCACACAACGTCAAGCTGAAGCTCTTGAGTCTTTAGAACGGTTTAAAGACTCCCTGGGAAGCTGGAACAACTTAATTGAAAATGGATATTCATCAAAAACCGCATTAGATGGAAAAAGACGATGTTTGGCAGCTCTTGAGCCTCCCAAACCTAAACCAGCTACTGCTCCTAAGCCAGCTGCTACGGCTGCACCAGTACGTCCTAAACCAACTCCTAGCAAGCCATCTACATCTAGTGCTCCCAGCGATGAAGCTCTAAAGCGAATTCGTGAAGCGAATCAAAAGGCCGAACAGGAAGATGTTGAACGCTACCAGCTACTGGACTCGGTGGAGCAACGAATTGAGAGTTGGCGCAAAGGTAAAGAAGATAATTTGCGCGGGTTGCTTGCTTCGTTGGATACAGTTCTGTGGTCAGAGCTTGGTTGGAAAAAGGTCAGCATGGCTGAGCTTGTTATTCCGAAGAAGGTTAAAATTTCATACATGAAAGCCGTGGCCAAAACGCATCCAGATAAAGTTCCGGCAAATGCAACGACCGAACAAAAAATGGTTGCACAGGCAGTCTTTGTCACAATAAACAAGGCATGGGACGGATTCAAAGTTGCTAATGGACTTTCGTAATTTTATTTTAATTTAACATTTTAAGAAAAAAATTGCACAAAATTTTACAAAAAACTGAGTAAAAAAACTATCAAGTTTAGATGGTGTAACTTATGTATTTACTGTTAAATTTAAATTTGGATTGCTTGACCTGTGCCGGTCTAAACTTAGGTTTTTATGAAGGTTGATATTTTAATTAAATCTTAAGTGTTATTTAGTGGATTATGCAAGTCCGTAAGTATTTTTTTCAGCATGCCTATCAGGTTTTCAAAATCTCTAGTAACCATGGAAAACAGATATAATCTCTAAATAGTAATCATAAATACACAAAAATCCCATTCATTTCCAGTTTCGTCAGACCTTAAGCAAAGAAAAATCGTGATATGCATGGAATTGAACTACTTTTGAAATTCAATATCCATTTTTATTTAGAATCAACGTTTCCTTATCCCATGAATTTCAACAAATAAAAAAACAACTTTAAATATATAACAGGTTGTTAATAGCAAAAAAGTTATTATAATTACCATTAACTATTAACCATATTAAATTATCTCATCAACAAATATAATAAACATTGAAAAAATTGGCAAAGCACATGGCTGGTCAAACCAAAACAATTTGATCGACATCACCCTCAGAAGATTTAAATTATCACAAAGCCATTACAGTAATTAAAGAAAGTCTTATAAAAACAATAAAAAAATCAACTTCTGTGATATCATGATCTTCCATTTTAAGATTACAAAGGAGCATACTATACTCGTTCGATAGGTTTTCAGTCTGTTCCTCCCCCCAATATTGCTTGTAGATGAGGGCCAAAAAAAAAAAAATCTGTATTGTTCTGAGAGGAATATCTTTTTAAGTCAAAAAATAAAATGGTGTTGCGAGACATTTCTATTTATTTGTAATCATACATTATAATGTATGATTGCAACCATAATTATGGACATTGCAAATAATATCTCTATGTTTACTGACATGTCCTGAAAGAAAAAAAAAACGTAACAAAAAGGAATTGCAGTTTCAAAGCCAAACTTTTGAACCAAAATCAGTTAGAAGATGTTGCAATTCAGCATTATTTCATAACAAGCCCATGAAATGGCTTAAGGCCCTACTAAAACCAGTTTATGTGGTATTCAGCGACAATAAAGTTTATAAAAACTCAAAATCCCATGTTGGTGATGTTTGGTTTGAAGGTTTTAAAAAATTGTATAATATATTACATAATCTCGAAAATTTTTTTCCATATTGAATTTTATTTTTTTTCCTCACCGCCAAAAAATATTCGCACAGAAATCTTCTTTTCCTTTCCCTCTTTTTTCTCAAACCGCGCAAATCGCTGCTCTTACTTTACCAACCAGCCAACCAGCTAGCATATTCCATCATGTCCGAGGGTTACGAAACAGTCATTGGCCTCACATTTGGCAACACCACCTCTTCTATTGCCTACGAGAAGGAAGGCAAGGTCGAGGTTATTGCTAACCAAGACGGCGACAGAGCCATTCCTTCTATAATATCCTACACTGGGTCCGATGAATGGCACGGCAACCAGGCTAAGGCTCAGCTCATTCGCAATGCCCAAAACACCGTCACCAACTTCCGCGACTTCATTGGTATTCCTTACGAGAAGATTGACCCTACTTTCAACCATGCTTCCGCCCACCCCGTCGACAAGGATGGCGTTGTGGCTTTCAAGCTTCAGACCAAGGACGACGCTGAGCCTGAGCTTCTTACCGTTAACGAAGTCGCTGTCAGACACCTTGACCGTCTGAGAGATTCTGCTGCCGATTACATTGGCAAGAAGATTGATGGTGTCGTTGTTACTGTTCCTACAGACTTTACTGAAGAGCAAAAGAAGACCTTTGTTGAGATTGCTGCTAAGGCCGACCTCAAGGTTATGCAAATCATCAACGAGCCCACTGCTGCTCTTCTCGGCCATGTTGCCGCTAGATCTTCCAACAAGACTGGCTCTCTGGAGAGCAAGGTTATTCTTATTGTTGATGTCGGTGGAACCAGAACCGATGGTGCCATCATCACCAACCGTGGTGGCATGTTCAACGTCATTGCTACACACCACGACACCGAGCTTGGTGGTTACTACCTCGATGAGGCTCTGGCTAAGTACTTTGCCAAGGAATTTGAGAAGAAGCACAAGATTGATCCTTTCAAGGAGCCCCGTGCCGTCGCCAAGCTCTTTGCTGAGAGTGAAAATGTCAAGAAGACTCTGAGCAACACCTCTTCGGCCACCTTTGCTGTTGAGTCTCTTTCCGGTGGTTTCGACTTCCACGCTTCTATCAACAGATTCAGATTTGAGACCACTGCCAGACCTGTCTTCTCCCGCATCTCTTCTTTTGTTGAGCATCTCGTCAAGAGCGCCAACCTCGATGTTTTGGACATTGATGAAGTTCTTATTGCCGGTGGTTCTGGTTTCGTCCCCAAGGTTGCCAGTACCATTGCTGCTGTTTTTGATGAATCTGTCACCAATGTCGTTGCTCCTTCTCTCGATGTTAAGGCTGTTAACCCCAATGAGCTCGCCGTCCGTGGTGCTGCTCTCCAGGCTTCTCTGATTGCCATCTACGACCAGAAGGAGATTGATGAGTCGCTGCAGTCTGTTGTCACTGTTGCTCCTCACACTGTCAAGCCCATTGGCGTTTTGACTCAGGATCCTGAGAATGCTTCTAAGCACATTTTCGTTTCTATTGTTGACTCCAATACCCCCATCCCATACCGAACATCCCGCATTTTCAACTCTCCTGCCGATGCTGAGTCTGTTCTTATTGGTGTTTACGAGGGTGAACCCGAAATTAAGGTCACCCTTCTTGAGAAGCCTGCCAAGACTGAGTCTGCTGAGGCTGACGAAGAAGACAGCTGGGATGAGGATGAAGACGATGAGCCTGAGGAGGTTCGCTCTAAGCTGATCAACCATACTACCAAGCTGGCTGAGGCTGGTCTTAAGGGCATTACCAAGGGCTCTCAGATTGAGGTTCTCATTAACATCACCAGAGACCTTAAGCTCCAGGTTGCTGCTCGTGAAGTTAAGCAGGGTGGTGTTGCTATCCGTGGTGAGCTCGCTGCTCCTACTCTTGCTTAAATGGATGCAAGCTATTCTTTTTTACATTGATTTTTTTTGTAGTAATAATGAAGCTTTAGAGATTTTTTTTTTCTTTCTTTCTTTTATACAAAGACCAATATTGATGTTGAAAAAAAATAAATAAATTTAATATATAAATCACGTGACTTATGACAAAAATGTAGTTGCCACCAAAATTTATGTAATGCATTCTGATTTTTTTCTGCCAGCACCCTCATGGGCCATCATTTCCACCACCACCACCAATACCAATACCAACACGCTCACTATCACAACTGTACCACAACTGCACTGCAATTATCTTCACGGTCTCTGCCATTAAAACAACCTCTTTTTATCTTTTTTCGAAACCAAAATGAGGTCTACGTTTCCTCCGGGTACCCGCATGGTTGGGAATCCGCCTGGGATGATGATGGGCCAGAGCATGATGCCTCCGCAGATGCTCCAACAGGGCCAGAACCCACAGACACAACAGACGGGCCAGCCTCAACAAGGTAATGTGGTCGGGCAGTACCCCGGTGCCTATATGAATGCTCAACAGCAACCTCAGCAGCAGCAACAGCAACAGCAACAGCAATCGCAGCAGCAGCAGCAGCAGCAGCAATACTCTCGTATTCAACAACAATCGGTTCTAAATCAACAGCAACCTCAGCAAAATCAACACCATAATCACAATAACCATGGGCATAATCATAATCATAATCATAACCAACACCATAACAGTCATAACCATAATCACAGCCAGAACCAACATCATAATCAACAACAGCAACAGCAGCAGCAACAGCAGCAACAGCAACAGCAACAACAGCAACAGCAGAATCAATCAGTTCAACAGTACCAGCCATATGGGTATGCTGCCCAGCAACAGCAGCAATTGCAACAGCAGCTGCCAACGTCTACATCTGCTCAGTATGGAAATATACCCGGCATGGGGAACATGCCAGGTGGAGCTGGTGGAGCCCCAGGTTTATATCCAGGAGCACCTGGTGGAGCAGATCAAGCTCAACAACAAGTTCAACAACAACAGCAACAGCAACAGGTTCAACAACAACAAGTTCAACAAGTTCAACAACAACAACAACAACAGCAGCAACAACAACAACAAGTTGCTGCGGCAGTTGCAGCAGCAGCAGCACAAGCACAGTCTCAAATTGCTGAATCGATCCGTCATGTTTGGCGCTGGAATCTAGAAGAACAAATGGCCGTGCTGCGAGAAGTTGTAACAAAGTACAAATATATTTCCCTAGACTGTAAATTTCCTGGAATTGTGGCTCGTCCCATTGGGACTTTTAAAACAACATCGGAATACCATTACCAAACTTTACGAGCAAATGTGGACATTTTGACAGTTGTTCAGATTGGGATGACATTTTCAGACGAATACGGCAACCGACCGGCCAATAGTACTTGGCAGTTCAATTTCAAATTTAATGAACGCGAAGACATGGCATCCAAGGATGGACTAGAAATTTTGCGTCAGTCGGGAGTTAACTTCGACATGCTTGCAGTTGAGGGCATTGATGTATTTAGCTTTGCAGAGCTACTTTTGACAAGTGGCCTTGTTCTGGATCCAGAAATCAATTGGATCACGTTTCACAGTGGCTATGATCTTGGTTATCTTTTAAGCGTCATGGTAAATTCCTCACTTCCAGCCGAAGAAATGGCTTTCTTAGACTTAGTGCGTTTATACTTCCCCACTGTTTGGGATCTCAAGTACATTTTGCGGAGCCTTAGCTTCCCACCCCGCGCAACTCTCTACGAAGTAGCAGAGGATTTCCAAATCATGTCTGGAAACGCCATCTTTGCTGCCATGATTGCATCTGCAAACGAAGCTCTGATTACTAGTGCAATTTATTTTGAAATGCGCAAACACTCGAATGATGCAACGTTGTCTAAGTTTGCAGGCCGTCTTTTCGGTCTCGGCGAGGGACTGGCTTCTGCAGCAGCTTCTACAAATGCAACTGGATCATCCAACACAGGTCCCAACAAGACGCTGGGAAGTAACAGCAGCGGCAATACTAATAATAGTCTTACGACTAAGGCTACCAACAGTCCGCGAGTGCGCAGCAGCGGAATCAATATCACATCACCTGCGTCCAAACAAACTGACAGCTAAGTTTTATTTGTTCTTCATTATAAATTTTTTAAACAAAAAAATACATATAAATAGTCTAAAGTTGAAAGATTTTCTTTTTCTTTTTCTTTTTCTTTTTCTTTTTCTTTTTTTTTTTTTCTGAATATTTATTGTTTGGGCTCGATAATCATGCTTCGGCGCCAAAGACCGTTATGGTCTTTGGATACAACAGCGTAACTGCGAGCCATTTCCATGCGAAGCCATGCTTGAAGCTCGGGACAAGGGGCCACGCGATACGGGACTTGTTGACACTGCAAATCACCAATGATGCGGGTGATGCGGTCATAACGATCAAAGTTAATGACTGCAAAAGATGGCGGTGGAGCAGGCTGTACCGGACCAGTACCTTGGGGTTGCGCCCCTTGAGGTGCCCTACGTGCAGCAACGGCTGGGACAACTTCGTGCGTGGACGTGTCAATTGTAAGCGAGCGCAAGGGATGGTTACCTTCTCCAACAAATGTCAAATCAGTAAGGTACAATCCAAGGTATGGGACGCGAGGCAATGGGGCAGCGCGGAGAGCAGCACGATACGCAGAGTAGTTTTTATCCATGGAAAGCAGAGTTTTCAAAGAAGCTAGAGTGTTTGCGTGACGTGGGGAAATTTCGGCCCAAGTTTTGCGCAAGCGCACCACATTGACAGATTGAAGTGCGGAAACAATTGTCATCAGAGCATTAAAGCTGGATAACTCGTGGCACTTTTCAGCGGTCTTAATCCAGTGCTTTAGTACGCGTTGACGCGTTTTAGTGCTAATGTCCGGATTGAGAATCGTATCGCCAACAAAGAAAGATAGCTGGTTGGTTAACAATGTCATGGCTGACACGTTGGGGGCCAGGCCCAGCGACCGACGCTTAAGTGTAAAGTTTTGATCCAGTAGTTCTTCTGGCTGAATACGACACAGCAACCCACTGTCAAGAAGAGTTATTTGCTTTGCCAGCTCTGCCGTATCAATATCAAGAAAGAGAACAATAGTATGAGCCGTAGCACCGTAGGGTTCAGGATGTGAAAGTGAAGAAGACGCATATGTAGCACCAGAAGCAGCAGCTGTAGCAGCAGCAGCATCTGATCCTGCATCAGAAGAACTAGCACGGATCATACGGTTCCATGCATTAGCAGTCACTGACCCTACACGGCCATCGTCAGAGGTGACTTCTTTGACACTGCTTGGGGCTGCAATCGACTCTTGGGCGTCTACAGCTTTGGCTAAAAGCGCAACCTGATGGCGAGATAAATGAACCGGAATAAGTGGCGTAGTAGAGTATGTCAAAGCAAGTCGTCGAGCCTCATCAGCACCAGGCACGATAATTGGCCGTGGAACTAGTGGCTCTCCATCGGGGAGATGTGGTATTTTAGCGGCCAGATCAGTTAGTACCGATTTGCTAAGAGCGTAAGACGAATAATAGCCGCCTACCGAATTAAATAGAGATGCGTTGGCAAAAGCGACAATGCGAGGGAGTGCTGGTGCATCAGTACTCTGCTTCCAATAAGACTCCATCCAGCGTTTGAGAAGGTTGTATACTTTGGCCTGACGAATTTGCGTATTCAAATCCTCATCGGGATCATTTTTGTTTTGAGTAGAGCTTTGGAATCGGGTAATAAGTGCATTAGCTAGATCCAAAGGAGTGGTGAATTGGCGAAAGGTTAAAAAGAAAGTAGAGAGAAGATGAGCATCTGGATCTTCAGGAGTTGTATTATCTGTGAGAACTTTAACAAGAGCCGGAAGAGATGCGCCTCGAATACGAGAAGTTCCTACTTCACGCAAGACTCGTTCATCCGCTGGCAATGCCGCGATGGCGGCACGCACTTGGGCGTCAGATTCGTTAGAAATAACGGCTGGAATAGTGGAAGCTTGGGGAGATTGCTGCAAATGGCTAGGCTGGCGAGATGCTGGAGACACGGTACCCAGATCGGTAGGTAATGGAGCCGTCGTATTTGCCGAAAATGAAGTAGATGGTCCAGCTACTGAAGTTGCTAAGGTGTGGCCTAGACTGCTGTTGTTATTGTTGCTGGATTTAGTGTTGGCGTTGGCGTTGGCGTTGGCGTTGGCATTGTTGTTGTTGTTGTTACTGATGCTGTTGGGGTGGCCTTGTTCAGGCTGAGGGTAAGGGAAGGCACCCGAATTGGGAGAGTGCATTGGTGGGTCATCAAATTGATCTGAAAGAAGCGGAAGAATTGTTGGAATATCGGGTAATAATGGGGACATTTTTGAGTCATTAGTGCTCGGAAAAAGTGTAGCCTTGGAGGACATGGCCGATGAATTTGGCCCGGCTGTTGAAGAGACAGTCGTTGTCGTTGTAGTTTGCGGGGCCGAAACCGCATCAGTTATGGTGCTAGTTGTTGATGGAGTGTGTCTATGAGACAACGATAGTGAAGACAAGGATTTTACAGCAGAGGAAATAGTGGAGCTAACAGAGGTCTTTTCCGGAGAAACAATAGCGGTTGTTGGCATTGAAGTTGCTTCAGCCTTGTGTTCCAGCTCAGTTGGGGTTTCTGCAATAAGTCCATCTGAAAAATCAGGGTACTCACGGGTTGGCGAAAGTTGAAAATCGCCAATGCGATCAAGAATGAGACGACACATAGAAACACATTCATCTGACGTGCGAGCGCATATTGCAGCACTTTCAACTAGACGTCGACTTTCAACAGCGTATGCAAGTTTTGCCATGCGGGCCTTTCGGCGTGGAGAAATTTCATCTGGAACATCAGAAGAAGTGGACGTATTGGTACGGTCATTTTCATCTTCCTCATCATTATAATCCTCGTCATCATCTTCTTGAGCTTCTGCAGTGGCTGGTGTAGATGCAACAACATCTCTGGCCACAGAAACAAGCTGACGAATTTGTGAGAAAAGCTTTTCTTTGCGTTTTTCTAAATCTTTATTTCGAGGAAGACTGTGTGAGGAAATAGACTCAACAGCAGCAAGAAGCTCTCGACAAGCAAGCATTGACTTGCGAGTGTTGACGAGAATTTGAGTACATGCTGATGAATTAGCATCAAGGGCAAGTGGAGCTCCTGAAATAGCATCAGAGCTAAGACGCTGATGGAGAAAATTACCAAGATATGAAGTCAACGCGTCATGAACTTCTTCAAGACGTTGAAGAGCAGAAGGTGGGACTTCATGGAAGATCATAGACTCCCTGTTAGGCACAAGACTGCGACGCGGAGGTATGATGGCAGGTACGGGAGAAGGTGCAGCCGATAACTCACGAGGGTCGATAGTGCGAGAGGTGGAAGAAGCAGAATCTGCAGGTACATCAACCTCTTTGATAGACTCAATTTCTGTAGTAGGTTTAAAATCTTCAAAAGTGGACCGTATATTGTCGATTGAGGGAGCAGGCTTTTTCAGTGACTCCATTCTTTTTTGAGACTCAGATTTTGTGATTGTTGATTCTGGCTTGGCTGTACTGAGTGTTACTCCTGGTGAGTGCGATTCCGTTGCAGAGGTAGCGGTACTGACAGGTCTTTCATCTTTTGAAGGCTCTGTTTTTGTAGATGTTGGTGTAACATTTTCACTATTTGGTTCTGAGGAGATGCTATTAGCAGTGGACCCACGATCAAGAGTCCAAATGTCGAGAAATATAACAGCGCGGAAAATGATTTTGTAAGAGCCTGTGACGAGACGTTCGATATTGGCATCGTCGGTTGTATACTTGTACTGTTTGGCTAACGACACTAAAATTGCAAGTTCTGCCAGTAAAATTTTCCGGAATTTCCGAATGGATTGTGACCGACGCACAATAGGGGTGTCTCGAGTTAATGTTCCACAGGCTTCGAGGAGAGAGCGCACGCCAGCCACAATTGCAGAAATAGCAGCGGGCGGGAAAGAATAGCGAGGCTCTTGAGGAGAATCCAAAGCCTGATTCTGTTGCTGTCTTGAAGAAGGACGAGGCAGTGGATGGGACTTTGGAGCCAAAACAAAGTTAAGAACAGCGGAGAGAACCGGGACTATTTTAGGGTCCGAGTAGGGGGTAAAGTAGTTTGTAGGAATCCACCCACGAGCGGCATTTGATAAAATAGTAGCATCGCCCCAACCAGAAGGATGGATTGAGTGGAGTAGGACTATTTCGGATTCTTGGAAAGACAAGCAAATGCTAGAAGGATCATCGTCGGATTGGCCTGAGAAAAGAGTGGATGCATCGAATGAGTGGAGAGCACGCAAAAATGGATACCCTGATGTGGATTCTTGGAAAGACGACAAGTCAAAGGCGTTTTGATCCGGATTGTTCGCAGTTGAATTATTGGGAGAAGAGGAGTTGGTGGACAAATGCTGAGTTTGGGATGCTTGTTGAGATGAAGCTGATGACGAAGCCATAGAAGAAGACATGGATGTGGTGGGCATGGTTTTCCCTGAGCTTGATGAAGAAGTATAAGTGGAGCTGCTTCCACTGCTGCGGTTTGAACTTCGAGTGCTTGAAGAACTACTTGAATGTCGGTCTGTAGGAGGTTTGGGAGAAGTTTGAGGAGAATGTTTTGGAGAAGTTTTAGGGGATGAAGATGATGGTACCTTTAGTTGCCTTTTATGTTCGCCCCTGATGGCAAAAGAGGTACCCTGCGTGGGGGTTTGTTTAGTAGATGGAAATATAGCCACCGAACTAGTAGCATTAGTGTTAGCAGAAGTAGGACTAGTAGCCGTCGTTACAGTACTAGAACCATTTGATCGCTTTAAAGAGCCTGAAATTCGAGACCTTAAAAACGAGTGGTGTCGAGTAAGTCTTGAGTCGGAATGGCCAGGCGTAGAAGCCGTAGAAATGGCAGCTGGAGCAGTTCCAACTACTGCTGGATCTAGAGTTGAATGTCGACCAGCAAGTGAAGAAGTGGACGAATGGGACATTAACAGATGATGCGGACGACTTCTTGGGATGTTTGAAGATGAAAATGAAGAAGATGAGGAAGAAGAGGAATAAGGGTGAGATGCTGATGACAAAACCGGCTGCTTTGACAAAGAATCGCTGATGGCAGTGGTGGCATCAACAGATGGTTCCTCGCTAGGGCTCATTAAAGCAGTGTTGCTGGTGCTACGAGCAGTAGAGGCAGTGGGAGACGAGTGTTGGAAGGGCTTATGATTTGCACTATTCGGTGCTTTTAAAGTCGCAAGTGATGATGCTGAGGCCGATGACGGCGGAGACTTTACAAGCGAGGTGGTAGATACACAGCGACGGGCGACCTTGACTGATGAAATGTTACTTGATGGGTAAGGGGAAGTTCCTGCAAACCCAGCAGAGCCAGTACTTGAATTTGGATGGTACTGGTGGAAAGAGTAGTGATATGGGGGCGACACAGTTAAGTGTGCCATTGGCGAGACTGGAGAAACCGGGGAAAGAGAGGTTGGAGAAGGCGAAGGTCCCGGAGATGGTGAAGAAAGAACAGGAATGAGAGAAGCTCGTCGAGTACGGATGACCGAAGGTGCCGAGCTGGAAAAGTCAAAATCTGATGTCGAAGAAGAGGTGAGGACTGGTGGTGAAAAACAGCTGAAACCTGGAATATACGTGGACGATGTAGAAGAATGGACAGCCGCAGGGCCAGCAGCAGTAGCGGCACTAGCAGTACTAGTGGCAGTATTAGCAGTAGTAGCAGTAGTTGCAGCAGTAGTATCAGCAGCAGCCTTGAAGGCGGCAGATGAAGAGTCCATGATGGTTAGGACTTTTGGTGTAGTTTGAAAAAAAGAGCTGGGAGAATTTTTTTTTGGTGGCAATGATGGAAATGTTGATAAACTTTGGGCGCAGGGGCCTCTTTATTTTTCATACATGTATGTAGTGCATAATAATATAAATAATAATAAAATAAATAAAAAAAAAAAAAGTCCTGGCTGACGATATTCTAAAGAAGGAGTGTAAATCACGTGTTTTACATAAATAATATAATTAAACGCGACTGAAACGCGTTTTAGAAATTTAAAAAACTTTTTTTTTTTTTTTTTTTTTTTTTTCATTGCCACCACCACCACCACTTCTGTCACTTAAAGAAAAAAGATGCCAGATTCACCAAATGCTCATTCAGACGGTAGTGATTCTGATAACTCTGATGATGCTCTAGGAATAACTAAAGTTGCGGAAGATTTTGAACACGTTGTTGAACGAATATCTTCCAGAGTTCAAGAGCTTGCAGCTCTAGCTCTTCAAAGCGCTCAAGACCAACAAACCCAAGTTTTCACCGCTACAGGTTCTTCTTCTTCCTCTTCTTCTTCTTCTTCTTCTTCTTCTTCTTCTTCTTCCTCAGGTGTTGCGGCTACTGCAGACTCGGAAATTGCTATTCTTTCTGCCTTTTTACGTCAGTGCGATGAACTCGATCTTGATCTACAGAAAATTTCCCAAATTGCACAGATTGTCTCGGATTTCCGTGCTCGCATTGAACGTGCGGAAGCCTTTATGGATGCAAAAACAATCCGACGCCGGTGACATGACGTATATCACGTCCGACTAATTGAGAATAAAAACGCGATTTTAAGCGCGTTCTGCATATGGAAAATTTTTATTTTATTTTATTTTAATTTTTTTGACAAAAAAAAAATTAAAAGGAAACCAGCGGGTTTTTTCTAAAGCAAATTTTTTGCCACCTGTGTGGAAAATATTTTCTTGGACTTCTTTTGGGATATCTTGAACGCCTTTAAATATCACCAACTTTACCTTGGTCACCACCTATGGCCCACTAAAAATTCTCTTTTCTCTCAAGACACCACGGAACGCTAGCCAATGATTCTTGTTTCAAACTTGTCTTGGAATCTGAAACCCCCTAACCCTCATATGATATCTGATATTTTAAATAAACCTTTTTTTTTTTCAGAATTCAACTGAAGCTTAATAATACCATGGACTTATCGATCCCATTTAATCTTAACAATAAAGCAAATTATAGTATGTGCTTTTCAGTAAATCGAATAGTCGGATTCATTCAAGGGAAACCTGATCATAGCGATTGAATTAACTAATTGCGTGATTTCAAAGTTGTTTGAAATGTTTGAAGTCACAACATCAAACTTTCACGGGGTTTAAACAATGCTAAGCTTTTACTGGCTGATTTGTTGTTTAAAAATATTAATAGTATATGTATTAAAGAGAGTACAGTGAAGATAATTGAGATAACTAACTATAGCTTTATATGGAATCAGTTTTTTTTTAAAATTATATATCATCATTCAATTGATAAAGCTTTGCCAGATACAGTTATTTTATTCATATCATGAATGATGAACCTATCAAGAGGTCCATATTTAATTGATTTTTATGCATAGGGGCTTTAAACAAACAATCCAGTAACTGATTTGTCAGTTTGCACTAGTTCTGGCTTTGCTTGGGCTAAAATTTTTGGATTGTATTTTTTTCTGTCAAATCTTTAAACATATATGGAATATTTGCTGTTTGACAATTAAACACTGATGATGATGTATAGCCTATGTGAATAGATATAGAATAAATAATGGCAATAATTTTCACTGTAAAGGATCTAATAGCTTTTGGTGGATTATTTTCAGTACCACTACAAACGTAACCACTTTTAACACAGTTTTCTGAAATACTCTATTGTCACCTGGAAGTCCTTCTTCAATCTGATTGTGGAAAAACTAAATTGATCTAACTTCCCCACCAACTTTTACATGTGCAAAGATAATCTTCATACCAAGACTAATGGTTCCTCTTAGAACACGATCCATAAAATAAATACCCCACAGATATATTTCAAATTATAACAAAATAAACCAAGTTCAAAAAAAAAAAAAAAAATAGTGTGAAATCGGATCTATAACTAATTATCATTAAGATATACAATTTTTTTCTATATGTTTATAAGCCATTGATGACCAATCTAATTTATCCACGACAAATACCTACTTACTTAATTCGATTAAAAACACATTTAAAATAAGATGGGAAAGATAGCCATTTAACTCGTTTGATTTAGATTATCTTCGACAGCTCTTTTTCCATCCACCAAAAGAATTTTATAATTAGCTTGAGATATAAAACTGGGCTTTACCAGGATTGGAACGTTGAAGATAGTTCACAGTTCAGGTGCCTAATACAAAAAAAAAAAAAAAAAAAAAAATGGAATATTGCTGAAATAATTGTTATAAAAGCTTTAAACTAAACTGAACTACTAAACCATTTATCATTAAGATATAAGTCATTGTTAAAATAAAAAAAAATTATAAGCATTATTTAAAATATAAATAACTGTATTTTCAACTAATCTGTTATTAGTTTAAACTTGATTAAATACAAAAAGAGAAATTAATCTAACCAGCATTTATTATACCTCGATATTAATTTTTTTTAGCACATTCTAATTCCATGATAACTGCTTATAAATTGCTACAGAAAAAAAAAATTACTTGTACTTCCAATTATATTTTAAACTATGGAACTATACCCCACGGTTTGCATGAGACAATCAAAGTAAAATCTGTTAAATAATAAAAACTGAAATCAAATTTTCTAGATTTATAATGAAAAAAAAAAAAAAATTATATTGATTACAATATAAAAAAAATACATATTAATTAATGATATTATTTTGGAATAAGTTACTAATATCAGAATTGTCAAAATGCATGCAATATCAACCTAGAATGAGTTGGGGGAAGTTATCATGCTATTTAAAGCATTTTCCGTAAAAAAGATTTGAATTAACTTTTTTCGTTCAGCATTGTGCTGGTTTAGGATTTAACGCTTAAAACATATTCCTTTTTTTTTTTTTTTTTTAGTTACCCAATATTCATTTTCCCAATTAGTTTCTCTAGTTCCCGTGTTGCAGTATCTCGATGCGCCGACCGATGACATTTTCTTCGAGTTGCAATACGTTGAGAACTTTTTCCAATGCTAGAGTTTTTCCCATTGTCCCGTGAACGTTGTAATGCCCACCGCACTGCATCTTCTCTTTGACAGTTAAGTTCAATTCTGTGATCTATTCTTTGTACTCGTGCACGTAGTGCACCCGCTTCATGCGAACCTTGAGGGATTGACCGTGCTGTAAGACGCGCCCGCTTTTGTTCAAACCGCATTCGGTTTTGTTCAATATGCCGTAGACGAGTCTCCAGTTGCTTTACTGTGTTGCCTATGCGTGGTCGCTCAGATTTGGATTCACTATTAATAATAGTAGCGGAAGTGAAGGGAATAGGAGCAGGGAAAATGTTGTAAGGAAGGTTATGATTTGTAAAGATTGTTTGTGAAGAAGGGGCTCTGGAATTACCCAAATGAGTAGTAAGGTCCTGACATAGCAGCTCATAAAGTTGTGAGTAGGAAAGACCTTCAGGAAGACGAGGTCGTAATAAATGCATTTTTAATGCGGGCCAACGTGTCATATGGAAAGCTGTAAGAGCACATGCGATACCCGAGTCTTGTTTTTGGTTAATTGGGAAAAGACACGTCGCACGCGTACTGACCCGACATTTTTTAGGAAAGAATGTGAGCAAGAGACCACTTAAGTCTGCACCATGAGCGCTCTGAATATATTCTGGTGAAACTTCTGAGCCTGAAGGTAGCAGTGGTGATTTCTCACAAAATCCATAATATGAACGAGCAAAACAACTTCCTGGGCGAATCAATAAAACAACAGTGGCCCATGTTTTTTGTTGTTGTTGTTCATCATGGTTTAAGACTTGAAGCGGTAGAACAACAGCAAAATTCCGTTTTGGAGTAGTACCAGATTCGCGTGCATTGGTCAAAGCACGGTAAAAAGCTGTATGACGGATTATACGACGATATTCTGGCGACTCAAAGGCAGCAAGATTGCCTGTTGGAAGTAGTAGTGTATGTGGAAGATCAATAAAGGCCTGGTGAAGGTCATGGGGGGTCGTGGTAGCGCGACTTTGGTGGGTAGGATATGCAACCGGGAGGAAAAGACAACGTGCAGCAGGATGAGAAAGGAGCCGCAGCACCTGGAGGTCGATACTTGAAGACGAATAAGAGCCATCCGATATGTTTTCTGTTGAAGCTTCTTGGTTAAGAGAGAGAAATGTTGGTGGTGGTGGTGATGGTGGTGGTGGTGCTTGCTCTACTACAAAGTCTATGGGGCTGATATCTGGGTCTGGGCTTGGGCTTGTATGTTGATTGAGAGTTGACGAATGTTTGGACGTATTTATTTGTTCAGCAGGCCAGGAGGGACTTACCGAGTCAGAAGACCATAGAGGGAACTGCTCATGTTGGGAGCCTCTAGTTTGAACACAAGTTTCGATGGACATTTTGATTAATGAAAAGAATGTTTAGGGTAAGAGGAAAAAAACAAAATATTTATAGGGAAAAAAAACAGTTTGAGCATTAATGCTCCAAATATTTTGTTATTATGCTGGATTTGTACTTTCCCCCAGGTTTTATTATTTTCTGTTTTGTTTTTTTTTTTTTAAAGTAGAACTACAATTACTCGTGTGTATTACATAATCAACTAAATAATTCCTCTGAACGTATTTGAGCCAAAATGGCCCGCTCAACCTCTGGCGAAACAATACCTTCAAAAACACTTCGTGGAACCTTACGCAGACCAGTAGCACGAGCCATGGGTGATGGCAAGCTTACTTCAGTATCGATAATAAGTTGTGGATGGGTCACAAACACTGTGGGTCTACTGCTAGAGGCTGACTCAGTTTTAATGTCTTCATCTTCGCGCTTGCGTTTCAAAACACCAGCCTTGGTCAAGTCCTTATCAGTGATTTTAGAAGAAACACGGACATATCGAGCTTGAATAGGTTGTGTGGCTGCTGGATAGAAAAACAATCCTGTATGTGGCTCGTAGGATCCGCCACCATAACCAGGCAACATAGTTGTTGGTGCAAGCGGCACAATGAGACCATTTAATCCAACAACAGAGGTATCTGGAGGAGTTTGCTGAGGATGAGCCATAAGCTCGCGACGGAGGAAAATTTCATGGTTGTAAACACTGGCAGCAGTGGCATGTTCGAGCATCCAGTTTTCATCTGTAATAACCAACTTTTTGCGCTTAACATAAGACTCCTTTGCGGAAGAGCCAAGACCAATACTTGAGGATAATAGCGAATGATGAGAGCCATGAGAGTGCATGAGCATACTATCTGAAGAACTGCGGGTAACTGGGGAAGAGGTATACTGGTGATAGACTGAAGAAGCACCATGCCAAGCGACATATTGATTTTTATTGTAAGGAACGCCTGGAGGAGGAAGACGGTCAGCCGGGTCAGCAAGTTCGCCCTCGCGGTAACCTGCAGCGAGAGAAGCTTCTTCATCATAGTCATCAATGATACGACGGCCGCCAACAATAATTCTTGCGCCAAATTCTCGGAAAACAGACCTGGCTGTGACAATACCAATGGCACGGCCTTTATAAGAATGGGGGATAATGTTGCGGTCAATAAGATCGTACTTTTCATCATCAGTCGCAATGATTTTATGCAAACGTTTATGTTTTTGAAATAGTAGGTAAGAATCGCGAAAGCCCATGCAACGCGCGGGCTCTGTGGAAAGCATGTATTGGCGTCCGGTAGAATCACCTCTGCCCTTGACGGTAAATGTGCGCACACGGTACTGACGGCCACCTAATAGCTCACCATTGATAGTGACTTTAGCATCTCCTTTAGGGTTTGATGGTAAAACCAGCTCATCGTTTTCAACTGTGAGTGGATTTCCTTGGGCGTCTAGAAGAGAAGAAGATGGAGAGGAAGAGGAAAGGCTAGAGGTTGTTGTAGAGCTACCTCGACCTTTACCGCGGGTAGGCCAGCGGCCTCCACGGGTACGCCGCGGCAAAGTATCTGCAACTCCAGAAGAGCCAGTATTATCGTCATCTGCTCCATCTGCGTCATCCTCGTTTTCGTCCGAGCGGGAATGAGGTGTTGCACTTCGGAGGGAACGGGCGGAAGTGGGTGTATGAGAAGGTTCTCGTGAAACCACTTTATTTTTCCTGCCTGGGGGTCTACCTCTTCGACCTGTGCGCTGAGGGACTGGAGGAGGTGCTTCAACAGGTTCTGGGGCCTTTTCTGGTTCCTCGGGAGTTTCTTCTTGTTCTTCTGTTGCGGATGCTGGTGTTTCTTGAGTTTCTTGAGTTTCCTGTGTAGCCTCTGCGGATTCATCTTGCTGGTCTAACTGTTTCTCATCTTCAGTTTGTTGTTGTTGTTGTTGTTGTTGTTGTTGTTGTTGTTGTTCAACAACTTCTTCTTCTTCTTCGTCATCGTCACCATCACGAGAGATTGTTCTAGATTTTCTTCCTATAAGAAGGTTAATGATTAGAATGGGAATTAAGTGAATGATTTTAAAGATTAAAATTAAAGAGAATAAGAATAAGAATGAGAAAGACGCGTCGTACCTTTACGTTTTTTAGCCATTGTTTACTTTTGTGTGTATGTATGTGTGTGTGTGTGTAGTAGTAAATATAAATATAAATATAAATATAAATATAAATATAAATATAAATATAAATTTAATTAATTGATTAATTGATTAAATTAATGAGTGATGGTGGTGGTGGTGATAGCCTTAAAAAAAAATAGCAAAAGACGCGTGGAAAATTTGGAGAGTTTTTTTTTTTTTTTTTTTTTAAATAAAAGGTGGGAAATAAAATAATAATATTAGTAATAATGACTAATAAATAACCTAATTTACTCATGTGACTCACTGGCGGCATAAACTTCTATTTTAAACCATCACGTGACTGATTGAATTTTTTTTTTTTTTTCATTTTCATTTTTGTCTTTCTTCTTTTGTCGGCCACGGCCGAGCCCGAAAAATTTTTTTTTTTTTTTTCCCTCTAAAACAAAAGAAAAAATGATTTTTTTTTTTTATCGATAAGTTTATCTGTTTTAACTTTCTTTCCTGTCAATAAACTCATCAGCTCAAAATTCTCCAAGAAAGAAAAAAAAAATAAATTAAAAATAAAAATTTAAAATTTAAAATTTAAAATATATAAATTATTTATAAAAAATAAAAAATAAAAAATAAATAAATAAAAAAAAAAAATTATTTTTATTTTTATTTTTATTTTTATTTAAAAAAAAAAAAAAAAAATTCTTCTACATAAACATTACCACACACACAAATCAATAAAAAAAAAAAATCCTCAAATCGCACCGATGAGCTCTTCATCGTCACCGTTCTCTCCAAAACACCAGTCGGCGCAATCTGCACAAATTAAAACCACTCCAGCCGAATCTGCGCAACAACCTCTGCCTTCTCAGCAACAAGAAACACCTCAAAAATCTTCTCCCATTCAAAATAATAATAATAATAATAATAATAATAGTAATAATACCTCTATGACGACTTCTTCTGTTCCTTTAAATGCCACGGCGCAAGAAGTGCCCGCGCCAACCTCATCCGCGCCAACCACATCTGCACCAACCACATCCGCGCCAACTGCAACTGCACCAGCTGCAACTGCAACACCATCAGCTCCGGCTTCAACTTCGGCTCCGGCCTCGGCTTCGGCTTCGGCTTCGGCTTCGGCTCCAGCTGCTGCTGCAACTCCACCATCTTCGTTGACCGCTGGAGCTGCAAGTGCTTCAGCAGCTGCTGCTAATGCAACATCTTCAACAATTTGTCAAAACTGCCAAACTTCTACCACTCCTCTTTGGCGGCGCGATGAAAGTGGGCAAATTCTGTGTAACGCATGTGGTCTTTTTCTTAAACTTCATGGCCGACCAAGACCCATCTCGCTTAAAACCAATGTCATCAAGTCGCGCAATCGTACCCGCAATAATACGACTCATGCAAATAAACGTAATGCACACGCAAAGTCAGCTAACTCGCCGCTCCACTTGGCCAACTCACCTTCGTTTGCAGCTATTTCACCTCACTTACTTCCTCACGGATCGCCTCTCATGACCGGAATCCATGGCCATGGTCCGATCCCTGGACTTTCGCCAAGTATTTACCAATCTCCAGGTGGACCGGGACCCGCAGGATCAGCCGGAATGCTCCCTCACCACCCGCACCATCCGCACCATCCACATCATCCCTATTCTACCGGATCACCTGCTCTACGTGCTGCATCAGGCTCTCATCCAGATATGATGCCTGTAGACCATCTACAAATGTCTTTGGCAGCGGGATCACCTTCGATGGGCCCGGATCACTACCCTGGGTCATACCATCATCCTCATTCTAGTCCATATATTCATCCTCATCACCATCCTATGACTTACCAACAACAACAGCTACAAGGACCTCCACCACCGGGACCACCTCCCATGACTGGGAATTACCATGGATCTGGAAGTCCAATGCTACATCCATCAAGTGGCTACCCAAGTCATCACCCAGTCATGCAGCAACGCGGTCCTCCTGGCTCTAATAACTCTTCAAACTCGACGCCATCAACTCCATCAACCTTTTTTGCAGATGCTCCAAAACACAGCCCAGCATCACGCGCAACAATAGACAAGCAAATCATGCAGTATAACCCAACCCTCCCTGCATTATCAGTCATGTCATCTTTGACGACAGCCAAGTCTTCACTGCCCTCCTCCTCCTCCTCTTCATCATCATCATCGATTCCTATAAACAATGGAGGATCGAAACCTCCGACCCCAAAGTTCCTTGGAATTTCACCAAATCCTAAACTTCCAGCCTTGTCTTCGTTAACTGCAGCTGCAGGTATTGATATGAAACAGGGAAACAATAAATCCAGTAACATTAACAACTCGAAAGAATCGGGACATGTAGCAGCATCTTTCTCCAACTCTGCTGCACCTCCCATTCTTACTCCTCAGTCGAGACCTCAGTCGCCTAGCATGAGCGTGCCACCGACTTCTGCATCAGTTTATGGTCTTAAGGACCCAGGTTCAGGTATGCAACAAGTCCCCGGCTCTGCTTCGCGTGGGGGGCCCATGAGTGAACAGCTAAGACCTCGCAGCAGTCCAGGCGAAGATCAACTTGATAAGATTCCGTCTCTGCGCCATATCATGGCGGACTGGAGTGGGAATGGTAATAACTCTTTAAACAATCAAAACAACGGCACTCATAATAGCAATAGCAATAGCAATAGCAATAACAACAACAACAGCACTTTAGGTAGACCAAGTGGTTTGCCACCTCTCTCGTCTCATGTTGAAAATGGATCTACAGGCCGTGTTTCATCTTCTGGTAAATTACCGGAAGATTATTCGGCACTAAAGTCTCGTGTGACGGAACTGGAGCTGGTCAACGACTTGCTTGCTAGTAGAGTTAAGCAACTTGAAGCCTCTGAGAGTCGGATCCGAGACTCTGAGATGGCGCTACGTAGTAGGGTTTCTCAGCTGGAGGATACGTTGCATATCTACGAACGCGAGAAAGAGCGAGCACGGGTGGCGCAACTAGAAGATTCTCTGCGAGAAAAGGAGCGTGAGCTTGAAAAGCGCCGTTTATTTGAGACAAACACTATAAAACCAGACCGTGCGCGATCACTTTCGCCTCCTCCTCGTCGAGTTTCTCAACAAGATGTTAATGTGGCTTTGGGATCAGAGTCTGGGTATTCAAAACGGTTTGATGCACCTACGTCTACAAGTAGCGAACCTAACAAGGAATCTTCTGGACTTCCTTCAAGTGCCAGTGGACCAACTACAAGCTTATGGTATGCCTCTATTGCAGCTACAGCCAATGCAAATGGCAACGGCATGGGAGGCTTTGCAAGCCCATGCTTTGGGCCTTTGGGGATGACACGTGGAGTTGGAGCTCCACGGTCTGCTGGTTTTAGTGGAAGCATCAATAACAATGTCACTGGTAATGGGGGCGTCAACAGTGGCGTCAACAGCAGCAGCAGCAACAGCAGCAGAAGCAGCAACAATAACAACAATAACAGCAACACCAAAAACAATAGCTCAGATTCTTCTTACACCCGGTTCCCTAAAAGAAATGGAGCTATGGTAGTTCCTAGCCCTGTATTTACTCCTTTAAATGGTCTTCATCGTGTTACAGATGATATTGACATTAAGCCTCTTCCAAGTATGAGTAATATTGAGAAGCGGATGGAGATAAAAGCAGAAAAGCGCGCATCTACAGTTAGTCCTCAAATTAGTCCGTTGATGAGCACTGCGGTACCGGTTTTGAGTGGAGCACAAAAGCGGACGAGCAGTAACATGTTAGTTGAGGGCAATGGCGATACTATGAGTGCAAGTGACGCCAACAAGCATACAAAGTCAGTTTTACCACAGACTTCTTTTAACAAGATTGCTGACATTTTGTCACCTTCAGTGGCTAATTCATCATCCTCATCCTCATCCTCATCATCATCTACTTCTTCTTCAACTCAAGTGAATCCTAAACCAGTTGGAGTTTCTAATAATGGTAGAGATGAGGACGAGGTTATGGCCCGATCACCTCGGAAAAAGATTCGACTTTCGTCGATTGTACAATAGCTGAATAAATGTTTTTTTTTATTATATATTTAAATATAATATATATATTATAAAAATTACAAGTAAGATCAAATGAAGATAAAGTTTGTGATATATTACGATACAAATGAGATTAGTTAAAATAAGTTGCAGTGGCTAATGGCTATTTTAATCAATAGATAAAGCTATCATGATAACCTGAAGTATCATTTGTGTCATTTGATTGAAGGTTTTTTTGTGACTACTAAAAATTTTTTTTTTTTTTTTTTTTGAGTTTACGATTTTTTGCGGTCAAATGCCTTTTTTTTTTTTTTTTTTTTTTTTTTTTTTATCTGATTGAGAGCAAAAAAAAAAAAAAAAAGTTAAGGGGTGGTGATATTTAATTGTGAAAAAAAAAAAAAAAAATTTCATAGCAAAACCCGGACATTTTCGGCCAATCAATATCCGAAACAGACTGTTAAATTAGACAAAATGAGAAATAAAAAATTTTTTTTTTTTGATATATAAATATATAAATATATAAATATATATATTTTAAGCAAAAAAAAAAATATTAAAATATATATATTCAATATGAAGTTTTTGAAATTTATGGAATTTTTTTTTTCATTTTTTAAAGAATATTAAAGTATAAGGGCTCTAAGTTGTTTAATACGATAAGACTTGATGATGATGATGGGTGGGAAGGCTTTATTGACAGTTTTGATTGAAATAAGTAAAAAAGCCGAAACATTTTCTATTTCTCATATCCCATTTTCTATTTTCTATTTTCTATTTTTTCTATTTTTTCTATTTTCCATTATAATGATAAATGATTAATTATAATTATAATTATAATAATAATAATAATAATAATAATAATAATTAATCATTCAACCGCACGTGGCCCATTTAACGTTGTGTAAATAAATAAAATTTAAACGAAAAAAAAGAAAAAGAAAAAGAAAGAGCCATTTTGAAAGGTTGAATAAAATCAAAATTAATTTTTTTTTTATTTTTTTATTTTTATTTTCATCCGAAGAATCTTCTTGATATTAATAAAAAAATAGAGAATATTTAGTTAAAAGTCCCTCAATAGAGATTTATTTTTATTTTTATTTTTATTTATTTTTTTTTTTTTGACTCATTATTTTAATTTTAATTTTAATTTTTTTTTTTCTGAGTGGATAGCTACCAAAAAAAAAATAAAAAATAAAAAAAAAAATTGTGGCCACGATTGCAACAGGTCTTTGTTGCATATTAATGGAATATAGTACGATATCATACGTAATAATAACATTCTGCGCAAATTCAATAGCAAAAAAAAAAAAAAAAAAAAAAAAAAAACAAATTGAATTTAAAATTTTTTTTTTCTTCTTTTTTTATGAGGTTGAAAATTTGCAAATTTGAAGAATTCCAAAATGAATATTAATATTCAAAAATTTAACAATAACAATGACAATAACAAATACATCCTTATTACTGGATATTCAAAAATAATTATTTTACAAGACTTATTAGTCTTATTAGTCTTATAATATACTTGTAAAACTATTTCTTTTCTTTATAACAACACTACCTTACTACCATGAGATCCCCGCAAATACTTCATTGGTCCTCTCAGTAACAAACAAAAAACGTAGATACAATCGCGTGCATTTTTTTATTTCTTTATTTTAAAAAGAAATATTATATTTCTATAATATATATATATATATATATAAACGTGGCATAAATCTTCAAGAAGAAGAAGTTCAAACTCCAAAATCAATCATTCCTATAAGCAGTGTATGTTTGTCATCGCTACTTATTGTTATAACAATGATAATTGTTATTAATTTCTTTAAATCAATAATATTACAATTTATTCTTTAAAAATAAGAACAAACTAGTCTTTTAAAGACCTATTTTTTTTTTTCAAGTTGTAAATAAATAACATGGATGGAAAAATAAAAAGGCGTTTCATGATTAACATTTTACTTTTATGACACCAGTCTATCTTTTCCTCTATCTCTTTCCCTTTTAATTTAGCTTAAATCTTTTACCTTCTCTTTAAATCACAATATTATCAAATCTCATCACTGATTGCGATTGCCAATTAAAATATAATATAAACAACGATTGTCTTGGTTGCAATTGTTTTTTACAAGCCACAATCCATCAGTTTATTTTTTATTTTTTATTTTATTTTATTTTATTTTTTTTTTTGGCCCTGTTAAACTTAATTGGAAAACATACCACCACTTGGTGAATATCAACTTTGAAAATAAATATGAAAATGAATTTGAAAATGAAAAGTCAAAGTATTAAATACTTTTATTGAAAGGTTATGTCAAATTCAAATATTTTTATTTTTATTTTCATTTATTTATTTATTTGTTTTTTTTTTTTTTTTTTTGAAAAATTGACTCGCAACCGCTTAAATTCTATATTTATTCTCTTCCTTATTTTGTTCTTTTACTTTTATTTAAAACACAGATAACTAACAATTCCTTCTTTTTAAGACTTTTCAAACTTAATGTAAAGAAAATCTGTTAAAAAAAAAAAACCTTTCAAAAACTCGAAAGTAAACTGGCGCAAAATCATTTATTTAATTTTTTTTTAACAAGGTTTGGAATTTCTGTTTCTTCTTTTAAATTTTTTGGGATACACTAAACCATTGATGATTTAAATAAAGTCAAAGAGCATTTATGAATGAACCATGAATGTTTTTTTTTTATTTTATTTTATTTTTTCTTTTAAACTATTTTTCTCCCACTTTTTAAATGTATTTATTAATGCATTTTGTTTAATATCATTTCTTTCCCCATGTTTTCTAACTTCCTTTTAAATTTTTTACGTGATAACTAACAGCTGGAAAATCCCCCCCACCTCTCTTTTGCTTTTCATTGTCATTTTAAGTATAAATGTTTACATGTCAATTTTAAACAATATTTAAGAAACTTTATCCAAAACAGTTTTAGGGATAATCAAGCCCAGACTTTAAATCCAGGTTGATGGAGGGGGGATTGTTATCCAACATTTAAAGTCAAGTCCGTTTAAATGAACAGGAGGGGGAAGAAAAAAAAAAAAAAAAAAAAAAGAAACAAACAATAGTGTTATTGTTGAGAAACTGTGTTTTCTTAAAATATTATCCATCCATCTTTCTTTTTAACCATTTGCTGTCAGGTAATTTTGCTATTTTGTCGGACCCTTAATAAACATTAATGCTCTCTCCCCTTAAAAAGGAATTCTCTTTTTTTTTTTTTTTTTTTTTTTTTTTTTTTTTTTTTTTTTTAAAAAATCTTTTTCATTTTTATAAAAATAAAAAATAAAAAAAACCATATTCGGACTATACTAATAGTGGCTCCGAATACGAATCTTCTTCTTTATTATCCTACAAAACGACCCATTCTTTTTTGTCGACTGGTCAACGTTTTTTATTTTATTTTATTTTATTTTATTTTGTTATTTTATTTTGTTATTTTATTTTATTTTATTTTTTATTTTTATTTTTATTTTCTTTTTAAGCCTATGGGCTGGTTGTTTTTTATTCTGCAAGACTCCCAGACTAGTCAGAAAGTTTATTAATTCATTCCCAAACTAGACATGTGCAAGCCTCACTAATAATTATGTTACAATTATCTATATTGTAACACATTATGTAACATTATTCTCTTTTGTTTACCTTTCCTCCATTTCCTAAAAAAATAAAAAAAAAAAAAAAGAACCATGGATAACCACCACCCCCTAGCATTTATTTATTATTTTTTTTTTTTTTTTTTCATGTCATTAAGGTTGTTTGCACTTTTATCACAATTCACTCTTTATTTAATAATCTCGATCCACTTCGTTCGTTCATTTCTCTGCTTCAACCATTACAATTAATGGATAAGAATTTTTTAAATGCGGATCCGAGAAGCCGGGCTCGCTTTAACTCTTCTACCACTAAAGACTCCCAAAACTTGGAAAAAACATCAATGCCATCCACTCCGCTTTACGAAGGATCCTTTGAAGATTCCTTCATTGCACCAGACTCTGAATATAAAAACCCTCCAATAAACACAGGTTTTTTAAAAGGTACCAACAGCAATACTTATTCGTCTTCTTCTAATACATTTGGCGCGGGCGCCGGATCAAGATCAGCAAGGGATGGCAGTAGTATTCATAGCTCAGCAAACTCTCGCAAAGAGTTTACACCCCTCCTTCATACTATCAAAAAGACTTCACAACCAATAGGTTCAGCATTCTCAGTAGATAGACTACGAAACAAAGAAAACCATCCTGATGAAACTCCTATTCCTTCTACTTCAAAACGTGGCCCTCCAATAAACCAAAAAGATGATTCACCAGGCTTATTATCTTATGATGAATTGGGAAGCCTTGAAAGCATTGGTAGTGTTGAGGTGCCTTCCAAAAAAGTGCCTTCAATTTTTGACACACATAAAGCGACTTCTCAGCAACAACAGCAACAAACCCGCTTTCAAAATATCCCCCTTAAACGTCAAGAAGAGCTTATTGCTGCCCAGCAAGATGAAAACTACCGACTAAAGTGCAACATTGTATTTTTAGAAAAAGAAATTGAAAAACTGGTTAATGATGGTGACGATGGGCGCAACAATGGTATTCGACGAGACATTACAAAGGAAAACATTGAGCTAAAAACAAAAATGGCAACACTTCAAAAATCACACTTGACAGCTATGGAGGAAAAAAATGAAGAGATTTTGCGGTTAAAAAGAGTTATGGAAGAAAATGATGATGGCAGCATTAGCACAGCAAAGGATGATCAAAAGGAAAATGAAGTCATTCAAAGCTTAGAACAAAAGGTTCAAGAGTATGAAGAAGAACTTGGGAATTTGGAAGATGCTCTAAGTGATGTCAAAGCCCAATTAGAAGAAGAAGAGCGCGAGACTGAAGAATACCGCACAAAGTATCTTGAACTCAAAGAAAATCAAGATCAAGAGGGTGATGAATCTAGAGCTCAAGATGAGAAAATAGAAGAACTTCAAGCCCAAATAGACACTTTTGTTGTTCGGTTGGAGGAAAAAGAAGATGAAATTGAAAACCTACAAACCGAAATAAAAGACTTGAAGGATCAAAGTCCTTCCACAGTCATTGACAAGGAAATGATTGATAAGGAAATTGACAAAATCACGGAAACTTTCAACCAAAAGTTCATTGACCAAAAAGAGACACTTCAGAAGTTTAAACAGCATATCAAACAGATGGAAAAAGATCATGAAACAGCCCAGAATCAAGCACAATCAAATCTATCACGGGTCCAAGCAGATTTATCAAGAACTCAGCTGGAACTGAAGCAGGCCCAAGCAGAATTGAAGCATGCCAAAGGCGAATTAAACCATACCCAATCTGACTTGAATCATACCCAGACGGATTGGAAACATGTCCAGAGCGATTTAAAACGTCTTGAATCGGATTTGCAGCAGGCACACAACAATTTACAGCATTCTAAACAAGCAGCAAATCACTATCAGAATCTTGTTCAGCAACGCGACAAGGCTCTTGAAGAAAAGGTAGCTGAACTAAAACATTTGGGGGCTGAAAATACCACTCTTTTGAAAGAGCTTAAACAAACAAAGAATGGATCTTCTTCTTTAGTCCTGGACCTGAAAAAGGTAAGTTATTATTTTATTATTTTATTATTTTTTTTTTTTTTTTCATTTTAACTTTTTATTTTTTAGGATATCGCAAACCTAAAATCTCAAATTGCATCCTACAAAGATGAACTCCATAAAGAACAAGAAGCTAATGCAGACATTACCAAAAATTATGAAATGCTAAAAACCGAAATTGCCGTTGTGCGTGGCATGTTCCAGGATTCCGATGCCAAATTAGCGAAGCAAGAAGGACTTGTTAATGATTTACAGCATGAACTAAGTGATACCAGACAAAAACTTAACGCAGCTCTATCTGAGGGAGCTTCTGCCAATGAACACCTTAAACATCAGCAAGAACAATTTCAGCGCGATCGTAACCAGACTTATGTTCATGGGTTTGACGAGCGGAACCGGCGGTTTGATGAAATGCATCAACAAATCAAGCAGTTGGAAATCAATTTAGCAGACAACCGTGGTATTCAAGAAGCATTACAAATGCGCATTGTTGACTTGCAAACTGATCTTAATCGCAAGCAGCAAACGATTTCCAAAATGAAGAAGGCTGCTTCTGAAGCTTCAGTTTCTAACCACTTTTTGGAAGAAAAAGATGTCATCATAAACGATCTCCAAATCAAGGTTCAGAAACTTGTTGCTGAGTTGGAAGCAACAATAAGGGAGAAAAAGGAAAATTTTGAAGCAATGACTGAACTTGTTGAAAATATCATTCTTGAAATCACTAGCATTGAGTCATTAATGAACAAGGAATGGAGTGTCAAAAACATTCCATTGCCACAAAATCCTTTCTCCGGTCCGCCACTCCACAAAACAGCCAGTCCCAATTCCAACTATCAGCATCGTTTAGCCCAGCTTCAAGAAGATCTTGCTGAAAATGAAAGACGTGGGAATGACTTACTTTCAGCTATTTCCATTGATTCTGATCAAACTAACAAGCTCAACACAATTTTGGGTAGACTCCGACTACAAATTGGAGCCAAGGCTCATGAGTTTTTATCGTTGGGTGAAAGTGACGAACACCATGTTCATGTTTTGGAACAGAAGATTGTTGAACTACAGCATCAAAAACAAGATGAGATAGAAGCTGCACAGCGAGAAAACTTGGCCAACCAAGCCAAACTTGACGACATGCAGGACATTGTTAATAGGAAACTCGATCAGCAAAACATTCAGATGCAGCAACACCTTTCGGAAATTCATAATCTTCAGGACAGGCTTAAGACTACCATAGACGCTTATAATGATCTTAAGAAGTTTTGTGACAAGGCTAGTTTTAATTTGGATCTTTTGCAAAATAATTTAGGCCAGCCCTTAGCTTTCAACAAACACATTGAAAGCACAAGTAGTAATTTCCAGGAATATCTCAAAAATGAGCTTCAAGAGGCCAGGTTCAGCCTCAAATCAACAAAATCAGAGCTTCAAGAAGCCAAAATGGAGCTCCAGCGGTACCGTGATGAAGTGTTTGACATTCAAGGAAAAATTCAAGAGACTAAGCAAAAGTACAAGAGCCGTGAGATAGGGTATAAAAATGAGATTGCAGAGCTTGTTGAGAGGTTGAACCGTGACCGGGAAAATGATGCAGTTCTTTATGCTCAAAAGCTCAAGGAATCTAAAAAAGATATCAAGTCCCGGTTCTCTCAAAAATATGGGTCTGAGGTTGAACAATTACGCAGCCAGTTAGACCAACAGTACAATATGGAAAAAATCAGGCAGGAGCGTGAAGAGTATTTTGCTAAGCTGGCAACTACCCTCACTAAAAAAGTCAAATACTTGCGTGCCAGAAATTCCCTTGAGAGCCGGACATTTGGTGACGTTGATTACATGCGAAAGCATTTAAAGATGCGACTAAAATCGGTTAATCTCAATGCACTGGAGGTTGACGCAGTGGTTAAAAGAAACGGATTCCCTGATGGTGTATTAAATAAACCCGAGCCTTGGATTAATCCAGAGCTAGTTAAATTACGAGCCAAGTTTAACTCTAACAAGTACTTTGTTCACCACCCGTTGGGTCATGACCCACATGAAAATAGAGAAAAGTGGAACAGATATCGGACTCTTGTTGTTGAAAATGGTCGCCGCAAAATACGTTCAGCCGCACTTGCCGTTATTGCTATCAACCGTTTAAAGATACGAGCTAAAGAAACCAGAAATGTTAAAGAGAATTTCACAGATTTACAGACTATGGTTCGAGAAATTAAGGATCTTGAACGAAAGCATGGGATTGCTGGGTTTGCCGAAAATTAAACAATAAAGGGGAAATTCAAGAAATCGAGAAAATAAGAAATGGATGGATGATAAGCTATGGGATAGACATTTGTATTTTTAATTTTTTTTAATCATAATAAGGCATTTTTTTTTTTTTTTTTCAAATAGATTATTGTAAATTATCAACTAATTAATTAACTGAAAACTGGAATTCATTGGAAGTAAGAAGGGAAAGAATTACTAGTTTCTAAAATAGCAAATCAAGAACAAAATTTAAGTCTTCTATCTTTAGATAAATCATTATTAAAAAAAAAAAAAAAGCACAGAACAAATAGAAATCACTGAAAACAATAAATTTAATTGATTATGCCTTTCAATATTTTGTTGAATCTTTTAAATACTTACATAATATATTCAAGGTGTAGTTTATGAACAAATCAAAACAAGGCATGTTTGGAAAGTATTTGAATCAAAAACTAATTATCTCAACACATGTTAAAAATAAGTTTTTATCAAAATAAAAAAAAATTGACTTTTGTTTTTTCTACTTTTTATTGTTTTATTGTTTTATCTCAATGATAAATTTAACATTAAACCAAACTTGTATTAAAATAAAATAAAAAAAAGTACATGTACACACATTTTCTTTATCACACTGTTGTTAAAAAAAAAGATTAATATGAAAAAAAAGATTTGCCTTATATAAATACAATAATTTCCTTGTTAGTTTCTTCCATGTTTTTTTTCTTGCATTTTTGTTTTCACCAATTATAACTTAAAAAAAAAAAAACTACAACAATGTATTTTGACGAAGAAGATAAAATAGCCATGAAAAGACATTGTTTGAAAGAATATGGACTGGTAGTGAGATATATGAGAGATATGGGCTCTTGGAAAAAATTACCAGATGTCAAGATTCTTTTTATGATTGCTACACTTTTAATTGCTGTATTTGATATTTATATTTTTTTAGATTAAACGTGAATAATAGGGTTTCTTCATTCAGGTACTTGAATCAAAGTTGGATCAAGATTTAGAAATATTGCAGTTTTTTTTTTTTTTTTCTTAAATAATAATATTAATTTTCTTGATTATAAGAATGTCATTTAAGTGCTTGTTTTTTTTTTTTTCTAAAAAATTTGAATCAATAATATTCTCTATTAGTGGTCTCATGGTTTATCTTTTTCAATGATATACATATATAAAGATATATTTATGCATTGCAATATATTCACTTATCAATTTCAAATTATTTCAATATAATCATTTTTTTAATAAACTATATATCGTTCATATAATTATTTATTGAAGTCCATTTTTTGAAGTTGTTGATAGCTTATTCGGGGGAAAAATGGGCCAACAAAGTTGCAAAAAGTAGGTGGTGTAGTCGGTCGCCACAATAAATTGTTGATGCATATTTGGAATCAGAATCTAAATGGAATTGTAAAACCTGGGAAATAGCCTTTTTCTAGGCTTTTTTTTCCTATTCTTGGAGGTAATTTCGTTGTTATTGATTATAATTATTGATTAATGATAAAAGTCTACATATATTATCAGTTCCAGTTTCTATCACTTTAGTCTCATTCTTTGTATCTTTGATCTTAAGATAGACCCAGTCTCCTTCTAAGTGTTATCGTGTTCTGCTTATCCAGATGGTAGTCATTGTTCGTGGTGGTGATACCTTTTAATCTTTAGTTGTGTTGCTGCCTGGTTCACACAACCCTAACCACTCAGGTCATTGGTACCAGAGGAACCCCCAGACAGCTCTCTAATTGTTAAAAAAAAATGAGGTAGTTCCCAAACCAGATTATTGACTTTACTTAACTGAAATTATCGATTTAATAATGTCTTGTTTTAATGAAATATAGTTAAATAAAAGTCTTGTATAATTTTTTTTATTCAAGTTTTTATACCAGTCTATATAATTTCAATATATGTATAAAAGATATATCATCTTACAGATCGGAGTTCGAAATAGTCACATGATTTTTCGTAGGTATCCGACTCCAAGTACAAAATTTTGGAATCTGAGCTTATTCGGACTCCGCTGATGTCAAGTTAAATAAGAATACTTCTCATAGTTCCCCAAAGACTAAAAAAGGCTGTCGTTATCAAACTATATACTTCTTCCCCAGTAGATTTTAACAAACCAACTGTATCACGCAATCGACCTTGTCTATTTCTCCAAGTCTTCAAATACATAACTAAAACCTTCATTTAAAAAGCGTTTCGATATCAAGCCTTAAAAAAGGTCTTTGAAAAATTGACGCCATTATCGGATCTCCTTCTAACTTGAGCGCCTCAATGTGCCACGAAAGCCATTTTGAATTCCAGCCACAGATTTTTTTTTCTCTAGCCCATCGTATTTAAATCAGACGATAATTGTTTAACAAAATCAAGTATAAATAGAGGCTTTTTTGGCTAGTGAGTATGGTTTTAAATCTACATCAACTTCTTTTTCTTTTTTTTTTTCTTTCTTTTTTCACTCAATATTTATTTTTTCAAAAAAAAACATCTAAGTTAAACTCCCACATTTAAAATGCCTGCTCTTGACGAACTTAGATTTGAGGAATTCGATTCCAAGTACTTCCCCAAGTTGGAACATATTTCCGGTCCATCTCCCTATGCCCATACACCTACCGAGGGACCTTCCTATATTCCTCCTGAAGACCGTCAAAAGCCCCTTACCTCATCTGGAACTTACAAAAAGGAATATGGCAAATTTGGCAAAGATATTTCTCCTCTTCTTGGTGTTGAATATACCGAAGATGTCCAGATTGCAGACTTTATTGATACCCTTTTGAATGCTCATTCAAGTGAAGAGCAACGTGAAAAGGCTGCTAATCTCATTCGCGACATTGCAATTGAGATTTCACGCAAGGGCGTTGTAGTCTTCAGAAACCAGCATAAGCTCACTGTTCAAAAGCAAAAAGATTTCACCAACCAACTTGGTCTTCTTACTGGGAAGCCAAAGGATAATGGTCTTCATATTCACCCTCGTGCTCCCGCTGGCGGACTCATTGGCGAGGATGGTCTTATTGACCCTGAAATCTTTTACGTTTCTTCTACTTTGGACCGCCGCCAAGGAAAACTTAGACGTATTACCACATTCCCTTCAATTGCATGGCACTCTGATATTACCTTCGAGCCTGTTCCTGCCGACTATTCTGCTCTTAAGATTGTCCAGCAGCCTGAGGAAGGTTCTGGTGGTGATACCTTGTTTGCTAATGGTTATGCTCTATATGAAAGATTTTCCGAACCTTACCGCAAGTTTTTGGAGGGTCTTAAAGGCACTTATGCTCAACCTGGCTTTGAAGAACTTGGTAAAGCCAACAACTTTTTGCTTTACAGCCAGCCCCGTGGTGCCCCTGAAAACATTGGTGACAGACTTACTTCCACTCACCCTCTTGTACGCACCAACCCTGTTACTGGTTGGAAGAGTTTGTACGCAGTTGGTGTTCACTTTGCCCAGATTAACGATCTGACCCCTATTGAGGCTGCTCGTGTAAAGGCCTTTATTAATGACACTCTTGTTAACTCTCACGATTTACAGATCAGAGTGTCATGGAATGGTGTCAACGATATCGCTTTTTTCGACAACAGATCTGCTTACCATACTGCTACTCTTGATTACTTGGGAACTAGAAGAGGCATTCGTACCATCAGTATTGGTGAGCGTCCTTACTTTGATGAGAACAGTGGCCTTCAGAGCGAGGCTATTTACGATGAGCTTGCGGAAAAGATTGGTAATCTTTCTACCAAGAATTAAATTATATAAATTATTTTGATAGGAGTTTCAATGAATAAAAAGAATTATTTTTTTAAAAAAAATAATAAAATAAAATATTTTGGAATAAAATATTTCTAACATAAGTGGCTAGGTTTTAACCTAGTTATTTATCTATTGTAATCTATGTCTTTTACTGTGGCAAAGAAAAGACCTTTTAATGTGGCTTTTAAAGTAGTTTGTTAAAAATCCTTTGATAATTGCTAAATCTGGGGAACTATTTTTTAGAATTGTAAGGGCTAGCACCGCCACACCAAAATAAATAACAACTATGACTTCAATAACCATAAAAACAATTTATTTTTTGAATTAACCCTTTCATTTCTTCTTTGTTAAACGTAATTGTTTTTCATTTAAATATTATAACTCTCTATATTTTAGAATTAAGGAAGCTTTTACCGGTCAGTTGTAATGACATCACTTTTAGAAAAAGTTCGTTTTAAAAAAAACAAAGTTTTATTTTTAAAGGTAATTCAAAAGGTTTCGAAATATTTCTTAATTTCCTAAACAAGATAATCATACGTTTTATTTAATTTGAACCATTTTGTAAATTGAATCGTTAACTTGGGGTACAAAGGTATACAGTTTGTTCAGGGTCGTGCTATTTCATCATTGGAATATCAAATTTTGTGCGAGCCATCTTATATACGCCTAGGTGTTGCATCATCACACTTTCTCTCTGAATTTCAATCAATTAGTTTACAACAATCTTCCTTTTAATCAATATAGTTTAATTAGAAAACAATAATGAATATTTCTTATCGGCACCTCCGTTATAAACATTAATGAGTTAACAAGCCACAAGAATTTTTAATCTTTGTTTTTTTTATATAATTCGGAGATCAAAATCAAGTCCGAAGATGATGTATAGTTATGGGATGACCATTTGAACAAGACTTTTTTTTTTTTTTTGAAATGGGGTATAAATAATGGGAAATATATTTCAATATTTCAATATTTTTTGTTTTCAGTTTTTCAATCAATCATTCAATCATTCAATCATTCAATTTTAACTCATCAATTAAAAACAATTTTCTCAAATCAAAAGCCTTTTGCCATTAAATAAAAGCAAACAATATACCAAATTAAAACCTTTATAAAAAAATTTTAAATTTACTTATCACAATGCCTGCTTTAGACGACCTTCAATTCCAAGAGTTTGACCCCCACTACTTCAAGGATGTAAAGCCTATTACAGGGCCTTCTCCTTATGCTGATAAGCCTACAGAGGGACCTTCTTATATTCCTCCTGAGTTACGCCAAAAGCCTCTTGTTCCTTCTGGTATCTTTGCCAATGAATATGGACAGCATGGAAAGGATATTTCTCCTCTTTTGGGGCGTGATTATTCTGAAAACGTTCAGGTTGCTGATTTTATTGACCTATTGCTTGATGCTAAATCAAGTGAGCAAGATCGTGAAAGAGCTCAAAATTTGATTCGAGATATTGCAATTGAGATTTCTCGCAAGGGAGCCGTTGTTTTTAGAAACCAACACAAGTTGACAGTTCAGAAGCAGAAGGACTTTACTAATCAGTTGGGTCTTTTGACGGGTAAGCCCAAGGAAAATGGGCTACACATTCACCCACGTGCCCCTGCAGGCGGACTTGTTGGTGAGGATGGTATTATTGACCCTGAAGTTTTTTATGTTTTTTCATCCTTTGATCGTGTTCAAGATAAGCTTGCACTGGCTCGCCGTGGAGCTGCATTCCCGTCTGCTGGATGGCACACTGATATTACGTTTGAGCCAGTACCTGCCGATTATTCAGCGCTCAAGATTGTTGATCAGCCTGATGAGGGCTCTGGTGGCGACACGGTGTTTGCCAATGGATACGCGCTATACGAGCGGTTGTCGGAGCCCTTGCAAGAGTTTTTGGAGAACTTGACGGGTACTTATTCGCAGCCAGTTATTGAAGATTTTGGTAAGGATAAGGCATTTGATTTGTATAGCCAGCCTCGCGGGGCTCCGGAGAACGTGGGTGATATTTTGACGGCAACGCATCCGGTGGTTCGTACAAATCCGGTTACTGGATGGAAGAGCGTGTTTGCATTGGGGACCAGTTTTACCAAGTTCAATGAGTTGACACCTATTGAGAGCAAGCAGCTTCGTGACTTTTTGAATGAATCTGTTGTAAATTCGCACAATTTGCAGGTGCGTATTTCATGGAACAGTAACCACGATATTATCTTTTTCGATAATAGATCGTCCTATCATACTGCCACTCGGGACTATTTGGGGACAAGAAGAGGTATTCGCACTATTAGCATTGGAGAACGTCCTTATTTAGATAAGAATAGTGGAGTACAAAGTGAAGCCATTTATCGTGAACTTGATGAGAAGAATGGGACTTTTCTGAGTAAGAAATAATTTAGGAGGTTTTTTTTTTTTTTATTTAATCCATAAAATTTGGTAGTTACCAATACAATTAATAATGTAGTTTAATTCAAAGTGAGCCGCATGTATTTAATTGAAATTCGTTGTTATACGATATACGATTGAAATAGTGCAAATGTCCCAAATAGGAAATTTATTTTAAATGGAAAGATTTTTTCATTTGATCACGTGACGAAATGATACACTTTTTTTTTTTTTTTTCTTTATTACAACCTTAAATTTCTGTCATAGACTTTATTTTTGGTGCCACAAATGTCTGTTTCACATAATAACGACACGGGTCTGTGGACGCGCAGAACCCCTCGGGCCGCGGCGTGTGTGGGAGAAAGAAAAAAAGCAAGCGAGTATTTGAAAACACCCAACAAAAAAAAAAATACGCGTGTACCGTCGTTTCTTGAAGATTTGAAGTACCGACGTTTAATATAAATTTCTTATTTTTTTTTTTATAAGAGTGTTCCTTCATTGGCTTAGGCGCTCCGCCATAAAGAAAAAAAAAAAAAAAAAAAAAAAAAGAGATCGGGGGAAGACATAATTAAGAGGCTCATGCACAAGTTGCCTAGTTTGGAGCCAAAAATTTTCTGCTCTAACTCCCAAAATAAACTCTCTCAACATTCCAGCATAATAAATAAATATATATATATATATATATATATATATATATATATATAAATATTCCTCCTTTTCCACTCACACATAAAACATTTCCTCCCCCTAATATTAAAGTCTAATAATAATAATAATAATAATAATAATAATAATAATAATAATAATAATAATAATAAGAATAATAAGAATATAATAATAATAATTAGGTCTCCACTAAAAAAAACCACCCCCAGAAAAATTTCTCCTTCTTCTTCCCAATATCGATCGATAATTTCTATAATAACTATAAAACTCTCCTTTATACTCTACCAAATCACTCGTTTCTTTGTCATTATTCAACTGCAATATGCCTATTAGACCGATTAAACAATCTCAATAACACGTTCAATCTCTTTTATAAACACTTTATAAACTTAGCACTCTTTTTTTTTTTTTTTTTTTTTTCACACCCCAGTAAGATTTCATGTCTCGATCGGGATCGCTCCGAACTCGCACTTCGTCAGTCAGACTCGACGATGAAGACCGGAGCGTCAACAATGGTGCAAACCCAGCTTTCACATTTATCTACATTGCGGCCGCGGAAGGCAAGACTTATCTACAACGATGCAATGAACGCACAAAGTACCAGCTCCAATCCTGTAAACAGTACTTTAAGCGCAAACTAGGAATTAAGCATCCAAATTACGGGAATGAGTTTGATGAAGACTTTATAAAACAGTATTGGGAAGGCAAAAACCGCTCGCGCTACAATGGCAGTGGCAGCCACACGATTGGTGCAACCAGCTCAAAAGCATCGCTCCGTTCAACAAGCTCTCTTAGCTCCTGGTGTGTACCTGTAGAGTATCGTGCCAGGTCTGGAAGCAATACAGGTGGACCGGGAGTTTTGACCCCTTCAAGCAGCATCAATTCTCAGAGTTTAAACAGTACCCCCACGGACGAATTTCGGAGTTTTTCAATGAGCAATGTTAGTCAAGACTCATCGCTTACTTCGGCTGACGGCACAGAACCTTCAACACCGCCATCCACTGACTCTTCATCAACACCATCCACTGACTCTTCATCAGCTTTGGGGATATCTGGTAATAAAAGTAGCTTTAGCAGTGTTAGCAGTTTTACGAGCTGTAGTAGTGGTTACAATAGTCCCAGATATAGTATAGCCCCCTCTCCGCCAAGCATCAATAATAGTAATAATAACCGGAATCTTCCCAACACACCTTTTTCACGAAAACGATCAACAAGCAACCGGCGTTCGCATTCCTACACGGCTTCTGGTCTTCGCGCAGGGATCTATTCAAGCATTCAAAACAAGGCTATTCCCAACAGCAGCGTGTTTAGACGCAGGTTTTTCCGCAGCGACAAGAACCAGTGCCTAGTGCCAGAAGATGATGAGACGCATTCTTTAAACCACGGCGATTTTTACGCGCCAATTTCTGCTGAGGAGACTTCCAAGAAAGTCCACTCTACTCTCTACGGCTCAGCAGCCAACGGTACATGTGACAATAACGATGACGACGAAGATGATATCACGGATGAGGAATCTGATAGGCTACTTGAACTGATTGACCAGGGGAACCACAATTCAGACGAGTATGTGGAGGTGTCTTATGAGCTCATCAATAAGCTTGCCGTAATGAACCATGTAGAGGTTGACGTTGACCCAGAACTTGGTTTAATGCTGGATGCATGCCGGGACAGTGCCTCTTGCAGTCCCGATATTGTTTCTAGTGGGAATGGCGCTGACCTTGACACGATTCCTGAAAATGAAGAATATACTTGTCTAGATATGGGACACAAGCCTGTGCACGGGCAAACAAGATTTAGATATGATACAGTCATGGTGGAGATGAGCCTAAAACACTTGGCTGTATTTGCAGGCAAATTCAGCCATAGGTTTAACTTTTGTATTTCCCGCGGTAAGAACAATAAGTTGCAGTTTTACATTGCAGGCATTAAAGAGGACGAAGAGCAAGATGAAGAAAAGGATAAAGATGAAAATGAGGATTTGGAGGATGAAAATGAGGATGAAGACGAGTTTGATGATGCTAATGAAGAAGAAGAAGAAGATGTGGCTACTGAAACTCAATCAAAGCATACGCATATAAATCTTGACGATTATGTGAATAGTTGCAGAAACTCTCCTCTTAACGCTAAAACATCTAACTGCGACAATGACGATAACGACGACGCGTTGCTTCCTTCATTTTATAGCTCTGATGATACACCGCAACCAAGTGATGTGGAGAGTCTTCACGGGAACTTGTATGGGGATTATGACGACGACGACGACGATGACGACGACTGTGGTACAGAGGGCGGGTGTACGGTTTCCAATACCATCACACATAGCAATCGCACCTACTGTGATGAAAATGATTACAATAATGGCAGTCAGCTCCAATTGACTGCGACTAGAACACTAGACGACGGGTCTTTGCAGACAGAAGTGATTACAGAACCTGTCAAAGACCCGGTACAAGAAGTAAGGCCCATAGTTGTTTCTCTTTCAGAATTGGAGAAACAGCAAGCTCCGGTACCTGTGCCGGTACCCGCAGCCAAAGAAGAAGAAGCTGCAGCATCAGCAGCAGTAGCCGCAATAGCAAAAAGAAGTATTTCTATGACTCTTTCAGAAACACGAGCAAATACTCTTGAAGCTAACGGGTCCGCCAAAACACTGGCAAAAGATTTGCCGGCATAAAGCCACTCGACTCTTAACTCTTTTGTGTCGGTACTTTCCACTGAAGGCAAATAAAACTTAACGACTTGACGAACAAACTGATACTTTTTTTTTTTAATTACTACAACTTTTCAACAGGCACATTTGAATCCATATTGAGCTCAACTTCACATTGCTTTTCAACATTGTGTGAAGAGACTGTGTTTTATTTTTTATTACTTATTGCATTGCATTTTTTTTCTTCCTTTAGATATTGACGTTTTGTGCTTTTTTATAGACGTTTTTATTTATTTATTTTATATATTATATATATATACTGTACTTTTATATATACTCCAGGTCTTGTTTGTTTTTTTTTATTATATTTGAAACATTTCAATGTTTCTATTATATAACAAAACAAATAACGAAATGATTGGATTTTAAATGATTACAAAAATCTCACATTCTCTACTTTTTGATTCTATCCCTTGCAATAGAATTCCATGATGGAATGTATATACTGTACCTCATATATATATATGAAATGGTATATTGGAATGAACCATGAAAGAAAACATTTTCTTGTCTGTGGTCTAGTAAACAAACCCAGGCATCTATCATCAATGCTAACAAGGAAAAAAAAAATTAAAATTAAAATTAAAAATAAAATAAAGTAAACTAACCCAGGAAGGTACTTTTATATATAACAGAAAAAATCTCACGAGAACACGAGGGTTTTTTTATTTTATTTTATTTATTTTTTGTATGTGAAAAAAAATAAACAAAACAATTTCTTGGAATAACGGCTCAAAACCCGTCGTCCTATTGACACAAGTCATATATTTCAATTCTATTAGAGGCATTTTTTTTTACACTTTTTGATAATTTGTTCTTATATGGCAGCAGGGCTTTTTGAAAAAAAAAAAAAATTTAAATATAAGTTTTCTTTGCTTATTAAATATTTGGTGAATATGACTTGATACACTAAATAAGCCAAGGATTATTAAATCTGATATTGGAAATATCCTTTTAGCTTTTCGCAAAAAAAAAAAAAAAAAAAAAAAAACATTATAATGTTCAATTAATAATTAAGACTTTGATTGATCATTATTTATCGTTAAATATTTTTTCACATCTATAAAATATATAATTTTTTTTTTTATTTTCTTTAAAATCACTAAATTTAGTGATTAGCTCTTTCAATAACCAGTTTCTCTTCTGACTCTTTCACAGATCTCTTTAAAAATCTACCAAAAGTTGACAAAGTCTTGTTGCAAATTTCTAAAGCTTCACAAACTGTAGTTTCAGCCAAATGCAAATCTTATTAATGAAACGATTTTAAATTATCATATATATATATATATATATATATATGCTTTTTCTGTTTTACTAAGTTTCTATAGAATTAAACCTTACTATTTTTTTTATATCCCTGATTCAAATCAATTTTTTATGTTTCATTTCTTGTTAATCCATCTATTTCCGTCATTGTCTTGATATTATGAGAAGATTACCTTTATATACTACAGTAATAGAACCAATAAACAACATCAACTCTCTCTTTTGATAAATATAAAATAATTTATATATAAATTTAAACACATACAAAAAGAACAGAAATGTGTAAAAAAAAAAAAAGAAGATACAAAACAAAATATACGCCAAACACAAAATCAAAATGGGCTCAAAGAATATGATTTGCCTTTAAAAAAAAAGATACCAATTCCCGAATCAGAGCCCACTTCCATTTATCGGAGTTGCACATAGTTTCCAGGGAAAACACCAACCTGGCCATTCACACGACCAGTCCACCAACCATTAGCATCAGCAGTGCGCTGCACAATCTCAATAACCTCACCAGCCTTGAGTGGAAGATCTCCTTGTGCCTGTGGGGCATAGTCATAAAGTGCAGTGCAGTACTCTACGCCGGGAGCTGCGGCTGGTGCGGCTGGGGCTGCGGGTGCAGCAACTGGAGATTTGACATCGCCATACCCAGCAGGACCTGCAGCAACAGTAGTTCCAGGTTGGCCATAAGCAGGAAGAGTTGCGGCTGCCGGTGCTGCTGCTGCCGGTGCACCATAAGCTGCAGGAGCTCCGTAAGCTGCAGGTGCACCATACGCAGCTGGGGCACCATATGCTGTGGGTGCACCATAAGCAGCTGGAGCCCCATACGCAGCTGGAACCGCAGCGGCGGCAGCTGCTGGAGCCCCATATGCAGCAGGAGCTCCGTAAGCTGGCTGTTGGCCATAGGCAGGGTATCCAGCGGCAGCAGCAGCATTAGGATCATATGGTGGAGGGGCCGCATTAACAGTAGCAGCACCTTCCTCAGCTTCCGCCTCTTTGTCCTTGCCAAATTTCTTGCGTGTCATTTCAAGCTTAGCCTTTGCGTGGCCAACACGGAAATGGGTAATGGCGATAGCTTCAGTTTGTTCTTGGATATCACCACGCTTGGCCTGGAAAGCTTCTATAATGTCATTAGACAATTCAAAGTAAGGAATCTTCATTTCCTCCATGCGGGTATAAAGAGTGTAGAAAATGTTAAGCTGCATGTAGTAAAAACTCTGGAAAAGAGGACGAATAAAGTCAGATTCCAGCTGGAACAACTTGGGCAGCTCCTCCTTAAGCATTTCATTGTAGTAATTGTATTCCTGTGTAGCAATTTCAACATTGTTCTCCGCATTGTACAAGTTCTTTTCGTCCTTAGCAGTCGGTTCCTTCTTGTTTTGAAGCTTGGTCAGAGAATTGGTGTGACGATCCAAGTCAAGCTGCTTGTGATCTCTCTTTGTGGCCATTTTTCGAATAGCCTTGATAATGGTAAGTAATTCGTCTGCAGGGCCAATGATTCGTGTTTCAATCATTTCCAATTCCGGTTTAAGAGTATCTTGCAACTCCTTGACAACATCTCTGTATTGTTCACAAGCTTGAATACCTTCGGGATTACCTTCGGGCTTGGCAGCATTGGGGTCTGACATTTTACCCGAAATTGGTTTGTAAACTTCCTCGACGGCGCGAGAAAACTCAATTTGATGGTTTAGCATACCATTAATGGCTTCAAAGTACTTTTTAGATTCGCTGTGAAGCTTTTTTGTTTCGTTCTCAAGTTCCTTAAACCTTCGCTCAGCATCAATATAGACTTGGTCCTTAGTGGTTTCACCCTTTTTTTATAAACGTTAGAATTATTATTTTTTTAATCAATAGATTAGTAAAAAAAAAAACAATATCGCATACCATATTAAACTTTTGGCGAAAGCTTTGTGGGGCCTACATGAAAAAACGCGCAATGTCTCAGTTAGTATATCATCAAAAATAAAGATAAGTTTATTTCTTGAAAAAAATAAGTTCAAAAAGTAATCTTGACTACTTTTCAACCTGTCAAGAAAGAAGTGTTAATCAAAAGATTACACCAAGTAATGTTGTGTTAGTTGAGGGAATATCACCTACTCTGCTGATGGATTTTGTGAAACCTTTCCAACTCATTGTTATATCGAGTTCTTTTTTTTTTATTTACTGTACAGTTCTGTTTTGATATAAAAGATGACGATGAGTCAAAAATATATAAAGTATTGGATGATAGTTTAAGAAAAAGTCAAAAGTTGATAGTTAAAACGAAGAGCTCGTTTCGATATGCTTCTTTTTCTTCTCTGCTTTTCGTATTTGTGAATTGTAATAACTTAAGCACAAAATGCTCAGCGATTCAAGAATGAAAATGTCGTGTAAACCAAAAAAAAAAAAATAAAAATATATATAAATATAGTATTCACCAGAACCCCGGAGTGATTGTTATTTTTTTTTTTTTTTTTTAATAATTCCTTCTTTGTTGATAGTTGTAGGTAGTTGTTGTTGTGGTGGTGGTGATGGAAAAAGGAAGAAAAGAGACAGAAGAAAATAGGAAGCGGTAGCAAACACCTCACATCACAAGGAAGGCAGTGCAGGCTAGCCCATCAATTGACATCATTAAAAAAATATGATGTATGTATGTATCGTGACAACGTAGCTAAGCCTTAAGGCGCAATTCTTATGTTATCATTAGTCATTGCTTATTAAATATTGAAACTTTTTTTTATTCACCACCAAAATTTTTTTTTTTTTTTTCACTCACAGTACCACCACCACCACCACCACCACCACCTTTTATTTTTTATTTTTTATTTTTTTTTTGTGTAGAACCACCTCCATCCTTTTTTTTTGTTGAAATATTCAAAAAATCCAGAATCTCTAATTTATAACAATGTGGGCCTTAATACGAAACTCTTTTGCCTCAGCTCGTCCTGCTCTCAACACTTCTTCTTTTCTCCAGAACCCCATTCTTTCCCAGGTTCGGGGAATGAAGGTCAAGTCTGCCGTTAAAAAGTTCTGCACCGGATGCTACGTACGTTATTGAATTAATATCTAAATGATTAGATTGATCCATCTAACTTCTTGTTTAATAGATTGTCAGAAGAAAAGGCAGAACCTACGTTTACTGCAAGTCAAACCCCAAGCACAAGCAACGACAAGGTTAAATAACGATAAAAAACTTTCTCCACACTTTCATATATATACCCACCTTTTTTTTTGCTCTTGTAAATAATTAATCTTTTTTTTGTTGAAAACACAATTCATTTAAAACCCAAAATTTTTATTTCATTAATTTTCCCATCTATATATTTAAACCTATCTTTTATTAGTATTTTACGAAAGATATCTGTCGAGACTTTCACCAAGAACCTCCTCGACAACAGGAACAAGGTTCTTTGTAACTTCTTGTTCAACACTCTCCTCATCATCTTCCAAAAGCTCAGCAATGATGGGGACAAGAGGATTGAGCATAGGTACCCATTCTTCACCAAGCTTAGAATAAAGAGCCTTAAGTGTACGAATGGCCCAAATCTTTTCATTGACCTTGCAAGATTCCTTAAGATGCTTAACAACGCCATCATTGATGATCTTGTATTGCTCTTGCGCTGAAACAGTCTCGGCCAAAGCCACAACAGCCTTGACAAGAGCCTTACCTTGGTTGGGCTCAATAGTAGCGTACTGGCCAAGAAGAGATGTAGAAATCTTGTCAAATCTTGCAGAAGCCTGCCAAAATTCTTCACGATCGTATTGGAAGCATACTGCCAAAGTATGGAGAATAGTGGTGCGTAAAACATTGGACGCCTTGTTGTTAACAAGAGCTGTACGATTTTCAGCATTCAGGTAATCATCAAGAATATCGCAAGTAGCATCAACAACATATCCGTAATAGCTGGTAACAATAGATTTAAGACTACCAAACATTCTTCCAGAAAACTTGAAGAAAATGACCTTGCGTTGAACAGGATCAAAGGAAGGTGAGCTTCCTTCGCCATCAATAGCCCAGCGAACCATACGGACAAACAAAGGTCTGAAAGTCTTGTCATTAAGTTTCATGACAATTTGAAGACCAGTCTTGATCAAGGACATCTCAATGCGGTTGTAGGTGTTGGCATCATACTTGTCACCAAGTGTTCTAGCTTCAAAAGAAGAAAGCAAGAATTCGATAAGACCACCAGCAATGGAAGAAACAACCTTACGTTCAACAGAGCTCACGATAATGTCAATGGAAACCAAAAACAAATTGATTGCATCCCAGCTAGAATTAACTGCATATGTCCAAGACTCAATGTAAGCATTAAGAAGCTTCTTAGGGTCAATGTGATTGGAAAGAGTTTCTAAAAGTCTGAGTCTAGTATCAACATCAATAGTAGAGATGAAAACAAGCTTGAGAACCTTTGAAAGAGAAGTTGTCATGAAAGAAGGAAGTCTCTGCACAAGATTTGCAGTCAATGCAAAAGTAGAGATTTGAATCATGCGTGAATCATTAGCCGAAACGGTGGTATTCGGAGCAACGCTGTTTTCAAATCTTTCAAACAAAACAGGGATAATTTTGTTGAAAAAGCCAATGCTTCTGGCGCCAACAGCAGAAATAACACTGCTAATGGCGCCAACAGCAGAAACAAGATTGTCGACTTGAGCGCGCTTGATACCTTTGGGACCGACAGCAATGGAAACAACTTCAAGAAGCTCCTTAGGATCAAACTGCTCCCAATATTTGGAAACAATTCTGTCAAGGGCATCAAAAGACATTTGAATGATTTCGTCATTGTCGCTAGACTTGATAAGTTCCAAAATAGAAGTAAATGCATCACGAGCAGCTGCATTGGCATCATCATTAATGTAAGCCTCGATTTCAAACTTACTGCGAACAAGAGCCAAAGAGTTGATTTTAATCTTGTTATCAGATGAATTAAGAAGAATCTCACGGAATGTTTGAACAAATACATCAATAGGCAACAACTCAAGAATGCTATCCAATAAAGTGTAATAAGCCTTAGTAACAGGTCTGGTAATATCAGCATTCAACTTCAAACCTTGAACCTCGGGCAAGCTCTTGAGAATCAAGAAAATAGATTCCACAGAACTCTTCTTGAGCTGTTCTTGATCTTCTAAAGCAGATTTGTCAGCAAAAAGTCTGCCGATTGAAATACGAAGAGGATCAAAGTTTTCAGTGCTGACCTGCTCGTTGGAAATGATGAGGGAAAGAAACTCAAGAAGATGGCTTTTCAATGCCAAAAGACCAGGAGTTCGGAGCTCGACAACAGTTCTAAAAATTTGGCGACGCAAAAAGGGAGTTGCCTTTTCATTTCTTTCCTTAGCAGTGGGCTCCACCAAAGGAATTAAATTCAGAAACTCGAGATAACTGTGAATCATGACACCCTGATCAACAACAGAAAACCCACGGATAAAGGCATCAGCAAATTGAACAAGAGCCTTGGCTTCAGAGTTCTTTCGCTTGGTCTTAGCTTCGTGGTACTTTTCGCCCAAAAGATACAACAGTCTGTGAAGAGTATTAGAACCAAGAGTCTTGACAAGAGTACTGTAGAGTCTAATGCGACGGTGTCTTGGAATGTGGGAAAATGCAATCACAAAACTCAAAAATTGGAAATCAATTTCTTCGTCCTTGTTTTGAGTAGTGTTTCCAAGTAAAGCAGGGATGACCTGGGTGATTGTCTGCTGAATGACATAGGCTGAAAACTCATCATCTTGGCGAATAGTATTAGCACCCATAAATGTAAAGATGGGCATAACACTGTGCAGCACTGTATCGGAAGCCATTGGGGCCATGTTGGCAACCAAAAGAAGAAATCTGTTTTGAACTTGCTTGCTGTTGGAGTTGCGGATGCAGGAAACAAGAATGTCAAAACGCATACTGTTTGAGTCAAGTCGGATATTGGGCTGAGTCTTCAAGCTATTGACAAGATAAATCATGCAATTAGCCAAAACCTGCTCAGTGTAATCAACAGGAAGGTTGGAATCAGCACCAAGAGTCAAAATTTCACTGAGAATCGTAAAGAGTTGAGAAAGCAGGTGAACATTGGCAACAGGCTTGCTTTTCTCCATAATCTCCAAAACAAGTGTAGTTTTCTTGAGGTGACGCTCAGCGACCTGTGCAATCTCTCCAGTTCTAAGAAGTTGTTTGGCAGCACCACTGCTATGTCTTCTTCTCTTAGGAACAGAAGCTTGGGTATTGGCGTGACTTGAAGATTCAAGAGTGCATTCAGAAAGAATGGTTTCAAAAGTTTGAGCAGAAACTTGAATAGCGTTAAAGATATCGCTGCTATCAAAGAAGCAATCATCATCAAGAGTATGTTCAATAAGCAGCTTCAAAAGTTGGAGCTGGGTTTTGGGCTTGAATTCACTCCACAATTGGATAATCTTCTTAGTCACCTTTTCAGCAACAGATGGGACTCCAGACTTGATAGCCTCTTCCAAAAAGGTGATTCCGACGTTTTGTTCTCCAGAGGAAAGAATGTTAAAGATCTCATTCTCAAGGTCGTCGAACGAAGATTGGGTTTCTGTGCAAATCTTTTGATAAGAGTCACGTTCCTTAAACCAAGTCGATAAAAGAGGACCCAAAAACTTGGATTTTGTCTTTTGGGAAACATTAATTAAACGCAAAAGAGCAGTTTTTGGGTTGGGAATTTTGCAATAAACAGAGTGAGAAGCAATTGCAGCAAAGACTTCATTAGTAATAGCCCTTTGAGCTTTAGCATCGCTATTGAAAAGATCAGACAAAGAAGAAAGAACTTTTGTAGTGCTGAGCTGAATTTCCTCAGCATAGTTGAGAATGTGGTTTTTCAAGAAAGACTCGACATTGTCAATAGAACACCACTTGACTTCGCTGCTCTTTTCGCCAGATCCAAAAATATCCTCAAGACCCCAGACAGTAAAGTCTTTAGGAAGGGTTTCATAAGCCTTGACAATAGCCTTGAGAACAGCAATAGCGTTTTTTCTGACTCTTTCAGAATCATCAACCAAAGCAATCAAAGTAAAAGGAATAATACCCTGGTAATCGAATGCAGGCTCGGAGAAAATAAAAGATTGCATCAGCATGAGAGCATAGCCACGGGCGACAGATGCATATACGCCAGTCCAGATCCTTGCGAGAAAAGAAGGAACTTGGCTTGGTTTGAGCTTCAAAAGAGATTTGAGATTGTCCACAGTTTGGATTCTGTCCAAAGCAGAAGAAAAGATGGATCCTCTGATTTCGAACTCGTCATTGTTTTCAGAGTCGAGGTAAGAGTGAACAGAGGACTCGCTAAGAGCAGTTATTTGAGATTCGACAGAAGATGAAGAAGCTACTGATTTTTCAATATCTTCGAGTTCGATATCTTGGTCATAAGAATGGGGCAAAAGGCGGGAAACAAGAGAAGATTGCACAAGAAGCTCCAAAGCTTCGAGAGAAAGATCAAGAGATTCCAAAGCAGTTTTGAGAGCTTTTTCACTCTGCTCATTCTCAAGGAGAAACTCAACAAAGCGACGAAATGAAAATATGTATTCAGCTGGAACTTCGGAGTTTTTCAAAGAAGAGATGGCAGTTTCAACAACGGTGTTAAGCTGGTCTTCAGTTATATGACACTTAGTAATGATGTAAGAAACCTTTGACAAAAGTTTCCAGTTTTGGTACTTGAAGATTGAAAGTAAATAAAGGGTAGTAAAAGAAGAAATATTGTAAGATTGTCCAAGATGGACAAACTCATTGAGAATGGACTCGGAGTTGAGAGATTCCCAGGTAGACTTTTCAAAAACAGTGTCATCGTCAAGGCTCTTTGCAAGTTGTGTCACACAGGCAAGACCGCTTTTAGAGGCGTCTGGACTCCAGTTAAAGACAACAGACTTAATGGCAGCGTTTAAAACTTCACTGCTCAAATGAGTGATTGAGGCTAAAACAGATAAAATCATGTATGCAGCGATTTGAGCTTCGCTATGTTTTGTAAGGGGGATAACTTCAGAAATAAAGCTAATATATCTATCAATAATATCTTCATCTTCAACGCGTTTGTCCTTCATCAAAGTCATGGTCCAAATAGAAGTCGAAGACCAGAAAGCAAGTTGAAGTTGATATTCGCGATCACGCTTGATGGAATTTACAATGTAAGAGCAGACCAACTTTTGGAGCTCGGGATCTGCGGCCAAAGCGCGGACAAGCAGGGTTCTGCTGGGGTTCTTGACTGTCTTTTTGGAATGCATGAGGAAGTTGAATACTGGAGGAAGAGGGGTAGAAATAGTGTCTAGGATTCTAAGAAATACGGGCAAGGCGTAGTAGGGAAGAGCAGCCAATATCAGAGATTGAGCATTGTGGATGTGAACACTAAACAAAAAAAGTTAATATGGATGTGATGAGTGCATCTTTAATACATACTGGAATCTTCGAACAAGCCATTCTAAAGCAGTAATGGCAGGTTTAAGATTGAGTCTGGGAGCAACGAGCAAGAAAAACTCTTCGATGGCCTTGTCCAGTAATGTGTTTTGCTCAGCAGTCTAAAAAGTTGTTAGTATGGATGTAGATTGAATTAAAAAAAAAAAATTCTGATGTACCTGAGTATTTCTGTCGACAGTAATTGAAGTTTCGGAAAAAATATTGCTTCTGAATGCAGAAAATCGAGGGTCAATCAACTCGAGTTCAGAAAGACCATCACTGGAAAAACTAAAGATGGTTTCATAGTCTTGTCCAGCAGCTTGTTTAGGATCGAATATTAAGGATTTGGAGTGGATGGCCTTTTGCTTCTTGCGATCAAGCACCACGGTATTGTTGGCGCTAATCCGAGCGAGCTGAGATGCCAAATCAGAAACCATTTTGTAAATAAATCTAGGAGGTATAAAGGTATGGCTATTTGAGGGGGGAAATGAATCCGAAGCTGAGAAAAAAATAGCAAAGGTCTTTTGTGACAAAAAGGACTTGCTTAATTTTAATTATTCGGAATCCTCGCTGGGGGCGTAAAAGAAGGTTTATAAAAAAAAAAAAAAAATTTCAGCCCAAATAATCCCACGTTTAAAAAAAAATTTTTTGGGTAATCAAAAAGGGCAGTAACCCTAGCCCATTGCTTATTTTGTGCCTGCGGCGTTAAGTGTCGCCATTTTCAAATCTCATTATAATCATCGTAATTATGAAGCAAAAAGATTCAAGAAGTTTTCGATAAAAGTTGGAAAAAAAAAGATTTTGAAGATAATAATTTTAAAAATTAAAAAAATAAAAGAATTAAAATTTATTTTTTAAAATTTATCTTTTAAAATTTATTTTTTAAAATTTATTTTTTAAAATTAAAAGATAGATCAACGGATCAATGTTTGAAAATTTTGTACGATTGAATATAATAATAACATATAATGCTCATGCAAATCGTTTTGTATTTTTCTAAATCATTTAAAAAAAAATCATTACATTTAAAATTTCAATAATATTACCCAGCATTAACTATTATTTATATTTAACTTTTTATTTATATTTTTAAATACTGAAATCCAAACTCCAATTAATCGTCGAGCCCCCAAATTCTATTTCTTTTCCTCTTTGCATTTACTCCTGAAATTTTTAGTAGCCGCACAAAGCTATCTGCTATAAAAAATATTACATAATCTACACGTGACCTATTGACAAAAATTTTTTAGATTTTTTTTTTTTTTTTTTTTTTTTATTTTAAAGAAGAAAGAAAATCTTTCATCAAACCAGTTCTTTTAACAACACACAACGCCGCCATGGGTAAAGCTCAGAAGAAACACGGAAAAGGTCGTTTAGATAAATACTACCGAACGGCCAAGGAGAAGGTATGATTCTAAATTTTTATTTTTGTTTTATTTATAAATTAACACGCTTTTATTTTTTCTGTTAGGGTTATCGTGCTCGTTCTTCGTTCAAAATCATTCAAATTAACGACAAGTTTGGTCACTTTTTAGAAAAGTCACGATGCGTTATTGACTTGTGTGCTGCCCCTGGTTCATGGTGTCAGGTTGCTGCCGAGAGATGCCCTGCAAATTCACTTATTATTGGTGTCGATTTGGATCGCATCAAACCTATTCCTAACGTCATTACTTTCCAGTCAGATATCACCACTGAGCACTGCAGATCCGAGCTCCGTGCTTATATGAAGACTTGGAAGGCCGATGCTGTTTTACACGATGGTGCTCCTAACGTCGGTAAGGACTGGTCTCAGGATGCATTCACCCAGTCCGAGCTTGTGTTGCAATCTTTGAAACTGGCTATTGAGTTTTTGAGACCCAATGGTATTTTTGTCACCAAGGTTTTCAGATCTAAGGATTACAACAAGCTTATGTGGATTTTCCAGCAGTTTTTTGAAAAGGTTGAAGCCACCAAGCCTCCTTCTTCAAGAAATGTTTCTGCTGAAATTTTCGTTGTTTGCCGCAACTTTAAGGCCCCCAAGAAAATCGATCCCAAGCTTCTTGATTCCTCCTATGTCTTTGAGGATATCCAGCAAGTTAACAATGAGAGTTTTGAGAAGCTTTTGAATCCTGAGAAAAAGAAGCGCAAGCGTGAAGGTTACGAGGAGGGCGACTACACACAGTTTCACGATGTTTCTGTGATGGAATACATTAAGACCAAAGATCCTGTTCAACTGTTAGGCACCAAGAGTGCTTTTTCTTTTGACAAGAAAGATCCTGAGCTGAAACCAGTTCGTGATCTTGAATCAACCACTCCTGAGTTGCTGGAGTGCATGAAGGATTTGAAGGTTCTTGGTCGACGAGAGTTCCGTCTACTTCTTAAGTGGAGAAAGGAGGCCAGAAAGGCAATTGGTCTTGACGCTAAGCCTGAGGATGAGGAGGCCAAGGCAGAAGAGCCTGAGGTTGATGAGGAAACCCGCATCGATAATGAGCTGGAAAATCTTAAGGAGAAGGCCCAACAAAAGCAAAAACGCGAGAAGCGAAAGCTGAATGAGAAGAAGCAAAAGGAAATTGTCAAGATGCAACTCGACATGGTTTCTGATATGCGTATGGGTACAGAAGTTGATGATCAGGGCAAGTCTCTTTTCGATTTAACTGCAGCTGAAAGAACAGGAAAGATCCCAACACTGTTAAAGGGAAAGAAGGCTCTGCTGGACTCAGAGGAGACCCGTGATGACTTGGAGGTTGCCGGTATTGAAAAAGCCAGTGACCTTGCTCAGTTCCAATACGACGATCGATCCGACGCTGAGGTTGTGGACGATATGGAGGATGAGATGGATGCTATGTACGAGGAGTTTAAGGAACGTCAGGCACAAAAGAGCTCAGCTTATAGATCTAAAAAGGCTAGAGAATCTGGTTATGATGAGGAGTGGTACGGTATTAAGGAAAATGGCAGCGATGATGATGATGACGATAAAGATGGTGTGAGACTTGAGGATGACTCTGATGAAGAAGACTTTGAGTCTGATGAAGAGGGTTACTCTAAGAATATTATCAATACTTTAAAACCAAAGACTACTGCAAGCGGTTTGAGTAGCAAAGCTGCACTGTTTTTCACTGATCCTTTGTTTAGAGATGTTGATTTGACTGCGTCTTCAGAAGCTCCTTCTAAAAAGACAAGCTCCAAGGGTGGAGATGAAGACCAGGAGGATGATGATGATGAGGGTCAAGAGCAAGGAGAGCAAGAAGATGATGAGGAGAGTGAAGATGAGATTGACTATCTTTCTGATAGCGATGATGAAAAAGATCAAGAAGGAAAGGAATGGGATGAAGGTGATGAAGAAGAGGGGTCTCCTGCTCCTGAAATCGTTACTGCCCAGGCCATGACTATTGCTCATGATCTTGCATTGGGCAACATCAACAAGCATAGACTTATTGATGAGGGTTTCAACAGATATGCATTCCGTGACAGAGATGGTCTGCCAGAGTGGTTCCTTGAGGATGAGGAGAAACACAACCGAGTTCTCAAGCCTGTGACTAAAGAGGCTGCGGAAGCTGTCAAGGCCAAGCTCAAGGCTCTGAATGCACGACCCATCAAGAAGATTGCTGAGGCTAAGGCCCGCAAGCAAATGCGACGCGTCAAGCGTCTGGAGAAGCTGCGCAAGAAGACTGATCTTATTAATGAGGATGACGCATTGTCTGAACGTGATAAGGCTGACGAGATTTCCAAGCTGACCAAGAAGCTGGCTACTTCTAAAAAGAACAAGAAGTCTGATAAGCCTAAGGTTAAACTTGTTGTGGCCAAGGGTGGTAACCGTGGTCTCAAGGGCCGACCTAAGGGTATCAAGGGCAAGTATAAGATGGTGGATGGTACACTCAAGAAGGAGCAGCGTGCACTGAAGCGTATTCAGAAGAGCCGCAAGAAATAAGTGTTTAGTTGATGTTTTTTTTTTTTGTTATTAAATATACTACGCATATAATAATAGCTTTAGACCAAAATAATGCCAAAGATTTTACATTGATTTCAAGTTTTTTTTTTTTTTTTTTTTTCTTCTATATATTTTTGACTGGTCATAATAGCATAATGGTGATGATTTCATTAAAAACCTCAAAGTATGCCGACATGAAAAATTTTAGTTGCATTTTAGGGGTGGAAGCAGTACTGGCCGGCTGGCTACAAAAAAAAATTTAAATAAAAAAAATTTTCTGGAGAGAAACAGCCAAGTGAAAAAAAAATTTTGTAAAGGATGGAGAAGTCAATGCTGGCTAAAGATTTGTAAGAATTCCATGCTGGCTAGTGTTTTTTTTTTTTTTTTAAAAAAAATTGTTTGTATATATATATAATATCTACATTTATATATAAATATCAACCAAAAGTCCCCTTGAAAATCTGGTCTTATTTGTTTGTTTGTTGTGAATCTCACTAAATACTTGTCGCTATACAACTTTATTAAGAAGAAGAAAAATAAAAAAAAAATTAAAAAATAAAAAAATAAAAAAAAATTTTTTTTTTTAATTAGTCCTTCCCAAAACAAACCCAAAAAAAAAAAAAAAAGATTTCCCAAAAATTCTGCCACACCTCTCCAGCAAACTTTTTTTTTAAAAATATTATTGCTGCTGCCTACTCGAGGAACCCCTTTATATTAAAAAAAAATTTAAAGAACCAAGATCAATATTAGACTTATTTTTACTCTTTCTTACATAGCTATGGCTGCATCCTCTGTGGTTTTACCCAAACGCACCTCCGACGTTATGGAGCAGCTCAAAGTTGCACGGCTCGACTTTGTGTCGGCCAAGTTTCCAGAAGCTGTTTCAACACGCCCAGCGTCGTATATCCATATTAAACCCAAAATACCCCAAGAAGAAGATAGTGAAGAAGAGCAGCTGCTCAAGAATGATGGGAGTGACGGTGACTCTGCCACAGCTTCTGATGAATCGTCCAAGAAGCATACCGAAAGCGAGCAGTCTGATGTTGACATGTCGGAATTTGAAGATGCGATTGATTTCTCTGGCCCCGTTCAAAAAAATAAGAAGAAAAATGTTATTTCTAAAAAAGCTGAAAATATAAAGTCTGAATCTAGCTCAGAAGAAGACGAGAATGAAGAAGACGAAGAAAGCTCTCAAGATGATGATGATGAGAATACTGAAGACGAGTCTGAAGACGAGTCTGAAGACAAACCTCCCATAGAAAATACAAACCCTTCCGAATCAACAGCCATTCCAGGAAAAGAAGCAGTCCTCAAGAAGGAAAACTTTGAGTATATGACTCAAAAGGAAAAGATCTTGTCGCGGATACAAAAGGAAGATGATTACTTCCGTATGGTGAATAAAAAGTACACGTTTACAGAGCCCAACACAGACCCCAAAGACCGCGGCTCGCGTGCCGAAACTAGCCGCGTTATGAAGACTTTCCCCAAGAATATGAGCGCGCCGCGAGGCCTTATCAACAATGGTGTGACTTGCTACATGAATTCTGCCGTCCAGGCCCTGATACATGTTCCAGCCATGGCACGGTATCTCACAGCTGTAAATAAGGGTGAATACAAAGATACCATCAGCCCTCGCTCAGTGACCCGCGACCTCGCACATTTGTTTGCACGCATGACGGATGGATCTAATGGTCGCAAGAGCATCTCGCCAAAACAGTTGATTCGAAGGCTAGACGAAATCAATCCGCTCATGTCTGAGTGGAACCAAGAAGATGCACACGAGTATTTTATGTCACTCATTGGGCGGCTTCAAGAAGACTCTGTACCTAAGGGACAGAAGCTCAAGTCGTCCATTCTCCACGAAATGTTTGGAGGCACTTTCCTTCAAACAGTGGTGTGTCAGGAATGCAAAAACAAGTCTGAAACTCACCAGGACTTTTTTGATATTCAAGTCTCAATTGACAAGCACGAGCTCAAGGTAATGGGCAAGTCGACCCTCCGCGGAAGTCTGCGGCAATACTTTGACCAGTCGTTTATTAAAAAGTCTAAAAGCGAGGGCTACGATTGTGAAAAGTGCAAGAAGAAGACGAGCGCATCCACAATCCAGCGCATCGAAGAGGCTCCAGAGTACTTGATTCTTAGTATCAAACGCTACGAGTACACGTCGAACCGCAACTCGAGCCAAAAGATTAAACAACATTTGGCCATTGCTCCTACAATCGAGCTAACGCAATATGCCGTCAATGAGGAGCCTATGCGGTACCAACTTGTGGCCTTTACTGTCCATGAAGGCCGCTCCGCTAGCAGTGGCCATTATGTTGCATACTGCATGCAGCCCGATAATACTTGGGCACTTTACGATGACGATTACGTTCACCAGCTTTCTGCCAATCAAGTGTATCGTTCCAAGGATGATGTTTACTTTTTAGTTTACACGCGAGTACGCGCAACACTCAAGGAAGGTGAAACACGTGAAGCCACGCCACCTGTTTTTATGAATGGTCTTGCAGATGAAGACAATGAGAATGAAGAAGGTGATGAAGATGACGATGAAGAAGATGATGATGCTGAAGAGGGGGAGACTGGGAAGATTTCAAAAGTTCAGATTAGCAGCAAGAAAGCTAAGAAGATGAAGAAGAACACAGACCCCTCTGGACTCTCTAGAAAACTTTCTAATTCGTCACCTAAGGGTCACCGGTTCCCACTTGCTAGAAAGAACAGCGGCGACTCGATTTCGTCAACATCATCAGTACGCAGTAGTGGTAAGATTAAAAAGTATGGCAAGCGACACCTACGCAAAGGCTCATTTGGAAGTGCGGTGCAGTCACTGACACCTGTGAACAATTTGAAAAAGTCGCGCAGTGCACCTGCCGGAATGAATGAGCTGGGGTCACAAAAGGATGGCGAAGGATCAACTTCCAAGTACTTCTCCAAGAATAATAACCACCATCATCAATCAGGGAAAAATGCCTTTTCCAAGCTTGCAGAAAAGTTCAGGCTAAACGGTGCAGGCAAGAAACGTAACGTGGCTGCCACTGTGAATTCCAAGGAAGAACTGAATCGTCCTGGATCTAGTAATAGTGATTCCAGCCAAAAGAAACGCAAGCTGGATAAAGACATTGATGATATTTTCAACCGACTTTAAAAATTGGTTCTTTTTTTTTTTTTCACAGTGCATGTTTCTGTTGTTTTTTTATTCTTCTGTTTGTTCAAAAAAAAAAATAAAAAATAAAAAAAAATCTCTAGATTATAATAAAAAAAATGTTTTAATAATATATACAAAAGTTGATTTTTTTTTTACACTTTCTCCTCAGTAGAAGATTCAATGGACTTTTCAGTTTTCTCGGGCTTCTGAGCCTTAAGCTCGACAAACTTAGCCTTAAGGTCTGCATCGGCATCGTAAATGCGCAGCTTGCTAGCAATACGCTCGTCGACACCCAAGGGCCAGATCCACTCGGAATTGTTGTCGAGCGCCTTTTGGCGCCAGCGAGTAGGCCAGTCTGCAGTTTCCTCAACAACAAGGCTATCAACATCGGATTCCCGGTCATTGGGTTCAAACTCTTGGTTTTCGGAGCCACTGTAGAAGGGTCTAAAGACATTGTAAACAACAACAGCAGTGGACTCGCCAAGCTTATCGGAAAGATTGTGGCGAGAAAAGAAGCGCTTCACACGAACAGGAATGCTAAGGAACCCGAGAACATGACGGTGCTCAAGAACAGCAATGGGCTCACTAACTTCCTCAGGTGAAGCAGCAAGTAAATCAGAATCAGATCCAGGAGGAAGTTCAGGACCCCAGACCTTGGGTCCTCGGTTCATGCCGAGAATGTAAGGCTTAGTCACAGGAGGACGTTTATCCTTGGGTTCTTCTTCCTTGACAGGTTCCTCAGCTGAAGCTTCCTCAGTTGAAGCTTCAACAGCCTTGGGCTTTTCTTCTTCATACCCCATAATATCGCGCTCGTCAGCATCCTTGTCAGGGAAAGCGGCAGCGTCTTCTTGTTCCTTTTCAGTGGTCTTAGCAATTGGAACAGGAGAGCTCACAATCTGCTGGGTGGTAGAAGCCTCAGTGACATTGTCAAGGGACTCCACAACAGCAGGTTGAAGTTCTTCCACGGGCTCAGCAGGAGGATCAAGGGGACCTAGCCAGCCCTCTTGAAGACCATTGAGGTATTCCTTGTACGCACCACGACCAATGCAGATGACACCGCCTGTGGGGTCGCGAGTGATGCCGAGCTCAGCCTGACGCTCAACGTCGTCTTTGAAGAGCTTTGGGTCTGGTGGAGTTTCAGGAAGACCCTTACTTTTTCTGCGCTTGTTACGGATTTCTTCGGCAACCATGGCACGAATCTCGCCTTGCCGGCTCTCAGTGCGAACGGTATAGTCAACAGCAGCGGCTGTAAGAACAGGCTTGATGTATTGGCGGAAATGAGCCTGGGTTACGTCAAGGTAATCATTGGGTGGTGGAGTCATGTACACAGTGACTTTACGTGGGAGTTCCATGGTATCAAGAGGAGTTGTCGCAAATGAAGCAACAGTGTCTTTCCAGAATTGACGTCGTGTTTTGCGCTCATGACGATCATAAACAATCAATCCAGTAACACCACCAACAACAGCCCAGAAAATGCACCAATTGCGCGACGGCAGGCGGAGACGAGGAATACCCATGGCCTGAAGAGCAGGGTTGGTGTAGCCCTTAGATTTAGGAGGTTTAGGAACAGTAGAAGCTGTAGTAGAAGCAGCCGGCTCAGTAGCTGCTGGAGCAGCTGCCGGAGGAGCTGGTTCGGTAGGTTTGGAATCCATTCTTAATGTTTTGTTGTTTACCTGTGGTTGAGATATCGTGGGATATTTCAATGGAGGTTATGTATGAAAAAAAAAAAAAAAATTTTGCAAAAAATAAGTGTAATTACAAAATATTGTTACAACTTTTCAATTTCTTTTTATGAAAACTATTTTAAATCCATATTATACGCTTATTTTATTTATTATTTTATTTATTATTATTTTTTTTTGTTTACGCCTGCTCACCAGGAACAGGGAAGGTCTTTGCCCACTCAGTGACTTCGGTCTTGAGCTGCTCAATCTCGGGATGGTTTTCAGCATGGCCACGGAAGTCAGCAATTTTAGTCTTCTCGCCCTTGGCGGCAACATCAGCCTTGATTTGGGAAGTAATCTTGACGGCCTTGTCAATGTACTCAGCGACCTTTTCAAAGTCAGCAGCAGTGAAACCACGGGTAGTCATGGCAGGGGTACCAACACGAAGACCACCAGGAACAAGAGCAGATTTGTCACCAGGAACAGTATTCTTGTTAGCAGCAATGTTGATCAGCTCAAGGACGGTCTCGACACGAGCACCATCAATCTTCTGAGGCTTGAGATCAATCAGAATGAGATGGGTGTCAGTACCACCAGAGACAAGCTTATAGCCGCGAGCCTGGAGAGCCTTGGCAAAGGCCTGGGCATTATCGACAACAGATTGCTGATATTGCTTAAACTCTGGGGTAGAAGCCTGGCCAAGAGCAACAGCGAGAGCAGTGATGGTGTGGTTGTGGGGGCCACCTTGGTGACCGGGGAAAACGGAAAAGTTGATCTTGGACTCGAGGTCGTAAAGAATTTCACGGCCCTTCTTGTCGGTTTTGCGGACACCCTTGCGGAAGAAGATCATGGCACCACGGGGGCCACGAAGAGACTTGTGAGAGGTGGTGGTAACGATATCGGCGTACTCGAAAGGTGAGGGGGTCACACCAGCAGCAACAAGACCAGCAATGTGGGCCATATCAGCCATGAGGTAAGCATCGATATTGTCAGCAATCTTGCGAAAGCGAGAGTAATCAATTGCGCGACTGTAGGCAGAAGCACCGGCGACGATGATCTTGGGTCTGAAAAGCTTAGAGGTGGTCTCAAGGGTTTCAAAGTCAATGACACCGGTTTCCTCGTTAAGACGGTATGGCATGGTTTGGAAATACTTGGAAATGTAAGAAATCTTCTTGGAAGGGGTTTGGTAACCATGGGAAAGATGGCCACCATGAGGAAGATCGAGACCCATCAGACGGTCGCCAACTTCGAGCAGAGCAGAGTAGGTATAAAGGTTTGCTGGAGCACCAGACAGAGGTTGAACATTGACACCCCAGAGCTCGGGATCGAGGTTGAAGGCCTTGAGGGCGCGCCGCTGGCACAAACGCTCTGCCTGGTCAATGAACTGATTGCCACCGTAGTAACGGGCACCGGGGTAACCCTCAGAGTATTTGTTTTGCATTTCAGAGCCAAGAACGTCCATGACAGCGCGCGAGGTGAAATTCTCGGAAGGAATCAAGGTGATTGATTCCTTTTGGCGCTGACGTTCGCGCTCAACAATGGCAAAAAGCTCAGAATCGACTTCTTGAACAGGAGAAGAGATAAGCTGGGGAAAAAATTATTAGAAATGATGAATGGACTATGATTGATGGAAATCAAAAATGATAAAAAAAAAAGACTTACATGAAGCTGGTCCTTTGTGAGACTGTATGATCGGATCTAGAATTATGAATGTTAAAAACTGGAATAGAATAATGCCAAACAAAAAAAAAAAAAAAAAAAAACAGGGCATACTTGAGAAGCGCGTGAGAGCACCGGAGCACGGAAGCTCTTTAAGAGGGATTGACGGAGCGACAGCATTGATGGATATGGATTGAGGTGTATATTGGGATATATACAGAGTGTTCTTTGTATTTTTTTGTTTAAAGAGATTGGTGGTGATGAAACGGGAATTTTTTTTTTATGTGGATGGTGCAGTCCAGGGCCTTTTTATAGTTTGATGGGCCCCCAGCCGTGACTCTACATTGAAAAAAAAAAAAAATTTTAGGTGTAGAGAAGGGTTGATGGGGGGCCTGAAATCCCGACTCAATAACCGTGTTAAATATTTACACGGTAACAAACCCGAGTTAATCACCGAGTTAAAAGACCGAGTAGATACAAGTTTGGCACGGTGATGTTGAAAGATAAGCGATAAGATTTGATTGATTGTAAAAACAAACAAAAAAAGCGCATTTATTACAGCAATTCTTAATTTTGTTTTTTTTTTAAAATTTTTTTTCTAAGCACCGATGTAGTTATCGGTACACAACCCGATGTTCCGTGCGGCTGTTGTTTATTGTTCAGATGGCAGGCTTCTTTAATGTTGGGCTGCTGTTGGGGGAGGGGCGGGGTGGTGGCCATTCAGCCTTTTGGTCTGAGCAGTGTGTCTTTTCAACCCTTTAAAATTTACCCAACCAACAAACCTTCTTTTTGCCATTTTTTTTTTTTTCCCTTTTCTCCACCACAACTTTAACTTCGCCTTGTTATATATATATACACACATCAAACATCAGCATTATATAAAAACTTGTCTTTTTTTAAACGTGCACGGTCATGAGCTTTCTTTTCAAGAAAATCAATCCGTTTGCGCGAAAACCACCCGAGACCTCTAGCGGAGAAGACTTTCATGACTCGCAACAGCTAGACTCAAAGGGTTGTGCTCGGGACGACCCCCTCAGCGAAGATCCCGACCCGAATGCTTCAGCCTCCCCATCTTCTCCGCATGACCATCGTAAAAGCAGTGTCGCACAAGAGTTTTCGCTAAGTGACAACCCGACTCCACTCATACCGGAACGCTTTGCGCGTATTGTCTCTACCCTCTCGCGTGGGTCTACCATCACCCTTCGTCTAGGGACATATTTGGTGTCATCTTTCCTTGATTCAGCTCGTATTGGCACCTTAACTTCACTCTCGGTAACCTCTGGAGCCATTGAAAATCTGTTACTACGGGCCCAGCACGATGCAAACGTAGCTTCTAGTCATCCAGAATCTTCTGATGATTTAAGTACTTCAATATCAAACTCTCCAGCAGCATTAATCACATCCAATAGTCTCAATATGGTAAATCGAGCCGCCACCCTCGCTCAACTCTTTACTGCTGCATCATTCCACTTGGCGTCGACCTCACTTCAAACAGCATCTGGCATGGCCCAGGATACTCTTCACATTCTTGACGCTATCTTTGGCTCTACAGAGTCGTCCCGTGCGCTGGCCGCCATTATTTCACTTATTCGCAGAGAATTTGGCGACGGCTCTGGCATCTACTCACTCGTCACTGGCCTGACGTGTTTTTCTATTCTTCAGTCGCGCGGGTGGAGCCGAACGGTTGATGAGATTGAAATGTTTATTCTTTGGGATGTCGTGGTTCTTGATACTGGCGAGACCTTGTCCCAACAGTTCCCTTCAACCTTGCAGGAGCCCAAAAAAACTGATGAGGATTCTATTCTTGCCGCCATTCCACCAAATGCCCAATACAAGGTTGCTATTGATGAAGTCAAAACCAAAACTTATAACATTGATGTGCAAATCCCAGCAAACAGTTCTGCGGCTGCTGATGCAGGTTCTTCTATTCATATCCAACTACCCAAAGGTGCCACTGTTCTACACCAAGAATTTGTACCTGCTGAAAAGGAAGGTGAGGGCTCAAAATACAACATTACTTTCCAAACAACATCAAACTACTTTCGCGAGCGCAAGGGCACTCTATCTAAAGAAGACGACTCACAAAATACAGAAACTAACGGGAAACAACATGATTCTGGCAATGGTCTTAGTCTCAGCAGTCTTGCAGGAATTTCCAATCTTTCCCAAGTTGCTGGAAATGGCTCTGTTACTGCAGCCCAGTTCATTCCAGACCCTACAGCAGTTTCAATCAAGACTCGACCGCCATCGCCTTCTCTTCCTGATAATTATGATGACGAACCTCCATCTTGCATTAATGATCGACGGTATTCGTTCAACAATCCACTGATTTTAGAAAACATTTATAATGAAATGCAAAGTGATGACGATGACGATGACGACGACAATATTAGCATTGACGATGACTTAACATCCGATGAATATTCGGAAAATGGTAATGAAGGCTCCCTTTTAAATGGAAATCACCCAAATTCTGACTCTTCTCTTTCCTCCACGACTTTTGTAGACAAGCCAATAAAACATACCCAGAGCTTCCCGGAATACCCAGAGCTTCCTCTCCATAATCATCACCATAGTCTTTCCCGCCGAAATACTCTCAAATCTTCATCATCCTCTTCTTCCATTAATTCCAACAAGGATCAGCTTTATCCGGGAAACATCAACCGACGAAGTTTGACAAGACTATCCAGCATGACTCGGCTTTCCAACTTGACTCCTTCTGCATCTTCGGGTCAGTTGGCAGGTCGCAGCAACTCCCAAGTTAGTCTCTGCACATCATGCCCCAAGGGCCGACAAGCAACCAACAATAACAGCAGCGCCGCAAGCATTAGAAGCTGCAGCGTGGATCCGATTCGCGGACCAATAACTGCTTCCGATCCTTTGTTTATCGAGCCTGAACATTCTCAGCAACAGCATACAATGAAACGGTTCCCACCGGGCCACATTACTGCAAATATGGCCAAGTACATGAGGTTTGCGACGGCGTCGTATGGCCAATCGTTTATGTACGTTTTAGGGATGGGCAAGTATGCTAGTAATTACACGGGCGATCCATCGCATCATTCTGAACATTATGCGTTTGCACATCACACTGGTTTGGATTTGGATGACATTGTTTTGTCCAGTTACTCTGACAGTGCGGTTAACGACAGTGCGGGAATTCCACTTGTTCATTTTGTTGCGCTTGATCATGCGGCCAAGGCGGTTGTTTTGACAATCCGAGGTACTCTTGGGATTGAGGACATTTTGACAGACTTAACATGTGATTACGAAACAATGGTGTGGCAAGGTACGGAATGGAAGGCCCATGGAGGGATGCTGAGATGTGCACAAGTTTTGAAGCGACGAACAAGCCGGGTTTTGACAACCATAAAACAAGCATTAGAGACTTGGGGTCCCGAATATGGGCTTGTTATTTGTGGCCATTCCTTGGGTGGAGGAGTTGGAGCGATTTTGGGGATTTTGCTAAGTGAGCAGAATGAACAAGGTGTTTTTGTGACGGCACCCGGAACTAGTTTACCAGCTGGGCGACGTGTTCAATGTTTTGCTTATGGGCCTCCTGGGTCGATTTCTGAGGATTTACGCAAGAAAACTCGTGTGCTGGTGACTACGGTTGTATATGGCTTGGACATTGTACCTTGTTTGTCTCTAGGAGTTTTACGAGATTTCCAATCAGTAGCTCTTGCGTTTAAGAATGATCGGGATGGGGTTGCTCATGACATCCGTAAGCGATTTTTGGCACAGTTTGCTTCGCGCCATAGTCATTTGGTAGTACACGATGCGGATGACGATTACTTGTGGAACCTTCTCAAGAGACTGCGTGGTGTGATGCAAAGTGAAAAGCTGGTACCTCCTGGTGAGGTGTACCATATATCAACCAACACAGTGTTTGAGACGCATGATGGTAAAACGAAACGGGCGACGCGGATTATTGGCAAGGTAATTGTGGATGTGCAGAAGCGATTTGGAGAGCCTGTTTTTGGACGGGGGATTTTCCATCATTCGCCGGTGTATTATGAGCGAGCCTTACAAACGTTGAAGATGGGTGTGTGCAATGCACCTGTTTAAAGATGGACAAAAAAAAAAAACAAAAACAAAAGAAACAATAATAATAATGACAGTACGAAATGTTTACTTTGGAATCATGAACTTATATTAATATAGTAATAATTTGTGAGTTGTTTTTATTTTATTTTATTTTATTTTATTATTTTTTTTTTTTTTCAAGTATAGAATGGACTTTATTTGGAAGTCAATTTTTGACGTTTTTTCTGAAGCTTTTCTTGTCGCTTGGACATTTCTGGGACGGCAGCATCACCATGGGCTGCGGAGTTGAAAAGTCCCCCTTTAGCTCCAATGATGAGTCCGTAGACTTTATAAGAAGCATATATAGGGATTGAAAGATAAAGATACCAGACTTTATGAGAGTTGAATATGACTGAAAGGATATCACAGAACCAAGTTACGTAGATGACATCATGAAGCCATTCTGTGAGACCTTCTGCAGCGAGATCTTCACCGGGATAGACCAAAGTTCCCTGGCCTTGTGGGGTTCCACGTGCTTCTGGAGGGACTTGGGAGGTATCATAACGGGGGCGACCCATACGTTCGAGCTGGAATTGAAGCAGCAGTGCTGGCAGCGAGAAAAGCAGGAATGGTTTTAATGAAAATGGTCTGTGAAGGACGAAAAAGGATAAAAAGACAAAGCCATTGACAGCAAGAGAAGCCAGGTGCATCTGTTTAAGAGCAGCCTTATTTGCGATGGCTTGTTTTTTGGCAGAAGCGTTAGCCATTGTTGTGTTTGTATTGGGAATCAGAGTCTAAGGACCTATTAGTGTTGTATTGGGGAAGATTGGCGATGCTGCTGGTGATTAAATGATTTTTTTTTTTTTTTTTTTTTTCAGTAATACGCAGATATATTTATATTGACGGGTTACTGTCTTGCTGAGAAAAACAATGGAAGATATGTGAAGGCCCTGCAGAGAAAGAGATTTATAAGCAGTATTATGTGTTTTAGTAAGATATTTGTCACGTGATATAATTTATTATGTTACAACTTATTTATATGACATTACACTTTTTTAATTATAATTATAATTATAATTATTATTATTATTTATAAATTAGCGGCTTAAACAGCGCATAGACCGGCACACTACGGCAACTAGTAAAGAATCGAAATGACCCGGGAAACAACTATAACTTTTAAAGATATATTTAAAGCTAAATATTAGGTCCGAAAGTACCGAGTTTCATTTTCATATATATATATATATATATTTTTCCCCCCAGAAACAATAATAATAGTAATAAGAATACACGTGTAACTAGAAATCAAATGACGGGATCATTTCTTAAAAACTAAAGTTCCATTGGCGGCGCCTTTAATAAAAAAAATAACTAGTTAGCCAGTTACAGTTAATTTAACTTTAAAAAAAAAACAAAATTTAACGGCTAGAGAAGCCTCGTTAAAAAAAAAAATACTTTAGATATTAAACAATCAACAGCCACGTATTTGCTATACTTTATATATACATAATAGTATATATAATATATATTTTATTATTTACTATACAGAACAACCCTTCCCCCCCCTTTTTTTTTTGTTTATTTATTTATTTTTTTTATTTCTGCCACCTACACAACAATTCAAAGACACCTTTTTTTTTTTTTTTTTTTTTTTTTAAAAAATTTATTTTAACAACCACCAAAAAAAAAAACAGCCCCTTCATTTGACATTTTTGATAACCATTCATATACATTTATACAACTAACTACAACTACAACTATTACTGCTAATATTCATTTTTATCAAATAAACCAGTAGTAGTAATAGTAATACCAATATCAATACTAATACCAATAATAATAATAATAATATCTCACATCATTCCTTTTCTATCTTTAACTCCAGTAAATAATGGCTGACGACTCAGAGCCGGCTGCTCCTGCTCCTGCTCCTGTTGCCGCTGAGCCAGAATCAACTTCAGATTCCTCTCAATTGCAAACAACATCTAAGCCTACCGAGACTTTGGAAAATTCTCAAGAATCAACTTCAGAAATCAATGAAGAAAAGGAGGTTAATGAAAATGACAATGCCAATGACAATTCCAATGACAATGAAGATGAAGAACCTCCAGCCTCTCCAATTGAGCCCTCTTCTACTCCATCCACTGAAGCACCTCCATCACCATCTGTGGAAGAACCAAATTCCTCAGAACCATCCATACAAGAGCCGACAACAGAACAAGAACAAGAACAAGAGCAAACAGAAACTACGAGTACAACTACAAATTCAGACTCACAGCAACAAGAACCAGAAATCACTGAAGATGGCCTGAAAAACGATAAGGTCGCCCCCCCAGAACTCTCCGGTGCAACCATCCACATCGACGTAACCTCGGCTACAGAATCCGACCCTACACCTGCATCAGCTTCCTCCGTTGCAACCGATGCACTTCCGGACACTCCCTCATATCCGGCTTTCCCGGCCCCTGTTACTTCTGCTACAACAACATCGTCAACCCCATCAACTACCGGTGCCACCTCCTCAACAACTACCGTCGACGACGATGTGGCCAACGAAAACGCAACTGTTTCGCCAACCCGTACAGGCCGCCGCTCCCGACGCTCTCCGTCACTTGCCCTCTCTCTCTCAAATGTCACTATTTCTGGCCAAACAATTGTATCGTCCTCTGTCTTTATCAAAAAGGCTCTCTCTACAATTAAAGCCCATAAGTCAACAGCAAGCCACCCTGCCCTTGACGGCTCAGTCACAAAGGCTCTCAGCATCTTCAACGACAATACCCTTCCTCCCCCCTCGGTCGTCTTTGAGCCTTTGCGCATCGTTTGCTCTCAGTCTTCTTCAAATGATCTCAAGGTTGTTGCTCTCGATTGTATTGGCAAGCTCTTTAGCTTCTCATATCTCGTCGACATGGACTCTCCACTTCCTCCTACCCCAACCACTCAAGATCCTTCCTCCGGAATTACCGCACCACCACGTGTGCCTATAATAGACCGTGCAATCAAAACAGTTTGTGATTGTTTCCAGGGCGAGTACACCGACCCCAGAGTTGAGCTCCAAATCATCAAGGCCCTTATGGCTGCTGTTTTAAACGATGATCTTATTGCCCATGGTGCTACTCTTCTTCGTGCAATCCGTCAAACTTATACCATATTTGTTCTTTCCCATACTCCTACAAACCAGGCTACAGCCCAGGCTACTCTTTCCCAAATGATTGGTGTGATTTTTGATCGTGTCAAGTCTGTTATTAAAAACTCACCTTCCTCTCAAAAGGCAGCAGGAGTTCCTGAAAATGAGTCAACCCCACAGCTTGAAAAAACTGTGGCAACCGCTCCAGAGTCGTCCTCCATCCATGGAAAACTTACCCTTCGCCAAATGGAAAATATGGGCTCCACAGGTGAACTCGAGCGTGTTAAAGAAGAAGTCACTTCAACTCCTACAGATGCTGCAGACGAAAATGACCTTTTCGCCAAAGATGCCTTTTTGGTCTTTAGAACTCTCTGCCGTCTTTCTGAAAAGACTCTAGAAGGTGATAGCCAGGAAAATCGTTCTCATGGTATGCGCTCTAAGCTTCTTTCCCTTCACTTGATCCACACAATCCTCAAGTCCCACATGTCTCTTTTCCTTTCCCATGAGGTTTTGATTCGTTCTCATCTAAAAGGTGACGAAACCTTTTTGGTTTCTGTCAAGGACTATATTTGCTCCACCCTTGCACGCAATGCTGCCAGTATCAACCCTGCTGTTTTTGAAATTTCGACGGAAATCTTTTTCCTTGTTGTTTCCAACCTGCGTTTCCAGTTTAAAAAGGAAATTGAAGTATTCTTTGCTGAAATTTATTTCCCCATTGCTGAAATGAAGACTTCCACTTACCACCAAAAGCAATATTTCTTGTCCACTGTTCAAAAACTCTGTAATGACCCTCGCGCTCTTGTGGAAATTTACCTCAACTATGACTGTGATTCAACATCCACTCTCAATATTTACGAGCAGCTCATTGATTTCCTTGTCAGACTTGCAGTCACCCCTGTAAACCTGACAGCTCTTCAATTCCAACAGTATCACGAACTTAAGAACAAGTCCATTGCTCATTACATGCTTTCGTCTTCCCCAGCAATTGCCATTTCAAACTTCCAACTCAATGCAGGCCTTCATGAGACTTTACCTTATCCTATTGAGCATGCTCTCAAAATGACCGCTCTTGAGTCTCTTGTTGCAGTTTTAAGATCGCTTTTGACTTGGTCACAACGTGGCATTGCTGCAGTTTCAGCTTCGCTTAACCAGGCTGATGAAGAAACTCAAAAACGACTCCGATCTTCTTCCCAGGCTGGTGAGGACACTCCAGAAAATGATTCAAAATCTATTTTGTCTACAGCAACTGGTAGTACCGCTGTCGTTAGTGACGACCCTTCTCAGTTTCAAAACCTTAAAATCAAAAAGAATGCTCTTCAGGATGCTATCCGTCAGTTCAACATTAAGCCCAAGCGTGGTATCAAGGCTCTTCTTGACACTGGTATCATCGAGTCCAAGGCTCCTGAAGATATCGCCAGATTCTTGCTTACCACTGAAGGCTTGGACAAGGCTCTTATTGGTGAATATCTTGGAGAAGGTGACCCTGAAAACATTGCTATCATGCACGCATTTGTTGACCTTATGGACTTTACTGACGCCAAGTTTGTCACTGCTCTCCGCACCTTTTTGCAATCCTTCCGTCTTCCCGGTGAGGCCCAGAAGATTGACAGATATATGCTTAAGTTTGCTGAACGTTACACCCTCAACAACCCCAGCATTTTCTCCAATGCTGACACTGCCTACGTGCTTGCTTACTCTGTAATCATGCTCAATACAGATGCACACAGTCCTCAGGTTAAAAACCGTATGACGCTTGATGACTTCTTTCGCAATAACCGTGGTATCAATGACGGCCAGGACATGCCCAAAGATTTCCTTACTGAAATTTATAATGAGATTCAACAGAATGAAATCAAACTTCAGTCTGAACAACACGCTGCGCTCTTGTCTTCTGACGGTCAACAGAACGCTTCCAGCGGTGGGTTTGCTTCCAACTTGGGTAACATTCTCGCTGGTCGCGATCTCCAGCGTGAAGCTTATCTTCAGGCCTCGCGTGAAATGGCAAACAAAACTGAGCAACTGTTTAAGGAGCTTGTTTCTGGCGACGGAAAGCGCCGCACTGCCGAGTCCACATTCTACAGCGCCTCGCACATTGAGCACGTTAAGCCTATGTTTGAAGTTGCTTGGATGTCCTTTTTGGCTGGTCTTTCTGGTCCCTTCCAGCAGTCTGAGGATCCTGACGTTGTCAAGCTATGTCTTGAAGGCTTCAAGTTGTCTATTCGCATTGCATGTCTTTTTGACATTGACTTGGCCCGTATCTCATTTGTGTCTGCTTTGGCTCAATTCACTAATCTCCAGAACCTTTCTGAGATGAAACAAAAGAATGTCGATGCTGTCAAACAACTTCTTCAAACTGCCCTGTCCGATGGCAACCTTCTTAGATCTTCTTGGAAGGAGATTTTGACTTGTATCAGTCAGCTTGAGCGTTTCCAACTCATCAGCTCTGGTATTGAGGCCGGCGTCATTCCCGATGTGACCAATGCCCGTTTTGCTTCACGCAAACCTTCATCCGATACTCTCAACTCTAGTCGTTCGCGAAGCTCAAACGCTCCCGGGTTTTTTTCACGTCACTCTACGCAGACAGCGCACAGCGCTCCATATTCTGCCAATGGAAACTTGACTACCCACTATGGCGATAAACCATTCTCTTATTCTCCAGAGCTTGCCGAGGAATTGCAGTCGCGTGAAGTTATTCTTGACATGGATAAGATTTTCACCAACTCCGCTCTTCTTTCTGGTGATGCCATTATGGATTTTGTTCGTGCATTGACAGAGGTCTCTGGTGAAGAGATTGCTTCATCGGGTCAGAGCGAGCACCCACGTATGTTCTCACTGCAAAAGATGGTAGACATTTCATACTATAATATGAATCGTATCAGGGTTGAATGGTCTCGCTTATGGGTCATCATGGGCAAGCAATTCAATGTTGTTGGCTGCCATCCAAACACCAATGTTGTCTTTTTCGCTCTTGACTCTTTGCGCCAGCTTTCCATTCGCTTCTTTGATCTTGAGGAACTGACCCACTTTAAGTTCCAAAAGGAGTTCTTGGAGCCTTTTGCTTATGTGATGGAACACAACAACAACGCTGCAGTCAAGGATATGGTTTTGCAGTGCTTGCAACAAATGGTTCTTGCAAAATCTGATAAAATTAAGTCTGGTTGGAAGACAATGTTTGCTACATTTTCTCTCGCTGCTAAGCAGCAATATGGTATGTTTATCAAAATTAAATTTACTGTTATATTTACTAACTTTTTCAAGGACACGTTGTTACGACTACATATGATATTCTCAGAAGAATTTACAAGGAGCGATTGAATGAAGTTATTGCTCAGGACGACTTTGGAAATTTGATTCAATGCTTCAGCGACTTGGCCAAGAACCAACGTTTCCAAAAACCCAGTCTTCACGCTGTCGACCTTCTTCGAAATACCATTCCTCGTATTTTGGAGCTGCGCGATGAGGAACTCAAGCGTAATGCTGGTGGCGAGCTCACAATTGATTTTTACAATCGTTACTGGTTCCCCGTTTTGTTTGCTCTGCACGACATTATCATGAATGGCGAGGATTTGGAGGTGCGCTCGAGGGCTCTCAACTACATGTTTGATACACTTACTGAGTATGGTTCCGGATTTACTCCAGAGTTTTGGGACTCTGTTTGCAAGAAGTTACTCTTCCCGACTTTTGTCGTTCTTAAGAACCGTTCAGAAATGGCTCGCTTCAATACTCAAGATGACATTTCTGTATGGCTGTCAACCACCATGATTCAAGCCCTGCGCAACATGATTGTTCTTTTGTCTCATTACTTTGAAGTTTTGAGTGGCATGCTTGATGGATTCTTGGAACTGTTAACTACATGTATTAATCAAGAAAACGATACCGTGTCGCGCATTGGTTCTTCATGCTTGCAGCAACTTATCCAGCAGAATGTGGACAAGCTCCAAGAATCTCACTGGAAGACCATTGTCGACAGCATTGAGAATCTTTTTAACCTGACAACCGCCAGTGAACTGTTTGGTGACTACTCGGACATTGACGATCCCGTTGATGGAAGCAAAACAAGTGTTAATGGAGCCAGCTCTATTCCTGTGGATTCTCATGGCGTTGAAGAGCATCCTCCTACACCCATGAGCCCTAGCGAAAGCTCCAACAACATAGCTTCTAAGCAAGTCCGTCGTAAGGCTTCATGGTCTGATGCTAACCACAACCGCCAGAAACGGTTCCGCAAGACTATTGTCAAGTGCATTCTGCAGCTGCTAATGATTGACACTGTGGATGAGATTCTCCAGCGACAAGAAATTAACCAGATTGACGATGCTATTAATGGGAACGGCAACACCGTGCCATCGCGGACACAAAGCAGTAATGGCGAGGCCAAAAACACGCCACCACCGGCGCTCATTATTCGCAAGCAAGTCAAGGTTGTGGGGACCGAGATTTACGAAAAAATGCCCGTTTCTCAGCTTTTGCGCATTCTTGTGTTGCTTCGTAAGAGTTTTATTTTTGCTCACAGATTTAACGGCAACAAGGAACTCCGCACTAACCTGTGGCGCCTGGGCTTTATGAAGCAACTGCCCAATCTTCTCAAGCAAGAATCTCTATCTGCTCACGTTTACATTTCTGTTTTGATCCGCTTGTATACTGAAGACAGAAAGCTATACAATTTGCCATTAGCTGCTGGCGATGCAACCAAACTGGCCACTCCTATTGTTCTTGAAAACTATGACAAGCAGTTCCCTAGCAAGTTTATTGCTGCAGAGGCCCGCAACTATGCCCCTCTGGACGACGACTTGGATCCAAAGACTATTGAGATTGGTACTACCACTGAACTCAAGGCATACGTCGAGGGCCAGCTGATCCCCATGTTGTCGGACTTGCTTGCCATTTTCGATCGTCTTGATTACAACGATGCCCGTGCCATTCAGGCATGGACTCCTGTTATTGTGTCAATTCTAGAGGGCCTGTTGACATTCTCTCAGAGCGACTTTTCTAAGGTCATTGAGGGCATGTATCCTGGCATTTTGGGCATTATGAATAGAGATATGTCGCCAACACTGCGATTAATGTTACAGTCAACACTTAAGCGTGTGGGTAAAGTGTTGTTCAAGGGAAAGACTAAGTCATAAAGGGGACTGAAAGGAAGAAAAACAGTATTGGATTGCATTTAAAAAAGAAGAATTTTTGGTAAAATATTTTATTATATAAAACTTACTATTTTATAAAAACTAAAAAAAAAAAATTATATATGTTCATAATGAGAAAAGATTTTAAACACAGGTCTTACAAGAAAAATCAATATCAGGGTCAGTGATGCAATGCAAAAATCACAAATACAAGAGTACAAAGCCTAGGGAAGAAAAAAAAATAGGCATATAAAGGCAACTTATAAACAAGCAGATTGGACTCTGCTAAAAAACATATCTGCTAAATAACAGTATATATTGCAGTTTAATCCAAGCCATAACCTAGTCCAAGTATAAGCTCAAGTGAATCTCACGACACATCGATTAACAAAAATTGGAAAATTGATGCAAAGAGAAGCCTATGGTACATAAACTTGAGTAAACTGATACATGTAAAAATCAGGCTAATTGCAATCAAAAGCTGACCAAAAGGTAAACAAATCAACTTGAAATCAAAATGGGAAAATGTGAATATCCGTTCAGCATTGAATTGTTCCAACCTCAACAAGAAAAAATCGAAAGAGAGAAAACAATTGAACAATCATGTGCTAAAAATCAATAACACCACAAAAGGCTTAAAAGCATACTTCATTTTAAAAATGAAGTATATAGTTTAACCTAATGAGCCTACTTGTTACTTCTCATATACTTTCTCCGTTGTTCTTCAATCTGCGAGAAAAAAAATCAAAGTTATCACTCGTCAATTCTTTTTAACCGATCATAGATATCTTTGACATTTACAAACCAAAATGTACAAGATTTTATGTCGCCAACACTGCGGTTAATGTTACAGTCAACACTTAAGCGTGTGGGTAAAGTTTTGTTCAAGGGAAAAACTAAGTCAACAGTCACTCTTGAAGTTCCCTATATAATCCCCAGTTTTTTTTTTTTTTTTTTTTCAAAATGGTCCCAGCTGTTCCATAGACTCAACAATACCCTCCTCAAATCATACTGAACTTTAACAAGAAGCGGATTAAAACCAGAAAAAAGGCATTGGGCTTCAAAAGTATAGGGCCAAACAGAATTAACAGAGATAATTCTGGTAGCGAAAAACATCATGCTTCTTAAAAAAAAAAATCAGCAATCAACAATAAGACTGCCAATACAGGTCGAGATACTACCACTCTTTACCTATGGTGCAAGTCTGGGTAGACTAGGACTGTTCAACCACCATTTATATTCATCGTGAACAAGCCTCAAAAATAAAAAGACACCCATGGGCAACATTGCATCATGTCCCAAGCTAAACTATTTTAATAAGTTAAGTGGCAGAAGGATAGTATAACTTGCAATACAGGTCAAGGCTTTAGTCATAAATTATAAATCCAATTCAAGGCCAAACCAAATAGTATTCCAAAATTGACGCATACTGTCATGAATAGAGCTAGTAGTAGCAAGAATAGGATAGCACCAGCCAACATGTGTACTTAGCTCAATCAAAAATGTCTAAGTTAAAGCGCCTTGTGCATAAGCCTAAGACATGCTTAGCAACCAAAGTGAGTCCAAACATGGAGAATAAGGGGGGGGAATGCAAAAATGTACCTTGCAGTGCCATCGTCTATCGTCTATCGTCTATCCAGTCCCAACTCAACTATAATAGACTAGGAACGCCGTTCTGACTGCGTGTGTAGGTAGACACAAAAGGAACATGACCAGCATTGAAATGTCTAAACTCAACAACAAAAAAAAAAAAGAAAAGCTTGGAATGAGACAGACAATGACTCCGGTAATTTATTGACGATGACCCAAGACTGAAAATAAGGTACTAGTAAACCAGAAACCACGTAAAAAGGCAACTAGGTAAGCCTTACAAGCACTGAAAAATTCCAAGCTCTACCACTGCAACTTCAAATGGGGATGGAACAGAGTAAAACCAATCGCTGATAAACGCCAAATCAAGACCAGGACCACATTAGGTGAAGCATATATCCTTAATATAAGCAATCATCTTAGCTTAACCATTTGCACCTCGCTTTTAGCCCACCTTCTCCACGGTCCTTCGTTTTGTTACAAGAAAAAATAAAGAGTTGCCAGCCTTTAATTGTTTCTCAACCAACAGCAGATATCTTTGATTTCAAGTATGTTGAAACAAAGAAACAAAAAATGCAAGCCGCTGATGCATTTGAGAAAACGTCATCACCACCCACGCATGACACGTATAAAGTAAAGTGCAACAGACTGACCCATCAAACTAACGACAACATGGATCAAAGCTTGCTCTCGTTGAAATGCGACTCCAGCTCAATCAGGAAAATCAGGAGCAAACACAGTTGGCTAGTCTATGAGAACTTGATAGGAAGGGGCTTGATGGAGGCTTGATGGAAGCTTGATGGGAGAAGGGACAACAGTGATAAGATGAGATGAGAGACTTCGGGGAATTGCGATGGGGATAACTTCAAGGTATTAGGAATGGTATGGAAACTGTCAAAGTATTTGTCAACTAAGAAATAAAAGTTAGAATATAAACCAAAAACATATTTTATCATTGATAAAACTTACCAAAGGCAAAAAAGTGCTAAGACAAAAAAAAAAAAGAATCCAACTTTGCATTCACATCCACCACATGAAGCTTAGTAGAATTAACAAATCAAAACCAAGAAAAACTAATACTATTATCGTTTAAATGTGATCAAAGCCAATTGATGTAGGTGTAAAGAAATAACATGAGGCTCAACCAATACAAAGAAGTATAGTGGGAGCAGGAACAGGAATGTTTTGCATAGATAGAAGCTGCTTAAAGACAGCAGGTATGGCATTAAGGTAAACAATAAAAACTTCAAAGTTGAGGTTGAGGTTGAGGTTGAGGTTGAAGTTGAGGTTGAGGTTGAGGTTGAGGTTGAGGTTGAGGTTGAGGTTGAGGTTGAGGTTGAGGTTGAGGTTGAGGTTGAAGTTGTTGAAGTTTCTTCATGTCTTTAGTCTAATCTCTTCAGAATTGCTGTACCACATGTGAAAATAAGTTAGGTGAGTGCTGGTATAAGTTGAAACTTAGGTAAGTGCTCGTGCATGTAGATTATTGGGTAAAAGTAAATATCTTGTAAGTGGTAAAGTGGTAAAGTGGTAGAGTGGTAGAGTGGTAGAGTGGTAGAGTGGTAGAGTGGTAGAGTGGTAGAGTGGTAGAGTGGTAGAGTGGTAGAGTGGTAGAGTGGTAGAGTGGTAGAGTGGTAGAGTGGTAGAGTAGACCTCATAAACCAGAAGCATAACAAAAAAATGTCGTGTATGTCGAAGACGGATGTTGATACCGAAGGGCAGAAGTGGTGAAGAAGTGAAGAAGTGAAGAAGTAAAGAAGTGAAGAAGTAAAAAAGTGAAAAAGTGAAGAAGTGACGAAGTGAAGAAGTGACGAAATGACGAAGTGAAGAGGTTAAGTGCTAAAGTGGTGAAGCGATAAAGTATCGAAGTCGAAGTAGAGGTCAAAGTATGTACCGGCACCGCCCTATAAATGTTTTGCCATACCCCCAGTCTAATCTTCCCAGGGATAGGTCTGAGACAGGAATCAGCTAAATAAACTAAATTCCATCCGATCACAAACCTCATAAACCAAAAGCATAACAAAACAATGTCGTGTATGTCGAAGGTATAAATTGAATATAGGTATTGGGTATAGGGTATAGGGTATGAGGTATGGGGTGTCGGGTATGGGGTGTCGGGTATGGGGTATGGGTATTGGGTATTGGGTATTGGGTACAAGTGTCGGTACCTGGGTGCCGGTGTTTGTGCATGAGTAAGTACGGGTGCTAATATATGTAGGCACTTGTTGAAGAGCTCGGGTAAATCGCCATCGTGTATTTCCTGTTGTATGTCGGTACTTGTTGAAGGTAAGTGCTGGAGTATCGAAGTTGTCAAAGTTGTTGAAATTAGTACTGGCCTTACACTCAATGTTTTACCTTGCCTTCGGTCAACTCTCTCCATGGTACCTCGGTTTGTCACAGGAAGTATTATGGCTTGCCGATCACCAACAACTCTCCTAACCGATCATGGATGTCATCAACCAAAAGCATGATAACAACCGTGTCGAACAAACTGTGTCGAATAAACTGTGAGTGTGTTGTAGTGTGTTGGTATCAGTATTGTTGTTCAAGTAAAATAGTAAATCTAAGTTAGTTGTCAAAGTTGTTGAAGTTGGTACCGGCCTTATACTAAATGTTTCACCTTGCCTTCGGTCAACTCTCTCCATGGTACCTCAGTTCGTCACAGGAAGTATTATGGCTTGCCGATCACCAACAACTCTCCTAACCGATCATGGATGTCATCAACCAAAAGCATGATAAAAACCGTGTCGAACAAACTGTGAATGAGTGTGTTGTAATGTGTTGGTATCAGTATTGTTGTTTGGGTGGAATAGTAAATTTAAGTTTGGGTGGGTGTTGTTATGGGTGAGTAAATCATATGGATATGAATAGGGTTCGATGAGTATTCAGTGGATGTTTAATGTGAAAAGAAAAAAAAAAAAAATTTGTAAAAAGTAAATGGTAAGAAGAAATAAAAAGAATTTGAAAACCCGGGGGGGAAGCCATTTATTTATACCTAGGGGGGAAAGTCTAGGGAAAAAAAACGATATCCAATTACCACAACAAGAATAATGTTGTAAAATTTTGGAGTCTAGTTTCAAGTAAACTGACTTCATTCTATGATAATAAAAATCGAGACTGGTTAGATAGCAATGAACCCGGTTAAATCTCTATTCTGGAATTGTCGGGAAAGCATTTGAAAAAAAAAACCCGTAATCATAATCGTTTTATAATCATATTCTCGTTAAAATCCAGTTATCAATTCCTGTATGAAAAGTATGGAATATAGTAACTTTCCAATTGGTGGTAAAAAAAAAAATCTCAATCATCGTTGGGTTCTGCCTCTTAAGATAAAACAGGTTCCATTATCCGTCCATGCTAAAAAAAAAAATTGAATTCGAAGAAGAAACTTAACATGTCATTTGCATTATTGTTAACAACTCAATATCATAGTTGTTATCTGATGTAAACTTTTGGTAGCTGTCATACATCCAGTTTGATCAAGCTCAGAAAGCATCACACCTATGTTTTGAGTAAATACATCTGTCAGTCTTTCGACATTCAAACTTGCTTTTAAAACTCACAAGTAGGTCATACCTACCAGTATCTCTTTAGATTACTCAAATTCCCTTTAACACATGGTAAATTTATGTCGAGTTTCAGTAGTTGGTAAACTTTTTGTTTTTTTGTTGATTCTATGAATAAATACTCAATTGAGTCCATTGCAATGTAAATTAAGTCAAGTTGGCACTTCTTTCACTTGGTTTTTTTTTTTAACAAGCTTACGGCAATCATTTAAATGTTTCCATGGCTTTTGCGCCCCAGCTTATAAACAAAAAATTATGATCCGAAGAGATTACTAGCCTTTTTGGAATTTTCTCGTCATTTTTTTTTTCTAATGGTTGTTGCATTTGTCTACATTTATCAACATCCATTAAGGCCTATTTGTAATTCTGAATGCCCTTGAGAATTTGTATCCTAAGCTTCTCAATACTCATGAGAATTCGTATCCTAAGCTTCTCATTGCATATTAGTTGTTCATCAATAATTACTCGAAATTCAAGAGAAAAATCTTAGAGTCCATTTTGGATAAAGCAGCACAACTTGTATGTAATACTTATAACTGATATCACAAGGTTTTCATAGTAATTATCCGACAAACTGGTTTCCAAGCATCTTGTTAAAAAAAAAAAAAAAAAAAAAGTATTGGTAAAATTAATGTCGACACAAAACAATACAAATAGATTTTTCTGGCTAGAAATATTCCTTCACGATAAACATTTTGCTTATCGGAAGATCCCTTAGTATTTAAGTGCCCCTTGAGCCAACATTAGGTGATAAGTGGTCAAATCGATCAAGGAATCATAAGAAGCGTTGTTCAAAACTTCTTTAAGTCTTATTATCCAAGGACTGTCGACTAACTCACCACATTTGAAACTTTGCATTTGTTCAAATCCCATACTTGCAATGGAGTAACATCATATTTCGTTTTGTAGTGGTGCAAACGATTAAAGAATAAATTTATCAAGTGCTTACCACTTTCTCTATCTCTCAGTACATCAATTACACCTCTGATTAGGCCTCTCTAAGATACTTAATTGTGGAATAAATTATTTTAAACATGTCCGTGATGGGTTGAGATTTTGCAAGGTTGTTCAGTTGCAATATTTTACCTTCCATTTCCATTACACTTTTGCTTGTAAGGATTGATTTTAATTTGCACAAATTAATGATTTGATCAACAAGAATCGATTCTTATATAGGCATCAATGATTGGTTCTTGGCTCGAACTGTGACAAGTAGTTCAATACCTGTTGAGACATATTGGAAACTGTGCTTCATGGGACAGTATCAAAAGATTTTGAAATCTCAGTTAAAGAGTGTGTATTTCATAGGGTTAGAAAACGCCTTGATTGCCTTGCGAATTCGGCTTTTGTTTTTTTTTTTTTTTCAGGGTCAACATATTTGAATATTGTAGATTCTAAAAATAAAAATGTAGTTGAAAATGAATCGAATGAAATGAAGTTATTAACTATTAGAATTTATATATTAATATTTAAGATACTGTTCACGAATAATGAAATTTAGGTGCTTGGTGGGTGATCTGGTGACTGTACAGAATTGAGTGCACACGGAAGTAGGTGCCAAGCATATAGTTACTTTATTACTTTAAATTAAGATTATCACCAAGCTTTAAGGGTATTTATGAAATTATTATTATTATTATTTTTTTTTTTTTTTCATTTTAAATAAAGTACACCTGACTTTGATTATTAAAAGGTTTTTTTAAATTTATTTAAAATAAATAAATATAAAAAATTTTGAATAAAAACAAACAACAAATATATAAAAGTTGAAAGATTATTATCATTATTATTATTAATTACTATTATTTATTACTATTAAAAGAATGAGAACAAATCATGAAGAATTAAAAAGGAAATAAATGGTTTATAAAAGTAAATATATATATATATATATTTAAACTCAAAATGATGGAAATATGTTTATAAAGTCCAAAAAAAAAAAGTAACCAAAAAGAAAAGAGCTTGATAGTTTCCGAGTGGAAAATAAAAAGCAATGTCGAACTAAGGAATTTTTAGAGGGGAGGGAATTTAGGTTTTTAGTATTTATTTATTTTTTTTTATTTTTTTTTTTTTTAAAAAAAGGTTATTCAAGAATTTTTTTTTTTTTAGGAGGAAATACAAGGAAAGAAGACAGATACAAGGTGGAAAAGGGAAAAAGAAAAATGAAAGAAAGAAAGAAAAAAAGAGATTAAGAGAAATAGGAAGAAAGCAACTCAAAAAAAAATATAAAAATAAAAAAAAATATAAAAATTCTGTTGATTTTTTTTTTTTTTTTTTTTTATAAAAGACCTGAATCTCTGAGTGAGTTTTCCAAAATGCTTTCTTTAACAGCTGCAAAAACAAGTCGAATATTCGAAGTATCTGTAGCTTGTGTAATGTGGGGATAAATTGTAAGATTGTTTCTGTTAAGCTGAGTGAATCTCCACAAAATATATTTTGCAGCCTTTTTGATATTATTACCACCCGTATAATCTGGGAAATAGTTTTCAAGAGGTGATACTGGAAGTTTTTCAGTGAAAATATCAATTTTGTTGAGAAACAAAACAACAGTGGTACGTGTGAACCACCGCGAGTTGACAATAGAATCAAATAAAACAAGACTCTCAGCCATACGGTTTTGACTGGATTCCTCTAGCAATACTTGGTCATAATCGGAAAGTGCTACACAGAAAATAATGAGCGTAACATTGTCAAAACAGTGAATCCATTTTTTACGTTCTGAACGTTGGCCACCCACATCGTACATGTGAATATTAAGTTGGCCCATAGAAAATTGTGTTTCATAGATACCCGTTGTTTTAATACGAGCGCGCAAAATGTCAGCCACTGTCGGAATGTACTCAGGATCGCCAATGCGCTGCACGTTGCGGAAAAAGTATTGTGCTGAGTCCATAATATAAAATTCAGAGCGACGTGTGGCCAGTAAATCTTTAACAGCTGGATGGGCCCATAATTTAGATATTAAATGGGCAAGTTTAGGGTCAAGTGTTGAATCTGGGTCTGGTGAAATGATGGAATTGCGAATAAAGTCAAGTTCCTCTTGAGACATGTATGGATGCTGTTGCTGTTGCTGCTGTTGCTGCTGTTGCTGCTGTTGCTGCTGTTGCTGCTGTTGCTGCTGTTGCTGTTGCTCCTGTTGTTGTTGTTGAGATGGTTGGGTTGCAACTTCAGTAGATGTAGGGTCGTTTATGGAATCATCAATGACAGCTGGGCTAGTTGTACTTACAGCAGTAGTGTCTGAAGATGTACTTGTAGAAGCATCTGCTGGTAATTGGTTGATAGGATCTCCAGAAAGGTCAATATCAAACTGAGTCACTACTTCGACAATAGTTTTCGCACAATCAAGCAAGTTTTTGTAAACTGTTGTTTTATACATGAGCAAATCGTCTTGCGAGTAACCACTTTGGTGGATAATTTTCATTTGCTTAAGAATAGTAGATTTGCCTGACTCACCAGCACCAAGCAGTAAGATTTTTACTTCGGGTCGTTTGCTATTATTGTTGTTATTGTTATTATTATTATTATTATTATTATTGTTGTTGTTGTTGTTGTTGTTATTGCTTCCAACGAGCTGACCAGCAGCTGCACCGTTGGATGAACTTAAGCTGCCGTCATTCTGAGAACTGATGGAAGTGTTGGCTATGCTGTTGTGGTGACTTCGCGACGATTGGCCATTAGAGTTGCTACTATTGTTAAAGTTGGGGTCGTTAACGTTACTTGACGCAGTAGATGATGGTACTTCATAGGTGTTGCCACTGCCGCTGCCGCTGCCACCGCCGTTGCTGCTGCTTCCGCCTTGAATGGAGCCATTTGTGCTGCTTGGACGATTGGAGGTTCCGTTTCCATTTAGTGTATAATTGGGTTTAAGTTCGTTAAGTTTTTGGTCTTGTTGGTCCTGTGATATCGCATTTAATTCACCATTTGACAGTTGGTTTGATTGGGCATTTAGAGCACCATTATTAGCCAAATTTTGCTGAGTGGTGCCTGCACCTCCTGTTGCTTGAGGACCTGTATCCTGTTCTTTGAATACTGGTGCTCGGTTTGCAGAAGACATTGGTTTCCCAGCGGATGTGTTTTGCGACGCACCGGAGGGTTTCTCGGAGGACATGCAGTTACCCATTGTTGAAAAGCGGTAATAGCGATAGTTAGAGCAAAAAAGAAATTAAAATATATATGTATATATATATATATATATATATATATAAATAAATAAATAAAGAAATAAAGAAAGAAAGAAAGAACTGATGAGCTTCCCAAGGTGATTAATGAGATATTCAACGACGGAAAACGACGACTAGAATTGGAAATATGAAAAATTTCTTCTTCTTTCTTTTTTTTTTTTTTTTTTTTTTTTTTTTTTTTTGGAAACCCCTAAAGTTGTTGTTGAATTTATTATTATTAGTTATAAAAGAAAGAAAGTCTGAATGAGAAATAACTGTGTGTGTTATTAAATTTTGAAAAAAAAAAAAAAAAAAAAAAATATCAGGCTAAGCCAAAATAGCTTGGAAATAAAATAAAAAATAAAAAATAAAAAAAAAGCAACAGCCGACAAACAAAACAGACAAACCTTTAAGGGGAGGGTAAAAATAAAAAATAAAAAATAAAAAATAAAAAATAAAAAATAAAAAATAAAAGTCCTTTTTTCCTTTTTATTATTATTATTATTATTTTTTTTTTATAAAATAAATAAATAAAAATAAATAAATCTTGAATTTATCATAGAATTGAGCAGGAGGATTTTTATTTTTATATATATATATTTTAAATATAAAAGATTTAATATATAAAAAAAAAAAATCTCCACTTTATTTTTCTTTCACTTAATAATAATAATAATAATAATAATAATAATAATAATTATTATTATTATTATAATGGCCGCTCACAAGTTTTTGAATAATAACATGTGAGGACCTCCCAGTGATAGGCGTGTACATGCGTGTGGCTGCTGCTGCTGCTGCTGCTGTGTGTGTATGTGCGTGTGCTGAGGCTTTTGTTACATTTTTTTTTTGTGTTTGTGTGTGTAATTGTAACAAAATATATATATATATATATATAACAAACTTTGTAACTACTATTAAACTAAAATTAGTTAAAAGTTACCCGGCCATTAAAACCTACCTTGAAAAATTTTGACACGATTATTTAAATTGATGAATTTTTCTTCTTACTTCTTTCTTCTTTCCTTCTTTCCTTTCCTTTTTTTTTTTTTTTTTTTTTGATTCCTTGCTCCATCCTGGTCCAAAGATTTGCGTTTCAAAGTTTACTTAAGAACCACCTAAAAAATGGTTCCCTTTTTACTTTGGGGAAAGTCTCCGGCAATTCTTAGTGGAAACATCCTAATATCAAGGTACTATTAGGCGTTCTGATTTGGGTCTTTTTGGGTACTTGCTTCTTGCTATGACTGTTGTTTTGAAGTTTGTGGGAAATTTATCAAGAGGTTAATAGTATTGAATTGGATAAAACATTTTAAGGAGTTTTTGCTACTTATATTTTTAGTAATTCTCTTGATTTTTGTGTTGCTGTTTTTTTCTCTCAAGTTTTTTTTTTTTTTTTCTTTTTCCCCTCCCTTGATCTGTAAAGGAGGAAGCTGGCTCTTGTTCTACAGTTGTACCTCGTTTCATGTATCTTTGAGGGACCGGAATTTTTTATTTTTTTCTGTTGCTTTTATGGCTTGACTGGAACGAGAACTTAATTCCTTTTGGTGGAGCTTTTTAACTTTACAAGATTATTTTTTTTGGGGGGGGAGGAAGTGGGAAAATTTACAAGGGAATTAAACGGTTTCACTGTAGAATCTTGGGGATTCTTGAAATATTTGTTGGTTTTGATTCTGTGTTTACTTCATTCTTTATTCCCTTAACTTATTGTTTTATTTCTTTTAACTGATAATTACAGTTGTTTTTGCTTTTTGCTTACCCTTTTGACTTTTGATTATGACTTGATGAGACGTATTTATTTTTCCGATGCTTTAGTCGGGTCTCTTTCAGTTTTGCAACCAAGACTGTTGGCAGTCTTATCCGATAGTTATGCAATTTGTCATTTTCTTTAAAAATGATAAACCCAATGGAGCTTATTCTTGGGCCAGTGTATTGAAGCCAAATTTTTTTTTTTTTTTTTAAGTCTGTTTTATGTCTTGAGAAAAAAAAAGATTTTTTTTTTTTCTCAAAGAGGATAATTGCACCTTCAAAAGTGCCAGACTTTCATGACAAAATATATATATATAGCAAATTAAATAAAACTATTTTTTATTGTTTACAACTAAATAAATGATATATCAAATTAAAAAAAAATAATAATAATAATAAAAATAAAGCAGCAGGAAATAGAATCACTCAGTCTTTAAGTGATAGTCAATAATGTCTTCATTAGATTGCTTACCATAAGCAAGTTCCAAGGCATACAGAGCCAAAGTTGAAAACATATTGATCCACCCCCAAAATTGCCACGAGTCGCGTGGCGTATTAACCCATGATCGAGACCATGCCCAAATCGAAAGCACAGCACTTTTAAGTAATACTGCTTTGGATGATGAAACATGTGCCTGAATATTCTCTGAACCATCTTCAGACTGTAAAGGTGGAGTACTACTAATTTTTTCTAGTACAGTAACAACTGCAGTTTCAACTGCACTCTTACCAATACTCATGGCAATAGCATCACTGCCAGCAATAGCTGCCTCCTTGCTCAATATGTTGTGAGCCACACGGCCAACCGTGGTAGTCGCAAATGCAACAACTGTCCGACTGCCAGCGTCCACAAGAGTCTCAGCAAATGAATCGCCTTCATTAATACTTTGCGAGCTCGTCATGGTATTGAAAATAGCTAAATGCTGGATAAGCAGATGCGTGTAAACTGCAATCAAAATGCATGGTGCATATGCAAGTATAAGGAGCTGAAGCGAGGTGCTACTACTACTACTAGAAGCTTTTGGAGGTCTCTTTCCAGTGGGATAGGAATCCATCTTGTTGCTTCTAGGCTTGCTGTCACCACCAACTTCAGCCTTATATTCTATTTCTTCCTTTTTATTGTCGTAGTCATAATAGTCATTATTAATATTAGTATTGGTATTTTTCATGTCGTTATTATTATTGTCGTTAAATTCGTTATTGATTCCATTTTCGTTAAACTTGTAGTGGTCATTAAATTGTTGTGGGTAATACTTTTCTTTAATATTATCATCATCGTAAATGTTATCTCGGCTATTGTGCCTGCTTTGATCATTTTCCAAAGACACTGATGAAGAAATGGTGGCTGATGATGAAAGGGCCGATGGATTGTGTAAAAGATCAACAGCTCTATTCCCGGAGCTGTCAATGGCTGTTGATGCAGATGAAGCTGTAGAAGAGGGTGATAGGTCTTCTCTAAATACCACTGGATTAAATGGATTCTCCAAGTTTCCAGTAATGACTGTTTTTTCGTCATCATCGATATGATCTGCACGTTTGATCAGGAATGCACTAGTATTCGAATCATAAATGCTTGTGGATTTGTTCTCGTTATTTTTAATGCTATTGTTGTTATTATTGTTGTTATTGTTGTTATTGCTGCTATTGCTGCTATTGCTGCTATTACTGCTATTGTTTTCACTGTGAGCATTGCTGTTAATGTTGGTGATATCAGGAAGGTTTTGGTGGCTTCTGATTTTTCTTATTCTGCTATTTGCAGAAACATGGTTGATTGAGTTTATTGATGAAGGAGATCCCAAGTTTGGTGAAGAGGGGAGGGAAGAGTAACTTGCACTTCGAGAAACTGGAGCAGAAGAGACTTTGTGAACAGCAGGGATGATTCTGGTTGCGGCAAAAAAGACGGCAAGACGGTAAGACAAGGATACAAATACCGATGGGGTGACTGTTGAAACTGCGCCCCTGAGAAAATGGAAAACTGTTTCAAAAGATGAAGGCACAAGAGAAGCAATAGACGAGACAAGGTTTGTGTAGCCATTGATAATCACTGGTGGAAGTGGAGGAATATCCGGGCGTGATGAAGAAGAAAAAAAGTATAAAAAGTTTGAGGCGGAAATAGAAGATTGAAAGTCTGTAAATGTAAAGTAGAGACAATAGACAATGTAAGAGACCAAAAGCGACGACTCTACCGAATTCCCCCGGCCACTGACAATACCAAACAGCGCCAAAAAGGCAGAAATTGTGAGTACTACGCCAATCAAAGTAGCGCTTGCAAGGGAAATTGTAACTGGGAAAGTGTAAATGCGGTATAAAAAGTATAATGAGGATGATATCACACACGAAGAAAACAAGAGTTGAGGTATGATCCATGAATCCGAGCGTTTACGCACAAGCCATGTCGACACTCTGCCTGCAGTTTGAATGACTAAAAGAGAGCAAAAGCCCTCAAGGATTGTAAAGAGCGGTGTGGCATTTTTTAAAAACCATCTCCACGGTTCTAGAAAAAAAAGCCAAATTTTCAAGGCGGGGACCGATGACAGGAGAGAAATAGGGAGGTTTTCATCGGGTGATTCAGAAGAGGGGCTAATTGTCGAGGTTGGCGGTGAAAAAATACTGAGATGAAGAATCAGCAAAGAAGGAATGATGATTTGTTGCATATGATAGAGGGTTGAAGTGAGATATCTAAATTTTGTATTTCGTGCCAAAATTCGTAAAGTTGAAAGAATAAGATAGAAAAGAGACAATGTACCAGTGAAGGCAATGCCACAATCTTCTCCACCAACATCAAAGGCTAGTGGGATTGTGACAATAATGAGGAAAAGGTAAACAATAGAAGATATAGCCTTAAAGGCACGCCAGGAAAGGGTAGCCATAGTTGAAGCAGCGCCTTTGCAAATGGCGGTGAAAAAAAGAATGGGCCCAGTCGAAGATAGATGGTTGTAAGAAACGTAGCTCTATAGGAGGGGGGGGGGGAAAAAATTAAATAAAAAATAAAATAAAATAAAAAAAAGAAGAAGAGTGGTGTTAATCACAAAAAGAACTTTCTTGGTTACTTTAGAAGAAAAAAAATAAAACAACGAATGGGAAAAAGTAAATATTTGGTAGCAGGTATTACCATATCAAACCTTTTTTTTTTTTTTAAAAAAAAAAAAAAAAAAAGTAAATAAATAGGTTTAACTTAAAAAGAATTTTTAAGAATTTAAGAATAAAAAAAAAAAAAAAAAAAAAAAAAAAAAGGCCGATGTTGCGATTTCTTTAGAAATTCTCCATATTCAATGGGAGAATTTTTTTCTTTTTTAAAAAAATAAAAAAAAAAATATTGGGCGTATTTTAAAACCCTAACCCATAGTTACACTTCAATGTAACAGCCACGCACGCAATTATTATGCTATTTAATTAATTCAAAGTCCCGACCAAAAACAGTCATCGGAATTATGAAAAAGAATGAATAAACTGGACTTACCAATTGCCAATTAGCACCAGGAGAAAGTGCCATTTTATTGAAAAGGAAATAAAGATTTAATGGAAGTTTTGAATTTAAAAAAAAAAATAGGAGGAGGAGGAGAGTTTTAAGGACTTTCGGTGTTGCTTTATATGCTTTTATTTTTTTTTTTTTAAATCAAAACTGGCTCTATATACTTACCTATCAGTGCACATTAAACTTCGCCAGGTCGGCTTAGATGAGGGCCGATATGTCCCTTGTAAATACCTGCTGTATTTTGCTGTTATTGTTGATTTCAACCACTAAACTATATAGACCAAAGACTAGAAAAAACCAAATACCCAAAAACCCAATGACTAACAATCAATTACCCTGGAACTACAAACATCCACATATTTAAAATTGGCAAAAAAAAAAAAATTACAAACACCCAAGAAAGTAATTTCAAAAAGTATTTTCAAATTCAAACAGTGCGGGGATAAATGAATATCTCCAACTTTTGTGGCAAAGATAGGAACCTCGCAATGCACTATACAAAGAGAGGTCATGCGTATATTATCTTTTTTTTTTTAACTTATCTCACTAATATTTATTTCTAAATTGATTTTTTTAAATCCCTATTTTAACGCTTGGAACTGTGTTTTTAAAAAATTAGATCTTATATAATGACCGCAAATCTAGGTAGAATTCTATTAGGCTATCTTATTCAAAGCATTCAAGACATTTTTACAAATTAAGATTTATAAAAAAAAAAAAAAACGTCATTTTAAATCAAGCATAAGCTTAACCAAATGACATTGCTTTATTGCACACTTGATGATTATTTTTAATAAAAGTGTTTTCATGAAATCATACTTTGAAGGTTTATTATGACGTTGATGAAGTTCCTATAAATACGCACACCTCTCACATTTAGAGTAAATTACATCACAATATATATCTATTGAAAAAAAAAATTTTTTTTTTGGAAATTTGAAAATCAAAAAAAAAAAAATTAATACCTAAACACCCCATATTATAAAACAAACCATGGCCCGGGAATTATCTGGATCTAATAAAAAGTTCAGGTCTAAAAACCGTGGACGAACTTCTTTGAGATCTTCTATTGCTCCTAAAGGTACACTGACTGAAAAAAATGAACCTATAATAAAATCATCTGCATCTTCTATTAAGAAAACCACTAAAAGACCAAAAAAATATGCTGCTCCAGCCACAACCACGTCTTCTTCTCGAGAAGCTCGCTCTTCGTATAATGAACTTTTGGGGTTTTTAAAACCCAAACAAAAGAAACAAAAAGTTGAGCTGGTAGAAGATGATGAAGAAGATTACGGGAATGGTTCTGAAAATGAAGATCTTATGCAAGACGATGAAGAAGAAGAAGAAGAAGAAGAAGAAGAAGAAGAAGAAGAAGACATTAATGCCAATTTGAACGAGGAAAAAGAAATTTCTCAAGAACAGAATAATCACGAATTGGATAGCAATTATGATAGTTCAGATGAAAGAAATCAGTTAGAAGGCTTTAACGAACCCCAAGAAACCCCTGGTTCTGATGAGGAACAAGAAGAAGAGGAACAAGTCGATGAAGACTTTGAAGAAAAGAATGAAGATCCTTCAAATGAAAACGATTTATATTTTAAGCATTTTCAAAGTGTTGACTCAAGTGTTTTTGAACCACTCCCTCCACCACCAACTGTTCTTAGCTCTGCTAAACCTTCCATTAATTTGACGCCATCAAGTGCAGCAGCTGCAGCAGCAGCTATTGCTGCCTCTGAGTCTTTAGAATGGACTCCCAAACCTTACACTGCTATACCACAATCATCTTTCCCTCACAGATCTCTTTTGTATACTCTTGAAACACCTCACGGCAATTTCTGCCCAATAGAAAAATCGATTGAAAATTCAAAATCCATTTCAAATTTTACTGTTCGACCAAAATTAAAAGACCCATGGGCTCATGAAAACCCCAAACTTTCTCAAATTCAAAAGGATCTTCTTAGTCCCCTTTTTAGCTACAAGGATATTCTTTTCCCTTTATTGACACCAGAAAATCATTCAGACATTAGAAAGCTTTACTGTCTTCATATTCTCAATCATATCTATAAAGCACAAAGAACAATATACAATAATGATCTCCAACTGAGATTACCCGGTAGCGACCCTGATTTGGAGTTTCACGACCAGGGGTTTACGAAAACAAAAGTTTTGCTTATATTACCCACTAAAGACGCCTGCTACAAGGTTCTCTCTCAACTTGCCATTTTATCTAACTTGGAAGAACTGGCAAACAAAAAAAGATTTAAGGATGCATTTTATTTTAACGAAAAACCACCTTCCCACAGACCCGACGATTTCATTGAACTCTTTTCCGGAAATTCAGATGATATGTTTTGTTTGGGTATTAAAATCACAATGAAGTCAATGAAGTTTTATGCAAACTTTTATGATGCTGATATCATTGTTGCCAGTCCTTTGGGTCTCGACATGATTATAGGCAAAGAAGGTGGTGAAAAGAAACCTGAGTTTGACTTTTTGTCATCTGTCGAACTTGCTATTGTCGACCAGGCCGATGCCATGTATATGCAAAACTGGGAACATGTTCAAAACATTTTCAACAAACTAAACGTCACTCCCCGTGATGCACACGGTTGCGATTTCAGCAGACTTAAGCCCTGGTTTACTGAAGAAAAGTCTGCTTACTTCCGTCAGTCAGTCATTCTCACTCAATACCTTTCTCCTGAAATGAACTCGTTGTTTTCCAACTCATGCTTTAACCTTGCAGGCAAGTTGAAAATTAGACCTGTTTACGAAGGTGCCATGGCCAATATTAGTGGTGGCAATATCCGCATTCGTCAGACATTCTCCCGCCTGGTACCTCCTAGAAACTCTCATGAAGACTACGAAAACGATCCTTCTAAAGATCCTGATCTTCGGTTTACTTATTTCACAACAGTGATTCTCCCTTCTATTCTTCGTGGCGCTGATCCATCAGGAACTTTGATTTACATTCCTTCTTATATGGATTTTACCCGAATTCGAAACTACCTAGACAGCAAGAATGATATTGCATTTGGTGTCATTTCGGAATACACAGAGATTCCGGAGGTTACACGTACTCGTGCGTATTTCAAAGATGGCAAGATTAAGATTTTACTTTACACTGAGCGTTTCCATCACTTTAGACGTTATGAAATCAAAGGCGTCACAACAGTGGTTTATTACGGTCTCCCTGAAAACCCCCTCTTTTACAACGAGGTCACTCGCAACCTGATCCAAACTGTTGCCGATAGAAAACTTGACCCGGAAATGGTAAAAGTCAGAGCCATCTACTCGCAATGGGATGCCTTAAAATTAGAGCGTATTGTGGGCACAAAACGCGTGGGTATCATGCTCAAGGGCACTAGCGAGACTTATGAGTTTAAATAAAAGCGAGATTCAAATTAACAGAAACAAAAAAAAAAAAAGAACCTCTATTTACCCTATTTAATTATATAATTGTTATAGAAGTTATTGTTACTTGTGTTATTTAAAACTTCAAAGTTTTCGTAATTCATTAGTTCCACTTTACAGCTCCCTAGCTGTTAAAAAAATTTGAAAAAAAAAGTTGATTCTTGGATTGTAAGAATTTTTTCATCAATATGTTTTTATTGTTTAATTAATAAGTATGGCGATCTTAATAATTGTTAGTAAATCCAACTTAGTACAATATTATTTGACTTACAGCCATGGCAATGCAGCACAGAGAGACCCAAGGGCTCAGTCTTTCTCCTATACGCGCTGTTTTCCAAAAAATTCCTAAAAACCTAGAATAATATTATAAAAACTTGTGATTAGTTTTAAATGTTTTGGCAGCTAGTAAAATCACCTACCCATGTTTGTTTCGATCAATAATACCTGGGACCAGGGCTCGCGCATAAGTCGATGTGCATATTAAAAGTAAAATAACAAGTAACAGAGATTGAAAATTAAATAATGCCGACTAAAGAAAAAAAAACTGGTTAAACTAATGAAATCAGATTATTCAGAAATACTACATATTCATACCATTTTAGTGTAAATAGCCTAGCAATATATGTGTTAAAGGGTTGATGAAGGTTGTGATTAATACTGGAAATAAAATCTAGAAAGGTTTAGGTAGGGTAACGAATAAGTAGATGATGTGTAACACTCTTGTAACTTCAAATGATGGATAGTGCAGTACTCTCAGGAATAGACTTCCTAGAATGAAGCAAGCTAAATGTTTTCATCTCATTTAAAGTCAACACTTAACTTAAAATAAGCTCCATAGCCTAAATCAAATTCATTTCCAGTTTTAGAGAGAACCTCTGCACGCCATTTTTCAAGAGTAAAAATTATAGACAATTATACACGAATATATATATAAAAGGGAACGTAAAATCATTAAATTAAAAAAAAAAAAGTACCTAAAGGATTGTTCATTATTAAAGATCATGTCTTGGGATAGGGTCCGCCGATCTAGGTCGCTTTTTGCTTAGCAACTGACGGTGTCTGTCAGCTTGAATATGTAGCTCTGTAAGCATCACCATATGTTCTTGCAAAACCTGAGAGTTAATACAAACGTCAAAATCAATCAGGTACAAAAAGGCAATTTCTAGTCTATACAAATCTGCGGGAACAACGCCACCAACCATTGCAAATCGTTTTTGTTTGTAATTAATGTCTTCGATGGTTTTGCATGCAATACGTAAACTAGCAAGTAAAATGCGATGGACAGAAAGCGGTGTAAGAAGAATGGTTTGAAGCTCAATACAAAGACGGTAAATGTACAGACTTGCACTAAGGTAAACAGATGTCGAAAGAGGAGCCAGCCTATGAATACGCTGAAGATATTTCCAAATAGAAATCTCCGGTGGTTTGCGAGACCAAAATCGTTTAATAATTTGTCCTCTTTGTTCCATTTCCTTTTTAGAAACTGCAGAACGAGAATAGACCGAACTTGGTGATGTAGGTGCGGATTTATGGGATTTGTTATTGTTATTTTCATTTAACTTGGTATTATTATTTACAGTGTTGGTATTATTTTGACTGTTATTGATATCAGACTTATTATTATCTGCATCTTGGGTAGAATTATTTTGATTAGAATTATTATTGTCGCTGGGGAGTTGATCATCTTTTTCATTACCATCACTAATACTTTCTTCCTCAATAGATTTAGAAAATTCGCGTATTTGTGCGACTATGCGAGTATCTGCTGGAGCTAAACGACCATGAGAACGCCTTCGGTGTTCAGTTCCCTCAATAAGAACTGCTGCAACAACAGCAGCCTCCTCTAATATGGATGTTGGGTCTGAAGAAGATGGCTTTGCTAAGTCAGAGGTCGATATTAAATGTGGGGGCGTTATAGTGGCGTTTGAGTTTGAATTTGACCTGGTACTTTCATTTGTGTTACTATCGCCTTGGGATTTAGGGGCACCGGATGCACTAGCCAACGATGAGGAGGATGAGGAAGATGATGAGGATGAAGAAGAGGCCGCTTTTGCTCCTGGAGATTGTTCGGAAAGAACAGACTCTGCTTCTGATTCTGTACATGGAGAAACTGATTTGTCGTTAGTTGTTAAGTAAGATGATGATTTTGGCGATGAGCATGGCTCGATAGAATTTTTGTCATTATTATTTGTATCGAAAGAAGGAGGAGAAGCCAAAATAGAGGAAGGCGCAGAAGGGGAAGATGAGTTGACTTCGGAGCTAAGCGAAGAAGCATTGAAGTCGTCGGAATAGCTGCGTATGGTAGCGGTAGACTGGTAAACCAAAATGAGATTTTCGAGTGACTGATTCAAATAAGACATGGCTTGCTCGGAACTGACTGTTGATAAGTCAGGAACATTGTTTATATCTGTGAGAAGAAACTGATCACTTGGGACTTCAGCATTTTTCTGGGGATTGGTGGTAGCTGGAGACATAAATTCTAGAATACAAAGAAACCAGAGAATGCACTTTTTTTTTTTTTTTTTTTTTTTTTCAATAACCGAAAATAACAGAAACCAAAAATAAAAATGATTTTAGATAAAGAAAAATAAAATTAAAGATAAAACGATTTCCGAGATAAAGCAAAAACTGAAATTTATAATAAAAGAGAAAATAGAGAAAAGGGATGGGGGAAAAAAAAAAATGGAAGTAGTGGATTATGAATGATGTGGGGCGGGGCTAAATTTTTTTTTTTATGGGTTGGACCAAAATAAGCTATAATGCTGTATCGTAACTATAAATAAAAATAAAAAGCAACTAAAATTAAGCAGCCAGAGAATAAACAAGCTCGAATCACGATATATTTGTTTTCAAGAAGAAGAAAATCCACACAGTTTATTTATTTAATGAGAAAAAGGAAGAAAGAAGGAATAAAAAAAAAGGGTGATAAAATCTTGTTTTAATTTTTTTTTTTTTCCCCCCTCTAGCAAAAGTAAGTATATAGGTATATATATATATATATATAAAGCTCGGGTGCGTCCTTAGTTGGAAGGAATGAGGAGAGTCCAAAAAAAAAAAAAAAATTGTATGCTGATGGGCAAAGTAAACACAACGAGCGGTCCGTGAACTACCGAGAAAAAGTGTCATTACATATAAATAAATAAATAAATAAAAAATAATATAAAATATACATTCCGGATGGTATATTTAAATTAATGATGACTAATATATGACATATTATGCCAAAACAACAAAACAAAAGTTGAAGGGTTAAAATTTTTGCCCAAACCACCAAAACAAAAAAGTACCACCCCCTCACAAAAAATACCAAAATCTAATCTTTTTTTTGCGCGTGCCCATATACTTACTTCTAGTTCAATTGTTTTTTTTTTATATATATATTTATATTTATACTAATATAAGATGACAGGTAATTTGAACAATGGAATTTTAGATATAAAATTGAGAAATTCTAACCCTTCTATTTAATTTCATTTAGGTTCATCAAACTCTCCAGCCCCGTCTGGAAATCACATTCCACAACAAAACACGCGAACTTCAGCTTCACCACAACCCGCCACCGGAAATTACGCGTCTTCTTCGTCTTCTTCACAACAGCAACAACAGAATCACCAGCAACATGATTCTACAGGTTCAACAACAGCTGGTCAATCATCTTCTTCTGCTTCAACCTCTTCTTCTTCTTCTTCAGGATCAACTATGGCTCCAGTGCGACACGTATCACAACTTCTTCCAGTCCATATCAAGGCTCTCAATAAGGAATACAAAAACCAAGTTCAACTCGCGTTAAATAGTGCGGCAGATTCAAAAGAACAAAAGGATCATTATCAGCGTGCTAGACGTATCCAGATCTTATTACAGCAGTATCGAGAGACTAAGCTTCAACAACAACAGCAGCAGCAGCAGCATCAACAATCTCAACCACAGTCACAATCACAACAACAGCAGCAGTCACAACCACACTCGCAACCACACTCACACACACCCTCTCCTGTTCAAACTCAGACTACTCAACAAAAATCTGCGTCTACTTCTGTTTCTTCTCCTGTTGATATGAATTTCCGTGCTTCTAATACCCCTGATCCAGTTTCACGAAGCAGTTCTTCTTCTCCAATTCTCCAAACTACAAAGGTACCATCTTCTGCAACAAGCCAGCAACAAATCCGCACTGGTCAGCAACAACCACAGCAACAGCAACAACAGCAGCAACAACTACAGCAGCAACAGCAACAGCAGCAGCAACAACAGCAGCAACAACAACAGCAACAACAACAGCAACAACAACAGCAACAACAACAGCAACAACAACAGCAACAACAACAGCAACAACAACAGCAACAACAACAGCAACAACAACAGCAACAACAACAGCAGCAGCAGCAGCAGCAACAGCAACAACAACAACAGCAGCAGCAGCAGCAACAACAACAACAACAACAACAGCAACAACAGCAACAACAGCAACAACCACAGCCACAGCCACAACCGCAGCAACAGCAACAGCCACAACCACAACCACAACCACAACAGCAGCAACAACAGCAACAACAACAACCTCATCCCCAACCTCAAAAACATCGTGTACCTTCGCCTTTACCTAATACTTCAAACATTTCTCAGCAGATGGCTGCAAGTGCAGCAGCTAAACCTTCTCGTCCTAACACTACTGCTACCCAGTTTACAGGCAATTACCGAGCTGGAACCAACGCTAATCAAAGAGCACACGTTCAATCTCAAACATCTATTACTTCTTCTCATCCTGTTACTACTCACAAACCTCCTACAGTTTCTTCCACTTCTAATTTGACTGGTAATACTACATCTACTGCCACTAATGCATCCAATACTAATAACCTTGCTTCTCTTCGCAATTTGTCTTCCGAAGAATTGCTTAGCCGGTTGAACCATTTCAAAACTCGTCAAAATGAGTATGAAAATAGCTTGGCTGAGGTTGAGGGTCTTCTTAAAACAAAAAATAATTTAACTGATGAACAAAGACGAAATTTGAAGATTAAAGAGCAAAATTTCCGCACTCTTAGAGATCAGTTTAAAACTTCAGTTTTGACAATTACCCAGGAAATTCAAAGATCAGTTTCTAATCAATCTTATTCTCAAAATCAAACAGGAAATGTGTCCACCAATACTGGTAATATCAAGTCTTCTGTTGTTAATGACCATGGAAATCTTTCTCATACCAATTCCTCTCCCAATTTAAATACTCTTTCCACTGCTGGAACTACAGGTCCAGGGTTTTATTACAACCAAAATCAACAAAAGAATACATTTACTCAGCAAAACACTCAAAATACTGCTAATAAAGTTGCTCCTCATCTCCAAAAAACTACATCACAAAAACAAACTGTAAAACAATCAGGTATTAATGACTCTCAAACTATTCAAAGATCTCAGTCTTATCAATCTTTGCCAATCAAAACGGAGAGCAAGTTTAATATGCCAAACACTCAATCACTTCAAAATTCTTCTACATCTAACTTGAAATTTTCAGGAATCCCTGGATCAGCAAACTTGCCTACAACATCTGCAACTATTCCTGGAGCTGCCAATATAAAGCATCAAAATGCTAATATTCCTTCTTTACCTAATTTACCAACATCTGGTGATTATTCAAATTTAAACGCTGGCGCTGTAACATCAAATACCATCTCTGCATCTGCTCCCAAACGTCAATATCAAAAAAAGGCTCCTCCAGCCCCCACAGCTACTTCGCGTGCTGGATCTCCACCTGCTAAAATTTCTACTGTTAAAACTACAACAACTTCTGTTAATGACTCAAATAATACTGCTTCCCAGATGAAACGTGCAGAATCCACTCCCTTTCTTCCTGGATACAGTTCAACTCCAACAAATGCAAAAGGTGGTATTGGCTTGCAGTCATCAATTAGCTCGCATGATAGCCATATTTCATCTAACATGGGTGAAAGTAAACCCATAGTTACTGGAAATGTCACTGCTTCATCCATGACAACATCGACCTCCAATCCCTTGAATGCTCCAACATCTGGCACTTCCACACCCAAATACAACAAAACAACAACTACCAGTACTGCAAAACCAGCAAGCTCTGTACCTGTCAAGACACGAGTATCTACTGGAAAGGTTGGCCGGCCTCCTCTTTCGGCTACAGGTGGTAGCTCCAAAAACAAGCCCAGTTCAATGTCAAATACCAGTACTTCATCTAATACGCTTAACAATACTGGTGGTATCAGTAGCTCTGGAAGTAGCACAAATCTCAGCAATCTAGGTAATCTGAATTCCAGCGTTGGTGGTAGTACAAATTTAAATTCAATGGGCTCAGCAAATTCTGGTGTTTCAGGTGCCAACAACAATACCACTGGAGGAAACTTGCTTATTGGACCTAGTAATTCATTTGCATCCGCCTCAGTTGCTCCCCTTCCATCAATTCCAATGGCTGAAAAGGTATTCAATAAACGTAAGATTCACGAGCTCATTAAGGACTTGACACCAGAGGATTTAGAAGGAATTACTGATAATGATGTCGATGAGTTAATTGGAGATTTGGTGGAGGGTTTTGTTGATAATGTTACCAAGTTTGCTTGCAGATTAGCCAAACACCGCAAAGCTAATCATGTTGACATCAAAGACCTTCAACTTCATCTTGAGCGTAACTGGAATATCCGTATCCCTGGCTATCTTCCAGATGAAGTCCCTGTCATTAAGAGACCTGTTCCTACTAAATCATATGTGAGCCGCTCAGAGTCAGTCGATGTCACCAAGTATTTTGGTTACAATCCCAAATATCAAGCACCTAATGGAGCTCCTCTTCCACCTTCTGGCTCATCTGGAAAATAATTTTAGATTGACGAAATTTTTTTTTCAAAATAAAAAAAAAAAAAAAATTACCATAGTAATTCTTAAAAGAACTAGACTCCTAGACTATTTGTGTAATAAATAAATAAAAATAATTCATTCTACTTATGCCTATTCATCTTAAACACAATTAATTGAAATCACAAAAAGCCGCAATTAATGATTTCTTTTGTATTTCGAAATGGAAGGATGGAGACAAAAAGATTGCTTCTGCATGCTGAAAAATACACGTGTAATTCGTAACTCTAAGACCATCTTATTTTTTGTGGGTGGCCAGCAGACGTGTGTTTATTGATGCCACCCAACCATCCACCCACTAGTATTTTCTTAAACCCTTCTAGTTGGTTCCACGTTTTTAATATATAAAGGCAACTTTTTCCCTCCTATTTTCCACCTGATTTCTTATTATTATTTTTGTTAACTCGTTAACTTTTACCACCTCATAACTTTAAAAAAAAATGCCTTCTGATCAAACTTCAAAAGATCTTGCTCTTGGAATTGTCGACTTCCTTAAGAGCGCAATTGCTGATGGCACTATTACTTCTGATGACGCTGAGTCTGTTGAAGTTGCCATTGAATGCCTTTCAGATGTCTTCCAAGTCGATGAATCACGAAAAGAACAAGTTTATGGAAAGCAGAACTTGCTGAGTATATTTAATGCTTTCCAGCGCTTGAAGGAGCGCAAGAAATCCTCTGAGCCGGCTGAGACAACTGAAGCTGCTCCATCTGGTCCCTCCGAAGCTGACAAGGCCAAGGCTGAAGAACTTAAGGCTCAAGGTAATAAGGCTATGGGCCTTAAGGATTATGGCTCTGCTATTGATTTCTATACCCAGGCTATCAATTTGGATCCTACCAATGCTATCTACTTGTCTAACAGAGCTGCTGCTCACTCTTTTTCTGGTGCTCATGAGGAAGCTGCTGATGATGCCAGAGCTGCTATTAAGATTGATTCCAATTACACCAAGGCTTACTCTCGTCTCGGTCTTGCTCTGTACTCTCTCGGCGATGCTGAGGGTGCAGTTAATGCTTACTCCAATGGTCTTAAGCTTGAAGGCGCCACTCCTTCTGAGGCCATGAAGAGAGGTTTCGAGACTGCCAAGAAGAAGGTTGCTGAAGATTTAGATTCAGTTGTTCCTGTTACCACTGATGAAGAAGAGATTTCTTCTCGCAGTGCTCCTTCCGACTCCGGCGCGGGCGCTGGTGCTGGTGCTGGTGGCTTTGACTTGAACTCTCTGATGAATAACCCTGCTATTGCCCAAATGGCTCAAAAATTCATGTCTAACCCTGGCGCACTTTCTGATATGCTCAACAACCCTGCTCTTAAGGGTATGATGGACAATGTGAAGAACTCTGGCAGTATGCCTGATATGAATGACTTGATGAACAACCCCATGCTTCAAAACATGGCCAAGAACTTTATGGGTAACAAGAAGTAAAGTAGTTTTGGCTTTTTTTTTTGTTAGTTGTTCATGACTTTAATGATGGTATGTTTTATCTTATTTGCTTTATTTTTTAGTGACTGTTTTTTCTTACATGATGATTTGATTCAATCTGCAATTCCAAGGTATCATAAATATCATGAACTGTCAACCGGCTTGTGTGTTGGGCTCCTTTCGAGGTTGATTCCCACATAGGTTAATTTGACTAAGTTTGATTAAATTGATACACTGCAGAAAATATATCACATCACATTTATTCTTTATCTGATTTCAAAAGAAAGAAACAGACTTTCACACAAAACTCTTTTTTGATTTTCAAAATTCATTCTAACATGTACTTCAAGATTTAGATGTCCTTTTTATGCCCTTTGTATAATGTTGAATTTATTTTTTTCTTTTGAAACGAAGTAATAACTTGTAATTTCATTGTGTTTAATTGTGAATAGTTTTTTTAATATGAGAATAGACTTGCATTTTCATAGTTGTCTTGCTATAAAGTCACATGATATTTTGCAACGATTTTCTCTGAATTTCATGTAGTTTCTGATCTAAATATTATAACAGGATGTTGCAAATAGTCTTCAATACAAATGTTATTATCACATGGTATTATCTTGTTTATCAGTTTCTACTAACACCACTACAATCATGTAAGTAAGTATAAAAGTTTTAAAGAACAAATCTCCCCCATCAAATCTTTCTTTTCTTACCAACCACCGCACCTTGTGATACCCAATGAAACCACTACCGACATTTCCAATGCACATGTGCACTCTTCTCTTATACCTAACAGCTGTTTTTTTGACGCCTTGTTCAGTAAGTGCATCCATTTTTATGACTGAAGATAAAACATGCGACCCGCTGGCAACAAACTGGCTAGCTTATACCGGGTTCCGCGTGCAACGACTCTACGGATACTCCATATATCCAGGGCTCCCTGAAACCCGTCATGTAATGCTTCTTTCACATTGCTCGCAGGGACGCGTGAACTATGGACCTGCAGTTGTACCCGTAGGACGACATGAAGACATTGCATGGGGGGTCAACATTTGTGGGAGCACTCCAGACCCAAGTGCACTTGCACCTGCGCCTGTCTCATTTGTAGATCGACAACTAAAAAAGAAATTGTTGCGGCTGAAAAAACGAAGACAACGATGGACACTTAAAAACCCGCTTTATCGAACAAAGTATGGAACTAAGGTGTGGGTGAAGTGGATTGCAAGTCCCAAAAGACGATGGTTGTTTCGACAAGTGCGGAAAATGAATACCAAGTTACTTGCACAACAAGAAAAAGAAATGAATACAATTTATAAAAACGATAACAATACCAAAAAAGCATGGAACTATATGTATGAGAACCCGGATGATGACGAATTGTTAGCATTGTCAAAAAACGGCATGGCCATTGACCAACTAAGCATGATGAAAGTCGGGCCTCTTGAGCGGTTTTATGACTGGAGACGCCGAGTGTTGCTTGCTGCATCGTTACGCATGGAAGCCGTGTTAAATTCAACAATACCTTTGGCTGATGCACACAGACTAATGAATGGATACGGAGCATTGGATTCGACTGCTAACGGAGGGTCGGAGCGCAGTAAATTTTGGCGTAAAATGGGCGGCAAGTTTAAAAAAAATGCTGTACCCCAATACATGTGGGGAGAAAGTAATGCTGATACACAAAACTTGAATGGGGGGGAACCTGAAAGTAAAGATCAGTTGTCTCTTGATACCGTAGGTGGAATGTTCCCTGGAGGCGGGTCGTCCATAGTGTCGCATGCATTGTCACGATTGTCTTCGAATCCGTTAGACCCATTCACAGATCCACCACCATATTGTTACCGGCTTGTTCGAAGGAAGCGATATGCGCTGCGACATGTATCTGTGTATATGCAAAACACAATTGTAGGAGGGTTGTTTATGTGTCCACGGTACGGGCGATGCACAAACCAAAATGCAATACCTGTGTTGCCGTTGTATAGCGATAATTATGAAGGCCAGTGGATTGAGGCAGGCCCCATTCAGTGGTACAAAGCAGGAGCTCAGAGTGCGGAACTTGCCCGAGCAGCGTTTGCACGGGCCGCTGGGGTTGATTTTTCAATGAGTAAAGTATGGGGCATGATATTTTCTGATTTGAAAAAAAGCAGTAATTCAGGGGATGAGGGAAATGCTGAAGATCAGACACAAGTAACAACAACACCTGATGACGATGGCACAGGAGAAACTCAAACAATCAAGCTGGGTAAACAACTAGTTGCTCCCATGAAACGCAAAGTACAAGCCACAATGGGACTATTGGCAAATAGACTACCTACATGGCTCTCTCTCCGGCGGTCTGTGGTTCAGCGGGTCCCGTTTTTGTACACATCTGCAGCAGATGGGCGGCGTGGACATGAGAGTGACGGGGTAGCAGGGCTATGGCCGTTATGGGCACACGAGCTGGAAGTTGACGAGGAGTATGAGTATGACACATTGGAGACACAGTTTGTGAATCGTGCAGTGACCAAGGCTGTGAATGTAATGGCATCGAGTGTTCGGCGGATTGATTTTAATTGGGAAACAATGTTTAAAGAAGAAAAAGAAAAGGAAAAGGAAAAAGAGAGTGAAAGTGAAAGTGAAAATGAAAATGAAAATGAAAATGAAAATGAAAATGAAAATGAAAATGAAAATGAAAATGAAAATGAAAATGAAAATGAAAATGAAAATGAGAATGAGGACGAGGAGGATAGTTTAGGATCTGAAAAAGAAAGATTGGGAGTGAAAACTCTCAAGACATGGCCCTTTACATCCTTTTTTTCAAACAATATGTTGTATAGGCTGCGCACCCTCGGATTTTCCAAAAAAAATGTGTGGGAGACGGTGCGTAAGTTGCAAGAGCCGTTTGACGAAATACCGACTTGGCTCAATAGCTTACCAATTCGAGCTCAAATGAGTAACCCAAAATAGTCCTAGTTGAATAAATAAATAAATGAATAACTAAAATAAAAATAAAATGTAGTAGATATATATATAGATAGACTGACAGACAGACCTAAAAGGGGGGAGAGGGGATGGGAATTAAACAAAAAAAAATTTTTAAAAGTTTTTATAGAAATTTTTATATAATTTTACATGAAATTTTTAAACCAAAGAAATGAGAAAAAAAAAAATAACAAAAAAAAAAGGGAAATTTTTAAACAAAAATAAAAAAAAAACGAAAGATTAAATAAAACATAATTATGCGTATGGATGTTGCGCTGAGATATGTGTGTGCCGGTGGATTTTTATATATATATAGTGAGTGAGTGAGTGAGTGAGTGAGTGAGTGAGTGAGTAAAACAAATGTTGCAACTTTTTTTTTCTTTTTTCCAAAATACTGAGAGATCCCTATTTTTTTTTTTTTTTAAAAAAAAAAAAAATTGTTGTAAACTAAAATTGTCAAAAATTATTTTTTTTTTCTAAAAAATCTTCTTCCAGACATTACGCTTACTGGGTTTGTCGTTAGAAATTGACGATGGCGACCCAGCGCCCAAGTCGGTTTCATTAGTAAGGTGTGATTGTGACGATGATGATCGCAGCGGGTTGCTAGTGTTAAGCCCTGTAGCTGCAGGAACATTATTTATCGATGATGTATTGGTAATTGTATGTGAGATGGGGATATTTGTTGCAAATGGATTGCTATTGTGGGGAGAATAACCTCCATCATTGCGGGTAGATTCTGGCGTTGACGCAAAGGGGTTCCCGCTTAAATTGTTAGAAGCGCTTGAGGGCCGTTGTACAGCACCATTGACACTACTTAACAGTGGGTATGCTGGAGCAAAAGATGTACCTGAGTCACGCACTGAAGGGGGTACACTGTTTCCATTATTTTGAAAAGAGTTAGAGAGGCTAGCGTATGAGTTATCAACCTCAAAGGAGTTGCTCGTTACACCATTTACACTAGCCTTGGGTTTTTCGGAAAAAGGGTTTGAGTAAGAACTATTATCATCGTCGCCAAAGACATTAGTGACAGGACCCGGGTTCTGGCGCTTTTGTTCTTGGTCGTAGTTGCTATATTCATCATCAAAAGGGCGGTTGTATTCAGAACCACTTTCCATATATGTAGGTTCGTGATCAGCACGTGCAGCAGCGCCAAGAGCAGTAAGCTCGGCAATGTCTCCAGAGGCGGCAGCCTTTTGGTCCTTGATGAAGTTTGCTCTGTCGTCGGCAGCAGGCTTGTAACGGGCGTCAGGGTTCTTAGAAAGAAGAACAATGGAACAGGTAATGAGGGTGTAAAGCAACAAGATGAGAGAAAATGCCGCATTCATAATGAAGAAGATGATGCCCATGACTGAATCCACAGAGCGGGGCTGGCCAAAAAGATGGGAGAAAAAGAGGAAAAGGAACGAGTTGATGAGCATAATGACGCCAATAATAATGTTGATAACATTGGTAGACTTGTCCATGTAAGGGCGGTAGTAACAATTGCTGATAAAGTAAAAGATTTCAATGATGAAAAAGGCCAGGGCTTGGGTTCTGCCAGAAGACTGGGCAAATGAAACAAAGCAGGACTTGACAAAGAAGTAGCCAAGAATAGGAATAATGTAGTAGTAAGAAAAGGCCTTGTATGGAACGTAGAGGAAACCATATCTGTTGAGAACACTAGTATCAGAGAATAGGAGGTAGGCAGGAGTCTCGTGATCGCGGATGGATTGTTTGCCGGTGAGAAGGACCTTAGTTGCGGACCAACCAAGGATGCCGATAGAAAGGGTAAGGAAGAAGACGGCAAGGACAATGACGGCAGCTGAATCACGCTGGATAAATTCCCAAAGAGAAAAGACGAGGAGGGAGGGGAAAGCAATAAAGAGAAGACGAAGGATAGTACCCTTAAGCATAAGGGTCCAGTTGGATCTAAAGTAGGGGAATTTGTCTTTAGAGAAAAAGGTAATAACCAAAAGATAGGCCAAACCGAAGCAGATGCAGACAGCAATGCAGATGAGAACAAAAAAGGTAAAAGAAGTAAGGACAGCCGATGTTTCCTCAATATTAGCTTCATAAGCAACACGCTTGATACCACGCAAGACAAGCAAGGTATCGGTGTCCTCAGGGGCCTTGTCCAAGCCAACTGATGAAGACGCACGTTTGTAAAGGCCCGAGGTGTATGGGTTTTCCTCGAGTTGACTTGCGAGATAGTGGAGAAGGTCGCGGGTATGATTAGTGAGTTGGGTCATGATTTGGTCACGCTTTTGAGTGAGAATGGAGATTGTTGGATACGAAATATACTGAGTTGGGGTGCCACCTGTGGCGGCCACATACCAGCGGAAAATCTTTTGCATAAAAGTGACACGAATAAGTCCAACGGACCAAGCAAGGTTTTGAGCCCAAGAAGAAGCAATAGGAGGCATACGCTCGACTGCCAGCATGGAGATGATGACGACGGACTGAAAGTAGGCAAAGAGAGAGACAGAGTTTGCAGCAATGTGTGCGGCCGTATATGTGGAGCCCATGGTTGAGATGATTGCGGAAGTAAGCATACCGATACCTGCAATGATTGCAGTAACCCACTTGACGGCAATATGGTTAACAGACTTACGGTTTGAAAGTTCAGCTTCGATACAGGCAATGACAGTGTTTGTATCGTCCTTGACCTTGACAACAACAATGGCATCAATATCTGGGAAAGTATAAGCGATTCCAGGGATTTCTGAGACGACACTTGAGGAGATGTGGTAGGTTGAGGATAAGTAATTTGAGCCTGGGTAGACAGGACAAAGACCACCAGCATCTAAGGAACAAGGATCAACATGTTCAGAGATGATTTTAAAGCCGTAAGCGTAGACATCGACATAAGCCTGGACATAACCTGAGATTTCAGCTGTAATGTTGACAGTGTAAGTGATTGTAGAGTTAATAGGAGTGAAGGCAACGTTGAAGCGGTCAGCAGAAAGCTTTGAGTTTGACATGCAGGTGTAAAGAGAAGAAGCTTCGATAACTCTGTCGGTCATTGCAGAGACGGACCCGATGAGAGAGAGAGAAATCAGGAGAGAATAAAGAAGCAGGCGAAGCTTCGACAGAGGAGTCGCCAGCAACATTTTGTTTATGGGAAAGAAAGAAAGAAAGAAAAAAAAAAAAAAAAAAAAAGGGAATAATTAGAAAAGAAAGAATATAAGGATATTAGATAGTTATAAGAATGAGAGGAAGGGTTCTTTCTTATTAAACGAGTGGTGGTTTTGTATATAAATATATAAATATATAAATATATATATTTTTGGGGGGTATTTTATGTAGTGTATGAATTGTGAAAAGAAAGGAAAGGAAAAAAAAAAAAAAAAAAAAAAAAAAAAGTTTGGAGGTTTTTTTTTTTTTTTTAGGGCGGTGCAGTTATTTTATTTTTATATTTATATTTTTATATTTATTTTTATATTTATTTTTATTTATTTATTTAAAATATTTAAAATATTTATTTAAACAAAAGCAGTGATCTAAAAATAGAAGATTATTAATATTTATGTCATCATTCCAAAGCAGCAGCAGCAGCGGCAGCAACAACAACATTTAACAACAACAACAACAAAAAATTAGCAGACAATTTTTTTTTATTTTTTTTTTTGCCCAGAGAAAATAAAAAACAAACAAACACCGGCTTTTGACTTAAAAATTGACTTAAAGATTTGTCTGGCCAAGTGACATTTTTTTAAAGATAAAAGATTTAAAAAAAAAAAAAGACTTTTATTTTTATTAATATATATATATATATATATATATATAAAATTAAAACTCTGGATTGTTTAATAATAGAATTAAAAGTAACTCTGAAATAAAAAAAAAAAAAGAATCCTACTATAAGTTGATTATTCAGAAAATATGGTGAAGACATAAATGACAAACATTTATCCCTCCCCCTATAATATGAAAACAAGTTTAAAAAAAAAAAAACCAAATTGAAAGTTTCTTTTTCTTCTTTAATATATTAGTTTAAAAGGAGAGAGTGTGTGGAAAAAAGAAAAAGAGTTTCAAAAAAAAAAAAAAATCTCCTTTTTCTTTTATAGAAGATCTTGTTTCAGACCAGTAAAGTTCTCGCTTGCGGGCTTTTTTTTTTTTTTTTTTTTTTTTTCCCCGGACAAAACTCATACTCATACCATTAAAAAAAAATTTATTTGTTTTATTTTTTTTACTTTTTTAACCGCAAATGGCAAATGGCAAATGATGTGCACCAAGATCGGTCCGTCTCCACCTCGGCTGAGTTATATGGTTTCAAAAACTTCAAATAGAGATAAGTTTAAACTAGATTATAAAGTTAGTTCAAGTAAATATACCTAGTCTAGATCTCGTTTTGTGGTTAGTTTAGGCTTTAGTTGATAACTAGCTTCTTTGTTAAATTAAATATATATATATATATGGGGTAATTAATAAGATATTAATACAATATTACGTAATTATATTAATCAAATATAAGCAACTTTTTAAATGAAAAAGATCTCATCTAAACTTGATTTCATTTCAAAACATTGAAATTTTTAAATAAATTTTAAATAAATTTTAAATAAATTAAAAAAAAATTAAAAAAAAAAAATAAACATGTTCATAAAAATTAATATATTAGTCATTATTATCATCATCATCATCATCATCATCATCATTTAAATGGTCATTAAATTATAGAAACACTCATGTTGGCACTGACCCGACGAGTATGACCAAGGAAAAATGTCTCACCATTACCACCTCCACCTGCAGATCTTCCAAGTTTTCTAAACGGGTTCTTACTAATAGATACCGATGATGAAGGAGAAGCTGTTGTAGGTGAAGAAGCCGCTGTAGCAATAACACCAGATGAAACAACATGAATCGCACTATGATTACTACCACCATTTATTCCAGTCCGTTTATCAGAATCATGCTGCTGCTCGTTACACGGGGTTTCATACACAACTGTCGCTGAAGTGGCAGTTATTGCCGCAGAACTATAATACACACTAAACCCAGTATATCCACTCCTGGCACTGTGCACACGACCGCTATTAAGCACTTGAGTTAGTCCCGTGGCTGCATCCAAGTCTTGGTCCTCATCGTCCTCATCATCAAAAAATGAAGAGTCGCCACCATATAAGCAATCCATTCCATCGCTTTCAAATCCGTCATCTTCAAAAGAGTCCCCAAAGAATTGACTAAATGATATCGAGTCTCTGGTACTTTGCTGTTGGTCATTAGAACCCTGTTCTTTCTGCTGCTGCTGCTGCTGTTGCTGTTGTTGTTCAAAAGAAGACATGGTAGATGGTGTGTATGAAGGTGACGGTGATGGCAATGGTACCGAAACAAGAGTCGCAACAACAGGATCTGGTGATGAAGATGACGATGTCATTGGGGATGGAACAGGTTCACTTGTTATTGTATTCATGGTAGTGGTGTTGTTGTTGTTAGTAGTAGGCACTGTAGTTATTTCACGAATATACTCTTCAGATCCAACCAAAGACGCGGCCAGCGCGTTTCCTCCACTACAATGTCGAGAACTTCCACCAACCCATACAACTCCATGCGATACTTTTGCAGGAGGTACATAACTATGGGTGCTACCTGCGCTATACACGCGATGCTGCGAATGAGGTAGAGTTGTTGAAACACTAGAGTTACTCTTCTGTTGCTCCTCTCCAATCTCTTGAACTTCCTCCTTGGTCTTTAAAAACATTACCTTAGGAGGCTCCTGAGTCTCTTGATAAGAGCTGTAACTAACATCACTGCTGCTATACCCACCATTCTCATCGTCTTCATCACCTTCATTTGTCATCATCGAATTGTATCCTGCAGAACCGGTCGACGATGAAGCAGAGGGAAGTGATGGCGAAGCCACAGCTAATGGCAGCTCTGTAGCAATCTTTTGGGGTCTATGGAATCCCCGTTGCACCGCAATAGGTTTAGCCACTTGGTCATTGTTAAGAGTCGCATCATTGTTATTATTTTGATCATGGTCAACGTCATGAACAACAGTAACAAGAACACTATCTTTATCTTGACTAGAAACCAAAGTATTGCCAGTATAGATCTTTTCATCCTCCTCGTCATCATCGTCGTCGTCGTCGTCATCATCATCATCATCATCATCATCAATGGTACTCAAAAATGAGGATCTAATGATATTCATGGCACGTTCCACATTAATGTCTGTTTGCTTCATTTCAATGGGAGCAAGCAATTGTTGACGCTTTTCACAGCCACCTTTGTCAACAGTAACACTTGTGGAAAGTGCATCATCACTAGTAATAGCTGACGGTAATGAAGACTCGGCAACAACTACACCATTACTCGAAATATTATTATTGTCAGCCGTGGGAGTGGGATTTCCCTCTTCAATAATAATAGATTCTGCAACAATCTTGTCACTTTGACCTTCATTCACTTCACTCTGAAGCTTAAGACTGGTGCCACTCAAATTAAAAGCTGAAAAGCTACCGCCCAAGCTCTCCAACGAAAGCATTGCAGATTTTTGCAGACGAGTACCTCGGATGAATGATGATTCCGTAATTTCTGTGTTGGTTACTGCCGCAGAAAATTCTCCCCTATGGGGAGGAGGAATATGTTGGTGGAAAAACGTACGGCGCGTATCGTCATCCTCTTCGTCTTCTTCCTCCTCCAGGTCAACTTCAGGAGTATTGGAAAGCCTGAGCGAAATCGGGTACTTGAAAGAGTTTGAATTGACTACTGACTGAAAGTTAGAAAATGTAGCCGATTGTCTTAATCGTGGAGAGACAGTATTAGTAGTAGTAGTAGAGGTAGTCACTGTAGTTGAAGAAAAGGCAGAAGTAGAAGAGATTTCAGGACTAGCCAAACTATTGCTATTATTTGTTATGGTCAATGATGAAGAAGTAGTTGTAGTAGTTGTTGTTACAGGAGGGTGTTTAAAAGGCCGAGAAAACGAGGAAAAAAAAGAGTGGCCGGGCTCAGATCTAGAAACAGCAACTGGCACCGTTGCTGCTGAAATTGTAGGAACTGTTGGTGTTACCGACCGTTGCATTCCAGAGTCTGGTTTGTGGTGAGCAACCTCAACATCATTAACGGTAGACCCCCCGTTAGACGAATGACCAGTAGAATAGTGTCCTAGAGAAGATGACGACACATTACTGTGATTGTTATTGTAGATTTGACTGGTATTGTTACTAGGATATGGAGAAAGATTATTATTGGTGGTGGTAGTTGTAGTGGTGTTGCAAGATGCTGTGGAAAACCGGCGTTGATAATTTGTCCCAACACTGCTATGTCTTGTTTGATTGCGAGATGTTTGAGGTGACAAATTGTGTTTAGAAGGATAATGATGGTTGTAGATATCATTACTATGCAAATGGGAGTAAGAAATAGGAGAAGTTGGGCTATTAGGGAATGAATTGGAAGTTGAATTGTCGTAATGTTGAATTTGAGAAATTTGAGAAAGATGAGAATGTTGTGGCTTAAGCTCTGGATAAAGAAGTTGGTGAGTTTCAAACTGTAGAAGCGCAGAATCTTGTTGGGAAGATGAAGAGGAGAGATTTGTAAGAGAAGAACGTGATCTTAAAAAGTTTTTAGGATCAGAAAAGTTAATAGAAGAGCGTTTTGAAAGAATACGCTCAAATGGATTTGAAGTAGAGTTTGTTGAAGAAGTTGAAGCCACTGAAGATTTTCGAGGAGTTGTAGCAGTACGAGAACCAGAAGTGGTATTATTTTTGGGGACTTGTAAAAAACCAAATTCTTGTGGGGGTTGTTCTTTTAAGCTGTTTATTGTAAGAGAACGTTGTTTTGAATGTCGCGAAAAGAATTTTCGTTTCTGTTGAGGTTGTTGAGGTTGTTGAGGTTGTTGCGATTGTTGAGTTTTTTGAAACTGTTGAGTTTTTTGAATTTGATGAGAAGTTTGAGGTAGTACTGAAGAAGAAGCACTGATGCCAGGATTGGAGTAGAGACTACTCATAACATTAGAGCTTCTTCTACGGCTAATATCAGGAGATGAAGCTGTAGGGGTCTGCGCAGAAGGGAATGGGGTTGTTTCTTCATAGAGATAGCAGCTATATGGATGGCCATGAGGAAGTGGTTGTTGTTGTTGTTGGTGAGTATTCAGTGGGCTAATATCATGCTGGGAAACATATAAAGAAGGAGTGGATTTGTTTGAAGGAACAGAGTCCAAAGATGCATTGGAGAATTGGGGAGTAGTTTGAACAACAGGAGAAATTTGGAATGTTTTTAAATGGTTCACATTTTCATTGTCATTATGTTTCGAGGTTAAAGAAGAAGAAGTAGCAGGAATGGGATCACTGATTAGAGATTTAATGCTAGAGAGGTTTGTGGTGCTATTATTAGTGTGGATACTAGTAGATGAAGAACGATGGGCAGATGCACTTCTTGGTCTGGTAGTGATGGGGGTAGTTGTAGATGAAGTTTCTGAAATTAATTGTTGTTTTTGTTGATGAGAGTTGTTATTGTGAAGAGATTCGTCTGTAGGTAGCTGGGATGTAGTAATGACACTAAGGGGTCTTCGTAGACGTTTCCAAGAAGAATGCAGAGATGGTTGGTCATTTCGTTTAGTGAGTTGTTGTTTGTGCTGGTTATGAAAGTCATGAATGGCTGGCATTGAAGGTGAAGTTGAAAGAGTATGAGTCTTTCCTGGACTATTATGGCTTTGATGCGAGCTACGCTTTAGAAAGGTCATTATAGAGACACTTTTTAAAGATTATATCAATTAATAAATATATATAGTTAATGAATGAAAATTAAATAAGAAAGAAAAAAAAAAAAGAGGAAAAGATTTTGTTTTATAACCTTTTTTTTTTTTATATATAAAAAAAAATAAAATAAATTAAAAAAAATTCAGGGGGGGAGAGGGAGGTTTAGAGGGCGGGCGGCAGTGTGCAAAGTTTTTATATGGACGAGCAGTTGAATATATAAAATGAGGTTATGACCGTTCGGCTAATAAAAATAATAAAAAATAATAAAAAATAAAAAAAAACCTTAAAATGTTTGTTTTGGGCAGGTGCGTCTCTACAGCAACAAAACCAGTCGATTTCTTCTTTGGGGCTGCAAGCAATCAAAACTGGCGCAACGCGTCTGGCGTTGAGTTTTCCCAGTTTTTTTTTTATTTTATTTTTTTATTTTTTATTTTTTAATAAAAATAAATAAATAAATTTCAATACTTTGTAATTATCAATATCAATAATAATAATAATAATAATAATAATAATAATAAATAAATAATTATTTAAAAATAAATAATCCTCAACTATATATTCAAATGCCAGTCTTCATTTCTCCACCCCCCACAACTTCATTATCTTCTTCTACAAAAGAAGCTTTGGTATTCCCAGGATTGTATCTATCAGCCGCTGCTATCCATATCTTCTTTCTATTCCCACAAAAAGCTTCTCCTATCATTCGCTACCTCAATGGCTTGCATAGTGACCCATATGTGATGGCTTTGGCCCAAAACCTTGGCTATGCCATCGGAGCTTTATTTATGTTAGGTTTCGTTCTAATGCCTTTAGTTGTTCTGGTGCTCCTTTTTGCCAACGGCATGGACCCAGCTTTAGATGGTCAATGTCTCCTGGAACAACCCCTTTGGCCTCCTAGTACAATTAATTCTTCAATCCAAAGTTTGTCTCCAGAATGTCTAGCATACCGGCGCTACCACATGGTTCTTGTTGTGGGTATAGCCATTGGCATGTTGCACCATATTCAATTGTCTATTGCTTGGGATAATTTTGAACGAGTTGCCTTGATGAAGAAAGCCCCAGTTCAACAAACATTGTTTTCAGGCGTGAGCTATTTGAATTTAATGTGCACTATTGTATTTACCTTAACAATAACGTTTATTCCTATTCCATATTTACCATTACAGTTTAAATTCTTTTTTACCGTATTGGCATTTAGTTCAATTAGAATCCCTGGAACTATTTTTGAAATTATTTATGAACTGCAAATGAGACCTGGGGCTATAGTTTACGAAGAAGGACAAGTTATTATGAATGGTTACGAGCCAGTAACTCAGTGATTATTGAAAAAAAAAATTTAAAAAAAAAATTAAAAATAAAAAATAAGGGGGGGAGAGAGAGGTTGGTTATACGCTTATGGTTTCTAAATTATATATACAAATAACAAAAGTTTAAGTATATATAAATATATTTGGAGTAAGGAGGAAAAGAAAAAGAAGAAGAAAAAAAAATTGCAATGACGAGGAATGAAAACTAGGAAGATTGAGTTTTTTTTTTTTTTATTATTTATTTAATAATAAATTACAAGCGACTGATTAAAGTAAAATTGTTTTTAAGATTGAGGCAATGTCTCATATTTTGCCCATATACGGCTATACAAAATCATGATAAAGTCTAATATAAAAAAAAATTAAAAAAGTAAAAATAATGTTATTGTCTATATAATCAAAAAGTATATTGGAATGAATCTAAGGAGAAACTAGCCTTCTTTCTCTCCCCTACCCCCCTCTTCTCTTTAATCATCATCATCATTTTGTTCAGGAGGATGAAGAAGAATCAAAAAAAAAAAATTTTTTTCTTCATATTTTACAAATCAATTATATATATATAAGGGGTGTTGGTTAGTAACTATAGATATTTATGACTCTATATATATATATATGGTTGTATTGAATTCTAGTAGTTTACTATATGAATAATAGTTAGACTGGAATTTCCAGTGCAAAAAAAAAAAAAATCTCCCCTCCCTTCTCAAAAATAATCGCTTAAATACACGTAAACCATCAAAAGATTGAAGAGTAACAAAATGCTGGGAAATTTTTCAAAAAAAAAAAAAAAATTTTTTTTTTAATGATTCATGAAGTGATTATATAGATAATTATACCAGAATTCTGTGTATATATATATATTTAAATCTATGCCTTAGCAACATCTCCTTTCAACGGTCACAAATGGACTAGTATAAAATCTGAATTTTTTTTTTATTTTTTTTTTTTGGGTCTTGACATCTTTTCCGGTGGTAAATTATTTATCACTTTGGTTTTTTATTTTTTATTTTTATTTTTTTTTTTAACAAAACTAGCATGAATCGGTTAAGTTTGTTTTCTTTCTTATTTTCCTTGGTTTTTTTTTTTTTTTTTTTTAAGTTTATTTATTCCTTTACTCCTTTACTTTATGTCTGTTCCTGAACGTTTGAACTTTTTTTTTTTTCTTCTTCTTTTTTTATTCTTTTTTTTTTATTCATACGTGAAATTTTGGGTGTGGTATTGTAAAGCTCAAAGGTAATAATGGTGCCGTACTGGTTCAAAATGCGTAATTAGTTGAAATGATAACTTGCCAGTTTATTTCAAATAATCAAATAAATAAACGAATATTAATATATAGTAATATTACTAAAGAAGGATATTTTTCAAATTAGGTAATTATATATAAATATATGCAGATATAAAATATATCGCGTGTTTGTTAGACAATATTATTTGCTTATATTTTCATTATTTTTATTATTTTTATTATTATTATTATGCTTGTTGCGCACTGTGTAGAGAGGAGCTTCAAATTTGATTAGAAAAAAAAAAAATATGTCGCAATTTTTTTTTAATGGCATGAGATTTCAAACTAGTTTCAATAGATATATATATATATATGAATAATATAATTACAAAAAGAAGGAAACAAGAGAGTTGAAAGTGAAAAAAAAAAATTTTTTTTTATTTATTTATTTTATTTTCACTTTAAATGACAAGTGAAAAAGTAAAAGCCGTGAAGATATTATAAAATTTATTATAAAATTATAATAAAATAATAATAAAATTATAATAAAATAATAATAAAATTATAATAAAATTACAAACAAATCCAATTTTTTTTTTCCATTCTTCTTCTCTTGCTCCACTTTCCTGTTTATTATTATTATTATTATTATTATTATTATTATTATTATTATTATTATTATTATTATTATTATTATTATTATTATTATTATTATTATTATTATTATTATTATTATTATTATTATTATTATTATTATTATTATTATTATTATTTTTTAACATCAACAACCAAAAAAAAAGGTGGGACGACTTAAAAGCTTTAAAAATGACATCCTGTCAACCCCTGAGAAATTTTTATTTATATATGACGCGTTTTTTTTTCTTTTTTTTCTTTCAGGGTGATTACTTTTGAAGTTGAATATTAAAGTCCGGTTGCCATCTTCATTAGAAATTTTATTGCTTAAGAAGAAGAAGAAGAAAGGGTTTTATTTTTATTTTTATTTTTTATTTGAGTCCGGACATAAATATTATCCCTAATATCCTTAAAGTCTTTGACTCTTCTTTGACTTATAAAAACCCTTACTTTAACTATATATTTCTTTTGTTTTTTTTTTATTTTTTTTTTAAAGGGTTTCCATTTCATCCTTTTTTTTTTCTTTCTATTTTTTTTTTGGTATATTTCTTTAATGAATTGTAAATATTGTAAATAATATATTATATTGAAAAAGTTGGAAAAAGTTGGAAAAAGTTGGAAAAAGAAAAAAAAAAAAAAAAAAAGGGCCTGATATTTTCTGTTCATGTTTCAATACGGAAAGTTTGTGCGGCTGCCAATTAACAAGTATCCACAGATGTTTTATCCACTCAGTTCAAATTTATAAAAATCTCGTTGGGGGGTTTCTTAAAGTCTCTAAAATCTACTTTTTGATATTCTTTACTTAAATCTTTAAAAAGTTATTATTTTATTTTTTATTTTTTATTTTGTTTGTTTGTTTGTTTCAATATTATTTATTATTTAAATGAAGATTCTATTCAGTGTACCATAATAATATATTTTAAACAAGATCTTTGGTCCCTTTATATATACCACCCCATTCAGCAACAATGATGAGTGGAGATATCATTTATAAAAATAATATATTTATATACTTGGCTCGGGTCTAAGGCTATATCGGGGAAAAGAAGAAGGAGGAGGAAGAAAGATATGTATCACTTAGTTCCAAACTAATTAATGATGATGATCCAAAGAACGCGCACGCGCTTAGTCTATGGCATGATATCTTATGATTATTTTTATTAGTCTATTAATCGTATTCCAATATATATATAACTTTCTATTCCGGAAAAAAAAAAAAAAAAATTCTGGAATTAATTCATTAGTCTAAAGATTCTCACAGTATAGCATATTATATCAAATATTTTTTTTTTTAAAAGAATATTGGAGGATCTGCAATGTTTACATTTCAATGTTTTTTTTTTTGTTTTTTTTTTTAAGAATGTACTTTTTTTTTTTCACAAGTCTATTTAATTGTTTCATATATCACTTAAACAATTTTAATGCATTTTATAATAACATCATAAACAACTAGCTCTAAATCAGGGAGTCAAAAAGTTCTTTTCCTCTAAAATTTGTTATCTTATATACAAATTGTTTGTTTTTATTTATTTATTTATTTATTTATTTATTTATTTATTTTGGAGGCGGTTGTTCCTCTGTGTGGATTATTTCGACTGCATTTGATATGTTGTTTTACTTGAATTTCTAATTCTAGAACACTGATCATCGCCAAAGTATTTCTCAGATAAAAACTAAGCATATGTTAACCTTATAAGAATTTATTACTTAGCATATTGTTTAAATTTTTTTCTTTTTTTTTTTTTTTTTTTGAACAAAGGTCTTTTATGACCGTTTAAAACTATCTCAAGAAAGAAATCATGTTCCCCTAAAGATGCAGCATATTCTGGCATTGTGTTTTTTTTTTTTTGTTTATATGCTGTACTTTTATTTGCAACGTTGACCTGGCATAATGATACCTAGTTTAAACTAGTATATAAAATATTGATAGTAAGTTTACTTGGAAACATAATGGGGTTACTAAAAAGTTAAAACAAAATAGATGAATAAAAAAAAAGTTTTGGGTTTAGATACTGGACCCTGGAATACTACATTTGTTAATGATAGTTAGTATTTCTTATGAAAAGAGTTAATCAATTGTAATTAGCTTTATGTCATTAAAAGAATAAATAAATAAATAAACAAACAGATAAACGAATAAGTTCTTAGAATAGCAACTGTTAGTATAGAATAAAATAAAATGAAAAAAATGAACGGTATAGTGATAATCAATATTTTTTTTTATATTTATAATATATTATTTAATTTAAAAAAAAAAATTCAAACTTTGAATCAAAAGGAATAAGAACACATGTCGAAAGGTCGTATTTTTCTGGGGAGTTTTTTTTTTTTTTTTTTTTTATCTTTAAAGATGAAATCAAAGATGATCCTGGTCTTGATGATTATGATTATTGACTAGACTTTTAACGGGTATGATATTAAGTACTGTTTTCCTTTCCATCAACGTCATCACGTATGTTTACTTTTTTTTTTTTTTCTTTTTGTTAATATAAATAAAACAATTTTTTTTTTAATCTCTGTAAACATAATTATGTTCTCTCCTGTCCGGAATGGACGGATATCACAGTCAAAAAAAAAAAAGAAAGAAAGAAAGTAAGTAAGTAAGAAAGTAAGAAAGTAAGAAAGTAAGAAAGTAAGAAAGTAAGAAAGTAAGAAAGTAAGAAAGTAAGAAAGTAAGAAAAACAAGGTGTTAAAGCCGCTTCAAGTCGAAATAAAAACAAACAAAACAAAGATATGACGGCAATTAACCCAATTCAATTAGAAGACCAAAAGGAAAGTATAGAAAAACAAAAAAAAAAAAAAAAAAAAAGCAAAAAGCAAATAAGTCAAACAAGCCAAACAAGTCAAAGGCGGGTGGATGTTATTGGGAACTTGCAGGGCTGGAGGTGGTCAGAGGAGTAATGAAAAATTAAAAACCAAAACATAAAAGACCTTCCATACAGCAAAGAATCGAATCCTGATATGGAGATTTTCCATACATTCAGCGGATAAAATATATATATAAATAAAGTAAATAAAAAAAAACGAGGAATGATGACGACAATTAAACTATTTTTCTTTTTTTTTTTTTGAGGTTTATTTTATTTTTATAATAAACAAATGTCTAGTCTATCAAACAATCCACTTTAAAAATTGCTGTTTTCTTTTTTTTTTT